CTTGAACACACTCTACATTCCTTTCGATTGTAATTTTGCTTCGAATCGTCGCTTGTTTCTACACGCCTGCTGCGGAACACACGTTTGGGACTGAAATGTAGCGAAGTTAAACATCGGTCACTGATGAAGAAAAATGCGCTAACTAAAGCAATTACACTTTTACAGTGTTAATCAAGGTACATACTATTCGGTACGACCTAAATAACCAAAGTGTTCCGTGTTATTTTCCGGCGAAGAGACAAAATGCACGCGCGCTTTCCCATAGGAATACACAGGAAGACTGGAAAAGTCACTGATCTCTATGTCTATTTGCTGGATCGCGTTTGACCAGCTCCTCCTATGGACCGGAATGCGGTCACTGGCGGCCATCTTTAGGTAGAGTTATATCATCTCTAGCCATCATAGTAATATGGCGGACAGCGCAATGGCGGCAGGCTGCCATAAAAATAGCCGTAGATCTAGTACACTGTACCGTGGGTGACATTTCGTGCTTGATTGAAGTTGTTCGACGAAGCAGATTCTTGAAACCCGGCGTGAACGGTAGCCTCATCTTTGAGGACCCGGCAAAAGTTCTACGAAAGCGCAGCACCGGGGGAAAGCAGCGCAGCTCGCATCAAACGCAGACTCCGTACCGTCGTCTGCTTTCGATGCGACTTTCGATGCGACTTTTGATACGTGCTGTGCTGCTTTTCTGCCGGTGCTGCGATTTCGTGAAACTTTTACCAGGTCCTCAAAAACCGGACTACTGTTCACGCCGGGTTTCAAAAACATGTTTCGTCAAATAATTTTAATCAAGCACGCAATATCACCCACGCTATTTTGTCCGCGCAGCCTGCCAACCCACCTGCCAAAACGCTATCTGCCATGGATGGATGATAGTGGCTGCCGGAGCGGGCAAACGGGGCAAACGCGATCCAGCAATTGTGGATCGCGTGATGTACACCGTGTACACCATAGAGATCATATACTAAATCTAGAGGAAAAGGTCCGCCATTTTCCCATACATTCTGGCTGCCGCAAGCGGCGGACCATGCAGGCAGACCCTCTGGGTCCCAAACACGGTTACATCATCAGAGCAGTTTCGTGAACTTCAACAATCCACGAACTTACCGGTGGAAAAATACTCGCGTTCCTTTCGAAGGTTTCTTTTTGCATAGCGCGCAGATGTACGGCCTCGCGTTAACGCTAAACTAAACCATATACCCGGCTTCGCTGGTGGGGCGCGGCTGGGCGCGGTTGAGGAATACGAAACTGCGCAACCACCAGATTTCCGAGATTTCGACAGAAGGGAAGTTAATGCAGCGTAATGACTTTATTGCTTTTTATAAGCGTTAGAATAGCTCAGAATTTAGTTTACAACGTTAAATTATCACTGTTTATATTGCTGAGAGTTTACACTGTTCGCGTTTACCGCGTTTACCATGGCAACGTTGCTTTCTTTCTCTCGTGTTCTGTCGCTCTCTTTCGCGATCGTTCACTCGGGACCCAGGATGTCGGCGCACGGGATTTGCCACTCCTCCTCACCCACCTTTACCCCCCTGGTGTACACCGTGTACGCCGTGTACACAATACGCCAGGGACTCTTCCCAATAAAAAAAAAAAAAAAACAAGAAAAACCTCACCGTGCTTTTAATCGTTTAATATTTTTTTTTATTTAGAAAGAAAATAATAACGGTTTCTTTTTTTTTTTTTTTTTCAGCAACTATATTGGAGTGGCTTGCCGGAAAAACTAGCGTTTCGTAGAACGAATTCAATCCAATCCAATTCTACAAAACTCGTTTCGCTTGTGGCGCCGGAGGCAGCAGCGGCAGCAGCGGCAGGCGGCACCGAACACAAGGTACGTTCTCTCGCCTTATTTTCCTAGGTCGCAGGGCTCAGGCGAATAAGAATTGCCAATTTTAGGAAAGCGTGAATACGATGCTTCCATGCGCTTATGTCGCCAATAAATAGATACATAAATAAATGTGCTGACGACCTTTCGAGAAAAATACCGATTGAAACATTGACGCCGAAAAAAGACGTCAAATCTTTTTTTCACGTAAAATTATGGTAGGATACTATGTTTTAGGCCCAAACACGCCCAGACCAACTCGTATGATTTGTTTCAATACAGCAGTTCATACCTTGTATTATCAGCCATCGCATAAAACTGTGATAATCCGCAGCTTATCATGTTCATCGGGTGACCGGGTTACGAGCCTGCCATTGACGCAACGATAACGTGATCTCGGAAATGAATGAGGAATGAAACGAGGCATTCTCTCGTCTGCCCTTGTGACGGTCGATTGACTTCACTTTTGAAATCACAGTCCCGTGCGTAAACTCCGTCTGCTTCGCGGCGCAGAGCGAAATCGAAACTAAATTGGCCCGACTGTTTTAGCATTCAATTAGCACTACAAGATGTCTTGTGCATTTGGGTATTCGTATGTTCGCCGTAAATCTTGCAAATTGACTAAAAGCGCTCCGCGGAAACCGAAAAAAAAAAAAAAAAAAAAAAGCGAAGTGCGCTCGGCGCTTTTATTCATGCGAAACAAGAACCAATTGTGTTTGAGGGAAAGAGCGAAAGCCTGTCGTAATGGCTGCCGAAAACTGGCCGGGTTTCAATTTGGCCATTTCGGTCATCCTGCAGCCGCACAGTTTCTTCATTTGTTTTTTCGTCTGGCAAATGCGTTCTCGTGCCAGCCATAAAAACGAATAGCAACGTATATGACGTAAATGAGCGCTCAAGCGCTTGTTCTCAAATAAACTCGCTACGACATTTTTTCTTCTTTGATTCCGCGAAGCCGCTGGCGGGACAGGCGACCTTATAAAAATATCTCGTATAGTAATAGTTCGAAACTCAAGACTGCCTACATTTATAATCATATAATATCTTCAGTGCATAAAAAAAAAAAAAAAAAAAAAAAAGAGTAGAGGACAATAAAAAAAAACTGGTCACAAATTCCGACATTCGTTCAGCAATCGCGAAATTCGTTCAATTAAAACAGCTTTCGCGCATTAGTTTTGGAAGGCGAAACATTACAGACCAATTTTCCGAACTAGTGCACCTTTTCAGATCTGAAATAGGCACGAGGCAATTAATAAAATAATTTAGGTCAACCCGTATGATCGTACCAGTTGGCGCTTGTTCGCAATGCGACAAGTGGAAACTAAAAAAAAAAAAAAAATTAAAAAGAGAAATTAGGATTAAAACAATAATATACAGGGAATCGCGCACCTTTAGCGCCGATTAAAGCTGTGCACGCGCAGTTTTCACTACAATGCGCCAAAGTTGTTCCCGAGCGGGTGTTCCCAAGCACGCCGAGTGCAAGTTCGACTGCTTCTTGCGCAGAATGCCGAGACTGGCTGATTGGAAAGATGGTGGCTAGACCTCAATGCTAGCAGCCTTGGGGCCTACCCACTATCCTTCCGATCGAAGCCACTCAGGGCTCGGCGTTTTGGTGCCACCGCAACTCAGCAGACGAACGTGCGCTCTGCAGTCTCAAATTACCTAACTGACTCTCGCTAAGTAACCTGGAGATAAGTTAAACGAGCATTGCACATTAATATGGTGTTAACAAGATCCAATAACCGACAAACTTTGATAGAATTAGGAGAGTGTGTTGGTTTAACATCTTGGAATGCGAGGAAAGGTTTCTCGGTCGGTCGGGGGAGGGGGGAATGAGCATTGGTTCCGACATCATAATCGGTGACAGGTAACCGTTCTGGGGAACCTCTCCCCACCTCTGTAGAGGTCGGAACCACTGCACAATGGCCGAACAACTGCATCGAGAACCGTGCACGTCATTCAGATAGCAAATGCTGGAGCGTGACCAACGCTACCAGCCATCGAGACAAACAGCGTTTAAAGTGCAACGTCATCTGCTCTTATCACTTTTGTTTATTCCAGTGTTCCGTGACGTTTTAGTCCGCCATTGTGCAGGGATCGATTCCACAGCTGCCAACAGAGGGCAGTATTTCAAAAGGGGTCTTTGCGAGTTGAACGCTGTCCGTGTCTGACGTGTTTCTGTGTGTCCCTGATCTCCTTTTGCGTTCACATACCAACGCAAACTTTGCCAATCTGTTCAACCCTAAGCTGAAACTGCTGTGGAATTAGCTAAGTCCTCGGACCAATCATACGCCCCTTTTCGCAACGTCATCACGCTCTCACTCATATTCACGCAGAGAGAGTCGGCTCAAGTGATAAGAGGGAAGCGGCCGATTGGTCCTGGGTCACTTGGCTCCCACTCCCGTCTCAGCTTACGGGTGAAAACAGCTCTGTTCAATGCAGTCACAGCTTACGGGTGAAAACAGCTTTGTTCGACAAACAGAAGTTCCTATTGGTCTGTTTGGTTGAGAATTTTCTAGGGGTCCAGTGGGCCGATAGCCATTTCTACTGGACAAATAGAAATCTCTATTGGTCCAATAAAGTTTCTTATATATCCAACAAAAATCTCCAATGATCACATAGAAGTTTTTATTGGAGGTTTGGCAGGATTACCTAATCCCAAATACTCTTCTTGCCCTCAAGGAAGCCCAAGACCCTTCCAGACCACCACCCTTCCAACAAAGTCAGCACAACACCAGGCACCATGCTGCTGCCAAAGGTTCTGTGCCGACAACTGTGCCGTGTGCCGGACGCTGTCAAGAGCCACAGGGGCGTCTGCGAGGTGCTTGCCAAACAGCTCGAAGAAATTCTGGGCAGCAAGAACGTCAGCAGCACAGATGCCATCCGCGAGCAACACAGCCGCGACGAGGGACCTCACCCTGCAGCAGCACCCGACGTGGTCGTCTTTCCAAAGAATGTCGAGCAGGTAAGGCGTCCGTGCGGAATATCAGACAGCCCAGTGATTCTGCTTTTTTTGTCTGGATGATAAGCGCTAGAAATGTGTATAGAAACTGCTTGTTTGAAGCTCGGATGTCCTCGGGGGGCAAACATCTTAAAAACATTTTAGGTCATTTAACTCCACACGTCATGCCTAGAGCATTAATGCGAGCCCATTAATTGTTATAGGCATCCAGTGGCACCACAAGCTTTACTGCAGATTTTCTTTTCCATCTATACATAATATATTAGTAGAGAAAAAATGTTTTGCACAATGCCGAAAAGTATAAAGCATGTATAAAAAAATATTTGAAACCTCCAGAGTCATTAAAGCACTACGGCAAGGCAGAAAATTGCTTTGCGATGTTCGACCTTAAGCACAGACACGCGTTAAGTGCCCATCCCACATTGGTTCACACACCATTATTAAAACTCTTCCTGGAGCTTGTACATTAATTGCATCGCGACGCAACGAGGTCAGTAGCTTAAAGGCATCCGTCTGTCATGGAACGTACGGCACTCGGGCACAGGGGCACTGTCTCTACGGCGCAGGTGAGCAAGGTGGCGCGCCTGTGCTACCAGAAGGACGTGCCCATGATGCCCTTTGGCAGCGGGTCCGGCCTGGAGGGTGGCGTCCAGGCGTCCAGGGGTGGCGTCTGCCTCAACCTCTCCCAGATGGACCAGCTGGTGGAGCTCCACGCGAGCGACTTCGACGTCGTCGTCGAGCCGGGCCTCACATGGCGCAACCTCAACGGCCAGATTCGCAACACTGGCCTCTGGTTCCCCGTCGACCCCGGCGCCGATGCGTCCCTCGGCGGCATGTGCGCCACCAGCGCCTCGGGCACCAACGCTGTGCGCTACGGCACCATGCGCGAGAACGTCCTCAACCTCGAAGTGGTGCTCCCCGACGGAACAATCGTGTACACGGCGGGGAAGGGACGCCGCTCACGCAAGACCTCCGCCGGCTACAACACGACGAACCTCTTCGTCGGCTCTGAGGGGACGCTGGGCATCATCACCCAGGCCACCCTGCGGCTACACTCGGCACCCCAGGTGACCGTGGCGGCCGTCTGCCCGTTCCCCACCGTCAACGCGGCCATCGAGGCCGTGGTCCAAGTGCTCCAGTGCAGCGTGCCCGTGGCACGCATTGAGTTCCTCGATGAGATGACCATCCGCGCGTGCAACAGGTACAGCAAGACCGACTTCGTAGAGTCCCCAACCCTCTTCCTCGAGTTCCATGGGGCGTCCGAGGAAGCCGTGCGCGAGCAGGTCGAGACTGTCATCGAGCTCGCCGAGGGCAACGGAGGCACTGACTTCCGGTGGGCCAAGGAGCCCGAGGAGCGGAGCCGGCTCTGGAAGGCGCGCCACGCCATCTTCTATGCCACGTGCGCCATGCGGCCCAACACGCGCTGCTACGTCACCGACGTGTGCGTCCCCATCTCCCAGCTGCCTGAGCTCGTGGCGCTGGCTAAGGCGGACATTGCCGAGAAGGGGATCCTGGCGACCGTGGTGGGGCACGTTGGGGACGGAAACTTCCACACCATGATGCTCTTCGACCCCAAGGACCCTGCCGACGTCAAGAAGGTGACCGACGTGGCTCACCAGCTCGCCGAACGTGCGCTGCAGCTCGGCGGAACGTCGACGGGCGAGCACGGCGTCGGCGTCGGAAAGCAGAAGCTCCTCGTCGAAGAGCTCGGCGAAGACGGCGTGGCGCTCCTCAGGAGGCTTAAGAACGCCGTAGACCCAAAGAACCTCATGAACCCGGGAAAGATGTTTGCGTGAAAGGCGCCTTTATTGGCGCCCTTCACGCGGGTACGCCCTCTGGCGTGGGGCGCTGTCGTAGCGTTGGGGCGTCGCCCCCCGGGGAGCCCTCTGGGCTGGCGTCTTTCCCACGTGGCCCGCAGCACGTCTGGGCCACGCAGTTGGTGCGGCTTGGGCAGTCCAGCACGCAGTCTTTGTCGTTGCTCTGCGAGGGAACGCAAGATGGACTGTGATGTCTCAAGTTCCGCTGCTGCCGTTCTAGCCATTCGCATAGGTATTAGACCGGACTTGTTCGTAAGCCAGGTTAATTCTTTTACAGATAGGGCCGGACGTTTTTGAGCTTTATATTCTCTTCAAATTGACGAATAATTGCTTTTACTTTTTGAAATCATTTTATGTTGAGAGAAACTGAGCCTTATTTCGACGTGCTTCAACCTACGGGTATAAAATTTAATTAACAACTGGAACTGCAAGTTTCACGCACGCATCATATAAAACAAAAATTAACTAAAACACTTTCTCGTTTTTATTTTTAAGATTTTTTTTTTTTTATTTTATGGTGGCCCCCCTCATTTTCTGACTTTCTGGGGGTATGGAATGCTCTTTTCATTTTCCTACTTTCATTGAGCTACCTTACTCTTCGCACAAAGATAAGAACTTGGGGATAAAGAACACTGTTCTGAGATCTGCACTATGTTTTAACTCCAGCAACATCGTGGAAAGCTCAAACGTGTGCTAACAGAAGTGGGGAAAAACTCGCTTCCTCTGTCTGCTTGCACCAATTCTTGGAGGGAAAAAGTAATTTAGTGTTTATATAGTGACACAAAGGCACGGTTTCTTTTACGCATTGTAACTATCGCAACATATATTTCAGAAATCCATTTGGCTACAAGTGCATTTACTTTTTTTTTTTTTTCGTTTTAGAGATTGTAGTTACCTTAGAGACCAGTGTCGAATCATACAGCTTCTTAGCTCAAAGTTGGTTCAATTGATAATAGGACTGCCACGCTAAACGTCCGCACGAGCAAAGTAGCAATGGTGCAGCCAAGGTGTAAATACAGTTAAGAGAAGTCGTGACACGCAGTACTGGCAGCTGTGGGTGGTATTGAGACATGTTGTAAAGCTGCTATTAGAGTAGAGATGCTCTCTGGAGAAAGCAAGATCGCTCCAGAGATGTTCTACTGCCTGGTGGCACAACTTTACATTGCCTCCAGCCACGTCGCAACTGACAAAATATGGGTAGTATGATCAATGTTGGAGTAGTATAGTAGATATTGTTCCGTCGTGATTCAGCACTCCCTCGCTGTCACGCATGACTAGTAGTTCCCTAGTCCGTACACAAGATAGTCCAAAGACAGACGGCACTACTCTGGGGTTCCGTACAAAGTTCCTTATAGCCTTTGGTGCCCACTTGGCAAGATGGATTTATGACACTGTCAGTGCTCAATCGTGTGACAATGTACAGAAGGCAACAAAAATTTTCTGAAATAAAGCTGAATTCTAAAAAGTGCACTTTGTATCCTACCTAATCGTAAAGTACCTGGTTCTACGATCTAAATAAGCAAATACTGCTGTAGAGGCACACACCAGGGTTAATTCATTCAAGCCAGCAGTTGAGTGTAGTTTCCACTAGCATGATCACTGCATCTAAACATAATTTACAAAGGGAATTAAGAAAACGGCTAAAACTCAAACTTGTTTCGAAACTTTTTTTTTTCTGCCTGGGCTACTGGCGGCTTCAGCGAAATTGATGGCACCTAGCGGGTGCCATCAATTTTCGTTTTCGAATTAATACAAACCTATCCAAAAACACTTGCCGGCAACGTCAAACTCAATGTCAAACCCAACGTCAAACTCAATGCCAAATAGTAAAAAATAAAAGAAAGAAAAACAGATATTTCAAGTAAGTTTAGGCAGAGGCTAAATGCTGTCAGAGCACAGGGTCAGTGGTTCTAAGGAAAAGGCCTTCCAGTTTTCTCCCCAATCTCGGACGACCGACACAAGGAGGCTCATCTCGTCGACCTCCATTCAGGACCATGGGCCAACACGGTATTTCTGGGTCACGACGAAGGCTGCTCCAAGCGTGCGATTCCTCTGGTCCCTCTTCCGGCTTAGAGCAACAGCGAAGACTGTGATCCTAAAGATTTTGTGGGAAGGGAAAGTAGCGGCGGTGGGGGGACAGCTGAAGTTTCTATACAAGCTTATAACCTCGTTACAACAGATCTGGCTACATCAGACGTTCGGTTATAACATACTGATTCGTGAAGTTTGGTTGGTCCTCCTAAGCCATTGAGCCAACATCGCTTAATAAATAGTTTGTTAGTATAACATGGACTTGGACATAATGGACTATATTGGGGAGTTTGCCAGTGGTTTACCATTTTGTTATAGCGGACTCTTCGACAGCAATCATTATTTCGGACGTCACGCGGCTCTGGGTCGGTAGCGGTGGCATCCGTTTTGCGAACTGCCCTCATCGCGCCTGGCGCATCGCGAGCCTTGTCTTACCCAAAGCGCACAGCGATGGCTATTGTTTGTGCACCTCGATACAAAAATTACCACCTTTAAAAGTTTATAAGTTTCAATGAAACAATTCTTTTCTAATATCCATTCATGCTTTCTCTACGGTTAGAACAGACTCCAGACATAATGAATCTCAAAGTTTGTAGCAAGAGTATATCCATTCTGCATACTCCTTTTACAACAAACCCCCAAAAAATCTTCACTATCAAGGTCTGCTATAATGAGTTTCTACTGTATAACTCTTTCCACCTCCCACAACCACAGCACTTTCCTGCGACAGCCGCGACTCCAAAGAGGAGATTTTTTTTGGTGGGGGAGCTTTGAACTCGGAGAGACGAGAAGAAAACCACCCAAGGCGTTCCATCGACTATGGCCGGGAGTTGGGTGATTGTAAAGAATTGGTGTCTATACTCTGTTGCAGGTTAAGAAGAGTTAAAAAAGCTCCTCCTAGAAAAGCCCTCCGCTCTTTCCACTTTAGCAGAGCAAATGCTGGAGCAGAGGTGAAAAAGGAGGCACTCCACTCCCCTCCTCTCTGGCGTTCGCTCTGCTAAACCGGAAAGGGTGAAAGGGGTTGCAGCGCAGTCGACCGCAACCAGACGCAAGCACGTGCGAGCTGGCCCTGAGATCAAGACGAAGGCCCCCCGAGATTTGGAAACAAAGGCAGTGCCCACCTCTCCCTCGAGCTGGACGAACTCGGGCTGGATGGTGGTGGAGTGGATGCCCTCGTTGTGGAAGAACTCCTTGACCCGCTCGGCAATCTGCATGTAGTCCTGGAGGTTCTTGCAGCGGATGTGGGCCGAGGCGATGATGCGCTCGCCGGCCAGCTGCCAGACGTGGAACTCGTGCACTGCCAGCACCCCCTCCACCTCCTGGAGCAGCTTCTTCTGCAGCGAGTCCATCTGGATGTGCGTCGGCACCGTCTGGAGCAGGATCAGCGCAGAGTCCACCACTGCGAGAGATTCCGTCGGGTGGGGCCTCCACCGCCGACAATGCGGCGCTTGGAACGCGTCTTCCACTGGTGGGTTTAGCATCCTACGCAGAGAGCAAGTTTGTCTGCTACTTTTGCGGGGTTGTGGCGACGTCAGAATGCCGAGCTCCAATTGGCTCCGATTGGAAGCTGGGATAGCGGGGTAGGCCTCGAAGCAAGCTGTCTCGAGGCCTACACACTATCTTTCCAATCGGAGCCAATCGGAGATCGGCGTTCTCACGTCGCCACAACCCTCGCAAAAGAAGCGGACAAACTTGCGCTCCGCGTAACGCCCGTGCATCGAAGATGGTGGCAACGAGTGACGTCGCACGAGCCGGCGTGTCACATTGTCGGACGTCGCAATCCCAACGGTCGGACGCGGAAGTTCCAGTAAAAAGTATGAGCAGATGCTAGCGTCACTGTCATCGCCGCGCCCCAACTCGCTGTTGCGGAGGCTCCACGAACTGTCGAGCGGAAAGCGAGCCACGGCAGAATGGGCGCCTGCCGCATCCACTCGTGCTGCCGCGACGCTGCCAGAATCGCGACGGGAAACGGCACAACACAAGTGCAGCATTGTCGGGCAGAAACCGAAAAACAACCCAGGAATCGAGGACGCCGCACTTGTGTCAAACTCTCGCCTCTCATGATCCCGGTGATAGCACAGGTGGATGCTGCAGACGCCGGTTCTGCCACAAATCGCTGTCCAGCTTGACACTTTGCAAAAGCTTCGGGAGCCTGGACGCTGCAATGACGGCGATGCTTGCCTTGGCTCGTCTTTTCTGTCGGAGCGTCTACGACCGACCGCCGGGATTATGACACGATGCTGGCTCCTGTGACACAGGTTGGTGCCACTTTGGAACCACTTCGGATGCGTTGACGTTAACGAGACGCAAACGTATCAGTAGAAGATGCACTCCAGGCATGTACTGGTAAACCTTTGAAAAACGGGGCAGATCACTCACGCAGTGGAGCTGTGGACTTCATGATGAGGCACACCATCACCAGGCTGTTGGGAGGACGGGAAAAAGAGACAATGACACAAACAAAATCTAATACGCATCTGTCTCAAAGCTAAGCCGATGAAAGACTCTAGATAGCAGACACGGTTCGCGAGAGATGAACAAAATTTGAAGACAAACTTAGAATTACAGAAAAGTATACAGGAAAAGTTGAGTTCACCAGCCATTTGTTAGCACTACTGTCAGGGAAGAAAACACTGGAAGTAATCTGAGAAGTCCTAACACAGTTCTAGATTTTCAAAAGTTGCGTAGAAAGAGTGTGTGAGCACATCCCCATGTAAGAGCATTGAACTGGCATAAAGTATTGCAGAACATACTAAAATGATGTTCAAAACCAGGACGATGGCAATGTGCAGAAAAACGGATAAAATGTTAATCAGTGATGTGATTGGTCCGAGTGATTTTGGAGCTACCATAAGTCCATTTTGGAGCAGCAACATGTACCTTGGCCAGTGTGAATATGATGTTAAAATTTATGCGTCTATGTCAACTTTTCCTTCCTGCTTCTTGCAACCTCTGGATGGCGTCAACAACATAGCAGGTTTGATTCCCTAGCTAGCAGTTTAATTGCATGTACAGTAGACTCTCGTTAATTCAAACTCCAGGAAGTCAGAAATTTTGTTTGATTTATCAAAAATTTGTCTAAATATGATGCAAGGTAAAATTATGATTTGCCACATGAATGGCCACACATACAAAGCAGATATTTGATAATTTCCTCTACATAGACCTACTAATCATAAGCAGCTATGCCACACATGGAACATTTATGAAATGTGTAACATAAGTCTATTTATCTTTCAAATATGTTTAGGGATGCCGCGAACTTTTTTCGAATCGAAGTTTCGATGATCGAATCAAGCGGTTCGAAAGGTTCGAAAGATTTCGATTTTTCGAATTGTCTATATCGTAAAATTCGACGGAGGTCGAATTTTCGAACTTGTTAAGCTAAGAAGTTCGACGCTTTTCGAACCGTCGAACTTATTACGCTAAAAAATTCGATCTTTTTCGAACTTTCGAATTTATTGCGCTGCAAGGTTCGATGCTTGTCGAACTTTCGAACTTGACTGACCAAAAAATTCGATGAATTTCGAACTTTCGAACTTATTTATCAAGAGAATTCGAAAAGTTTCGAACTTTCGAACTCTGAAAAGTCAGAAGTTCGACGAACTTCGAACTTTTAGGGTAAAAGTTCGACGTTCGTCGAACTTCGAAAGACCGGCGGACGGTTTCATTTGATTTCAAGTAGTGGGGTACATTCGTAATTTTTTTTTCTCGAACTTTTACACGCGGTGCTGCGTTCCTTACGAAAGACAATGTCGTTTATTTCAATGTTCTGGCATGCTTAGGTTTAAAGAAATAAATCCCCGAAGGGGCGAGGAAGGACGACGGGTTTTTGACCATTATCGTTTGTGCCAGATTTGAAGCACGCTGCAGCCGGAGCTATTCATGGTAGATAAGTTATACTTTTTTAAGAATGATCTATGTATAGCCTAGGTAAGTGCCGTTTTAAGATGTGATTATTGTTATTCAACGTGAGTTTCGAAGAAATGTCCAAACATGTATCTGCATGCAATTATGACCTAAACTTGATATTTATTTTCGTCTAAGTTGTTTGAGGTATCGCATTTAAATTAACACCACAGACAGTACATATCATTGCCATCTGCAGAATACAAAATAATATATTTATTGTTTTTTTCACATTAAGAAATAAATTAACTCATGGGAGAAGATTTCTAGTAGTGTTCAAGTTCGGCACGTCATTAAAAGAAAACTTGTTTTTTTTTTTTTCGCTTCACGTTCCTGGGACGTGTTTCTTTTAGCCTGTACACACTTTGGTAAAAGAAACTTGTTTCGAAGTTCTGAACCTCTGAATATGCAAGAATAGAACACTTCCGACGAATTCTTGATAGTTTTTTTTTTCTCCTGCTTTTTATTCCCGCATTTATTCTTTTTTTTTTTTTCTTTTGTTACTATCGGCACAGGTGTTTAGGTCGAAAAGACAGCTTTGAACTTCCGAACCACTAAGCATGTGACGAGCAGTGCCTTCTGACAACGAGTTTCTAACAATGACCATCTACGCAACCTTTTATGCAGTGAAGAGCGACATTATAGCTATACATATGCATAAATAATTTCAGATTAAAATAAGCTCGACCACGCCCTCTTTCCCCGTATTGTTTTCTTTAACAGTCCGAAATACCTGCAAGGGGAAGAAGAAGGCTGAAGCCCCTCCCTCCCCCCCCCCCCCCCCCCCCCTCCCCGCTACCCTCTTTCCCCCCGTTTTTCCTCTTCCGACGCCACTTGTATGGTAGAACGCTCCTCGACCTCGAGTTGCGTCGGCTTTTGTGCTTTTTGCGAGGCGATTCCTCCGTCCCAGAAAATAAACCTCCAGGACAATTATAAACTTCACCGGATCGGATTACTACCAGCGTGCAAGGGGTGGCGAGCTAGTTTGCCAGGTCGCTCCACGGTTTTTCTGAGCCTCAACCTCCTGCTCGCCCCTGGCCGTTTCGAACTGGAAGAGTCTCGTAAAACAGTGTGTTCGTGCAATCACTACTGCTTGATGCACGTTAAAGACCCCCCCCCCCCCCCCCCCCCCCCCCCACGGGGCTGGCGGTCACAATTCTGCACTGGCAAATATTCTAGCACATCCGGGACACTCGTCGTCTCATTTAATTGCCTGACCAACTTCGCAGAATCTAGGTATCACACCCTAACTTTTCTAAACTTGATTTTGCGAAAACCAAGTGAGTCGTGAAAACGTTATTTGAAACTGAAACTGTGGAAAAACTTGAAAATCGGACTTCGAACTTTGAAAACTTGGATTAGAAAGTAATTCAAAATCTTCAAATTTTTTTTTTTTTTTTTTTTTTTTTTAATTTAGCGTTAAAAGAGAATCGAAACTTTCGAACTTTTCGAACTTTATGGAAAAAGAAATTCGCAATCTTCGAATTGTTCGAACTTCATGTCTATAAAAATTCGAAGCGTTCGAAGTTTTCGAATCTTTTTTACAAAGAATTTCGAAATCTTCGAATTTATCGAACCTGAAGTAAAAAAATATTCGAAATATTCGAATTCGAAATTTTAGAAACCGTGAAAGCTTCGAACTTTTCGAATTCGAAACTCCGCTGTGGACAAAAGTTGCGAATTTTTCGAAATCGAACCTCGGTCGGTACGAAAATATCGAAATTTTTCGAAATCGAACCTGAGTTCGCTTCGCAAATATCGAAACCTTTCGAAATCGAACCTAGGGTGGTTCGCGACATCCCTAAATATGTTGCTTATTGTCAACTGTTTAGACAGCACATGAAAACTCAAAACAAAATTAAGTTTGTTCATCAATACAAGAAGTTGTCTAATGTGGGCTATTAACTCTTTATTGATGGTACAAAAATTGACTAAAACATTTCTTTTTTAATATACCTAATGTTTGGCAAGATGAAATAAAAAAACAAAGCTGAAATAAAAAAAAAAATTGTAAGGTAAACTTGAAAGTTATAGCTTAGTGGCCTGTGGGCAACACCAGGCGAAAGTATGAAAGTGGCTTCCTTGCGTAACCTCTATGAATCACTATAAAATGTCAATAAATCTGCGCATACGATAGCCTCAAATGAAACGGTCCCCTATCATAAGGTATTAGCGGCAAGAAAAAAAACTTGCGCAAACGCTGCGATGTGAACCTATGCCATGCTGCCACATCACAGCATCCGTGCAAGTTGCCATGGAAATTTCTGCGTGGTGCCCGTTTTCTTAGCTCATGAGCCCTGCTTGAGCCCCATTGAGGGCGCTTCTTGCCCAGCACCGGCGCACTGCATGGAAGCAACACTTGCGGAAGCAAGCTCTGAGGGGTGTTGCCTCTCTGCAGTGCACCAGTGCTCAAAAAGAAGCACACTCAACAGGGCCGCGAGAACAACAAGTATGAAATGCACGAAAACGCCGTTCGAATTAAGTGGTTTATGAATACATTAGAAATGTAGCGCGACCACCAAAATTTTCAAATTTGTTTGAATTAGTATACCCAGAATTATGAAATATTTGAGTTTGAATTATAGCAAGCCCACTGTACAAGCACAAGACGTGGTAACAAGATGCCGATTGATGGAGGGCAGTAGGAACTGCTCCGAATAATTCTTTTAGGTATGAAATGAAATGTAAACCGAAAGCCTATCTGCTGAAATCGTGTCAGAATATAATAATTTTGTACATTCGAATCAATGTTTTCTTTTAAATTCTAAAGTTGTAATAAAACTGCAGTTTTTAATTTATATAAATACCAAACTTTTATAATTTGATTATAAACATCAATTACATTTTATAAGTTGAACTTCACGATAAAAAAAATATCTGCATGTAAACTATAAATATGTTTGTTTAGAGAAACAATTCTGCCGAACTTGGTAGGGTTATTTTAAGGCTCGCATTCACTGCTATTTAGTTAAAATTTACTATATTCACTATGCCATCGAATGGATGGAACCTATCCAAAGGTAATAACATAACGAGAGTTGAGATAAAACATAAACTTATAGAGTAGTCCACTGAAGTTTTCTCGCAATACTCAAGCAATACTCAATACTTTCTCCTTAGCACGCGGGTGCCATTCAGCCAGAAGAGACACCGAGCACGAGAAATATTACAAAACTCCCTAGTACTGTCAATGTTTGACACAGAAATCATACCGCAGTAATGTTGTTTGACGCGATAACCGAAAGTTTCAGAAATTTTCACAAGCCTGCCGTAAACATCCAGCATCATAGCAATGCTCGAGTTATTATTTATTTGGTATTAATATCGGGAAAATAAGTTTTGGCGCAATGTCGGCACAAACCCCTCACATTTTGGCAAACTGTAGCAGCCCGTTGGGGGTAAGCGCTTTGGCGAAAATGGCACAGCAATCATATCAATGAGTTAACACTCCTTCTAGGCAGTGCATTTGGTGTATTTAAACTAGGAGACACTCATCACGCAGAAGTAATTGCTTTTGGTGAATCCAAGGCTTGTTACATCTTAACATTTCACAAATATTAAAATACTTCAGGCCTCGACGTGAACCTTCGATATGACTGCAGATTCAACAATGCGCGTCACGCCAGTCGCAACTTCAGTAGGGACGGTCGGCTCGAACTGTGATCAGCACTGCCTGCAGCTGCCGCGACGCGTACGCTCACGGGGACTTGCCTGAGCGCGGGGTCCACATAGTACCGGTGCTCCCAAGTCGTGAGCCAGATGATGAGGGAGCTGATGATGACCACGACGGAGCCCAGGGCGTCCGCCAGGATGTGGAGGTACACCCCGCGTATGTTGAGCTGCCCCCCTGTCACCTGGGTGTCCGTCTGCGGAAGCGTGCCCTGCTCCCCGAGTCGGAAGCGGTTCTCGTTGATGTCGTCCTCCATGCTGTGCAGGACCACCTCTTCTACCGTGGGTAGGCTGTGGTGGTGGCCCCGACTGTGACTGTGGCCGTGTTCTGCGCATAAGGCAGCACAAGCGCAGTCTGCAAGTGCCCGCGATGTAACCGCGAAGTAACCAGTTCTACAAACATATTTAATCACTCTTTCCTCCATCAAGCCATCTGTGTCTGGAGCAGCCTACCATCTTTTATCATAGATGCCAAAGTTTTTCTCACAAATTTATGGGTTCATTTTTCTTGTTATTAATATTTGTCTCCATTTTATTTAACTTAGTTTATCCTAAATGCATTAAATTAACCTGCGTTTTTATTTGTGTAAATGTGTACTATTCCCCCCTTATACAATGCCCTAACTGGGCAATGCGGAAAAGTGCTCCACAATGCTGTTCACCACCACCCGACAGCCTCCGCCTCCTCCTGACTTGACGATACGGAACAGCCTTATCACAAGGACGCAGCGCACAAAACTGTTGGGAGTCACACTCGATCCGCACCTCCGTTTTTCCCCCCACATTGCCGAGGTGCTCTCGCGAGCGCAACGCACGCTGGGCTTCGTCCAACGAGTGTCAAGGGGGGCCGGCCCAAAGGCACTGCGGAGTTTGTACACCGCACTAGTGCTCCCGCAGCTTGAGTTCTGCTCGTCGGTGTGGAGCCCTAGACAGGTCGCTGCAATTGCCTCGCTGAAGAGTGTGCAACGGCGCGCGGCCTATGCTATCCTGCGTCGCCAATCGCCGCCGCAGCTGAGGCAATACAGGGACATTGGCACCCCGAATCTTCTCGGAGCTGTGGGGTGGAACTGCCTGTCTGTCCGTAGGCAGGTGGCTTCGCTCCGCCTCCTAGCCTGCATGCTGGGTGGCCCTCCTACGCCTCTCCTAGGGTATGTGAGGAAGAATCGCGCCGATAAACTACAACCCCTCCTTGGACGGACGGAGCGTCATAGAAGCACGCTCCTCCCGAGAACCATCGAGCTCTGGCGCTCCCTCCCGAATGACGTCACACAGGGACATTTGAAAGCAAAGCGGACATAAAGGAACTGTGTAAATGTGCAACCATCCATCTGAAAGAACTGTGATCTGACACTCAATCCGACCCAAATCCCAGTGTACAAAGATTTATATATATATATATATATATATATATATTTTTTTTTTTATGTATATATGTCTGTGAAGCGGGTACAGTGGGCCTCTATGGCATGGGCAATAGCCTTTTCACTGTCGCCCAGGTTTTTAGAAACCGAATAAAGCATTATTATTATTATTATTATAAACTACCGTAGAATACCGTGCATCCGCCCATTCCACACTAAGCGCCCATTCCCAAATTTGTAAGATCTGAGAAAATATGCACAGTACATATGTAAAATTGATGGCCGGACAAGCACCCATCCTTCATTTTTCCGCGATAATCTCCCAATTTTGACCAATTTTGAGTGGGCGCTCGCCCGGTATTTTACAGTAAATGAAATTCATAGCCCAGCGTACAATCTTCGCAGAACATCATGCGCATGCTCATCCCTTTAAAAAGCAAGCAAAACGTATGCCACAGGCGTGAATGCCACAAATGACACCGGTGAGAAGTCCCTCGTTGGTATGACCTCTACATCGGCTCTTTCTGAAGTGGTATAGGGCTAAACACAGCAGGCGCAACAGAATTTCTCTATGTAAAGCCTGATACCATAAAGATATGAATATATCATAGAACACCGAGCACATACCTTTGTCTCAATACACATCTAACTGCTACTTTTAAAATTAAAAGAAATTTGGCAGAGACACTTAAGACTGCTTATTTGTAGGAATGCAAGAGCATTCCTACACACAGCACATTCCTACAAGCAGTGCGCCGCATCTTCCTTTCACACATGGCGCTATGGCGGTGACATCACGCTCTCCCATTGTACAGGCACGGCAAACCCCACTGGCTTCCGTGACGAAGCGTTGCGTTGCTGTACTTTTCTTTGTGTTTCGTTTCTGAGGAGCGTCCGCTTTGACCTAGAGAGCACCCGTTGGCTTCCGTGATGAAGCATCTGCGTTCTTTTTGTGTTTTATTGGGAATGGAAATTTAGGTGCCGTTTTGCTTAGCCAATGGGAATTTAGGTGCCATTTTTCGCGGCTACAGACAACAATAACGCCAGCTTCACTCAGATAACGCCGTGTTTGCCCCATAAAACATTTAATGCTTTTGCATGTAAAAAAAATAAAAGCTAGTCAAGATGGTTTGATTGCGTGAGCTGCTTTTCTGAGCATGCCAGTGCAAAGCGGTGAAGCTCGACACGCGAGCCGTGGTGCAAAGCAGTGACACTTGACACGCATGTGTCGATATCAAGGGGTGAAGCTTTATGCACGCACTGCAGTGCAAAGCGGTGAAGCTTGATGCACGGGTGCCAGTGCAAGGCAGTGAAGTTTGACACTCGTTCGAAACGTATAAGGGGTGTGCGACAGAATGGAGCGCCGGTGAAGCCAGCTTTATCGCGTGCCCCTACTCCAATTCTGCTCCCGGACCTGACAAGCACTTACCTCCCCGTTTTCGAGATCGCATCCACGTCTCGGGTGGGCCCTCGGTCGACATTTATATGGTAGCCAAGCAAAGTTGAGGTATGTTTCGAATAATGGCACATACATTTCAGCTACCGATACTGTAAAGGTTTCCCCGGAGAAAACTGACTTCAGTGTCCCTTTTAACATTTTAACGCAGCCAAAGGAAAAAACAAAGCCAGTTCCAATTTTTTGCTTTTGGCTGCATTCTTTGCTTTCGAGGAGGTGTCACATTCACAATTTGCAGGCAACAGACAGAAGCTTTTCAAAAGTGTGTGCCGTCTAGTGGCTGCCGCGCGAATTATCCGAGCCCGCCATAGTTTGAGTGCCCATCCCGAGCCTGCATCGGACACGGGGGCTGCGACGGCGTTCGGCGAGGACTCGGATGCAATCGCGAGCTTCGTGCCAAAGAAATGGCGACCGCCAATGTTGCTCGATGAGGTCCCGAAAAGGGTCTATTACGAGCAAACAATCAAGTTCGTTCTCCGTGCCCCGGCGTTCGGTTCGTCTCCCTACTCGACAGACAGTGACACAATGGACGAACCGGCCACCCACCTCGGAACAGGCAGAGGCCGATGAGGTTGACCAGCAGACCGGCCACGCCGACGTACAGGATGAGTTTGGGCTCGTCAATCACCTCGGGCTTGTAGAAGCGCTTGAGGGACTCCACCAGGATGGAGAAGCACAGGGCCACCAGGAACACCGCATTCACCAGGGCGCCCAGCACCTCCGCACGTGCCCACCCGAAAGTGTTCTTGGACCACTTCTTGGGCGACATCTGCGCGCCGTGCGACGTGCCGTGGATTAAACTCCGGAGCAGGGTTTCTTAAACTTTTCAATCCCTTCGAACGCATATCTATCTCGAAAGGCAGCCGAGAAACTCCTGTTTCGGCAGTGATGAAATGAAGCACTCCAGAAGTCTACACACCTCATAAACAATGGGGAACGTTTGTCATGTAGTTATGCGTCAATGGATGGCCACGATCTTCTAAAATAGTGCTTAAACTTGGAAAACGCTTTATTTAGGCACAGAGACGCCCAAAGAAATGTGGGAGCTTGGGAAAGCCCCAAGGGTTCCTGGGTAGAACCCTGGGTTCCTAGGAGCCTTGTTTGAGAACTTGTGTTTTAGAGAAAACACTGCACACTTGCTCAAAATGGGATACCCTCAAAGCTGAGGGAGATATATACTTAACAGAACACTTAACTCCCCCAAAACTACTCTTTTTAGAGCGTCTGGATTGAATATGCATATCACAAAATGTATGATCCCGAAAAACAAATATTTCAATGCAATATTTACATCATGTGACTTATTTTTTGAGCCAAGGGTGATTAGAAAACGTGCTTCTATTTTTTGCACCAGACCAAGCCCTATGCCTTTTTGAAACCACGTGTTCCACTTTTTCAATCTTACTTTGACACTGAGCACACAATCTGCCCACTTATGCAAATTTAGCCACACCAGTCCAAAGTCTTATTGACCGCGGATAAAGCCACGTAAGCACCACCAAACATGGTGCCCCGCTGTGTCTACCATCTCTACGCGTGCATGCATGCAGGAGTCCAACAGCTGGGCTGGATCCAGAGTCCAAGGTTCCATGATCACCTGATGCAAATGGGAAGGCTAGAGCCACAGCTGTGCCTCAGAGTAGTGACGCTTTTACAGGTGCTTCAAATCTCGGTTGCCAGTTATACGAAGTCGCATCTGGGTCATTCCATGCCAAAGGAGACGTGGCAATATTTTCATGTCTAGAATATACCTACGAAAAAATTAATTTGCATAAAGAAGCCTCTGAACTCCAAGAAAATGATTTTTTTTTGTGAAATAAATATATTTTGTTTTTGCTGATATCATGCTCTAAATTTCTAGAATTCGCATAAAACCAATGTAGTTACGAAAGACATTATAAAAAAAAAAACGGTTGCGTACCGCAGAAATTTGGGTGGGCACCTAATTAATGAATAAGATTCCCTATCTGACATTAAAATACAAACATTAAAAGACACCATTTTGAGTACAAATAAGAACCCCAAAAAGAAGACTTTATGAAAAAAATTTTTTTTTTACTGAACTTGGATTTTGGTGTTAGCTACAATACTTTTTTTTTTCTTTCTTCTCTTGAGACAAATAATTGAATTGCTCGTACTAAATTTTAGAGGCCTCGTTATGTTGCATTTTAATTAAATGTCAAAATCTCCAGTTTATACAGAAACGGCTATGTTCAGAGCCATAAAAAGCAGTGTGGGCAGCGGTGCCTGGGACTTTCGAAATAACCAAAGCCTCAACCCACCATATCTGTTCAACATATCAAAAAACTAGAAAAGTGCTTTTTGTTGTTTCCGAAAATTACTTTTTAAAGATGAGCCTCTCCAACCATGCCTCCCCGCGGCCGCCTCGTGCAACACACGCTGGCGTTCGCCATCGTCTTCAACGCTCTCCTGAAAAGACTTTTTTTTTCAGTTGAAGTGGACGATATTCTGATTTACATGCTTCTTTATCACCTTTGTGTTGCATAATGATACTAGTGTCTCAATTTTACCCTACTTCTGCCAAGACAACTGCCGACGAACGCAGGCCTGCAGTGTCTGCCTCCCCAGTTTGGTAATGCGTACTGCGCGTTGGCCTGTTCTGTCGGATGTCCAGGTATAAAAACTATTCAGACCGGTTAGCTCTTCACTGATGCAAAATGATAACGGCGATGTCGCTTCTCTATCACACTCAGATGTATTTTGATAGTTATGTAGTGCTACCAAAAGCAGCGTAATAATGAAAAAAGCATTTCACTCTTTGCTGCGGATGCCTCACACCCCTGAGGTTACGTTCATGAGCAGTATTTTAGGGAATGAACTGGAGGCCAGAAGAACATGTCTCAAATCCTGAACTCATTGGTATTTTTAGAGGAAGTGTGCTTGATAAGAGTTAGGCACGTACTTGTAACTCAGATGACAAGACGGGTGCAGTCTTTGCCATCCGAGTGTCAGGCTCAGAGGACATTAGACAAATGAGGTAACAACCGTCATGGTAAGTCAATTTATTAAACAAATTTTTGATTAAATTTTTAATTAATGGTTTCATGACTCACGTGGCAATTGCAGTATTGACGTCAACTATTATCAGAGCCTTGACCAATTAACAGAATTTGCGAGCTTTTTTTACTCTTGATTTCAATATTGCGCACAAAAAGATTGCCACAAGTCCTGCCCACAATGAAGCTTAGAAGAGTGACGTAGTCATTTCCATGACGTCCTCGCTATCTCGGCAGCGCATCCTTGGGTGATGCACCAACGAATTCTATACATCTTAATTCTATCAAAATATATTTTAGTTCAATGGGGAAGCGACATCACCGTTATCATTTTGCATCGGTGAAGAGTTATACGGTCTGAATTGTTTTTATATCTGGACATAAGACAGACCGGGCCGATGCATAGTATGCATTTCCAAATTTGGGAAGCAGACGATGAAGGCCTGCGTTCGTCGGCAATTACCTGGGCAGAAGTAGAGTAAAAGTAAAGACGGCAGTATCATTATGTAATGTAAAGAGGACACGGATGCATGAAAGTCAGGATAACGTCAATTTCAAATGATTAAAACACGTTTTCAGGAGAGCGATAAAAACATTGCGGCGGCATCTCACACTGTTTGATGGCTCACTGGCGAATGTCGGCGTGCGTCGCCTACGAGGCGGGTGCTTGAATGAATGCCAGAGAGGCTAATCTTTAAAAAATAATTTCTCTGCAACAACAAAAAGTACCTTTTTTTTAATTATTTTGATATGCTGGGCAGATGAGGCTAATTTAGCTCTTGGGTATTTTGAAAGTTCGGGACACCACTGCACACATTGCTTTTTACAGCTCTTAATATGGCCGTTTCTGCATAAAATGAAGATTTTGACATTTTGTTAATATGCAACAAAACGATGCTTAAAAAAATGTAATACAAGCACTTCAATAGGAGAGAAGTATTGCAGCTAACATCCAAATCCAAATTCACTAAAGAACTCTCATAAAGTTTCTTCTTATTGGAGATCCAATTTGGACTCAAAATGGTGTCTTTCAATGTTTGTATTTTAACGCAAGACTGGCATCTTACAAAGTAATTAGGCACCCACCTAAATTTGTGAGTACGCAACAGTCTTTTTACAATATTTTTCTTAGATCCATAGGTTTTATGCAAATTCCACAAATTTATACCATAATATCAGCAAACATAAAATTTATTTTTTTCACAAAATATAATTTCTTTGAAGTTCGGAGGCTTCTTGATCCAAATTAATTTTTTCGTACATATCCCGGACATGGCAAAATTGCTGCGTCTCCTCTGGCACGGAGTGACCCATCTGAAATCGTAACTACTGCCATGTGTGCCCACTCTAGCACCAAAATGGCTGCACCCACAAGAAGGTTAGGGAACTAAGGGCCAAAATTCAGAGCGTAGCTTATTTAGCGGCTCTAGGAGAAGCCAACGGAATCCAATCCAGCTAGATCCAGTTCCCGTGCGGAGCGCCAGCTCCGGTCCTGGGGTTGCTCACCTTGATGGAGAGGAAGGCTATGACCAGGGAGATGACGTCGGAGAGCATGTGGAAGGAGTCGGCCACCAGGGCCATGGAGTTGGTGACATAGCCTACGATGATCTCCACCAGGAAGAAGGCCGTGGTCATGCCAAACATGAGCAGGAGGCGGCTCTTGCGCCCCGCGTGGCAGCACCCCATCTTGCCCCGCCGCGCCGGCCGCCCTAGCGGGGCCTCGACTGCCGCGCCCGACCTGCGGGCTCCGTCCACATCCCCCTCCGAGCACGTGGCCGCCTGCAGGTGGGGCACCACAAAGAGACAGTCGTTCGTTTCTCGAGCCGACATCAAGACAATGTCCAGCCGGTATTAAGTCAATACTGAATCAATGTCAAGACAACATCAGGTAGGAAACGTCGGCTCCTGGACAATGACTAGTGCATCCCGCTGACACCAAGCCAATGTCAGGTCAATATAAAGCCAATGTCAACCCAACATGTAACCAATCTCTACCCGACATTCAGCCAATGTTGAGCCTGTATCGAGTCAATGATGAGGAAACATTAAGCTGTCATCGAGCCAAGATTAAGCCAGCATCAAACTGGAAAAGTCGGCTCCCGCATGCTGCTATCTTCAATTTCCATCAAAGGTGCGTTTTAGTGATGCATGTTACCTTGCGAAACTTCGAAGCAGAGCTCTGTTGCTGCGGAAAATGAGAGTGCACTAACATGTAATTTCAGTGATAGATGCCGACGCAGACGATTGGGTAGGGCTGAGAGTCGCATTTGATGCTTCTGTCGAGAGGTGGCGCAACGTGTCCTTGCGAGCAGATGGTGCAAGTGAAGGATGTATCTGTGGAATGTTTTTATTTCTTCCGGTGTTAAGCTCACTGCACATGATCGGTTTTAGAGTGGGAAGTTAGATTACATGAAGATTATTTTCGATCTGATTCAGGGTATCGAACCTAATCCGAGCCGAAAAACGGAGCAAAACCATTATTTTTGACTGAACCAGGACAAAACCGTAACCAAAATCAAGCATTTAATAATACTGAACCTGAAACGGAACAGAACCGTAATCTCATGTGGCAGTTACTGGTTCATTTGGAAATGGTTTGGCGTAATAAAATGAGCTGCGCATTAATTCATGCAGGTTGTGGTTGTGAATAAATAAATAAAAAAGTCCATTAAATATTTGCAACGGTACCATCGGAGGCACAGTGACAAGACAAATGGCAGCGACGTGGAGGAAGCTAAATAATAATGAAACAAACAAAAATGTTTCATGTCTATGTTCAGCACGACTTGGAGTCGGCAGTGGCGTACGCTTCTATACTTTGATTTACCTTATCATGGACTGCAAAGGATGCTACAAGCCACCCAAGCATATTCATAGCTCGGAGGATGTCACGTGCCCTTCTAATTGGGCAGTGCGACACGGGGAGAGGAAAGTCACAAGACAAGCTACGAGCCATGAATTAGCATGGGTAACTCATAGTTTCTCCCGTGGTACATGATAAGGTGGAACAGAGTACAGCTGACTATGCCAAGAGACTAAAGAGCTATTCATTGAGTGTGTGTCGTGTGTGTGTGTGCATAGTTCTATTTTCTTGCTGCTCAGCAATATCCCTCAAGCAAAAGAAAGAAAACAAAAAAATAAAAACAAAAAGTCAACGGCTGTCCACATGTTTGTTCCGCGGCGGCAAAATCTAGAGGTGCCAAGAGGCAAAGCCGTGGCGAGCAAGACCGACACTGCGGCGCCGGTAGCCGGGATGCCAATCGCCCAGAGCCCTGAAAGCTCACCAATATTTATTTTTTTAAGTTGCCCCCTTTTTTTTTAGACTTCTTTTTTTATTGTCCTTTTCCTTTTGAACTCAGTCGTTCGAGCAAGGCGTTTGGCTGTGCGGGACGGATGCGAGCACAATGTGTGCTATTGTCACGGTGTCACTGTGTGTCCTGGCCGATTGACCTCACACGTGAGTGCTAGACTTTGATACTATTTCTGAGCAGTTGTATAATTGTATGACCACTTAATATGCGCAGAACGGTGTTTGCGATAAAAGGTCAATATTTGTTTTGCTGTCCTTGTTGCCGCAGCACGGCTCCCGGTTCCATTTTCTTTTAATGCAGATGACACCATGTTGAACACACTTCTTCTTAACAACTTGGAGCTGTGCACTTTTCTTTGTAAAGACCGGTTTCAACCGGTTTGCACTTGGTGGAACCGGTAATTGAACTATTTCGAATTCATCACTAAACCGAAACAAAAGGCGAAGCTACGGAACCTGAACCGAACTGGAACAACGACCAATGGTTCGACTCCCTGATCTGATTGCCTAACCACGAACTTGGCCAAGATCTGTCATGGCTTTTCCCCATTTCGACATGTTGCACCACCCGTCGAAAGAAGCACCAAACACGAGTTTCAGTGGAACTCAATCGCCTGTGTCGGGTGTCATCGAAATTTCTAAAGATGCTCTCATTATTCACAGAAATAAAGCTATGCATTCAAATTTCACAACGTAATGTGCGCTGCTAAAATACAGCTGTTATAAAAATTTGGGCCAGCAATGACAAGGGGCCGATTTTCCGCGACTCATCTTGCAGGCAGCCTCACTATTACTACCACCCTATACTTATTTCACGCTTCTACGAAGAAAAAAAAATACTCCACTAAATATAGCTAATAATATGCCAAGTTTACTAATAAAGTATCAAAATAAACTTTAGTGCACCATCTCTCCAAAACCACCATATATTTTTTCTCACTGTCTCTCTACTTTTAGTGCATACACAGCAGAGGCCAGACTGGGTTAGCGGCCACAGCAAAAGTTCACATTATGTCTAAATCGTGCCAAAAAAGTACACTAAACAAATATTTAAAGTATACATAACATACTGGAACTATATTACAGTATATACTAGAGATCAGGGATGGGCAATATTTCAAATACAAGTATTTGAAATACGTATTTTAAATACTTTGTGTATTTTGCATTTGTATTTAATTACAAATTGGGTAATGTATTTGACGTCTGTATTTAAATACTAAAATGTGGGTATTTCCAATACAATTGTAATTAAATACAATTTTGTGGGTGAAAATACATCTTGTTTTTATGCATGTGGGTAGTAAGATATAGTCTCCAACCTTTACACGGCCATGGGGCTTTTTTCTTTTTCTCCTCCGGCTTTATTTAAAGGCACTGTCCAGAGCAGGAAGAAAACTACGTTCTGCACCAAATGCAGTGTCTCTCAATCAAGCACAAGCGTCTAGTGACTATTGTGATTACGGTGCTAGTCCAGGGCAAGAATAGTGACGAAATCGACATTCACATGCAGACTGGCTAAATAAGTGCCTGTGACAACTTGTGATGCTTTCCAGCCTGATTTCCATCCATATTTTTGCCTGAAACATTCTAAATGCCCGGGTCGTCCAGATTTTCGTAACTGGTGCGAGTTGCAACAATAAAAAATTCTCTAGCTAGTGCTGCGCGTCTTGGTCGTCTCGGTTCTTTGTTGGTCTATACCAAAATGTAATCGACAAAAAAAGATGCTTGAAGCTCTGTACTTTTTTCACCTATTGCGTCCAAGCTGATTACATTTTATGTGATTATATTTCTATTACGCTACCAGAGCCTCGCACACTAACTCCCGAGTGTGCGATGCAAAATTAAAATGAGATACCCAGAAACCCGTTCCAGGTGCCCTAAAATCGCCGACGCGAATTTTGAGGAATGTATTTGGAAAAGTATTTGGAGGAGACCAAATACATGTGGTTGTATTTGTATCTTGTACTTAAATGCTTTTTTGGAAATGTAATTGGATTTGTAATTAAATACATTTTTGACGAAGTATTTTGTATTTGTATTTCGATACATATATGCATGTGTTTTGCCCATCCCTGCTAGAGATATACTTCAAATATACTTACTAGTTTCACACACAAAAAAATTAGCATACTTTTATACTGTTATTTTTTGCCAGAGAATAGGGCTCATCAACAGCGTTTCCTCTGGACATTTCGCATCTCCTTGATGCTGTATCTTTATCATAGGAGTCCCGTGATGGCACTTTGGAACACGAGGGCTTGCGCACCAAGGTTAGAATCTTGCATGAATGTTTTCCAACTATAACAGCTGCTGACATTAGTGCACATCTGTACTGTCAAGCTACCTGCCAGAGGAAAGTCCTATAAGAGAGAATCCCTAGGCACATGACATAGGTAAAGGTAACAAATCTAAGTTGGCCATTTCAGTATAGTACTGAAAAATTGCAGGCACAAAAATAGAAGAATGTGCGGATGATTTCTATTGTTCAATAAAAGCGGTTTATATTTCTTGCCCATACTCCTTGCGTTGCAAATAAAAATGGTGGAACTCATGCTAATAATATAGCTCTTATTAAAAGCTGAAGGCCATAAGAACAGAAAGTAAAGGTTTTGAGTTTGTCAACAATCATTTTCCTAGATTCTCATTACTGTTGTCACTGCCTGCTCCACGGCTATGCTACATGGGCCTATATCAAGAGTCCAAGGGTGAGTGAAGAATCAATTATTTGTTTCACCTTAAGAGCTCTAGGTTGTAGGAACAAAAAGTGAAATCGAAGCATCCTCTGTTAACCACTTCCAACTCCCTACTTCACGACAGGTGACGATCTGGTTTACTTTTGTATGTTCAGCTTTTGTCCCTTAAATATAATCACGCAGAAATGAAACAGAAAAGTGCACAAATAACTACTAGTACACAGAATGCTGCAGTGGCATCTTCGAGGATTTGGCTCGTCTCCAAGATCTCTCCTGTAGTAGTAAAAATGCAGGATCGATGACGGGAACATAATCTCAGTACGGCTACTCTAAACATGTCACGAAACATAGCGTGCAAAAATAAGCACCATTTTTGCCATTCGGGGCAGCTTCATTCACCCGTACTGCCTCAAATATTCTAATCGCCAACACCTACACAAACAATGATAGGCAAAGACGTTTATCATCCGGCCACTTGGCATATATCGGGGATGGTGCCTCTGCGAATCGCTTTGTGTGATAGGTCTGCATGTGGAGTCGGTATTACACAAGACTGTGGTATAAGTTCATGCTGCCAACTACTCTGCATGCAGCATGCTTTGACATACAATTGTGACGGAAAGGAAGTATATCAATGACTCGCCGACACTGTGCACGCCCATGCGACAACCGCAGTGGCAGCTGCAGAGAGCCGGCTCTCTATATATGTGGTGTGGGATGATAAGATACTAAGGGGGCCCTTCACTCGAGACGTTTAGTGGGCAACACAGCCACGAGCTGTCACTGCACTGCAAGCTCACCTTTCTTTCCAACCCGACGAAATGAGACAGCCTGATTTTAACAAGTTTCCACCGAGCAGTGCTTCGTATTTCACTTTGTCTGGGTGTATCGTGCGTGCGATTCCTACATATGCGGTCAGTGAATCGATCATGCAGTACGTCAATCGCGTGCACGAAAATCAGCTGTTCTGCACAACGTGCGGGTCCCCGGCAGAACCGAGTCACATCAGAGCACGCACCAATTCTCCCCTGGAAACCAGCCTGTAGAAGAAATCGGGGGGTCTCTGTGGGGGGATCGGCAGCACGGGACCCCACCACTTAACCGAGCATAGCACCAACTGCACGTTGTGTCCTACCTGCGATGCAGTAGCGAGCGCAAGTCACACAAGCGCCAACTGACTCATCACAGGAAGGGGAAGAAAAAAAAAAAAAAAAAGGAGCATATTTTTACCGCCGCTGTACTTACAGTTAGTTCGGGGGTCAGCTGAGCAATGTGTGGATCCCGACGATCTCTTTTTCGTAGGGAGGGGGTAGCGGGGAGCCAGCCGCTCCGTGCAGTTCGCTCACTTTCCCTCCGAGATCGCTATCGAAGACCGTTATCTGTTGGCACGGGGTATCGCCGGAGAGCTTGACACGAGCGAGGAGTAAGCGTAAAAGGGCATGCCCGGACCCTTCCGAGGCTTCCAAGGGAACAAGGACGACTCACAAACTTTTTTTTTCTCCTAAGGCTGAATTTAAAGAGACGCTAGCTCACCCTTTGCACACATCACCAAAGTCCGCTTTGCACACCACACCATTCGCATGCCGCCGTCGTCTTCTCAAAATTCAGCAGCGGCATTTCCTTTCCTTCATCTCGTTTTTCAGGGCTTTTTTTCTTTTTCTTCTCTCGTTCTCTTCGGGGTCGCGAAAAGTTTTTTCGTCGCCGCGACAGCGACGATTTCCAAATTCGTTCCGTCGGCGGGGGTGTCCTCAAATGCTCAATGTGAAGCGCAGCGTGAAGCGATCAAGTGGTCTGTTTTGCGCAGGTTTCATTAGCGGTCAAGGCGGATGTTGTGCAAGCTCCTTCTCGCTTCTCCTCCGGCCCCCGAATTGTTTTCCGCTTCTCTCTTTTTATCCGCTTGAGTAAGAGCGCTGCTCACGAGTTCGATTTCGCCACGCCCGAGTTTATCGAAGAGCATCCGAACTATGATGACCCTCGCTTGAACTCATACCGCCTGCGCGGATTAGGCACATGCCTACATTGCCAACATTGCAATCAGAGCGAGATAAACGAGATAAATGGAGATAAACCGCTTAAACTGCCCCTACCGGCAGATCACGGCGAACGACCGACCGTCACTTTCGCACCTGCGTTCATTTGGTTTCGAAATCTAGTGACTGCACAGATCTCGCCAACAAAGCGCAGCTTTTAAGTGATAAAATACGTTAATATTTATGCTACATTTTGCGTTCAAGATTAACTTGAGTGTAATTAAGTTCGGAGTTTTGTGATACCGAAACCAAAGACCTGAAACGAAACTGTCAACCACGATGGAGTACATTGCGTGACATATGCAACATATGCAAACCACATAAATATTATCTGTCGTAAAAATGCTACCGCATGGGTCGGAAAGATCGATGTTGGTTTGAAGGGACTGCATAAGTCGGTTTCTTAACTTATCGCGCTGGGATTTACTACAGAGGTGCTTGAAGCTGGTGCATTCATTAATTGAGGATATCAATACATGAGACCTCGAGTCAAAATAAAAATAAAAACTAGTTTTGTCTATGGGAAAAGTCTCGCTAAGCCATTACATTATAATCACTACCTATTCTTCACTTAATTTCACAGAAATATCCGCACACAGTAACACAAAGTATTTATTTAAGTGTACATGCAAAGTATAGGATAACATAGTTTTCGATTTTTCGTGATTACTTAGGTGAGCCAATCCTTCCACAATTTTAGAGACAGGCACCTCTCATACATATACGGCTCTGCTCTCATAGATGAAGTCCACTCAAACTGCCATCGGTCTCTTTGAACTACGCAGCATTTATCACAAAAGCAGGGCTGCTGAAGTGACTAGTTATAGTGTTTCATTCAAATTCAAATTCAATGAAATAACAGTGGCAGAGGAAAATGGGCCCAGCATAGTAACCGATCATAAAAAGTACTGAATTTTTTTGTATTTTTTTTTTTTACTAAAAACGTTGATAACATATGCCCACCATCAAAATGTGTTGGGGGGCAAATTATTTTACTAGACTATGTTGTGCATGAAATCCAGGGCACAATTAAATTAGTGACCTTGTCATAGAATGACAGCCGCGATACTTCTACCTATGTACATCATACAAAATGTCACCAAAGAATGCAAATGGTATACAGGCAGCCAAGCCAGGCGTAGCAACAGGAGCGGAAGTTTGCCAAACTTCACGGCATTTTTTTACGACCCGGGGTGCCGCATGCACAACGTCCTAGCTTTTCTTTATGGCAACATAACGCGGTTATCTACAAGCTTGCTAGAGACTACAGCAAAATCATAGAGGACGGCTCAAGCAAGGCCCACATGGAGGAAGCTTTCTTACAACAGCCTACAAAAAATTGTTTCAGTACCCACAAGATGGGAGCAGCCATCGAGTGAGGGTACTCGTAGTTGGCGACAGGCCAAGAATTCAGTAGAGGCTCTGCCTCCAATATGCGCTCGTGTTGTCTTCCGTCAAAGGCAGAAAGCTTATGCTCAAGGCGGAACATGCACTGGGTCCTATAGCAAGACAAGCAGATCCCCTCGACATCAAAACAAAAACACACATGAAACTTCAGAGGTGTCCTTGTAAAACAAAAAGGTTCTTTATCTGTCGTCTCCACGCATCAGCAAACACAATTTGTACGAAAAAGTAATGCAGACGTGTCCTCGAAAACTGCACGCACGTCGAAGAAGGAAGAGGCAACAATGCACGAAGTAGAAGCTTGTGTCCGTCTCGGTTTCGAGTGCACGGGCCCGGGTCGGAGCTCGTCTGCTTTGTGTGCCTGGGTTTCTGCCGCAGGCGTGCGAGAGAGAACGGAAGCCTATGCGACTCAGGAAGCGTTGTTATGGGATTTCTCGCTCTCGCTCGACAGCATGCCGATCCAAGACACCCTGGCGATGCCCGCTTGCCCGCCGCTGAGCAGCCAGTTGGAGCTACACCAATTGGGGCTCCAGGACACCTGCAGGTACGGTGGAGAGACACGGCGACGCCATGTTAGGATCTACATATTAAAAAAGTGGAATTAGATAATGTACATAGCATGAACAAGCGAAAGCCAGATTTGTTTATTTTTTTTCTCTTAGCATCTAACGGCTGTCATCAAAACTACTAGTGTGGTGGAAAGTGCTCGTTTGGGGCACAAACTCAACAGGTAAACTTTAGTGCTAAAATGTAGTAGTAGTACTCATTAAAAAAAAAAGAAAACACAAACACGTTTTGTTTGCGGCAACAGTGTCGTGAGAGTCGAAGTAGAAAATTAGATACGTAGGCAAAAAATATACATTTTCTTACTATAAAATAACTGCCATACCAGCCCTCGGTGCCATTTTATATCTGGTTCGACAAAAAAAACCTTGTCTATAAAACAAATGAATGAATTTTGACAATCTACTTCCCACCTAGGTGATCAGTTATATCCGGGGGCCCTGTCTTGCCCTAAGTATGGTGCTTGGGACGCTTCTCTTACTGGTGTGTTTACCGCGTCCAAAAAGGTGGTCTCACCATTTCCAACCAATGAAGTCATAAGGCAGTCTTAGAATAGCACTCTCTAAAGCTTTGCATAGGCAAAGAACAGCGTCGTCGCTACTGCGCATGCGCCGAACACTAACTGCATTTTGCGCCTTGCGTGCGCTATTTTTCAGAAATTGCGTGCGTACGCAAAGAGTCTTTTGCGCTCCTCCGAGGAGGATTTGTGATGAGAAGGTGGCTAAAGCCAAGACGGGCACAGTTAAAAAAAATGGCAGCTCCCAGGACTCTGGCAACGGCGTGAGCGCAACGTCGACAGCGTCCTCGTGATTGCGATTTTCATTGCAGGACGACATTACATTCCTACGGGAGCTGCTCGTCAGAAATGCTTTCAAGGACCCAGCAAGGTGATCAATGATCACCGGCAAGTTGCTGCTTGCGACGTCGTGCTGTTACCAGTCGCGATCCTGGCGGTGTCCCGGCGGCTGAGGTGTACACGTCAGACGCCTGTTCTGCTGCAGGTTGCTCTCTAATACGACAGTGCATGGAAGCTTTGGCGGCCAGGAGTCGAGAAACCGCGACGACGGCGACATTCGCGTTTGCTCGTGCTTTTTGCCAGCATTTCTAGGACCAAGCGCCAGGATCGCGACGTCCGACAGCATGACACTCCGGCTCTTGAGACGTCATTTGTTGCCACTTTTGGACCACTTCTGGCATCTGTGGAACACTACACGCGCCTGTCCGAGACGCGCTTTGGGCACCACACCGTAAGTGAGCGAGCGAAGTCGCAGCTGCAAGTGCGTTCGTGTCGCATGGATACACGCCTTCATAGACAAGAGCATGCGCGTTTGGCACGGCACGCTCGAAGCGTGGAACCTGCTCTTTTACCTGCTGCTTTGCTCGCAATTACAGATAATGCACAGCAAAGTACCCGACACGTACCCATGTCCCAATAGGCATCCACCCAATACTTTCTAAACATTTAAGGGATGAAAAAAGGACGTAACAGGCGCCCGGTAACCGAGGTGCTTCGACCCGTCGGCCGCTACACAGAGCACGCCGGTGCAATGCAATGAAGCTCGATGCATGTGCGCCGGTCCTGAGCGGCGAAGCCCGTTCTACCTCGGGCCCCTTCTGCATTTCAATGCGAAAGCATTAACTGTTCTATGTAACGAAGCCGGCGTCGTCTGTAGCAGCGAAAAATGGCACCTAGGTTCCCATTGGCTGAGCAAAATGCCATTTAAATTCCCATTGGCCAAAAGCACAGCAACGCAGATGCTTCGTCACGGAAGCCAGCGGGGCGCTCAAGGTCAAAGCGGACGCGCCTCAGAAATAAAACGGAAAGAAAAGCGCAGCAATGCAAATGCATCGTCACGGAAGCCATGGAGCCGGCGGGGGTGCTGCGCCTGCGCAGTGGGAGATCGTGATGTCACCGCCGGAGTGGAAGACGTGGTGCGCTGCTCGTAGGAATGCACTGCGTGTAAGAATGCTTTTGCATTCCCACGCACGTAAGCAGTCTTAAGGGTCTCTGTTTAATTTTTTTTGCTCTAGCACCTTATGAGTGCCCATCTCCCGGTTTTTCTAGATAATCTCCAACTTATTAACAAGCGCCCGCTCGTTGTTGTTTTTTTTTTTTCGTTTTTTTTTTTTTTACGGTAGTGGAGTTTTTGCAAAACGTTCCAGTGTTCTCAAAAAGCTATAGTCGACGCCAAAGCAAGAATGGCACGACGTGTCTTTCGAGTGTCCGGCCTCCAGAACTCTCCTTGGCTGTGCACACGCACTCGAGGGGCACGAGAAGTTGAAACATTTGTCGAAGGTAGGGAGCTTGCGCCAGAGGTGGGACAACCAAAGCTCCTCCCTGCTGTTCTCACCTTGTCGGTGACGGCAGTTCGTTTCTCTAAATCCAACCAATTATGGGCACAATAAAACAAATCACCCTTACATCACTACCCGCACTACCACGATGCTTATCCCGACCCACCAAGTTGATGGAGTTGAGGTGGTAGTGGTTCGGCAGGCTGATGTTGGTTCCCTCGTAGTGGCTGAGCCGCCGCACCTCGTCCGTTGGAATGTTGCCCCACTTTTCCTGAAAGCGGTCGAAGGCAGAATGGATTCACGAGTTTACCCACGCATCTCCTGCTTTTGCATGCCGGCTTAAAGGTGGTACCCGTCGTAGGTGTTACAGGAAGGTGGAGGGTGCAATTGCTCTCGTTCGTCGGCTGTGGGCTTTAGCATTAGGCTGGGTACTAATTAGTGTAGACCGCACATAACGTATGTCGCGGGAGTCGCGAAAATCCATACTATAAGCGGTACCGCGCTATAACCAAAACATCAATTTTTCAGGCCAAAATACATGCCATGAGACAACTTACCTTTGTAAAAAAATTTATTTTATGTTAGATGAAAAATAGAGCTTAGTTTGAGGAAAGTCATTATTTCATCAGACTAGTACACTTCTCTCTCAAGTGTGTCACACATTTTGAAAGAAATGAGCGACTTTTGCCTGGCGCAGCCTTTTAACGGCGTCGCGGGTTGCGGACGGACGTTGCGAACATTCAGGATTGCTAACCCCAATCACTTTTCTCCGGTGCTAAAAACGCGTGAAAATTCGCATCCGTCAGAGCCGTACATTGGGAGAGTTTGGCCAGTGGGTGTGGTGACGAAGGCGCCGGAGAGGAGGAAAGTAAATGAAAGGGAGGAGAGCGCCGAAGGAGCGAGAGAGAAAGAAGGAAGCAGAGAGGAGACGACCGCCATTTTTTAGCAACGCTGCCGGAGAAGAACACTGCTGAGGCTACGTGTCGTCTGCTACGGGCAGACTTCTTTTTCGCCTGAATAAAAGTTTGGCCATACGCCGAAAAATCTTCATCTATTAGCTTTTCAACCCACCGAGGAATAACAGAATGTCATTTTCTTGCCAGAGCCAGCGATATAAAAGGCAATAATCGAGATTTAGATGCCGATCCCACGCATTCCGCCGGGAGAATGATCGACGCGCATGCGCTCATGCCTCTTGCTCTACGCCGCATGCTGATTGGCTCACTCAGGAGGAGAGCGTTACGGCGGCGAGATCATGGACTGACCAAACTCTCCCCATATACGGCTCTGGCATCCGTTATACGGTACGCGCCAGTAATACCTTCAACTTGAGCACAGGCATGAAATGCTCCAAATAAGAAATCCGGGCGATGTTCGAAAACACAAATGCTTAGAAATCACCACTGTAGTCGAACTAAACAAACACGACGACACGGGCGTTTCTGTCGTCTTGAGAGTGCCGCCACAACATCGCCGCACGAATAGGTGGATCTTCCCTTCTAGTACGTGCTAGGTTAGCATAGCGACACACGTCAAGTCAAGGATAGCGCTTTTAAGCAGAACGATGAGCTTCCACCACGCCGTCTACGACGACGCTCACAACCGACGCCATGTTTGCGGATAGAAGCAGCCGGCTGGCAACTGGCATGCAACGCGCATGAACACTTCTCCCCGACCTGCGATTGGTCTGTCGTTGCGGTTGTTTCTAACGTAGCGGAGGGACGCACGCACGTGAACGACACGTGCGTGCGTCCCTCCGTCGCTATGGCAACTGAAGCCGCTCTCTTCGCTTCTCTCCGCTTCTTCGAGCAACCTCCTTGCCCCGCGAGTGCCGCTTGCGGCTAGCGCCGTTATCTAGTGTCGCACAGGGAAGTGTGCTGCTCACTGTGCCGTTCGGTCGGCGCGGTCGGCAGGCTGTTCCAGAAACCCCACTATAACCGGTATTTCCCTACGCGTGCCTGCATTTTAAGTGGTATGTAATTACATGGAGTTCTATGGGAGGCGAACCGGTGGTTTAAAAAAGCCGCGTTATACCCGGTCCTGCACTATAAGCGGTTACGTTGTAAATGGTCTATACTGTAAATTGTTGCAAAGCTTTTATCGAGAGAAGTGAATATAGCTGCTAAAGCATACTTGTAAGATATCAGTTGACTCGTCGTACCGAAATAAAATCTTCCCACAGTAAAGAAAGCATGAATGGAAGAAATTTTCGTTACAGCAATACCTTAAATCCCACCAATGGTAGCAAGAGCATTCTTCAAACTTTGTCTTACTACGTCCATAACTTCGTCCTGGCGGTTGCTACTACACTTCGTTCTTAAACTGAAAGGGCTTAAGCTGGAATGACGCTTTACTTAAAGGGGCCCTGCAATCATATTTAAGCGTCTACCTTTTTTGCGGTTTCCACCACTCTTGAAGTTCGGGCAAGCTAGCGGGCACGGAGAGAGTAACTAAATATCAGTGCGTCATATTTTAACCGGACGACGCGGAAACCTCCTCCACCGACGAGGGCGACCCGCGGTACCGAAAGCGCGCAAAATGTGACGTTTTTGGTCCTGTGCTTACTACTGGTCAGAGCCGCTAAAAGCTTCTTTTTAGTCGAAATACAAAATATAAGCGGCGCGAACCGTTTCAATTACTTATAAAAGTAGTTTTTGTTCACTATTTTAGATGAGAAAAGAAACAAACGCAGTTTATAAAGTACAGAAACAAGAAATGACCCGTCGACATACCCGCCACCAAGCGGTGGAAAAGGCGGCGCATACTAGAAAGAAGTAGTGGGATCAGGCGCCGATGCGGAAAAATCCCAGATGTACACGGCAGCGCTGCGGTCGTATGGGCAGGAGGATCCGACCGGCTCCGAGCCTTCCGAAGGCCTTCGGCGAGATGCTTGTCTTGCGGTTTGGCCGTTTCGCGATATGGCAGCGCGAAGTGGCTCCCACTCTGAACTGATCTTTACCCCGTGTTTGCTGTCGTTTGCGGCCAATGAAGTGTCATGCCGAATTAGTGTTTAATCACGCAGCAAATGCAATGAGAGCCGCTCTGGCTGCCCGCTGCATACAGCCTGTCCTGAACATGCTTTAGTGGTGCCCTCTCGCGCCGTTGACACGGAGTGCGGTAGCCGTGAGCGCTCGCGATGAGCTCACTACCCCTCCCCTAGTTCACGGCTGCTCAAGCAACCAAGGACGTCATGAGGGAGGTTATTTTTTGCTTGTTTTTGTAATTTTGATTTGCCTATAATTTCTAAAATAAAGCAAATTTCAAGAAAATAAAAGTTACACTAAGTTACTACGTTCAGTGCGCTCAGGTTTGGTACAATTTTAAAATGAGTAAAAACGTGCTTGCAGGGCCCCTTTAAGGGCTGGTACGGACGAGGATGGTTGGGGACCAATCAGGGAAACCCCGGTGTTCCTAAAAACTTAATTTGGGAACCTGCGATATAGAGCAGTGGTTCTCAACCATTGACCTTTTGCGGACCCCTTGTGGATCGGCGGAGATGATTGAAGACCCCGTTCGTAATGAAGGAGAGAGAAAGGTATAGGTGAATTGTGATAATGATTTAATCAATGGATATAACTAAGGGCTAATGTGAAGTAGACTTTGCTTATTGACATTCACATGAGAAAACACAACCGAAAATTAGAAAGTTTTTTCTCAATCTGAAAAAAAGACAAGCTCTATTGCCGTGCTAGACTGATGAGGCAGGGCTTTGCAGACCCCTAGAATGTCTTTGCGGTAGGCATGTGCGAATATTCGATTTTTCCGAATATTCAAACGAATAGTACATTATTCGGTATTCGCTTCGATCCGAATTCCGATATTCGAAAAAGTTCGAAGTATTCGGCACTAACGAATAGCGGAAGGAAGGCCGATTGTATCTGGTAGTTTCGGTTTCGGTTGTTACTCACGAAAGCCGCATCGGCATCAAGAAATAAAAAAATATCCAATCCAATCCAAGACATGCTAAACCGATCAGAAAATCGTGCGTCGCAGCCGTCGCAGCTCGGCAGCTCCACAAAGAATTCCGAAGTGTGCTCGTTCTAGGTGCTGCGTGTTCGTTCGTATGGCTGACGGGTCATCGACGGCAGCCGGGAACGATGAAAGTGAAGCCGATGTGTATCGAAATCCGATATGGAACTACTTCTTGAAAGTGCCACCGGGAAATGAAGCTTGGTGCCTCAAATGGAAGACAGTGCTGAAAACTCCAACGGGTACGACAACGACCCTCGCAACGCACCTGAGAAGGCACCCTGATTCGTACACGACTTTCGAATGGGAGCGTCAAGCACGTGGGAGTGCCGTCAAACACAGGAACGGGAGTAAACAGAATCATCAGCAATCGCCGGTAGCCGACAGTTTCAAGCCCAAACTGAAACCGACTGCACCCAAAGCGAAACAAATGACGGCGATAATAGCGAACTTTATTGCTAGCGGAATGCATCCGTACAGCATCGTAGAAGAAAGTGGTTTCGTTGAAATGATGAAGCTTGCCATGCCCGACTACACCGTGCCATCGCGGACGACCTTCTCGCGGGTTGTCATCCCGGATCTATACGAGTCCAAAAAGAAAGAACTAAGAAAGAGTCTGCGAGACATTTTCAGTATCGGAGCAGAATGTTACTCCATCACGACGGATGACTGGACATCGCGCGCAAACAATAGCTACGTCTCCGTGACTTGCCACGTGATGGACAAAGAATTTGGACAGCACGTGCACGCTTTGGCTTGTATGGACGTGACGGACTCCCACACGGCCGAAAACCTGGAACAGTTCATCAAAAGTGCTATCGAGGACTTGGAACTACCAGCACCAGGCACCATGCCGATTTATGTAGTCACGGACAACGCTAGGAATTTCACCTCAGCGTTTGCACGGTCACCGTGGTCTGGTGTGCAGTGCTTCGGACAAACACTCGGACACGCCTCAAGCCTCATACAAAGCACCAAGATACGATTTCCAGATGGGAAGATGTGTCGCCTTCTAGCCTTGTCAATGTTGGTGGACCCCAGGTACAAGGACGGGTGCTACACTGAAGGGGCAGAAAAAAAATGGGCACGCACACTCCTGACGAAGGCCGTCGAGCGGAGCGCATCAGTGGACGAGCCTAGTGATGCAGCCGTTGAAACCAGCGGAGGCATAGGAGACTCGTTGGGAGACACTCTGTGGGATGTCTTCACCAGTCTTAGTTCTGACACGCACCAAAAGCCAGACCACGAATTCGCTACCGAGTCTGTTGAGTACCTGAAGACACCTCTCCTTGCGCTCACAGAAGACCCCTTGGCATGGTGGAGGTGCAGGGGAAGACATCTGTACCCATCCCTGGTCCGTGTTGCCCGTAGGTATCTCTCGATACCAGCAACCCAGACTAGGAGTGAAAGGCTTTTCTCAAGCGCAGGAAGCATTGTGAGCTGCAGGAGGGAGCTTCTCCTCCCTGATCATGTGCAGCAGCTCGTGTTCCTTCATGAAAATCACTGCCTTTTCTTGTACTAAGTTTTGATTTGTGCATGAGCTTAAGTTTTGATTTGTGGCTGCGTTGCAGTGAAAATAAGTGGTCGGTGAAGTGACCACTGCATAACTTTTGCTAATAATGTTTCCTAGAACTATTCGAATTATTCGCTTCGAAAATATTCGAAGCAAATTACTATTCGCTTCGAATTCGCTTTGAACTAAAAAAACACTATTCGCACATGCCTACTTTGCGGACTGCAAAGGGTCAGTCAACACCCATTTGGGAACCACTGACATAGAGGTTCCACTACATTAATTTCGAAGCCAACTTTTTCCTCACTGGTCAGCCATCAAAATAAGCACGAAACTCATTTTCCTAAAATATAGTAACTTTTCTTGTTTTTTTTCTTCTGTTTGAAGAAAGCAAAGTTTCTACTCAACAAAAAAATAAAAGGAACTACAGATTTGGCCAGTACCAGAGGGGCGTCGTTGAAGGCGAGTCCGTAGTCGGTCAGGGCCTCTTGTAAACTCGTCGGGCCAATCGTTAGTGCTCTGGTCCTTGCTTTCCCCCGCTTCTTGGGTGTGGGCGCCTCGGGTTCCCCCTGCAGAGGCACCACGCTCAGACGGTAGACGGGCTGCAAAGCAAAGCACAGACGCATCCGTCAATTGGACGTCCTGCCAAGCGCGGCGCGTAGCAAGCACCAAAAACGTAGTGTGGACGACTGCACTGGCGTAAATAAACCATTTTCCACCGTAAGCTTCCGTGCGCGAGCCCACCCTCTCCCCTGGCCTTTGCCTCCTGCCGTCGCCATTTTCAGGGGGCACCGTCCGCACAACCGATTCGTATTCAGCACCTATATGTTTGCGAGTGTTTCTTCTTTCTCGAGGATTCTTTTCTGAGGTTCGGTAGTATGGGGCATAAAAAGCAACGAACACCGTTACGACAGAACGACGCCAATGTGTACCGACGAGCGGAGGCACGTTGGGCCGTCCTTTGTTTCTAAGTTGCAAAAAACTCCCCAGACGGCGCTCGTTACTCGAAAAAGGTCCATTTCAGGTTCCAGAGCCCACGGCTGAACTGGGCCGAAGAGTCTCCGTGCGTAGCGACCGCCTAGCCACGTTTGCTCGTTAATTTGACGCGCCAAAACCCAGGATTAGTTGCTCGAGAGAAGGCACTCTGAAACGCCTTGAAATATGGCGCACGTAACTTAGTCTGTCGCTATAGTTGGCGACAGGTTAAGAATTTGGTAGATGCTCTGCCTTTGGCGCAAGCTTTCTGCCTTGGCTAGCACTTTCGCAGGTGCGGAGCCAAAGCCCGGCGAAAGGCAACGAGCTCGTGCTGTGGCGGAGCAACTACTGGGCTACTAACCTGTCACCGGCTATCGACCAACACACTGTTTACAAACAAACCCGCGTTTGCCCACCGGGTGAGGGCACTGCGCGCGCGCAGAAACCAGATTCGCCCGAGGCGAAGCATCTGCGCATGCGCAGTGCCGACAGCAGCACCACCGCATCCGCGTGACGTCGGAGAGTTGAGTTGGTCTATAGCAGCCCCAGCTTGCGTACAGAGAAGTGTGCACAGAGAGAGCAACGTTGATTGCAACTGGAATTAGTAAGCAAACACATTACAGCTATACCACACAGACTAAATGGGGTGAGCCAACTTTTAATAAACTGCATATATGAGTCCAGTAAGCTAACACAACGCAATTTACCACGAAGGTCCGGCAAGAAAATCAATTCCTGAAATATATATATATATAAAATTAAGAATTAGAATCCCCTCGCCATCAAGAGGTACGGAGCTGAACCTTTCATGTAAAAACGCAGTGTGCCATTGAGACATCTGATTCTATGCAAACAGAAAAGGGAGGTGAAGAAATTATTTCAGACTGCGTTCCCATTCCTGACTTTGTCCCATCAGCTGCCACAATGGCATGCAACGGCATTTCTTCGCTCTAGCACAGAACAGACTCGTTCAGAGGCCCTGGGCAGAACTTACCATGCGGCCCCGTACGTGGTTCTTCAACTGATGCAGGTTCTGGGCCAGAAATGGCATCGTTATGGCACCCAGCTCTCCGGCCGCATCGCCTGAAGCCGCCGCATTCGTCCACGGCGAAACGCTGATGCTCTGCACGGCGCCGGCAACAAACAAAAATGCCCGAGTCCCGACAGGCCGACAACCACAACCAGTTTTTGTTCCTTGACTCTAAACGACGCTGCACCCTAGTTTGCCCCCCTCCCCCAACAGGCAAAGCAAGCAGACCCGAAGACGGGCTCACCCAAACTGTACACATGTGGGCGGCGAGACTTCGGTTCGCGAAGCCGTGGTAGCCGTTCTCCTTGAACACACACAGGGCAGGGTTGGTCCTGCAACGACCAATGGGAAAGCGCCTCCATCTAACGACTGCTAGGCCCGTTATTACGGTGAAGAAAGTGGCGCCGAAGGGTGACCGATTTTGTTGGGCCATTTATCGAGTGGAGCAGGAAAGTTTGTTTCACGGCGATTGCTGTTATGCGAACTTCCTACATTTGCTGCCCGACTGTGCTAGGAAGGCAACTTTGTGATGACATCAAATTGCGTGACCACATCCAACTGGAGTAGTTCGCGCATCAATCGACACATGGAGGCGCGCACATGAGTCCGGTGGGGAGCATGGTAGCCACCTCGATCGAGTCTTGAACAGGGACGCTGACACGTCTGTGCAGTGTGCTCCCTTTCCTACAAACTTCGGTAATTACAATGCTCTGTTGTGTTTGATCGAGAAAATAAACAGTAAGTGGGCGTTACTACGAGCAACAATGGCTCTCGCCGTCGCTTCTATGCACAATGCGGCGAAAAGCTGCGGATTTTTCTCATCCCCCAAGTTGTAAGTCGCAATTTGGTGGGTCAAGAATTAAAGCCGAGACGTTTCCTGTGGCTGGTTGCCACCACTGAGCAGATTTCTTGTAAGACTAACAAACCGCTTTTTTGTGGTGACAAGTCCAGTCAATCGAGCTTTCATTCAACTACCAATAATTCCACGGCAGCCCACAAAATTGTCTTTTGATTTTAGTAAAAAATGACTGTCTTGAAGAAAAAAAAAACTGAGCCGATTTACAACCTTTCGTTTTGGAAATCAGGCGCTTACACGACAGACTCTTCGCCGCAGACAAAGATCCCGTTCCAGTGTGGGGAAACGTCCAAAGAGCGCATGGGCCCTTTCCGGTAGATTGCAGTGGGCACCACACCTGCAAAGGAATCACCAGTCGCTTTATTACAGCCCCGCCTTGCATCTGAAACTCACATACTGGCAATTACGGAGGCTTAAACCTTAAAGGCTGTTGTACAGTTCGCGCTTTCCACTTTTTCGTGTTTCCTCCTCTCCTGCCCTCCTTTCCTCCCTTCACCGCCCTCCACCACCCGTTTACCGCCCTCCCCCGAGGGGCCAACACGGAGAATGGATTAGGAGACGCCTCCGTTCATCCGGCTTAACCTGCCGAAGAGGGGGCCTGCTGCTTGACTAAAAATTATTTTAAAAAAAATTAAAAAAAAATGCCGCGGGCAGCGACCGAATGTGCAACGCTCCGTCCGCCTTGAACAAGCTGGTATGCATTGGACTAACATTTTTCAAAGCGCGGCAGGTTTAGTGTAGGTCCTATCATATGGTCCCGCAAGACCTCCCTGTCCGCCACAAGCTAGCCAATAATTCAAGGACACAACGGCGGCAGCGTATTCAAACAGTGTAAAATAAAATGTATATAATATTTATAAGAACACCGTTGTCTTCACTGCTTGGCTTTCAAATGTTTAGTGCCGCAAATAATCGTAATCAAAATATTTTTATGATTGAAGACCCGTCGTCGTGCATCGAACCCAAGATGACGCTTACGTGAAACATGATTCGGCGCATGAGCAACTCGAGTCACCGTAAACAGTTTTTTTTCAATGTGGATTGTTTTTTAATCTAGCTGAGGTACCACTGGCAGAAAATGAATCGCATACTTGGAAGGTATATATCTGAAAACTCATATAGCTGGCTGAGTGAATGCAATACTATCGCATTCGTTGAAGCTCGATTTGTTGATTCGAACTTCAGAAATCACACGCACCCATTCTCCCTATTCCTGTTTACCCAGACATAGTTGTTCCCTCACGATGTAATACGAGTACAAGTAACGGCAGTTTATGCAATGTTGACGTTGCACAGCCGTGATCGCACGGTTTTTAGAAGCGCTATAGAACGAGCACAAGCGTCGAATTTCAGTACACTGATTGATTTCTGTCTCCCCGCCGGGACGCCACACGAGAAAAGCGATTTCGTTCTGTCTATGAAATTAGGAACCCAGAAATCAAGATATAATCCCGGTAATAAAACAAAGCAAAATGGATCTCTGCAGCCAATACCCAACCGTTCGCGAGGTGACTAGGCAATAGCATATATTACTTCCGTGCCTTTACCCTATGCACACCGCCAGAGAGAGTCATACAAACCCCTTTGCGCTCTTATCAACACGATTGCTTTTGCAAGCTGGTAGTTTGACTCGGCTATTATTCGTCCCTTCTGGCTTTCATAGCTCTCTATGAAACCAGAAAGGTAGATACTTTTCTACATTGGGTGGGTTTGCCCGGGGCCTCCAGTTATTTACGGCCAAAATCACACTGGAGGCGCTTCAGCAATGTTCACTCTAGTCGACACACGTGCTCTCTAAAAATGCCTGTTGTCTAGCTTACCAAAATATACTTGAAGAGCCAATCTTAGAGACCGACGAATAACGAGGCCGAAATTATGCTTAGACCTCAAAAAAGTTATAACACAAATTTGGCGTCGTCATCCCCAAACCGGATGCGGGACGAAATTCTCTATGCGAATTGCAAGCCAGGATTGGTAATAGTAACATAAGATACGTACGGCAAAATTCTCTGCCATAAATGAAATGATTTGGCGAACGCCAAAGTCGCGCGAAATAGGTGCAAAGAGTTTTGCGAAAGGGAGCGTAAACCAAAAAAAAAAAAAAAAAAAGTGAAAAAAAAAAAAGACAGAAAAAAAGGAGAAATAAGAAAAAAAAATATCTGTGGTGACGTGGCCAAAGAAAATTTTCTGTTCATGTAATTTTTCTTGTCACGTGACCAAAAAAAAAAAAAAAAAAACGAAATAAAAAAAGAACACGATAAAAAAAACCATCCCCTGCCCGATTTTGAAGCTAGGCCCTCTTGATCGTGAAACTAGCGCGCTATCCGTTGCGCCAACATAACTTTTTTTTTTCTTCCTTTATTGCAAGTTGCGCCAACATAACTCTGCCTGTAATGCTTACGCATTCTCACATCACAGGAGAAAGCCTAGGTGCCTTCGTAGTTTTTCATGCATGTGTTATTTTTATTTGTGGCAAGAGTTCACGTTCCAGAATGCTTTTAGAGTTTTGGAGCCAAACCAGTTTTCTTCATCCGAGTCACCTTCTAGAACCAGTAGACCGCACTGGGTCGTCCAGCTAATCAAGCAGCTATTTTCAAATTCTCTGAGTGCCCGTCCTTGCATCCGAGGTCGCCGTTTGACAAGCTTATCTTTCTTCCACCTGGTAACCGGAACCCCCACGGCAGCTTTGTTCCGTCCCCACTCCCTCTCGAGAGGATGGCTCGCCCCGAGACTAATCCTCCATCCAACGCTGGCCCTTTCCCTCCCCGTCCCCCAGCTTCCGGAGAGAAGGTTCTTCCCCGCAGAACGTCCCGTTTGTACGGCGGCCTTTAAGCGGAGATGCGAATCAGAAAATTAGTTCTCGAAATTTTATTTGATTTGTTTGGTCAATTAATTTTAAACGTCCTACATTAACAAGTAAAAAAAAATTGTATGAAAAAGACGAAAAAAAAGAGAGAAAAAAAAAAATGTGTCCGACTAACTTGCAGTGGCTCAAAACAGCGCAAGTTTACGCGAACATCGGCCATCTTCGAAAGGTTGTTGCTTAGGAGAGCGGTACTTCCTACATCTCTCCAATCTGATTTGCAACAGACCATTCAAAAAAGCGAAATTTTCATATTTGAACTACAGAAGCAAACGCAAGTTTTAAGAAAAGCGGTGCAAAAGCAAACAGAAAACACCAGTATGGCAACAGTGAACGTTCCGCCTCAATTGGCGCTCGTTTTAAGTGTGTCGGTGCTTCGGAAGAGATTGGGTTCTTCGAAAACGTTTACAGAGCAATCGCCTATGGCTGTGCGAGACATGGGCACACTGACAATCCTCTGAGCGATGCAATTTACCCCGCTTGCCACGAGTGCGGCTGAGGAAACGCAAGGGATTTTCATCGTGCCTCTAGCTAGACTTAGAGAAAGGGGAGTGCCTCGAGTGGGTTCTTTCTTTTGACATCGAAACTCGCCGAGTCACATGGAGACGTAAGCGTAAAGCAAAGCTACGACAGCGCGAGTTCTGCCATTTGTCAACTTAAAAGCCATAAACTTTCGCGCGATTCTCAGACTGCTAACACACATGCACCAAAAGACCTTCTTTGTGCCGCTGCCGCAAAAACTGCCAGCCAAAACCGCATGAAGACCGAAGTGCTGACGTGGGAGAAGCTGCTAATGCAACGATGCTTGATGGCACACGGTGCAAGAGGGGACAGAAAAGTCACAACATACAGGGAGAGACGGTTTCAGTGACTGGATGACTCCTGAACTCCCTATCCGTGTAATGTCCCAATTTCATGCAATTCTAGCCAATTTTTGAAGAGCATATATTTCTTGAACTTTCAAATATATATTTCTAATTTTTCAACTTTTGGTTGCCTTCCCGGTTTGTGCACTGAGTTATCATTGCTTGAATTTTCCCATGTATCATCTTGAGGGTACAAAAGTGCAGGTATCTATTTGGAATTACAATATCTTAATAATGTTTCTGCTAATTTTACCTAACTTCTAAAGAACTTCTAAAAAGGAGGCTCCATGACGTCCTTATTTTTTCCCCTCTAGATTAAATAATTGTACACAGCTTTTGGCTAGTTCTTAGCACTCTACACTTCATATAAAGCAAGATGAGCTGTCGCACCAAACTCCTTGTTAAAAATTACCGTAAATTCCCGTATGAACGCCTGCCCCTAAGAGATCACCCATCCAGCTTTTTGGGCTGAATATTCAGAATACAAAAATTCCAAACATCGCCCAACCCCCGATTCCCACTGACTGGGATCGTGTCAACCACACGATCAGCGGGATTGGTACGTGCGACAGGCGTGTTCGCTGCTGGCTTCTTGTCCGCAATCTGTGGCATCCGTTCCCGTGACGTGCAAATTCATAGCTCGTTTCTGCATTCATATCGGTTACCCATGTTTATCGCACCGTTAAACGCGAATCTGCTGCATCCGCAATCTGCTGTATCTGTTCCTGTGGCAAGCAAGTTTGTAACAGGTTCATGGAAACTTTTGTCTGCGATCTGCACGTGCAATATCGGTTCCCGCGACACCCGAGTTCCTAGCAGATTCTCGCGCATTTATTGCGCTGTGAAGCAGGAATCTGCCGAGTCTGTGTTTTGCAGTATCAGTTCCCATGGCAGGGGAGTTCATAGCGAATTCCCACACACGTATCGCACTGTGGAACGCGAATTTGCTGTGTCTGCGATCTGTGCTATCAGTTCCTATTTCACACAGTTTGTAATGTGTCCACACCTATATACTCTAGAGGATGAAAAAGGCTTGACGAGCGTAAACTAAAAATAATAATATTAATAATACTTATTTGCAAGACCTAAATGTGATCCTGGGTGGCACGCAAGGCTGTGCAGGAAGGTTAGAATCCGTACGCGAGTGTGCCTGCCATCCCGCCACCCAGGTCGGCCGCAGGTGCACTTAGAAAATAAAGGCTTCATTGGCAAACTTGCGCCAAAAACAAAAGAAGGGAGGGGCGTCGAAGCAACAGCAGCGAACGTCGCGGTGTCGGCGCGACGGCTGGCTGGAGCGAGACTGCGTCGTCGTGGGGAGAATCCGAGTGAGACGGCAGGGCCACGCTTGGCTCCCCACCTACCATTTGGCATCTCGATTGTTCGTTCCAGAATGCTCAAGACTTTTACTCCATCCTTTACACTTGGGGTACGAGTGAACTCGCATCTTCTAGAAGTACGGAGAAGCGTTCCTTCTCGGTCACGCGCGCGGCAATATTGGGGTCCGGGGTTCAAAGGTCGTCCTCACCCGGGCGCTCGAGCGGCCACACCTTCGCCTCCTGGTCGAGCGACGCCGTGCTCAGGTGGGGGCACAGGGGGCCCCCGTTGAATGCCAGCCCCATGACGGCCGCCACGTGGGCCTGTAACACCCACAGTGGCTCGCCTGGGTGGTTGCCCAGCAGTGGCCCCTTAGCCACCAGGTCAAACAGGGCCACCCTCCCTGCGAGGGCGGAGAGCAACTCTGAGACTTCCACGGAGTTAGTGCAGACACGACGTTGGCAGTTTTCAATGCGTGGCATCTACAGGGACAGCCCATGGGGCCTTCACGCCCACGTTGGGATGTAGTCTCCTTGACGTCGCGGTGCCACAGGACACTGCAATGTCGTCCGGTGCTCTAAATGCGTAGCATTCACATAGGTCCCCTACGTCAAGTCACGCTGTGAGGTGACACTGCGAAGGTTTTATTTATTTGCAATACCTTCGCAATACCCCTTCAGTGGCCTCTTCGCTGTGCCTACAGAAGGAGGAGAGCGAAGGGGCCGCACAAATGCGACGGATTTAGAACGGCTTTAGAAAATGCCAAAGAAGCGGACAATTTTTTTATAATCGCATTCCACGTATCGCAGCCTCAACGTGCAAACCGGCTCGAATCGGAGGAGCGCTCCGAGCACCGTAGCTTCGCCAAACGACGCCAAACGGGACCCACCGTCTCCGTATCCTGCGGCCAGCAGACGGTGCTTGTTGTGGGGGTCCCAGGCGACCCTGGTGGCCGGGCAGTGCCCCAGCAGGCCCGGTCCCAGCCGCAGCACCGCGCTGCAGCCGCCCACCCGGTACAGGGGACGCCCGCCCTCGGGGGGACGGGGAAGGTCTTCCGGCACGGGAACGCTGCGCACGTCGGAATGTGCCCACCTCGGGAATAAGCGTCCTCTTGACTTCGGAGAGCGGCAAGATGCTTCCGCCCTCCCCCCAACTCCGCAACGCAATTGGTCGCGCACGGTATGAAGTCCGACCAGCGGCTTCGCTCCGTTGCCGACGCATTTTCCCGTGGCCTTGTCGCGGTGCGACCGACACAAATGCGAGCGAGCGAGGTGCGCGAGGGGCTTCCACGTAGAGCTGTCGTTTTTAAAAGAGTGCGCCGCTCACCTGAGGATACGGACCGCGCCGTCCCCGCACGCCAGCGCCACTAATCCCAGCCGACGCAAGCCGGGATTCTCGTTCGACGGCTTGTCCTCGGCTTCCCAGCATCCCGACGGACACCAGCGCAGGTCGGCCACGAAACCGAAGTCGTGGGCCAGGGCCAGGCCGAGCCGGGGGCTGCAGTCGGGACTGGAAACGCAAAAAAGACGTGTCTTAGAGTGGGCTTGAACAGATGCAAAAGTGAACACCTCTAGAATTTTCTGTTGCGTATATGTCCGCAATTTAAATAATTTGATTAAACTGAACATTCATAAAATGAATGGAAAAAATGAGACGTTTACAACTCCCCGTAATGCCGACAGGAAGGTAGGTATGCCCCTCCTCCTCCTCCTCTCCCTTCTCCTCCCCCCCTCACTCCCCCCTCATGAAGGTCACTTGAGGGTCGCAATCTTCACGAGTGTCTTTCGTGACGTCACTCGTAATTCTCGTGACCGTCATGACGTTAATCGTGACCCTCTAACGTCATTATCAGAAACGTTCCATAATGGAACGCACGGTTATTCCACCACCGCTCAAGCCAGAAACGGGCACCTAAGAGCTGAGCTCTAAAAATCATCACCTGCACCTAGCAAGCTGGAATATCTGCCAAAAAGGTCTTTTAGCAGCCGGTCCCTATTGTTGTATGCAGTGAACAGCTGGGCTAGCTGGTGCCTCCAAGATATAAAATAGCAACAGTGCCTATAAGAATGATTGACGAGAAATGAAAGAAACAGGCAAAGTGCTTGAAGGGCATGAAACAGGGTACCGCTACCTGGCGGCTCTCGTAACACGTTTCGATTGCCTCCTTGAGAACGCGCCGACGCTTTGCCGTCGTGCGACGCCAGACACGCCAGTCGAAGAGGCTTTCCACGTGCCTTTCGACCGGTGTCTTTTGCATACTCTACCGCCCGTGCATCGAAAGAGGCGTGGCAACAACTAAAAACACAGCACGCCACACGCCGTCGGATGTCGCAATCCTGGCAGTTGATCATGGAAGTTTCATCAAAAGGTATGAACGGAAGCGATTCTTGCCGCCAGCAACCCAGACTCCCGACTGCTGAAGCTTCGACAAACTGTCAAGCTAAAGGGCAACCTACGGCAGAACGAGCATACTTCGTACCTACCTCTACCGTTGTGCCGTCGCCAAGACCGCGAAAGATGACGACACAACTAGAGCGTGCCACCGTCGGGCGGAAATCGAGGAACCACAAACGTGCCGGCCTGAGACCGAGATTAGTTCTAGGCTAACATTCTCAGTCTATCGACCGACAAGCTTCACGTTCGAAAACGGTTTCTCTCTGTTGCCCGCCCGTGAGCAAGTACGGGCGGATAGCATTCTCAGCGCCACCGGCGGCAAGGCCTCCACGGACAATGGAGAGGAAGCGTTTTCGAATGGTGCTTTTTTCGGAGCAAACTTTACGTCTAGTATATAACCGCAATGAAATCACTTTCTACCGCGGGCAACGTGTACCCAATGTTCCACCGATTCTGTACGTCGTGCGTCCCGACCGGATAAGGGCCCCACCTGTGGCCCTGCAGGGGCCCCAGGCCCCAGACCTGGAGGAGGCCCACCTCCGACCCGATGTCCGAGAGCGGGTGCTCCACCTCCGGGTCCGGGCAGCACGCCAGGGCCACCCACTGTGGCACGGGCGTCGGGGTGCCATCCTGCGACCGGGGCGGGGTCGGGCACCAGTCCCCGGCCCAGATGGCACCGCCGGCAAAGAAGGTGGCGTGGCAGCGGCCCTCTTCCGGAGGTACCGCCTTGAACAGCCCGAGCCGGCGCCAGGCGGGGGACGTCTCTGGCGGCCGTGCCGTCCGCCACAGCGTCTGCCAGCGCAGCCGAGGGCTCTCGCGCTGCCGGGGAAGGTACACCTCCGCTTCCCTGCGTGGCACATTGGAGGAACGTGCAATGAAGTTCGCTCGACAAAATTGAGATTTTAATTGTTTTATCGGCAATTGCGGTGAAATTAATGGCACCCGGGGGCTGAAATCTGATTCGCTCGCCAGCCTTCTTGAGCAAATGAGACATTTGCAGCGTCAAACAGTCGAAAGACGAAATGTGAAAGTAGGTTTGAAAACATGCAACGAAAATTGCCATTTTACACACTGGTGTTCGAGTCTAGGACATCAAAAAAGGTTGTTTGGAAAAAGTGATTTCATTTGTTCCCTCAAAGTCACCTCACAAGTTGTTGTCACATGTGGTGCCACATTCACGATATTACGATGTCGCATGATGACAGGCGACACCACAATGCGACGTTAGGTCATTGACGTGATCACGTGGCTGGTGTCGCAAGACCACACCCTGTCTGTGGAGGCAGAAAGTTTGTGTCACAATGGGTGATGTGGTGACAGGACCACGTGACATGACATCGGTGATTTATACCAGTCCATCAGTCCACGTTCTGTGTAACTCTTGACTTTAAAGGAGCATAGAATCGAGGTGAATTTTTCTTCAATAACGCTAGCAGGTGTGCACAAAAGAACTCATTTTTGGGACCATGTTCAATATAAGTAATATAGAATAATTGTGCTGCTTGAATAATTTTACCAAAATAAAGCTAAGGAAAGTCTTAATCCGGTTTGAACAGACACTTCTCGACTGAGCCAACAGATTCCCTCCATTTCGTGTCATATAAATGAGAGAAAAAAAAAGAAGAAAATATTAATTTCTTAAAGTTGAGAGCTAAGGAGAGAGTGCAAGAAAATTTAATAAATCTTTTCCAAACATGTCACTGAAATCTTTTCATTACAATAAAAGTTCAAAGAGTCTCATTCATGCAAACTCCAGGAAACCGAAGATTCTGCTTGAATTATCACAAGTTTGAATTACCATAAATTCATCTAAATATGATGCAAGAAAAAATTATGATTTGTTATATGGATGGCTATACACACAAAGCAGATATCTGACGATTTCCTCTACACAGGTCTACAATCATAAGTCGGTATGCCACACATGAAACAGTGAAATGTGCGAGAAGTTTACTTACCCCTCAAAAATGTTGTCTATTGTGGACTGTCTAGACAGCACACATCTCATAACAAAATTAAGTTTGTTCGTCCAGCAAAGAAGTTGCCTACTGTGGACTTTATGCACCATCAGGCGCATTTCTTCCCGAGCACCGGTGGACTGTAGAGAGGCAGCACTCGCAGAAGCCAGAGTTGTATATAAAGTGAGTTTGGTATATGGGAGGAGTGGGCAGAGCCAGGGCGTGCACCAGACGCAGAACGAGGGCTTGACATGCTCTCTTGGCCAACCAGAAGCCGAAAATAATCCCCTAGTGGTGGCAGCGAGAAACAGTTTGAATAAGTCTGTATCTTCATGGTTCGAAACATGGTGCACAAGATGTTTTGATTATGATCATGTAGAAAGGTGTAAGAAACGAACGTGGCACTCAAAATCTGTTTTGCTCGGACAGCAGATCCCCAGCATTGGCGCCTGGCATACAAATGATGTCTTGTTCTGCAAGGCGCGTACGCTTCTTATATTTTCTATATCTTTATATTAGTGATGGGCCAAACTTTTTCCAAATCGAAAATTGGGCGCCGAATCTGGGGATTCGGCAAAGCCGAATTTTTTTCCGAACTTTTCCAAAGATTCGGCAAAAATACATTGTTGCTAGACCAAAAGTTTATTTATTGTATTTTCATAAGAAACAAGTTTTTAAATTATTTTTAATGCATACTAACACAGTTATTACTAAATAAGGTGCTATTCTACAATATAATCGTAGCATGTAATTTTTGTGTGTTTACTGGTAATTTTATAGTGACTTTGCAGAAATGGTGTGACCATGGGGTTGGGCGTAGCGGTAGCAGTCTGCGCAGCCACGACGCGCGAGTTTCAGTTTTGAGGCCTCATCACCGTAAGCCTGCAACTATGTATCGTTCCGTGCGCAAAAATGAATGCAACGGCTGTTGAGCCTTCACCAGAAGAGATAACAATATTATTGTAAATGTGCATTTATTTTTATTTGAGTCACTCCAGCTTTGCACGAAAGTGTGCGTCCCATATTTGCAACGTTTTAGAGCGCAGCCCTTAGGGGCCCGTTTCTGGCTTGAGCAGCGTCGGCGTAACCGCGAGGTCACGTGAACCCCCCCCCCCCCCCCCCCCAGGTCACGTCTACCCCCACGGTCACGTGACCCCCTATCCCCCCCCCCCCCCCCAGGTCACGTGACCCCCCCCTCTCAGTACCCTTCCCTACTCCTCCTCAAGAGCTGCGCTCTAATTTCGGCGTTACAGGGAATTGTAAACAGCTTTCACTTTTTAACTTCTAAAATTCCGGTTTCTGATCTTAGAACACACTGGACGTTTAGGAAGATGGGAAGAGTTAGGAATGTCAGATGTGCAACGTCAAGCATGATAGTTCTGTTTAGTTTTATGCGGATAAAGAAAATCCGTGAAATAACGCTAATTGAAAAGCAACATTATCTTGTTTTGACACAAACTACTTATGAGCCAAAAAGAGCCGATTGCTATAATGCCGAAGTGCGAAGAATGGTTTAAAATTCTTGTCAGTCAATGTTGCAACTACCTCATTGCATCACTGGAAAGATCAAATGAAAATCACGTTATCCCGAATGTACCGCATCATTTGTCACTCGCGCAGTGGATTGCATCATTTTTGCGTCCATTTCTGGTCAATCGTCTCTTGTTGAGGCAGAAAATATTAAAGAGAACCACACTCACAAAGGCTGACAAACACACGGTCACCATGTCACCTACTCCGCACCTTGCCGTAACAACTGGTAGCAATAAACTGTACTCTGTACGATAGTAACCGCAAGACAGCACGGCGTCCATTTGCAATCCATGGCCCCGTCGCGTTCTCGAGCGTGCGCAGACGTTCGCCGAGTTTTTGCCAAATCTTTGCCGAACTTTCCTTCAAAAGTTCGGCATTTGCCGAACTTTGCCGAATTTAAAGTTTGGCAGATTCGGTCCATCACTACTTTATATGTCTTCCACCATGATTTTGCATGACCGTGATTGAAACATCACGTGCACCATATTCGCAATCACCGATAATTACTCCGATGCGTTTATTTTATTTCTTGCGACCACTGCCAGGGTATTATTCACGGCTTCTGGTTGGCCACATTCGAATTTGTGAAGATGCCCTGGAACACGCCCAGCCGCTTTCGGCCAATGGCACCTCCTCATTTGCCGCCTATACTTCCCAATAAATGGCCGAACCCTCTCTATATACGGCTCTGGCAGAAGCGGGCTCCACGGGTGTTGCTTCTCCGCAGTATACCGGTGCTCACTAAGAAACGTGCTCAACGGGGCTGCGAGAACAAAAAGTACCCATCAATTACACGAGAATGCCATCAGAATTAATCAGTTTTTAAATACATTGAAAACATAGCGAGACAACCAAAGCTTTAAGATTTATTTGAATTAACCAGAACTATGAAAATATCCAAGTTTGAATTATCGCAAGCCTTCTGTATTTGTCTGAAATGCACTGAAAACCAGCAGCTGATATACACCGTTTCATTGCACTTCCCACATAAGCGACACTGCATGTGAAACCGGCAACTGGTTACAAAAATATCGGACAGGGAGCCTCACTTTTCCTCCAGCAGCACCCAGTCCTTGGGCCTCCATGATGGAAACAAGGTCTCCTGCCAGTGCTGCCTTTTTTCTTGGCTGGGGAAAGAACAGTTCAAAACACTTCACCGACCCTGTTCCAATTCATGGATAAGATGGCGCAACAGCCGTCCAAATGGCCCAGAATTTAGAGAACCCAGATCAGGTGATGCCCTTAACTAACAACAGCCACAATTTAAAAAAAAAAGGGGCATGAATGGTTTTTGTTGTGCTGTTCATGTTCCAATTTCCGGTGGTTCCAGTAAGAGGGTGAAGTAAATGATGACATGATTGACCAAAAAAAGAGCAAACACAAAAGCAAAGCCTATATGAAGAGCCAACTTGGTTAGGCTGATGATATCGAAGTAAAACGTAAAATAGTAGTGTAACAGTAGCGCATCGGTGTTCCAAAACGATGTGTTCGGCCGCACAGTTTCTCCGAAGATCGATAAGCGAGGACGAACATCAGCCTTCCGTGAAATGACGCTGCCTGTTCACTAACAACTAGAAAATACAAAACGGGCAAATCAGTAGCATGAGGCTTACATGGATTCGACCAGTCAATTCCAATCCGAGGCCCAAACAGCTGACATATATTCGAGCTCAGTTTCTAGAATGAACCTAAACAGTGCAAAAGAACAGACAAGGACAAAGATGCAGAGACAGGACTGGCTCTCACTCACAACTCATCATGATTAAACTAGCCCACTTAAATATTTTCATATAGCTCCTAGAATACTAGAATACAGCTCCCTAGTTATCACTTTTTAATAAGACTACTGTTAGTTTTTAAACTTTGGGATCTGGTTCGGACCGCCGGGGCTACATTTGGGCGGAAAACGAGCGTTCGGGGTTGCGTACCGTAATACATCCCGAGACACACTTCACCCCCAAAAGATAGCTTGTCCCTTTCTCTTGCATGATTTGCTATTCTTTCTGAAATACCGAAAGACAGCCCACTTCTAGTAATTTCAGGGCCTTGGCCAATGGTGACCTGAACATTGCTGACTCGGAAGTCAGCAATGTTCGCTGCTCTCTGCTTCATCTGCGATCACAAGTTTCAAGGGTCACAAAATCTAAAAATAGAATTTTCTTAACTTTCTTTTTATGGCACAGCGAAAGTTAGCCCATCCCTTATTTTCATCCAATTTGCTATAGAATTTAGGTGAGCTTTCTCCTAAAATATTACAATAGTAGTTTAATAAAAAAAAAAAAGATCCCGTCATTCTTTTTTAGACGCTTGTTAGAGGCTTGAAAAGCAGTTTTACTTTTTCCGAAACAAAGGCGGTCGTAAAACTAATTTTATTGGGAACCGTTACCTTCACACGTCAAAGGCAGATGAAAATTGGTTCTTTGATCACGCTATAATTCGTCTCAGTTTCAACGGTGTGAGCATAAGAGGCGACCGGCGCAGAGCGGCGACCCGTAAGGCCCTCGGTTCAATTATTATCATCAAAAGGCTTTAGAGCCGAACTTGTGCCAAGAGGTCGACCGGACCGCACTCCGGAATAAACGCTCACGCAGCCGTCGCATCCAATCCGTGTGTCGTGTCGTACTGACGTCCCCAACGTACGGGTCTCGTACCGTCGACCTCCACCCCGTACAGCCTCGAGAAGGCCCCCATCAGTCTGGCAGAGATGCCGTACACCAAGACGCCGGGGGCAATCAAAGTCCGCAGACCGAACCTCGAAAAGGGTCCATGGCCTCGAAACGTCGGGTGACTCGAAGCGCGACGCACGGTCGGACGCCGAGTCCACTTACAAGTCGATCATCCACTTCTGCAGCCTGGCCAGCAGTGGCTTGTCGTCCTTCTCAGTCGTGGTCCAACCCCTCTGGCGGAACTCAAGGAACTGCTCCGTGTCGTCTGGCGAGTCATCAGACGACCCGGACGGGTCGCCGTCGGGCAGGTCGCCGTTGGGATGGTCGCCGTCGGGCGGGTCGCCGACGGGTCGCTCCTGTCGGAAAGAAGTCGGCGTCGGCGTCACTGCCTCCCGGCGTATGAGCGTCCTCATAACTATGGTCGCAGACGGAGAGTTCCTTCAGACGTCCCTCCGCGGTGCGTGCGTGTGCAGCACCACAGAGGGCAACGAGCTTGCGCCGGAGAACGGACCTCAGAAGAGAAACCCCGCTTTTCTCGTCCTGTCGGCGATCACACTGTCTAAAAGTCCTCGCAGGTTACCGTTACTGTCGGCCGTTCCGTCGATGTACTACTGAGCCGAGTCCGTCGAAATAATTGCGAAGTTTGCGAAATGCTCCGACGTCAGAACACAACGTGCGTTGGGAAGCGTCTGCGTCTGGCAATCGCTTCTCAAACACAAAAAAGGTTTGAGAACTTGGGCTCCGTGTTTAAGCTGCAACGTTGCGTCGTGCGACGTACCCGGACATGACCTTGCGTGACGTCATGGCATTGAGTGTCGTCGCGTGACCACAGGAAATATGTGTGGTCACGTGACCTACTACCATGCAACCGCTTTGCTTGATGTCACAGTGTCGCAACGTCGCTTCAAGCCGTCACCAGACTTCCCAGCATCGCGTAATGTCCCGCTGTCGCGTCACGCGATGTGACAACTGACGGCGCTGCGCAAATGCCGTCGGCCAAATTGAGCGAGACTCCTCCATTTTACCGAGGTTCGCCCGCTCTCTTCTCAGTCGAGACTAGATGCCACGCGCGCGAAAGTATGGAGAGCCGGATTTACAAACACCACGCATTTAATGTCACGGGACACGGGGACTGACCGGGACGCAGCCCCTCAGGTGTTCCAGGATGGTCTCCGGCTTGAAAAAGCCATCCGCCTTGCAATGGACGCACTTGTACCGTCGGTACTTCCCGCACCGGGAGTGGTGGTACTTTAGCCCGTGTGCGGTCGTGAAGGTCTTGGGGCAGTTCTGGAAGAAAGGAGGGGGGGGCGAGACGGACCGCACGGTGTTTGCAGTTACGGTGCCGTTCGCTACACGAGCGGTGGTTGCCGATTATGAGGCTCGGGGAATGCCTCCGCATAGCATCTGGTTCGCTGCACCGTTTCCCAATGATTTCTTCACTGACCATCTGTTTTACTTCTCTTTAAGGCATTACAACGGCTTAATACTCCAATAGCAGTTTATTTACACTTGGATGTGACTGCAGAAAGACTGCAGCAATTAAAAAAACAAGATTGTCGAATTCGGGCCCAACCAAAATCAGCACAACCTGAACCTGCCCGACCAGCACTTGGGTGTGCCTACTCTCCACCAGAAAGACTGCAGCAATTAAAAAAACAAGATTGTCGAACTCGGGACCAACCCAAACCAGCACAACCTGGACCTGCCCAACCAGAACGACCAAATCAGAACGGACCTAACCTGAAACCACCAAACCAGAACCCGCCCGACCGGAACGGCCTAACCAGAACCGCCCCAACCCAAAACTGGCCCAACTTGAAACCACCAGACCAGATCCCAACCAATTAGAATGACCTAGCCAGAACTGCCCCAACCCAAAACCAGCCAAACCTGAAACCATCCGACCAGAACCCGCCCAACCAGAATAGCCTAACCCAAAACCAGCCCAACCTGAAACCACCCTAAAGAACCTGCACAACCAGAACCTAACCCAAAACCGGCCCAACCTGAAACCACCCGACCAGAACCCGCCTAACTGAAACGGTAACCAGAACAGAACCAGAACCCATCACCAGCCTGACTCGAGCCCGCCCCACCAGAACTGGCCTAAACCAAGACCGGCCTAACGACAACCCACCCAACCAGAACCTGCCCAACCCAGCCGGACCAGAGTCCAAAACAGAGCTGAAGAGCTCCAAATAACCAACTGAAACTGTGGTTGGAAAGGTTTACCTCTGTAGGACACCCGATGGTCTTGTGCTGGTCCAGGTGCTCAACCCACTCGTTGAACATCTCCTTGGTGGTCTCCACGTACCAGCCTTTCCAAGCAGACGTTAGCCGCTGCAGGGGGGTTTCCTGGCACCGAGCCCGCACGCTGCCAGAACGCCTTTCCACTTCCCAAATCCACTCCGGACAGCTGAAGTCAGCGTCTGACAGACTCTTGTCTGAGGCGCTATCCTCGGCCTTCTCGGTGTCTTCCACTGCCTCAGTGTCCTCAGGTGAAACGGTCTCTCCCAGGGCACGGAAGGATGCCATGGCCCTATACAAATTGCCGGCCGCTAGTTTAACTTCTGCCCTAGCTGTCTCCATAACACTGCCGTCTGCTAGCTTAACTTTTGCCCTAACTGTCACCACAAAACCATCTGCAAACCGTCGTCTGCTAGGTTAACTTCTGCCGTAGCTGTCACTACAAAACTGTCTGCAATCTGCCGTGCAATACCTCAACTCTACCACTAAAGTCGAAAAATGGAGGATGTATGGCGTATTTTGAGCTCCTCCTACCAGTGGGTTGATACATTCTTGTGGCAATGCAAGTACAGATATACCAACTATAACTGTGCTAGCGAAAGCCGCTTTCCAATGCTAGGAATAATAGAGTATCAGCTTACCGAGTGAGAGGTTAGTGGTTTGATTCTCGCGGAGGACACATTCTCTTGTAAAAGACAAGTCGTCGTGTTATCACGTCATCGTCACATTTAGCGGAGCTCCAGGCTCAAAACCCAGGCTTAAAACACATCTTGCATTCAAAGTTTTGAGATAGACTCCTTTAAGATGTCAGCCAAATGACGCTTGGAAGCGACGCGCAGCGACTGGTGCAAACGCCTTAGCTTCCTGTTGCATGCCCCACATTCTCGGTGAACAGCGAATGAACTGATGCTTTGCAGAAATGCAGCTCACCTCAAGGCAGCCCCGCGTTTCCGCGACGATCCAGGCTGGTTGTGATCCCCTTGGGGATGTTCTCCGTGACACTCCGCTGAGAGCGCCAGGCTGTCAGTCTGAAAACCAAGTCGAAGAGCGTTCCGTCACAACCAGATGCCACAATCTTCGATTACAGACGATATACCACAGCAACTGTAATGCAGCAGAGGTGCAAAGCAATAAAGACAGAAACTGCAAGCCAAATGTAAGCATAACACAAGTTCAAAGTCAACGTCTAGATTTTGCCACTCAACGTGCCTCTCACAGCTGAGAAGCACGTCTGCTAGTTCCGATTCCCTCCGGGGACATTTGGAATTTTGTTCTTTCTACCTAATTCATCCACCGTATCACCCTTCCGCACCGCACATTCATTTCGTGCTACAAACCCAAATTGCCCACAACGGTTTCAAAAAGTGGTCCCTCGATTTCCACCTGACAACGCCATAGAACTGCCACGCTGTCTTGGAGGTGCCATGGCAGCAGAGAAGAACGCGGTCAACGCCTGCATTCTTCTCAAACGGCCAAGCAGGACTCAACGGCGATGCTCGCGTTTGTTCATACTTTTGCTGGAATTTCTAGCCCCGATCGCCGAAACCACGACCTACGGCAACCTGACCTGCCGGCTTCCATGGCATTGTTTGTTGCCGGTTCGGGACCTTTGACGTACGAGCGGGACGGGATGCTAAACGCGCTCCGGGCGCCGTCGCGGAATGGTCCCGTTACCTCTGGCGTCTCCGCTTCATCGTACGGGGGCAGCATTTCCCGATGCTTGCGAGTCATGTGGTGCAGGTACGAGTGCGGCGTGTTAAAGCTGGCGCCGCAGCCCTCCGCACGGCACTCCAGATGGCCGAGGGCGATGCACGCTAACCGCAGGGCAGACCGCAACTCCTTGGCACTCAGGGGCCTCTCGTCGTTCACCCGGGCCTGCGTCCAGACGGCCAGTCGCGGCACTTTACGCCGCGTGCACAAAGGGCTAATCGCCGCAGTTTATGGAAAAAATACACTAACAGCCAATCGCTCCAGTTTACCCCAAAAAGGCTGAGAGCCAATTACTGCAGTATATGAAAATACATGCACACCATGAAAAAATATGCAAACAGCCAATCACTGCAATTTATAGCCAATCCCTGCGCTTTATGGATGTACGCTAACACCCAATCACTGCAATATAAAATACATAGCCAACCGCTGCATTTCGTGAAAAACACACAGTCCATTGCTGCAGTTCATGAAAAATACACAAACAGCCAAAAACTGCAGTTTTACAGCGAAGCTGTTTATGGCTAGGGTTCCGTGGATTTTTTCGTGTGCGTGACTAAAAGCTGTATGCTCGCACTGCTGCACGCATCCCCCGTATAAAAGATTTGAGGTAACTAATCAAAATTAAGCGTTGACGAAAGCGCGTGCAAGATGCCAATTGGTTTAGGCTTTTGCTTTAGAACAGTTACTGCTGCAGACGCCAGTACGTGCGGCGTGTTACCTGCATTCTCCTTGATGCTTGGGTAATCTAGCAATAGGTCTATTCCAGTGATGTGATTGGCCTAAGCCATTTTGGAGCACCTTTCGGAGCAGCCAAAACAGTGTTTTGGAGCAGTAAAAGTGGCTTTTGGAGCAGCCAAGACAGTGTTTCGGAGCAGCAAAAGTGGCTTTTGGAGCAGATATTCTTAGAAAAATAAAAATACCGTATTTACTCGCGTATAGGTCGACCTGTTTTTCAAAAATCGCCTCATCAAAACTGGGGGGTCGACCAATACGCGAATCCCGGTATTATATTTTTCAACTTTTTTTTTTTTTTCGGGGGTCCCGAAGTTAGGGGGTCGACCTATACGACGTATCGACCAATATGCGAGTAAATACGGTAATTGTTTTATGTGCTGTAAAAATAAAGGGCACTTTGTGTTGGCGACATGTGTAGTGTTCTAACGTGACGTGTTGTGACGGAACTCGCTGCTTGTGTTTTTACTGCTGAGACATCCCACAAGTGTACTGTGCTGTAGGCGTTCCCCAGCAATTCCGAAAAACTGCTTGCCACTGTTTTACTGGTCTCCGACGTGTCAGATTTTCGTCAAAACTAAGCAAACGTAAAGCAACGGATTGCAAGCGTCCCGGCCGGTGCCTCTGCCGTGCAGTCAAGTTCACAAACACGCGAGGTCAACTTCAGCAGGCTTGCAGTTGCGCGTGCTTCGCCGCGCGAGTGGAGACATCGGCTGTTCGATCAAAACCGAAACCATGTCACTCCGCTCCGTCGCCAACTGATTCCCAAACTTGTGTGCAAAATGTAACTGTCGAGCATACGACGAAATAAGTCTAGCGGCGCGTTATTGTCGGACAGGCAAGCAAGGTACAAGCTAAACACATAAAAAGAGCAAAAAGAATTAGAGCGCATCGATGCAAGACATCGCAAGCCAGGGTCAAAAAGTTCTTAGATCGCTCTGGCTTTGTGCAACGACGGAACTTGAGACAAACAAGCGCGCTGCGCGGGTTCAGCGCAGACTATGCCTTCTTTGCTTTATGTTCCTTTTCTTCACCAACTTTCTTATCGCGGCAGATTTTTCACGTACTGGGGTCCCTTTCGAAAGAAAACCCACTGAGAGAAACCTAGGTAATTAATACTTTAACACAGGAGTTTTTGAGTTGAATAAGGATTTTTGTAGTAAAGTATGATTTAAACAAGAACAGGAATGTTGATGAACATGCAGCGCTACTTAGTTTCATTTTATAGAAAGCGCCATATCTGCAGCGACGTTTGGACGGCAACACCCGACGTCGCGCGACCACGGTGACTAGAAGGCAGGGACCAAATATAGTTTTCTCACGGCTGTTGCTTTCAGGAGCGAGTGCTTCAGTTCACAAAAAATATTCTCGCCGCGCAAAAACGAGGTTTCGTATCACAGCATAACGGCAAGGCTAGTATCAAAAACGCTATAGCGTCGGAGCCTCCGCACACACCCGCGTCTATCATTAAAAAAAAAAAAAAAAGCGAGACGAGATTCACGAGATGACGAGAGCTTGAAACGCCAGATGGCGGGAAAACCATGCTGGACCGGAAGGACAATTGATGCAGGGTACTTTCTGTTGGTCGGCCGCTTGCGCCACATAACAGACGCATGCTCAATTACGTTCTTAGTTTTGTTTCGGTTTGGAAAGGCAACCGAAATTGGTCCTTTGGCGCAGGCTTGGCGCAGATTACCCATATTTTGGCAGAATGCAGCAGGATAAAGCAGGGTTAGCCCCTTGGCGCAGTTTGGCGCAATTGGTGCAGCAATCACAGCACTGCTATTCAGCAGATTAGTTATGAATAGGCACCATTTTCAAGATCAGCAGACTCTCAGACAGATAATAAAGGTTCCTCGAAGATTTGCCGCTGTGCGACCAGCGTCGGCCATGTCTATGCTCGCACCGCCCCCTCTTTGTCGTCGTCCCAAGCGCTTGCATGCCTAGTTTCCTTTCTTTCCGCTCTCCCGGGGTGGCAGTCCTGTCATGCGTGTCTACTTTCCACCAGGTGGCAGTCCTGTCGTGCGTGTCTAGTTTCCTCCAGCTCCTCTGGGCGGGTCTGTGTCGTGTGCTAAACAGCTTCACTGGTCATTCACCTTGACAGAGCGGAATGGCTCATGATTTGTATTTAAAAAAAAACACACAAACACTGTACAGTATGCTAAAAGCCAGTTGCAGCAGTTTATAAAAATACACATGTAACCAATCCCTGCAATACATCAAATACTGAGCATTTCTGTCTTAATCAAACATGCAGTCACAGCGATAGCTGCGACGCGTCGCGACGGATTCTTTGGACATGTGACCATTTTGTTCAAAATGCTTTTGTTCCTTTTAACATGGAACATTCTTCGGCTAGTTGCTCCGGATTTCGTAAAGCCGTGTGTCGTGAGGTGTGGCCCATGACGTCCTATAGTTAGGGTTCGGAGTTTTCGGTTTAAACCGATAAAAACCGATAAAAGTACGCCGAATCCGTTTTCGGAAATTCGGTTTTAACCGAAAAAGGTCAGTTTGTAGGTTCAGCATTTTTGGTTTAAATCGATAAAAACCGACAACAGTACGTCTAATTCGTTTTCTAAAATTCGGTTTTAACCGAAAAAGGTCAGTTTTTACGGCCGCGTCGAGGTGGGTGGGGGAGGGGTATAGAGAGAGGGGGCTCGACACTGTGTGAGGTTTGACACTGTGTGACGTCTTCGCGATTGCCCTCTTCCAAGGTTCAACATGCAACACAAGAGGTCTTGAATTGGCGTTCGCGGGACATCTGTGTCCTTTCTGTGGTCAGGCTTTGTGTGTCAAGTTTGTCCTAAAAAAAGTTCGGATGTGGGCTATTGTAAGGTTTTTAGCTTCATGCAGTTCAGAGGACATCGAGGAAAGCCTTTAATGCCTTTCTTAACACCCTCTCTCAAAGTTCACTGTAATTAAAAACATAAATACAATAAAAAAAATTTTTTGCCATTCCGTTGGTTGTTGTACGGTCATCACCCCAGACGGTCATGTCGTCAGAATGGGAAGGAAAAGAAGCGCGCTGAAGATTACGTCCGCGAATTCTACGATTCTGAGGTGTGTCCTGATGGAGGTTGTAGCGAAGACCACATATGTATATGTGCCGTTATTTTTTGAGTGATCGCAAATATCACAGCTACAAGGATCATCTGATTCGGTGTCTGATGGTGTTCCTTTCATTTCACCGAAAAAGACTGGTAAACTTTTTGGGGAATAAGTATACACCAAAAAAAACCGAAAATTTAGTTTTAAAATAAACACCGAAAAAAGTACGCCGAATTTTGAAAAAATAAACACCGAAAACGCAGAACCCTACCTATAGTGCAACGTTCACAGTGTTGCATTATGGGATGTCACAGACCTACACATTAGTTCAGTTCCTTTGCTAAATTTAGCGGTAAAGTTGAATTAGTGTGTAGGTCTGTGACGTCTCATAATGCAACGAGCACAGTGTTCCATTATGGGATGTCAGGGACCTACGCACCAATTCAGTTTCTCCGCCAAATTTAGCGGGGAAGTTCAATGTCACGCAACACCAGGTTAAGGGACGTCAATTTCCTTGCTAAATTTAGCGGCGGAATTAGCGCCCCGTGAGTTACACACCGATTCAGTTTCCCCGCTAACTTTAGCGGGGAAACTGACGTCAGAATCTACGCGACAGTTTAGTTTCTCCTCTAAATTTAGCGGGAAAATTAATGTCTGGGACCGGCAAGTCAATTCAGTTTTTCTGCTAAACTTAGGGGGCAAATTGACGTCACGTGACCCGATGTCATGCGACGTTAGAACTTTTCACGTGTTCAGCACGATTGCCCAACAATTTGTCATATCTTTTTGTTCCGGAGCAACGACTTTTTGCTATTGGCTATTTCTTTTTCCAGAGTGTCCGTGCAGTGGGCGTCAGATACTACAAAAACCCCAAGTACAAAGAAGATTGCTATTGCTGTGGCATAGCACTGTGGCAATGCCTCTGCTTCGCGCATAGCAGACCCAGGTTCAAATCCCGCGGGCGGCGACAATTGTTTTCAAACTATTTGGCAACATCGACGACGGACACCTAACAGACAGTCTCAGCAGTTCACAAAAAGTATGCCAATAACCAATGACTGCAGTTCATTAAAAAAAAATAAAAATAAAAAATACAGACAGCCAATTGTGGCAGTTTATATAAAAATATGCAAACACCATAAAGAATGCCGCCAGCTGGTTGCAGCAGTCTGTGACAAGCACATTAACAGCTCATCACTTCAGTTTATAAAAACCACACAAACGCCATAGGGTAAATGTCTCGGCAGTTCATGGAAGCATAGCAAATGCCGCTTGCTGCAGTTTATGAAAAATGCACAGACATCATAGGGTGTGCCAACAGCCAGTCAGAGCAAATGATTGGAAGTATACCAAAAGTCAATCAGTGCAGTGTATGAACTGTACAAAAAGCCAATTCTTGTTGTTTATAAAAAATATGACAACCGCAAACTTCCGTAGGAACGCCCTGCCCCTGAGATATTTCCCGTCCCTTCTTCTGGCTAAATATCTATGCGGAGCGCAAGTTTGTCTGCCTCTTGCACAGGGGTTGGCGATGATGTACGAACGCCGAGCTCTTGTTGGTTAATAGAAAAAAATAGTGGGTAGACCTCAAGGCATCTAGCATTGACGTCTACCCACTATCCTTCCAATCAAAGCCAATCAAAGCTCGGCGACATTCTGACATCACTGTAACCCTGTGCAAAAAGCAGACGACTTGCTCTCCGCAAAGAGTTAAAAACACCAAACCATTGCCGATCCCATCTAATTCAAGCGATGTCTGCCTAGCTCTCAGAAAAAACAAAGCAAAACAAAAAAAAAGTGGGAGGCTACAATCTGAGGCACATTATTGGGATTTCAAATCAATCTGCCACGTGTGCAACATACCGTTTCTGCCATTGATTACGGGCAACGCAGATTATGTGCAACATACTTTTTCCGCCATTGATTATGGCCAACGCAGATTATGTGCAACATACTTTTTCCGCCATCTCAACAAAACAATATAATGCGAAGATAACAGGCCAAACAAAGTACTACTACGAGCGAAACAAATAAAACAAGCAATTCAGATTGTTGTTGTTCCCAGAAGTTAAACTCTCGACTCAGCCGTTAGGGTTGCGGCAGTTGGATCTCCTGTCAAAAGCGGTATACCCATTTTTGTACGCACCCGCCACAGCACACTTTCGAGAAAAAGCACCCTGGAATGCGAGAAGTTGCCCCGTCCACGATCTACGACGCTGGTTTCCGTAACGTGCAGGAAAGAAAACAAACAGAGCTCACCAAGTAGTAATGGTCGTGCAGAATGTGCCTTGCCACGACGTCTTTTTCCGCAAAGGACTCCTTGCATGCGGAGCACACCAGGGGCACCTGCGGAAGACGGTTCTCACTCATTACAGGTTGAGCCTTTTCGCCCGACGATGCCTTACCTCGTCGGGGAAGTCGAGGTTCAGCTGGTATAGGGGCTTGCGACACTGAAACTGCCTCCGAACGACCTTAGAATTTCCCTCCATAACGTTCTCCTGGATGTTCGGGACAGAAGCCTTGTCGGCCGGCACCGTCTTCACCTCATCGGCTGTGATTTTCCTGGGACGACCTCTCTTCCGGGGAATCTTCTTGTCGACGTCCTCGTTCGCCATGTTTTCCCTGGGACTACCTCTCTTCCGAAGAATATTCTCGTCGACGTCCTCGTCAGCCGTGTTTTTCCTGGGACGACCTCTCTTTCGGGGAATCTTCTTGTCGACGTCCTCGTTGGCCATGTTTTCCCTGGGACTACTTCTCTTCCGAAGAATCTTCTTGTCGACATCCTCGTCAGCCGTGTTTTTCCTGGGACGACCTCTCTTCCGGGGACTCTTCTCGTCGACGTCCTTGTCAGTCACGTTTTTCCTGGGACGACCTCCCTTCCGGATAATCTTTTTGTCGACGTCCTCATCGGCCACACTTTTCCTGGGACGGCCTCTCTTCCGGGGAATCTTTGTGTCAACGTCCTTGTGACCCGTCGTTTCTGACACATTGTCGGAGGGACCTTCGCGAGCACAATCCGACCTTTCTCTAAAACTGCCCCTGCCGACCGTGTCCTTTGCCCCGACATCCTCGTCCTTGTGACCAGAGTCGTCGTCGGTTGTGCCTTCGTACGCAGATTTGTCACTCGCGCTATCTTTTTTTCTGCGCCCTCTCCTCGTGGCAACCGTCTCGGCCAACCTTTTCGGGGAGTCCTGTTTGCCGACGCCCATTCCAGTAGAGAGCCTTTTCGAAGGGTCTTCGTCGGGAAACATCCTCTTTGGTGCAGTCTTCCACCCAGAGTTTTTGTTTGCCGGTACTTTCTCAAAGGAATCCTTTCCCGGGGTTATTTCTTCTAGGTCGTCCTTTTCGACCGAGCTCTTTTCGGCTCCCTCCATTTTGCTAGGGCCCGCCTTTGCAGCGCTTTTCCCGACAACTACCTTCGAAGAATTCGGATCGTCTCCGTCGGAAGTAGAGCTCTGACGAAGGCGACTCGGAGTCGCTTTCTGGCGCCTTCCGCGCTCCACCGACAAGCTTTTCGGCAATCTTCCCGAATTTCCCTCCTCGGGACTAGCGTACCCCTCCATTGGATCTCGCTTCGGTGGATTACGTTTCTTTCGCTGCTCCCGCTTGAAAACGGGGCACTCCTCCGAACTCGAAGCAAGCTGCTCGTCTGCTGTTTCCTCTCCTCGCTCGGCATCTTTGAGGTCCTTCTTCTGATCTGTATTTGGACCGTCTCCGCACGCCGATCCGGCACTATGCTTACTTTTCATCATACTCTGACCACTTGAGAGGGACCTTTTCGTCTGACTAGGCTCCGACGGAGGCTCCGTGCACTCGCAACCCACCGCATCGGGTATGTTCCGTTTTCCTTCCTCGACGCCAGGGCTCTGTTGACCTTCTACTTTGTCTGGTACGCCCTCGATCTCGGGAGTCTGGCCCTTGGGCGTGTCCTGATCCGACGGATCTCCCGGACACTCCCGGGGCCGAGGACTAGGTTCCGGCGGTGGCTGCTGTTGTCTCCTCTGCGGACCCCTCACATGACCGAAGTCGGACCTTCTGGCCTCGGCGGAGCCTCCGTCTTCGCCGATACCGTCGTCCACCGCTAAGTCGGGTGACACCTCGTGCCCCAACTTTGATCTCAAGCCGACTTCCAAGATGGACGCTAACCTGCGGTTCAGCCAGCCGTCTAACGTCGGCTCGAGCGCCGACTCGGGCTCCAACTCGACTTCCAGTTTCGGCTTCAGCTTGAGTGCCAGCTTCAACGCCAGGCTGGCGTTCAAGTCGAGACCCATGCTAGGCTCGAGCCTCACTTCCACGCCGGTCTCCAGCCTCACTTCCAGCTTCGAAGACGCAATCCGCGGCACATCGCACCGCGGGACAAGCTCACAGAAGTCGCGGTCGAACCCGGCGCTCGCTGGAATTTGCGGGATGATGGAGGCCGCCACACGACGGCCTCCTCTAAGCACTAAAAAATGACCGGTGTCCTTTTTGCCACCCTCCATGTCATTCGCGTTGCCGGAACATGCTTCCGAAATGCGGTCTGGGCCCCCGTTGGGCGGGGCTTCGCTCGGAACCCGGGCCACCTCTTCTTCGCCGAGCGACTCCACAATCTGCAGGGCCTCGCAGCTCGACTGGGAATCGGCGTCATCGCCATATATATAGCAGGTCCGTAAAGTGCCATTGTTTTCGTCCGGCCCGGCTTCGCTGCCGCCAACTGTCTCCACAAGGCTATCTTCTGTCTCCATCTGAACCCCTTCATGCGACGATTCAACAATGTCTTGTCGCTCGTAGGGAGAATCATGCACTTTACAGATGGTTGACGAATGTTCGACGTCGTGGGGACTCGTGCTCCTTTGCCCAACGTCGCTCGCAATTTCGTCATTCCTCCTCGAAGACTCCGCAACCGTCTCGTCGACGTCACACAAATCGGGCTCGCTGTTCACTTCCTCCGGCAAGCAGATGACCAGTTCGGACGACTCTGGCAAATTGTCATCGCTCAGCGGAAAAGACTCGTCGCTTTGTACCGCTTCTGAGTGCGGGCCAGCAACTTTCGGCACTTCGATTGAACTTTTAACCATGTCGTCGGGATTGCTCGGGTGTGGAGGGCTTTCCCTTAATGCGGTGTTTTCAGGAAGAGCTTCCGAGGCAGTTGCCTCCTCGGAAACTACAGCGCCTTCAACTAGAGAGGGTAAACTATCTGTCGTTGTCTCGTAAATGACGACACACTCTGTTGCCTCACCCGAGTCGGTCGCCATTGCGGAATTATCAGCATGAGCGGAGAGTCCTTCGTTGGTTGTGACGTAACACACGCTGCCTTCAATAGGAACGTTCACATTTGTACCATGAGGTATGCACTCTGTCTCCATCAATTGTGCACTGCCGTGCAAAGAAGTCACGCTGCAGGGAGACCCTGTTAAAACAGTCGCACCACAGTCAGTCTGGTGTTCCTGGAGATCACCCTGAGGTGCGGGTTGTGGCAGAGATTCTTCTACGGTTTCGGGTGGTATGACTTTGACGGGTTCGACCTTGATGATGTCAGATAAGTCATACTGGCTACTCCCGGCGTCACGCCGTACAGCAGGAAGTGATGAGTTGGGCACCACATCACTTGGCGTGTTTGTAGCAGTAGAAATGTTCTCCAGAGTTTCCACCACTGAACTAGACGTTACTTCGGATGCACTGGGACCTGAAAACGGAGGCACAAACACTTCTTTCGGTTCACGAGGTTTGAGTGATTCAATTTCTTGTTGAGAGTCAACTTGTTCTGGGAACACAGATGGCTGCTGTGGTCCAGGTGGTTCCTGAATCACAGACGATTCCGGCAAGAAGGATGGTTCTCGTGAGCCTTGGAGCACAGACAGTTCTTGGGACATCAGTCCTTGGAATGATGATGGCTCTGGGAATGCAGCACGCCCTTCAGGTGCAGGTGGCTCCTCAGATGTAAGAGGCTTTTGAGTAACAGGCAGTTTCAGAGATACAGAGGACTCTTTAGACACAGTTTCCTCTAGGCAAACAGATGGTTCTTGGGACATAGGTGGTTCTTGGGGCATCACTAATTCCTGGGACATCTCGGAGTCTTGAGACATCAATGCTACTTGGGGCACCAGTGATTCCTGGGGAATCTCCGATTCTTGGGACACCAAAGGTTGTTGGAGCACAAGTGATTCCTGATGCACCAGTGATTCCTGGGACATCCCTGACTCCTGAGACATCAATGGTTTTTTGGGCACCAGCGATTCCTGGAACACCAATGGCCCTTGGAGCACAAGTGATTCCTGGGGCATCTCTGACTCTTGAGACATCAATGGTTCTTGGGGCACCAGCAATTCCTGGGGCATCTCTGATTCTTGGGACACCAATGGTTCTTGGAGCACCAGTGATTCCTGTTGCACCTGTGATTCCTGATGCACCAGTGATTCCGGGTGAATCTCTGACTCCTGAGAAATCAATGGTTCCTGGGGCACCCGTGATTCCTGAGAAATCTCCGATTCTTGGGACACTAGTGATTCCTGGGGCATCTCTGATTCTTGAAACACCAATGGTTCTCTGGTTTTCAATGATTCCTTAGGCACAGCTGATTCTAGGGGAACATTTGATACTTGAGACATCAAGGGTTCTTGGAGCACCAGTGATTCCTGGGGTATCTGTGATTTTTGGGACATCAATGGTTCTTGGGGCACTGGTGACTCCTGGAGTGCCAGTGATTTTTGCGGTAAAAGCGATTCCTTGTGAGACGGTGTTTCTTGGGACATGAGCGATTCTTTAAGAATCTGTGACTCTCGGAACAAAGGTTCTTGGGTAATGGGTAATTCCAGGCATACAGAGTCTTCTTGAGATACAGGTTTCTCTTGGGATAGAGGAGGTTCTCGGGATGCAGATATTTCCAAAAACACAGAGGGTTCCTGGGACACAGGTGGTTCCTGGGTTTCACGTGGCTCCATGGATACGGGAAGCTCTTCGGGCTGAGCTGGTTCCTGGGATATAGACAGCTCGCCAAGTTCAGAAGGATCTTGGGACATGGGTGGTTCTTCAGATGAAGGTGTCTCGATCAATACAGAAGGTTCTTGGGACACGAATAGTTCTTTAGATGAAGATGTTTCAATAAATGCAGAAGGCTCTTGGGACAAGGCTGGTTCTTGGGCTTCAGATGTCTCTGCAACTACTGAATACTCCAGGAATACAAACGGCCCTTCGGTTATGCACAGTTCGGCAAGTTGAGACGGTTCTTGGGACACAGGCGGATCTTGAGTTGCAGATGTTTCCACAAATGCACAAGGCTCCTGGAACACAGGCTGTTCTTGAGTTGCAGATGTTTCCACAAATGCAGAAGGCTCCTGTAACATAGGTGGTTCTTGAGATGCAGATGTTTCCACAAACGCAGAAGGCTCCTGTAACATGGGCGGTTCTTGAGATGCAGATGTTTCCACAAACGCAGAAGGCTCCTGTAACATAGGTGGTTCTTGAGTTGCAGATGTTTCCACAAATGCAGAAGGCTCTTGTAACATAGGTGGTTCTTGAGATGCAGATGTTTCCACAAACGCAGAAGGCTCCTCTAACATAGGTGGTTTTTGAGTTGCAGATGTTTCCACAAATGCAGAAGGCTCCTGCAACACAGGTGATTCTTGGGTTGCAGACGTTTCCACTAATGCAGAAGGCTCCTGAAACACAAGTTGATCTTGGCCTTCCGATGTTTCGGTGAGTGCAGAACGCTCCTGGAATGCAGGTGGCTCCTGGGATTCAGATGTTTCTGTGAATACAGGAGGTTCTTGGGAAATAAACGTTGTCTGGGACATGGATGGTTCAACGAGCTCAGAAGGCTCTTGAGACACTGGCGGCTCTCGAGATGCGGATCTTTCCACAACCACAGAAGGCTCTTGGACTTCAGAAGTTTCCATGAGTACAGACTGCTCCTGCAACACAAGGGGCTCTTGGGATTGAGACAATTCAACGAATGCAGGGGGCTCCTGGGATGCGGATGGTTCTTGGACTTTGGTAAGTGCAGAACAGTCCTGAGACGCAAGTGGTTCTTGGTACATGCACGGTTCAATTATTTCAGAAGGATCTTGGGACAACGATGGCTGCTGGAGCACCGGTGGTTGCATGGATCCAGGGTGTTCTCGAGACAATGATGGTTCTTGGGAAACCACCGTTTCCTGGAGTACAGGTAAATGCTGAGTTACTGCATCTTGCTGTGGCCCAACTGGTTCTTCACATACAAGAGTCCTCTCAGCCATCCCATGGTCCTGGGGCTCAGGCAGTTCCCGCTGATCTAGAAGCGTCTGCGACTCGACACGTTCCTCGAGCCGAGTCGCTTGCTCAGACGTTTCGTGGGACTCAAGAGGTTGTTCAGCCGGTTGCCTAGACTCGACGGGTTGCTGCAACTCTAGGGGCTGCTGACGCACGGTCTGTTTTTGCGGTGACGATTGCTCTAGAGGTACAGTCTCTCGCGACGCTGCCACCTGAGCCCGAGACCCATCCGTAACCGCCGGGACGTTTCGAAGATTGGAAAGTTGCACGCTCCGTTCCCCCACTGAAGCAACGGTCCCAGAAGACGGAGTAGCTTGCTCCGTCGCCGACCTCTGGGAGCCCACGTCGGAACCGAGCCTCGTGACCTTGCGCAGCGGTTCCCTGGACGACATCTCGTCTTCGTCCGAAGATGACGAGTTGTGGCTGGAGCAGACGATGCTGACGGCAAGAGGCCTCGGAGCGCAGCTCGCGGCTGCCACCGTCGGTGGCCGCTGTGGTAAACCCCTTTGTCGCTTCAAGATGGCCGGTGGAAAGGGCATGGAAGGCACCTGTGGTGCTGGCTGTGGCGGCGGAGGCTCCGGTAAGTCGTCCGTCTGGCACGAACAGTCCACACGGCCGCCGAAGAAGCGGTCCACTTCGGCGGGCCTCAGGGTTCGGGGTCCCAGTGCCTGCTCCGTCTGGATGTAGTGACCGTCCTCTGCGGCTGTGCTGTGAACGGCGACCACGGAGGGTGGGTCCATGGGAGGAGAGTGGCTTGTGCCGGTTGCTATGTTGGTCAAAGTTTGAAGAACTTGTGGGTCGCGCAGGAGGGCGTTGGCCCCGTCCGTGTTCGGGCTCTTCACGATCACCTGCGTGGGAGGCACAAAAGGGCACTGTAAGTGGCCAAGATAGCGCGACGTCACGCTTCACCCTTACGGTACGGAAGGACGAGGCGTTCCAAAAGTTTCCCAACAATTCCGCATTCACATGAAAGACGCCAAAGCATTCGGTATAACCGTTTGCCCCAAAACAGCCTGTAAAGGCGAGACTAAGAATGATGGTATCTTCTATTCCGTTTATACTGGCATTTGGTAACATTTTCCGTTTCTAAAACCTAACCCACCAAAACCCCAATTTTTTTTTTTTTATTGCCTCAAATGACGATATATAATCTCTAGACACCACCCCTCGGAGTATGAAAACTGGGAATTGCATACTATGAACGACTTAATTTTTGTGGACTTCAGCTCTGCCTCACCTGATAAGAACGATGGGGAAAGCTGTTGGTCCCATGAAGCTCCGACGGCAACCTCTGATGCCGGTTCCCAGCAACGCCACGGCCAGGAAAACCCTTCTCTGAATCCTGTTGAGCCCATGCAGGAATGCCGGTTTTCAGATTAAATCTAATATGTGTGACCTGCTTATAAACACCATACTTGCTCAAATGAGCACTGTACCGGCGTACGGTTGCACAGAACTATCATGAAGTGCATGTTAAAGGCCCCCGAACACCAGTCGTACTGCAATGACTAAGTTGCCGTGAAGAGCGCGAACCAGCGTCGCCATACTCTGGCATATTAACCTTAAGGGGGGACACTACCCAGAAAAGTCAATATTATATGTTGGTGACATATTTACATCCACCAACATCTGGAGAGTATTCCCAGAAAGTTTCGTTAGTTTACACTGCATAGTTATTTTTTTATAAATTATTTTCGGTCCACCGATGCTAAAGAAAAGGTAGAGGTTGGAGCACTTCGAACGCATTTTTCTTCATTCCACTTTTTGGCATAAATATCACTTTAGGAAAACTATCATTTTGTTATTACATAACTTGGATTTGTTTTTAAGTTTTTCTGGAGCTGCCGACCGCCGACCGTCTGGAGCTGCGGATCGTCTGGAGCGAAATTTTAAGGGGAAGATGGCTATGAGCCTGAATTTTTTTATTTTTGTCATTTTTCATGCTTAAGAACTAGCATTTTGGACAAATAATGGAAATCTAAAGAAATAGCAGTTGTGTTTAGTGGCTTTTTTATCATTAAAGATGATATATAGATCTATATATCTATATATTCTATATATATATCTATATATATCTATATATATAGATCTATATATTAATATAGAAATACAGCTCCATAGCTATCTGCTCTGAACTGTTCTAAAGCAATATAACACATGAAAACGACAAATTTATAAGTAATTTCAAAACTTTCATCTTTGAACATTTGCAATTTTTCTTGTGCACCACCCAGGTTAAAAATATTTGGCACAAATGTTCTCCACATGAACAGATACAAGCCCTGTAATTGTCACTTAAATCAGACGAGTGGTTCAAAAATTCACTTTTTTGGGTAGGGTCCCCCCTTAAGCTGTCGAGACACACAACGTCTGATTCACTCTTGCTCCGTCTTAAAACACCGCATCGGGCACTTCCCCAGCCCCACTTGTCAATTACCGCACGTTTGTAAAGAGCTACACTCGTCAACCAAAAACGCAGATAACCGATAAGGTAGCTTGACGCGGATAAACACCGAAACCAGTTTCGGCGTGCCATGTTTCTCTCGGGGCCGTTGCCCAACTGCTACGCTGAAGAAAGAACGTAGTCGGACAGACGTGCGAGTGTCACCTCGCCGCCGGTGTCCCGAGACAGTTTGATAGTGGAGCCTCGTGGATGGATAGATGCTAACGGTTATACCCTTTATACCGGGAGGTAGCTTGTGCCCCCTAGTCAAGTTGGCAAGCTAAAGAGCGCCCAAGGCTGCCAGACCGGTGCCCCATCCAGCCACAGTGGTTCGACTACCTTGCGAAGCGCGGCTGCTCGCAAAAACGTACACCACGATACAATGCCTGGAATGCGTATTCGACCGGCGTGTTGGCGCAACCTACAAGGTGGTCCCTTGATTTCCGCCTAACGACGTCGGGAAGTGTTGTTCCGTCGCCTGCCGCGATCCTGGCGGTGGAGCGGCAACAGACGCCCGTTACGCCACAGGCCACCCTCCGGCTCGACGGTCCGTGGAAGCTTCGGCAGTCACGAGTTGGAAAGCTGCGACAACGGCAACACTCGCATTCGCTCGTGCATCTTGCCGGAACTTCCACGACTGGCCGATGGGATCGCGACACCCGACGTCCCAATTTCTCCGACGTCGTTCGTTGCCACTTGGGGACCGCCTTCGATGCAGGGGTGGAACGGGATGCCAAACACACTGTCCGAGGACGCGTTTTTAAGGCCGAAACTGTGCCAAAAACACGAACGCCCCCCTGTGGAGCCCACCTCGTGCGCCCGGAAGATCCTCCTCTTCTTCCGAGGTGCGGCCTTGGGAATGTCCCGCATGGCAGGCATCACGGACTCCAGCCGGATCGTGTCCACCTCCGGCCCAGGCACCTCTTCAGCCGCCTCCTCCTTCCCCTCCGGCCCGGCCCCCTCCTGCAGCTGCACCTCGTCCAGCATCAGCTCCTCGGAGCTCAGCGTGATGTCTCGGTTCAGCATCGCCTTCGGCAGCTGCAGGGGGTCGTCCTCTTCGCGGCGCCTGTGAAGGGGAGAATGGGGGAGGATTGGCGGAGCACTCAAGCTTTCGCCAAAGTCCAGAGCGACACTAAAGCTGTCTCGGAGATCGTCTGTTTACAGTCGCAGTTCAACCTACAACCTCCAAGTGCTCAAAAAAAAAAAAAAAAAAAATTAAATCAACACGCATCGGATGTCCCCATTAAAAGCGGGATCAAAGACTGTGACATGCCCGTTGGTCTGCGATTCGGCGCAGAAACCAGAGGGCGCCCTCGGAAGTGTAACCGCTGGTTGCGAGCAATCGCTTCCTACGTGGCGAGCGGGCCAACCAAAGGCAGACCAATTTTTGAAAGTCTGCGACTCGCGTACGGCGAGCGACATTTATTAAAACCCCCGCTTTACATAAACAACTTTACAAACACCCCGGGAAGAACCAAATGCTCGTGCGGAAAGAACTTTTTTCATCGAGACTTGTCCACGCACTTGAAGATGTCCGACGTGGGGCCCATGGGTTCGTCGAAAGAGCGCGAGTAGGTTCTCCTCCGGTTCTCCCAGTCCCAGCTGGCGGCCCCCGTGGACGCCCCGGCACCGCCGGGGGGCCTAGCGGGCCGCTTGGGTGGGGGCGGGGGCGCCATCGTCCCGGCGGGGCGGGGCCCGCTCCGGCGGCGGAAGGGTTGGACCCGTTTGCTCCGCTCGTTGAACGACGAGTGCACCAGTGCACGACGCGTCGGGTGCTCCTCCAGGATGTGCTCGTGCAGCGCGTTGCAGTGGCTAAGGAAATGGGCCTCGCAGTACGGACACTGCTCCAGCCCCGACCCGTCCACCTGCGAACAGTTTGCGTTCCGTTTGCCGCGGTCCTTGAATAAACCACTTACTCATCTGGAAACTTTGGCAGTTTTTGTCCTAGCAAGTTATGTCACCACAAAGGGCGCTGGTTCATGTAAGTGTAAAAGAAAAAAAAGTTAACCAAAAAGATACCAAATTTAGAAAAAAGCAATATCTCGGAGTCTTTTGATAAAAAAGAAGGTCAGGGTGAAAACGAGCTGATGAAGATTAGACATTTATTTATTTATTCATTTTCCCTTAAAGGCTTTCTGGGGGGCATTACATAAAGGGGGGGGGGGGGGGGGGGGGCAAAATGGCGTGGTCATATATATAGGGTGGTTCAAGAGTCACCAGGCTCGATCTAAAATGGACCGTAAAAATCTATGCCTGCACGTAACAATCTAAACTTCTCATCAAGGGTGGAATTCACAGGTCGGTTTTTTCTTGTAAAATTACAAAGCGTAGCTCTCTTTCTGTAAAAAATAAGGCCCAGAAACTTGCCAGGGTCTACGGCGGGCAGCAACACAGACGATAGGGGTCCAGTAGAGGGGTGTGTTTGGCGTTTGTATTGATAGATGGCGCTACATCCTTATCGCGACGGCTCGTTACCACCGCGGTTTATGAATATGAATATAATCTTTTTGAAATGTACCTTCGGTTAAAAATAAGTGCAAATAAAAGCAAAACTTGAAGAAAAAAAACATGTTTGCATAACGGCGGCGCTTTTGCTGCCAATGGATTTCGTCTGCATGTCGTCTGCACCTTCAGACGCTGCTCCCGACGCCATCTATTGATACGAACGCCAAACACACCTTGCTACTGGACCTTGTCATCTGGGTCGCCGCCCGCCGTAGACCCTGGCAAGTTTCTTGGCCCTATTTTTTTTACTAAAAGAGATCTACACTTCGTAATTTTACAAGAAAAAGCCGACCTGTGAAACACACTTTTGACGAAAATTTTAGATGGCTATGTGCAGGCGTCGATTTATACGGTCCCTTTTAGATCGAGCCTGGTGACTTGGACCACCCTATAGAACACAACATTGTTCAGGCGAGTACAGATACATATAATAAATTTCTATGTAACAACACTAAAAAAAAAAGACAGTAACTTATACTCTGTTCATCCCTACCGTAAAATCCCGAGAGATGCCCCACCCCCGAAAGATGGCCCACCCCTATGTTTGGCTTGATTTGCTATATATATATTTTTTTTTTTTTTTAAAAACCGAACGATAGCCCATTTTTAGTAATAGCAGTTTTGGGATCAACGATGGCCTCGGCGTAAATGCGGCTACAGTCTAAGCTGATTATAACAGACCTGGTTACAACAGACATTTGGATATAACATACCAATTTGTGAAGTCCAGTTGGTTTCCCTCTATGCACCATTGACTCAACTTCTTATCTGCATACAACATACTCCTATTACGACAGACCAACATCTTGGTCAAAATCAAGGTCTGTTATAACGAGCTTAGACTGTAGTTATAGCTATGGTGGGATATAAGCGAACGTTGCTGACTGGGAAGTGCAGTCATCTTTGCTTTCTTGCCCCTCGTCACCATAACAAGCTTGGAAGGGACACAAACTAAAAACAGCAACTTTCCAAAACGTTCCCTGATTGCACATCTAAAGTTAGCCCGCTCCATATTTTCACCCGATTGGCTCTTGATGTTAGGTGGGCTGTCTCTCTGAATTTTACGGTAAGCTCGTGGGGGCTACGATCTTGCCGGACCAATCAATTGCTTCCCTTTCATCGCTTGAGCCAGCTCTCCATGCGAGGATGTGGAAGAGTGCGTGATCAATTGGCGAAGGATCGATGTATGATTGGTCCAACGCGTTCATAGATTCTACAGTCTCAGCTGGGTGGTGAGTATGAGAGAACACTTGAAAACAGATACAAGCGTTACTGAGATAATGCAATCCCGTGACTGCAGGGAAGCAAAGGACAACATATAGACAAAAGGCCTCAACCATGACTGAGTTTGATTTCACTTGAAATGTGCTTCAATAGGAAATGCCACAATGAGACAGAAAACCGCAAAATGAAAGGAAAATTACTGAAATTTTTTTGTAAAGCAGATGAATCGTTCGTTACCTGCATTACAACTATTCGGAAATAAGATGATTCCTAGGTTTAAGAATACAGATGGCGTTTCCAATTATCCGTCCTTTGGACAGGTATAAGGGGTTTGACGAAAGCGTAAACGTGTCTGGCAACTTCCTTCGTGGTGGCTTCTTCGAACCCGCATTCACCCGTTAGGTTTTCCCAGAGATCCGATCGGTTGATTTCTACTGTCGCCAGTGCGCCACCCCAGGTGTTTAGGTGTCTCTAAAAAAATTTTCCGCGGTGCGACGAAAAAAGTTTTAGACAGGGTAATCTAAAAAGAATGTGTTGGCTGTAGACCTTTCCCAATTTTCGAAATACTTAATGGAGCTACTTCAAGCAGGTGGGGTCAGAAAGCTGCTTATGGTCGTAATTTCTCCCAAATCAATTTCATTCGCTTACTTTTTTCGCAGGTTTCCCGCAACTATTGGACACATTTCCCTAACAAATCACGAGAACCAAGATGTGGCAGCAATTTTAGAAACTCCTGAAAACACTAGGCCCTAGATTTGTGCCCAAAGTTAACACCATTGCCCAGTGTCACTTGAAACTCATAGATAACAGACATGGCACATTAACAAGATCAGACAACACCTTCACATACCCCATTGAAACAAAGAATTTGTCGAATGTCACATTTCAATGCCAAGTTCAGACAACGAGTATGATCTGTCAAGGTCCCTCGACACAATTCACATTTTGGGGTTCACTAAAGCCCCTACACCAATTCTGAAAGTTCCCAGTTTCTTTCCACTATTCCCTAAATTCCTCACAATTATAAAATCTCCCCATTTCTTTCCACATTGTTCCCCAGAATTCCCCACCAATTATAGAATTCCCCCATTTTCTATCGACCGTTCCGTAACATTCTCAACAAATTATGAAATTTCCCCACTATTCTTATAATTCCAGTTAATTTTACAGAAGTTATCAAATTTCCATATTTGTCGCTTCCCCAAAAGTACCCGCCAATTCTGAAAGTTCGCAATTTTTTTTTGCCATTCCCTAAAATTCCCCGGCAATTATGAATTTTCCCGGTTTATTTCCATCATTCCCTAAAATTAACCCCAAATTCTTAAACATAATTTTGTTTTGCCATTCTCTAACATTCCACAACAATTTTTTAACTTCCACATTTCCTTTCACCTCAGACGCAAGTACTACAAACATGTCGCTGCCGTCCGAAGAAACCAGACGCAAACTCGACGAAACACGAGCCATCGAAGAGTCCTCACCCCCATGCAGTGCAGATAGTGCTTCTCGACGGAGGTGATGGCCGAGAAGGTCTGGGGACATCCCGGCACGGGGCAGGCGATGCACTTCTTCGCCAACAGCTCGTCCAACCAGCGCACTCGGAGAACGCGCGACACGGCACGGGTCGGGGGTGGCGCCTCAACGACCGGCTCCGACCTGCGGCCAAGAATCCAACCACCATGCCCATAGTGAAATCTCTTTGCCAAGACGAGATCTGCGATCACGCAACCAAGGCACCCTCGAAAACGGCAGAACCCCCCAACAGCAGCATTATAATTTTTAAAAACAGACTCGAAGTTACAAGAATTTGTACGTTAAGACTTTGAGGTACACGAGAAGAATGTCGCTGCAACCCCAGCTTCAGCATTGATAAGGGGCTACTTGAAATCGGGGCAGGCGTATCAAATATCTACATTTCTGTTCTTCTTGCATTGACCTACGATTGGTATCATTATGTTGGGTCCCTAAATGCCTCAGTGGCCAATTTTTCCTGGTAATCGCAATAATTTAAGAAATTGAGGGACTGAGAGTGGAATGCAGCTGCAAACCCACTCTTGTAGTTGAGCAGCGACACCTTTTGGACAAACGGCAAGCCTAAGGTTCACCCAACGTAATTCCTAACCATTTGATAGCATAGCAAGTCTTTATTCAACTCAGTAATACTATGAACTCAATACAAAAAAGAAAGAAGGGTGAACTATTGAAATGGGCCTAAATATGATGACCAGTGAAATGCAGAAGCTAGCTTACTAACATGAGGGCGCTACGCTCCACTTCATCTCAAGCAGCACCGTAGCGAAGCCTATGAGTTCGAGCTCAATGCTCAAGAACGTACCTTGAACACCTGAACTCTCACACAGCAGGAGCAATTGCCACAGCCATGAGCTCAGGCTTATATAGGTTACAATAGAAAGCGTACGTGCGAAGGAATCCTTAGTTGTAACTTTTGCCAAGCTTATTTTAAAAAAATCACAAAGAGAAATGCACTTCGTTAATACTCTAGCGGAGTGCGTGGCCTTGCTACAGTATGACTGCATATGCTGAGATTTAGGAACATGTACAGTTACTCTAAAGTGTGCGGCTAACCACATACAGTTGCTTGACTCTGGGGTAATCATATGGTGCCACCACTTAGTAGTTACTCCAGGAATCTCTAAAGCAAGCGTATATTCGCGAGGGCACGCGCTCCGCTGGTCCATTTCGTTTCTCTGGGTACTGTACCCAAATGCAGTCGTTCAAGAACCCTTACATGAAATATGTCAAAGGCACGGAGCATGTTAAAGACCCCAGGTTAGCAGACGTAACCACACAGGCCATGTGCCCCATCTACAGCAGAAGCACCAGACACCATTGCCGGGCAAACTCACCTACCGCCGCCTAAACCTCCAAACAACAAATCTCACTCGGACTTCAAACCCCAAAGTTGCTCACAGGAAGTTTCTTCACAAACAAAGCTGTGACGGCCCCACTTGTAACAAGCAAATCAGAGGCAAACGAGACGTTAGCTGCTTTGACAGTGTGGGGGTGGTGCACCAGTGTTTGATGAAATTGCTTTCACGCCACACGACCGCTAATACCCTGGCGTCTTCGATGATAGAACCCAAGGTTTACGGTGCGAGCCTTCGCTTCGAGTGCTCCGAAACGTGGCACGCCAACTGGCTCGGCCGCCGGAAACACTGCCACATGCTCCAAGCTATGGTTCACTATAGCCAAAGAAATGAGAATGGCAGAGAGAAGCTACAGTTGTAAGTTCTCATTTTGTCATTCTCATCCAGACAGCTACCATAACAAACCTGCCCCTGAAACAAACTGTATTAATTTTCGCCCCCGAAACAAACTGTACTCATTTTCACCCCCAAAAAAATCAAGTTTTGCGCGATGTTCGTACGCCACGCAAAGTGCTTCTTACTAAAGTGTTGAACCGGAACCAAACTGTTATTTTTAGCCGAAGCGCTTCCCATGCGCATCAAATATTTTCTAAATGTACTAATCGATTTCTTTTCAATGACGCCCGGTAAGCTTGTAATTGTAACCTTATTACTTAGCCTTACCAACTGAAAAATTTATTGACAAATCTTGGTTAATTATTTGACTCATTGTGACAATTGGCCCCTATAATATGTAACCCCAGCCATATAACTCGCTTGCATAGACTGCATTTGTGTAATGCTTTCATACCTTTTTGTTTAAACAAATCTGTAAATCCTAAAAATGTACATGCCGATGAGGTGCAAATTTCGTGCTTTTGTGTACCGTAATAAATACTTTGGGTTGAGAGCACGACCAGAATATAACTTTTAAGATGCGACACTAAATTGTAGCAATCACTGGCATTTTAGGTGGCTAGCCTCGCTTTACGACAGTTTTCTTATTTAGATAAAATATGTATCTGGGGTAAACAAAAAAAAATATTTACTATGAACAGGATGTTTCCAATTTTAATTTAGTTTTTAGACTGCCGCATTTAAGTAAAGTAACACAATTTCTTGTTTTTTCCCTTAAAGGGGCCCTGCAATGACTTTTTGACTGGTTTTAATTTGCACCGAACCGGAGCGCACTGAACGTAGTAACTTTATCAAACTTTTCTTTTCTCAAATTTCGCTTTATTTTAAAAGTTATAGGCAAATTAGAATTACAAAAACAAGCAAAAAATAACCTCCTTCATGACGTACTAGGTCCTGGCTTGAGTGGCCATTAACTAGAGGAGGGGTAGTGAGCTCATCGAGCGTTCACGGTTGCCGCACTCCGGGTCAACGGCTCGAGAGGGCGCCACTAAAGCATATGTTGGATAGGCTCTATGAAGCGGGCGGCCGCGGCGGCTCGCATTGCATTTGCTGCGCGATTAAAGACTATTTCGGCATGACACTTCATTTGCCACAAACGACAGCAAACACGGGGTAAAGATCAGTTCAGAACGGGAGCCACTTCGCGCTGCCATGCCGCCAAATGGCCAAATCGCCAGCAGGGCCCGCGCCGAAGGCCTTCGGAACGCTCAGAACCGGTCGGATCGTTGAGCCGGTATACGACCGCAGCGCCGCCGCGTACATCCGGGGCTTTTCTACGCTGGCCGTTCGTCGTAGCCTCATCCCACTAGTTCTTTCTAGTATGCGCCGTTTTTTCCGCCGCTTGGTGGCGGGTATGTCGACGGGTTTTTTCTTGTTTCCGTACTTTATAAACTGCATTTGTTTCTTTTCTGATCTAAAATACTGAACAAAACCTTCTTTTATAAATAATTGAAACGGTTCGCGCCACTTATATTTTGTATTTCGACGAAGAAAAAGCTTTTAGCGGCTCTGACCAGTAGTAAGCCTAGGACCAAACACGTCACATTTTGCGCGCTTTCGGTACCGCGGGTCGCCCTCGTCGGTGGAGGTGGTTTCTGCGTCGCCCGGTTAAAATATGACGCACTGATATTTAGTTACTCTCTCCGTGCCCGCTGGCTTGCCCGGACCCCAAGAGACGTGGAAACCGCAAAAAAGGTAGACGCTTAAATATGATTGCAGGGCCCCTTTAAAAATAAAAGTTGATTGTACAGACGACACAAACCATTTAACATGAAACAATCCGTATGAAACGATAGGAACCGTTATTCTTGCTCTCCGGAGCTGAACTGGAGCTGAACCGAAAGCTGTGAACCCGAACCTGAACATGAACCAATCAAAATTTTGGTTCGGCACTTTCATTTGTACAAGATTTAATTGTCGGAGGAAGAGGGATGCTTTTAGCGCTTGAAACATGTTCGTTTTGAGAAGACAACATATCTAGGGTTCCGCGTTTTCGAGCAAATTCGTAACAACCCTAAAAACGTTAGACGGTAAACTTTTCTTCAATTCAGATTTATCCGAAATACTCAAGATTTTGAGGTCACAACCAGGAGCAGACGCAGGTATTTTCAGAGAGGGGGGGGCGAGGGGAGGGGGGCCTCCCCCCTCCCCCTCCCCCCCCCTTTGAATATTGGGGATCGGCATATCAAATGTTAGAGTTGAAGAAGGGGGGCTATACTCCGCGACAACTTTTCTTGGCAATGCAGTGGAAGGTACATCCCGCGTCCCCTCTCCCATTTTGAGTGTACGCAGGCTCTCCTCCTCCCCTCGGAAATGGGGGAGAAGGAGAGCCTGCGTACACTCAAAATGGGAGAGGGGACGCGGGACGTACCTTCCACTGCATTGCCAAGAAAAGTTGTCGCGGAGTATAGGACTTTCAGACCGGACCTCCCCACCCCCGCTCTGATGGCAAAATGGTAACGATGGCAAAATGAAAATCGGAAAAGGCAGTGTTTAGATATAAATATTTTATGAGCATAGGGTCAGTGATAATGAGAAGAGACCACTTTAATCTCTTAAAATCTCGGACAAGTATATTTTTAAGAAATTGGGAAGTAAAATTAAACTCTGATTTTCAGAGAATTGGGAATATAAGAAAAATAAACTTTTAGCGAAAAAGAAATGTTGAAAAACACCCTCTGAATTTCACGAGAAAAAAGACTCAGAAAACAGAAAATCCTATGTATATCCATTGTAAACCACCTCATTTCCGTAGGCTCAATATTTCACGAATTCGGCGAAGTGCGGCTTTCGAGGAATATTTTGCAGGCAAAAAATTTTGCGAACAAGGGTGGCACGCCATGGCTTTGTTACCGTAGGTAAACACATTCGCGGAACTTATTTTTTGCAATATTACACAAATATCGTGAAAATTAGGTTCTCGTGAAAATCAAGTCCTTTACAATACTCTAAAATGTATTTACATGGATCTTAATCCTCCACGTAAAGGGGGAAATCAGCAATGTTCCTCGAGGAGCCAGACCTTTCTTTTTTTTTTTTTTTACTAGTACGGTTCTCGAGGCGAGAACGAGCGTAGGAACCTCTAACGCAGGGGTTCTCAAACTTTTTGGTCTCGGGGAACCCCAGCAACCTTTAAAGAGTGCCAAGGAACACCCTCTACCCCTTCCCCGCTGTTTTGCTTCCTGGATACACTTTCAATAGAAGAGTTCACAAAATATTTATTGCACAGATAAAACAATAAAGAGCGGAACACATTAGACTAAAGGGTGGGATTACAATGAAAGACAGTGTACATATTAGTGTGAAAGGTGGGGTTGCCTTGCTTGCAACAGCGAATCGATGCGTGACTCAGTCACACTTAGGGCCAGCCTCATATCTGCTGCCAGCTTCAGTCGGTTCCTGTGCTCGCGGAAGCCAAGCGAGCACTCTGCAAAACCCAGTTTGAGAACCCATGCTTTAACGAAAAGGACACTGGCCCCACCTGAAGGCATATCCCTGCGGAGCCGCCTCCTGGGGAGGCGCGGGCGGGTCGGCGGGGGGCTCAGCGGGGGGTTCCTCCTGCTGAACGGCCGCCGCCTGCCGCTGCATGACCTGCTCCACGGACTGCAGCAGCACGTGCTGGCCCCCGTGCTCCCCGGCGATGGTCAGCGGTTGCAGCTGGCCCAGCAGCAGCTCTGGACCCGCCAGGAGGGCGTCTCCGAGCAGCATCTGCTGGCAGTCCTCCTGCCCGGAGGGACCCAACTGCAGCTGCCGCCCTTGGCTTCGCACGGCGCGCTGACGACCGCGGTGCGTTTCTCCGACGCAAGGACCGTTCCTGCCTAAATCAATCGCTACATTTCCGTAAATTAGCGTATCTAATTAGAGTACTGCACGTCCCTAATTCGAACGCTGTAGCCCCAAAAATAATTTTACATTCAAAGTACATTGTACGTATTGGTGCGGTGGTGTTGTTCTAAATGGCTTCGTCAATAGAAGTTAATAAAAGGTAATACCACTTATACTCGTTTTCACCTCAAGAACAATATTAAAAAAAGTATGGCTCTTTGCGGAGCATTACTAATTTCCCCCTTTATGTAGAGAATTAAGATATATATAAATGCAGTTTAGATTAGATATTTGTTATCTTATCAAGATGTACCCGTTTCAAGTGCCAAAAGCATGAAGTCTTCCTCCAACAACCAAATCTTGTGAGAACTACTTCTTGCGGCGTATGAACAGTGCGTAAAACTTAACTTTTTCTTGAGGTGAAAACAAGTATGGAAGTCAGGGTCTCCGTACGATGTCATTGTTAGCAGATTGCCGGCCCACCCAAAGCAGCAAACATGCCAAAGCTGGAAGAGTGCTGCTGCAAAGTGGCGAACACGTGCATCTTGCCGTCGCCGCAATCTAGAGTCACACTTATTGCTAGACGCCGAGAGACGCGCTGACGCAAGCTAGGCAGTGCTGCATTGATCCACTAGCAATGACGTTTTGAGGGGGGATGGGGGGGGGAGGAGAAATGGCGTGGGTCTTGTCTTCTAGGTAGTATCGGGCAGGCACTTATCTGAAAAATGCTCGGGGCACATTTGTACTCATGGCCCTCAGTTTCGTAAGACGAAGGCGACCCCACCTACCGGAAGCTTGGTCGGTGGGGTCACCATTCCCTAGGCCGGCCGTCGCGCAGATCGAAATTTTTTCAGCGTTACGATCAAAACGCTTAACCTCCATGTCTCGTATATTAAGCAAAAGTTAATCGTTGTCAATAAAAAAATTTAAAAAAAAACACCGGCCGGGATAGCGAGTTGCCACTCAATTCGAAGGACTCGGCCAGACGCGTCCACCCATCCAGCCCACCTGCGGGATGAGGATGATGGCCCCTCCATCCAGGTCCGACCCCTCCTGGGCGTAGGCCACAGCATGAAGGGGAATGCTGTCCCCCATGCTGTCCCCCATGGCCCCCTTTCCTCACGGGCACCTGCGATAGAACACCGAGCTTCATAGTCAGAACCCTCACCCCCAAAACCGACTTTTAAGGCCAGTTCACACGTGCAGCACGGGGATGAGATAGAGTCAAAGCTACTACCACCAGTGCTGACTCGGCAAAGAGATAGCGTAAAGTCAGCGCCTTATGTGCACTACCGTCAGTGCTGGCTTTTGAGGCTTTTGGAGGGCAACTCAGCTGAATGCCAAACGCTTCCTGGGTTCTCACGGAATTCGAGATTGACGCCTCACCTTGGATCACTCGTGATTTCAAGCATACAGAAATGAACACTACTCGTAACAATGCTAACACATGGAGAAAAAAAGCGAGAGAGTTTAAAATAGATATGACCCAATTTAATGAACCGTGTGTCGCACCCCAAAAAGGTGTTTTCGTTCCATGTCGTTCCTCGATGCTAGTTAAGCAAAACTTAATTGACAAACTTTTTTGCAATTACGACTGTTGATAGATTCTTTACGTCCCACCTTGGCGCTAAAGCTGCGCAATGTTTCATGTCGAAATTGCGGTCCAGTTACGAAGAGCCAGATCTTTGACGCCTAGAAAACGTTTTCAAAGCTCTGCTTGATCGCTGTCAACAAGAGCGTGCTGTACTTGTACACGAAGCCGAATGAAGCAAAGAACCTGCACAACCTGTGCACAAAAAATACACCACTACAACAGGACACAGGAATGAAAAAGAAAAAAATAGAATGCATGAGTGGATTTTTTTTTTTGGGTGTTTATTTTAAAAAAAGTTTACAGGGAATTTTTTAATAATAAGATAACTGTTTATGCTGAAACTTTTGCATCTGGTTCTGACCGTTAGCGCTATATTTGGGCAAAGAATAAGCGTTGGATGATGCGTAGCTCATTTTTGCAGTGAGAAAACAACAAAAAAAACACCATATTTTTGTTTTTGGACACGCTGTACTTGAGAATGGTTGGAGCAGACACTTCGATAACATAACTAAAAACAACTTTCAGATCTGCAGAGATCAATTTCTTCTCTTGTATTTATTTAAAATGCACTGTACAGGGTGTCACCCCAAGAATATTTACAAGGTTTTTTTTCACCACAAAAATGAACTAAGCACCGCTGAACGCTCATTCTCTGCCCAATCGTAGCACTAGAGGTTTTAGCACAAACCAAGACCTTATTCAAAAGATGTCTGATTTTCAGAAAATTTCAATAGAAAAATGGGGCCCATTTTCGCCCTTGGGTGCCATAGAGCTCTACGTATTCGAGAGCTTCGTCAGCCGCCTTTTTCCCATTGAAATTTTTAGAAAATCACTTAAAACTTTTGAATAAGGTATCAGTTCTCGCTGAAACTTTGGCATACAGTTCGAACCTCTAGCACTACCTCTGGGTGGAAAATGAGAGTTGGGCGACGCGTGGTTTATCTTTGCGGTGAAAAATAAAAAAACACTTGTTAATATTTATGGGGGACAACTTGTGTATATAGTTACTGTGCAAAAATATTTTTCTTGTTATAATTGTTTTTTTAATAAAATATGTATTTGGTTTACAAGGTTCTAACCACTCAGTGAATCCAGGGTGCATTCGTTACTGACCATGCATTGCATAGAATCCGATTTGTAGTACCTGTCAGTATAACACCCAAATTAGCTTCAAATTCAATGAAAAAGTTATATATATATATATATTTCTTTGTTTTTATTTTATTTTTTTTAATTAGGTGACAACAAGGAATGCCACTCTCACAAATCAGTAACCCACCATTCCGTGATGGTCAGGCTTGGACATCAATGCTACAATAAGCTGCGTAGTTTTTTTTTTTTCTTGTACGACGCGCGTTTTATGTTAAATTTTATTCCATGCTCTTTTCTTCCGACAACGCCACGAGTTCAGCATATGTTGCACGGGCCGGCCCAACGAAAAAGAAAAAAAAGTGTTAATAAACACGTGCAAACCGTTCTCCTAACCTAACCAGACGCGGCAACTTTTCAGTGCACTTGAAATCAGCGGGAGCTGGAGAAAGATTACAGACCAAAGGCTCTATTATTCCTCAGCAAGCGGCAGTAGTTGGATTTAGTTGATGGAGCCAGCACTAGGTTGCACACACACCGAAAGCCTACTGGCGGACTTTCCCGCCTTCTTCGACAGGTGTCGCTAGCGGGCTCCGCAGCTTCGGCCCGGCATCGCAAAATCGTTCACGCGGTGTTACAGATTCTCTAAGCTCATTATATCTCATTCAATATCGTCTACAGCGTGTGTGGAACCATTCAATCAACAGGACCGTCGGCGCAAGTCAAGATGCGTTTTAATATGTAACAACAAAAAAAGTTTAGTTGAGGCGGGCTGCAGGAAGATGGCTGACAACCACCATTTTGCGTTTCTCGTCGCTCTCCGCTTGCCTAGCGAGTGTTGCAATTTCTTCAACACTCCCCAAGTTTGGGACCGTAGCCTACATTTAAGTACGATCATTCTTTGGTTCTTTAACTGAATCGGTCTATTAAAAAGGTCGAGCAATCTCCGGGCGCAGTTTGCCAGTGGGAGGTAGGAGGCCAATGTTATTGTGCGGACTCCGTGGTCTTTCGCTCGAATCGTTACGCTGCAAGGGTTCGCTTCGGCGCGAGGAAAAGCGCGCTAGAGCACGCGAGAAACATCCGTCGAGGCGAAGGGTGTACTTACATGTTTGCCGGGTTTTCGGCGATTTGAAAGCGATGTGGAGAACTGCAGTACCAAGAACTATCGCACGTCCTCCAGAGATGTCGCACTCTGTTCTCAAGCTCGCTGGGATTGTTGAGAGACTAGTCGCTAGGTGGCATCGCGAACGCGCTCGCCGCCATGACAATAGCGCCATATCGAAACTGGATACCAGTGCGGTTGCAGAACACGGATTTTTTTTTTTTTTTAATTTGTATTTTGACGAATTGGGAAACAAATAAGAAGCTTATGCAATATACCTGTTGCTAAATTACCCAAGCATCAAGGAGAATGCAGGGATTGGTGTTCCACGCACCACACGCGCACGCCTTCCCCGTGTGAAATAATCGAAGTAAATATCCAAAATAAAGCGTTGACGAACGCGCTCGCAAGATATAATTTGTTTTAGGCATTTGCTTTAGAAAAGTTACTACTGCTGAGGCCAGCATGTGCGGCGCGTGGAACACCAATCCCTGCATTCTCCTTGATGCTTGGGTAATTTAGCAATAGGTCTATTCGCTTAATTTACTCCGGAAGTCATGCACAAACTGCCTTCTATGCATTTTATGTATCCTAAAGCAGTGTCGTAAAGGGGTCTAGTTGATTCAACCTGAAAGGTTACGAAAGCAGTTATGCTTAAAGCACAACGGTACTCGATCACAGAGCACAAGATATGGCACTGTTAATTATTACACTTCAGTAATACACAATAGTTTCGACACAAGAAAGTTATCTTGCTTATATTACCTTACATATAAAGACAAGCTTATGACTTTCTGATAGTTTTTGTTCCTGGCATTACTACAGAATTATGTAACCTGCAATATTTTGAGTCACAATGGTAAGCCACAAATAATAACAATTCATCTTTTATTCACACTTGCAGCACAGCAACCCCAGTCCCATTTTCTCGAAGGCATGCGGCTATACCAGTACACTGGAACGTTGCCTTCTCCTAGTGGGCTTCCTCCATCACAGACGAAGCTCAACGGTCGGAATAATACCGCTTCTTCAGGGTGCGATACTTCTTGAGCATGTACAAGGCCTCCAGCTCCTTGATGATGTATTGGCCACGAGCGAGCAGGACAGAAAGCTGCTCAGGGTCTGTCACTTCCCGGTTCTTCATGAACGCTGCCTTGAGCCTCGTACGGAAGTAGTCATAGCCCTTGGGGTAGTCCCTGCCCAGGTGCAGGAGCTGCAGGGAGACCAGACAGCATCCAGCATTAGTTTGCTAGTACAGTTAAATATATCCACTATCACTCACTTCGGCCATATAAAGAATCTGAGCTCTCGCTTGCAACAGCTGACACATCTGTTTGGTGAATTCAGGATAAAGGATACCTACATCTGCTTTCCAGAAAATTCAGCACAACAAATCCTTGTATGACAACCATCAACCAAACATGCTTCACACATTGATGGATCAAAATACTGTATGTTCAATGGTGACAGATCATTCAGTGTTTTTCTACACTATGAAGTCTTAAGATATGTCAAGCACAGCAAAAGGATCAGCTGTGGAGGTAGTAGCAACTAGACTGATCCGTAGATAATGGGATTATGCCTCAACAAAGCGTTCGATTACTGGTCCTTTTTCACCCCCATATTTTAATGCACTCTCTTTTTAACATTATAGGGACTCACGTTCTTGTATAGTTGAACCACTTGGCCTCTCAGTGACGTCATTGTCGTCCTGTAGGTCGAAAAAAAACAGCAAAGCTCTAGTTCACGCATTTTGTCGTTCACTACGGCCTGCAATTGCAACGACCTAAAAGGCAGCGGTCAAAAGCCAAGCAGAGCGCAGTACCTGCTCTCTGCAGCGTCGGCCCGTCCACGTGAAGACAGTCCCCGCTTCAGGACGCTGAAACAGTGCGCACAAAATCAACACGTTGGCGTGCATGTGCCAGATTCGGCGCCAGTCCGCCGACCTCGAAATCGGGGCGGTGATCGAGACGGTGACTTACGCAGAATTCCGGTCGCTGACCGCCAGTCGTCGATGAGGTGATTTAGCAGACCGGCTGCTATCGCCGCATGACCTACCCGATATGTAGGGGTGATCGTTCGTGCACCACGCTGCCGTGCGCACCGCTGGCACCAAAGACGCTCGCGGGACTGGGAAACCATCGACCGGTACCCGAAGTCACAGCCGGTGTTTGTCGTTCGCCGCACGTGGGGAACAAAAAAAAAGAATACGGAGCGGTAGCTTGCTCTTCGGGCAACGTTAACTCTACCGCGGAGCCGATGAACTCGCAGAGTCGCGTAACCGCTGGCCCCAGCCCCGAAATACCCTTGCACTCCTTCACAAAGGCACCCTCCAAGTTCCTCGGAGGACGAGGTGTTCGTCTGGCCGCAAGTTGGGTCCGCACGAGTTCGATGCGACGACCGACGGAGCCACTGGGTCGTGTATCGGATAGAAAAAGCCTACCCTTATCACCGCAAAAACAAACTTTTCGACAGTTTATCGGCGTGGCTTTCCGTACGCACTGCACGTCGCACGCGCCGCGTGCAACACGAGCGCCACCGCACGTACGCGCGGGCAGCAACAGACAAACAAAAAATCGGGACAATGGTAGGCTGCCATTGGTCACGTGATGTTGCGCACGTCGGGCAGTGCGCCGAACATTTTTTTGTTTGTTTCTGTTTAGTTCTTGTTATACGGGAGTTTTATTTGTTTGTCTTTTTAATTGTGAAGAAGGTAGCGGTCCCCCAGCTGCCCAAGGTCGTGTCACACGCGGCGACGATTCGTTTTCTTTTTTTCCTTATTTGAACTCATGCAGCGTGAAGAAATATCCGCGAGAATAAAACTGACGGGAAGCAGTGACGAAACGTTGAACTCGTTTATTTCAAATTAAAATTCAACAAGCGCTCCGAGACTTTCCCCAACGTCAAGTACGCAGACGAACAAACAAAGAAGCAAAAAGACACAAAAAGAACAACCTTAGAATCATGGAAGAAACACTACCTTTCCTTTTCTTTTTAAAGAAATTATTAGACTTACAAAAGTCCACTGATGACTTGCACAGCATTTACTCAAAATAACTGTTTTGAGAGACTAGTTACGTGTCCATTTAATGACCTGTGCAATATTTTTCACCACACTATAACACAAAACACAACCAGAATGACTCGCTCCAAACCACAAGTATGGTAGCATGCCTGTGACTTGCCATACTCCCTACAACACCGCTCAGATTAACCCATAGACGGTCGGGAGTTTTTCCCCGGAAGATGTTTCCCAGTGGTCTGGCTTTGTTTGCAAGGGTACGGTATAAAGAAAAGGTCGACGAACAGGTCTTTTCTTAATTACCCAGCGGAAGCACGTACGTGCTTGCAAGCTGTTTAGGTTTAAAAGAATCAAGTTAAAAAATATTGAAGGCAAAAAGTGCTCACCTTTCTTCCGTTCAATTTCATTGTGATGCATTCGCTCCCGCAACAGTCCGGCAGCTTCAGATTCCTAACCGGAGGTATATGTTACAGAACTTCTCCGTCGGATGACGAGCTCTCATCCTCCGAATTTAATTCCAAAAAGCGTCGGAAGTCTGAACCGAAAGAGACGGCGCTCCCATCGCATACCGCCAAAGCGGCCGATATGCGAAAAGAGCCTCACGTGCGCGACGTGTCCAATCTGAAAACTATAGATAGCCCGGCAATGCAAAACAATGTGCGAATGTGACCTTTATAGTTTGCCAAAGACACGACAAAGGGCGACATCTCCCGCAGTGCACGCAGTTTCGCATTTAAGCTCGCACGTGTACGGCGACGACCGTCGAATGGTTAATCGTGCTCGAGTGTCGTAGAGCCTCAAGGATCTCGGCAATGCCACCACCTGTTCGAGACAAGAGTCTGCGACGGGTCAAGCCTCCAGTCAAAGCTCTGCCTCCTGCGCATGCTCAGTGCCTTCCGTCAATCTTCCGCTGCACGTGCAACGAAGCATCATAAAAGGCAAAAAACTTGTGCCCCAGGCCGTCACCGATTGTAAACGGTGCTTAAACCTACGAATAGTCTTCAAAGGATGGTGCCAGACACTTTCACAGCTATGCATTGCGCGCGCATAAACGAGGGCATCACCAGCACATTAGAGAAACACAGCAACACTCTGAGCAAAGCGAACTGTATGTGGTCCATGGAGAACTTCGTGGCCTACATCCAGTCCAGGGTCAACCCGTCGACGGTGGTCCCACGATATCCTAGCAGCTGCCGCCAGCGGCAAAACTCTGCTTGGAAAGATGCGGGAGGAACCGAGACTCGCTCGAGTCGCCGACGAGCCTCCGGAGCGGTGGATCCCTGCTGCTTCTTCAGCTGCCGTGGAAACGAGACCGTGGTGGTGGTGTAGCGGCGCCCTCCGTGAGTCTTAAAAGGCGAGCAGTGGTTCGCGCCGTACGTCCAGCATATCTGCGTGGTAAAGATTTGAGTGCCAATGAATCGTTTGCGACGAATTTCCCAAACTGGTCGCATGCATGTATGTACGACGAATATTCTCTTTAAACGAGGAACGTACAACTAAATACAGCTTCACTTAGTCCCTGCTTTAGGTCTATGAAACACTACTGGATATACAGTTCTCAAATTTCGTCAAAAATATGTGTCGAACTCCGCATGGTTGCATTCAGCAGTGCTAAGTGACTATGTGCAACATAGTTGCGCACTGCCATGCTGCACACAGTCGCATGCAACATAATAAATAGTTGCGTGCACTCGTAGGAGTAAAAGCATGAACCTAGATGTACTAAAAGCATAGAGCGCTAACGAAGTGAGCGAGCCCTCGGTGAGGCAAAGCAGGTGCGGCAAATGGGAGGTTTCTTAGAGAAATACAGGATGGATTAGGAGAGTTCATTTCTACCACGTAGGTACTACGGAAGGTCGTTAGCTCATGTACGAAACCCAACTTCCCAGCCAACTCCAGCTGCCACCGATACGGCTACGAGCAATGCGCGAGTCGGCTTTGTGCTGCACTTCGGAAACGCTCGGCGACTCTTGAAATGCAAACGTGCGGTTCGAATTCGACGTTGCACAGTTCACACCAACGGTCGTGTGCCCGCCGAACCGTCGGGCACTTCACAGTCCTCCAAGACCAATCCCTCACCGGCGACGATGTGGTGCCAGGGGAGCGCCACGAAGGTGAGCAGGGCGTCCAGCAGGCCCTCTCCCTTGGGTGCTATCGTAGGCTCGTCTCTCAGCGCTGAAAAAATAACAAAAAAACAGGAATCGGTGGTTGCGGCACAGCCTTGACATCCCAACGCATGCTTGTTCCTTCAGACACAGTGCCAGAAGTGCATCCCCAACCGATCTGTACACCACTTCCTCGCCTCTTCCGCCGTAGGTCAGTCTTCGACGTCACAGCCTACAGAAACTTTGGCAGTCGCGAACTGGGGTGCCGCGACGTCGGCGAAGCTCGCGTTCGCCGATACTTTCTGACCACCAAGGTTACGGCGTCCGACCGGTTCCCGCAACGTCATTCGTTGCCACTTGGGGACCGCCTTCGATGTGTCGGCGGTGTAGGACGCCAAATGCACTGGTCGAAGACGCGATCCAAGGAACTCGGCAGTGCACTTACCGTCCCGAGGGTCGTCCGCCTCCAGCTCGTCCCCGGAGAAGACGTCGATGCCCTGTCGCTCCGAGCGGCACCGCTGGAGTGTCCCCGAGCACGGCGCCAGCAGCGCGGTCGAGGGCTCCGAACTCCTGCGCCACGGCGGAAAGGGCCACTCCTGCCCGCGAAGCGCCTCGTCAATGTCGTGGGTTGCGCACATTGTTCCGGAGCCGCCTTTGAACGGCGTGGGAGGAGGGCAGGCACAAGAGATGAAGGGGACAATCAAATAGTGGAATAATTATTTTGAGGAAATGGGCGCAGACTGCTACTACCTACTAAGGTAGTACCAGACTGGAACTGCTGGAGGAAAAAAAAATGTAACATAACGCTTTTAAGTGGCATGTGTAGCGACTTTTGTCCGAATGTTGATCGTGACACAATGTTAGTTCCGCAGCGCGAAACAGACGGGTCTTCGCTAAATAACGATAAATAAGACGAAACCTTATAGCAGACCTTCTGGAGTCTTGCCACAGTGGGATGAAAATGGGAGGTGGATTCAAACCAACTCACGAGGCAACACGGAACAGGTGCCGGCACCTTGTTTCGTGCGTATCTATTTGTTCTTACATTCCACACTTTCACTCATAAAGAAAACCCACCACTAAAGTTTTTATTTTAAGTTTGTTCCCTCAGAGACCGAGCATAAAACGAGTGCCCAAACAGATGCGTCAATGAATATTTCAATTACATGCATATCCATACTTTGTCCACCTGTCCTAGCTTTTGCCCATTTCGGTGACTCTGCAACATCCTTCCAAACACTGGGCCGGGTGGTGCAAGCTACCTCCCGATACAAAGGGCGCAACCACTGCCGTCCATCCAAAGGCCACGACTACGCTCCGTTTACCCCTAAGCCAACGGTTTGGCAGGAGCTGCGCACTCGCCAAACCAACCAATCACATGGCTTTCATCGCCCGACGCTACTTTCTGCGCATGGGTGGAGGAGGGAGTGTGATCACGTGCCAAAAGATGGACGTACCACCGGTCCGGCAAGCATGTGGCTTTAGTAAAGTAGTATTTTGAGCTACTTAGTAATTCGGCGTGGTAGAACAGTGTACAGAACACGAAGAAAGAAAAAGGACAGGTAGAAGGAAAAAGCACTCTTTCAATCTACCCGTCTTTTCTCTTCCTCCGCGATCTGTGCGCAGTTTTACCGTGGCATATAGCTTCTACTGCACTGTGAACCTGGGGACGAACGGAGTACTGAGGACGTACCTGCGCGGGTGCGGGCCCCCTCCTGAGAGCCACCTGGGCGTGGCCCTTGCCCCTGGGTCCCCGGAGCCCCACGTAGTGGCAGCCGTTGGGGCCGGGGGGTCCCCTCGCCCGGTGTGCGTTTCCGAGGGCCTCCTGGCGCACGCAGCCTAGGAAGAGTAGCCCCTGGAGCCGGCCACACTCGCGGTCCCTGGCCGCCAGCTCCACGCACAGCATCTCGCCCGGCCGTAGGGTCAGACCCTGAAAGGCCTGGGGAGAGACGATTGCAGTCGGTTCTCCGTTGAGACGACGAGAGACGCGGCGTGGAGGTGGGGAAATTGTTACGGAGCAATCGAGATGGAGAAGCACTGGTTCGTCTTTATATTTTTAGGGGCGAGGCTCCCTAGGATCTAGCCTTGTCCATCCGGCGTCCGCGCTCACATGGATTGCCACCCATCTGTCTTCTTAAAAAAAGAGAAAATGTTTGCGCAGTCGACAGGCTTCAAAACCTGCGCGGGGAGACCCCAACAGATTTCTAGTCCATCGCCTTAAGGGGATGGTGAACTGAAATTTGGATTTCATAAAAACAATGCTGGAGATGTAGGCGGGATGCTACAATCCCTACAACACTACTAGTAAGGCGATATCTCAAATGGACGGCCGTATTTTTGGAAAAAGGAGTCGAGATTGAACCAGGCCGACGAGGCGCGTGACGTCAAGATACTTAGTTTCCTCCTCTCTTCGCTTCGCTCCCTCAAGGCCGCGAGGCGGAGAAGACGTGAGGCCGTTCTCTCTCCTTCTCGGAGAAACATGACGTCAACATTCCTGCCAAATGCGGCTCTTTTTTTAAAAAATACGGTCATCCGTTCGAGATATCGCTGTTTGAGTGATGGTTTGGTGTTTGTAGCATCCCGATGCACGCTTTTGCCACATGTTTTGGGGAATCCAGATTTCGGTTCAGCATCCCTTTAACCACTCGGCCATGACTGTGGGACGAGTAGGGGGCTCTGAGATGTGGTAGTAACTCAAGAGCTGGAGATGTCATGGATGAAACGTTGCATGTAGCCGCTCAACGTCTATACAGGAGAGGGCGCTGCGGTCAAATCGGTATATAATCGTGTTAAACTTTGAATGCATTGGCTCAACGTTTATAGACGAGAGGGCGCTGCGGTCAAATGCTCAACTGCGTATATAACCACGATCCATACCACACATTCTCTTTCTGACATGGACCATTGATTTAAGCGGTGGAGATGTGTTCCCACGGCTTCTAGCGGATCCACGCTGATCCGCTAGAAGAACCATTGGCTCTGCATTTCACCGACCATAAAGCAGTAATAATGAAGTCGAAACGCAACCCGAAACTCAGCACTACCTATGAGCAAAAAAAAATATCAGCACCATCAGCACTACCTATGAACAAAATCAGTATCATCAGCACCACCAGAGCTTCACCCCAATCAACATCATTCACCACGTGGAGATGCAGTCATTTTTTTTTAACTCAGAACGTGTTTTGTGGGGTTATTTGTTGCGAAAAAACTGTTGGGAACCAGTGTAGGGGACAAGCATCGGGATCGATAGACGTGGACGGGCACCGCGAACGTGCGACGTTGAGGTTATATATACAGCTGGCAAAGGCCCATGTCAAATGAACGTAAGAAAGGCGCTCCAGCGAGGCTCGAACCTGAATCAATGCCATCAAAGTCGTCAAATACAAAATCAAACAGCAACAAAAGTTTGCAAAACAAAAATTGTGCTGCAAAATTACAACACTTTAGCAAATGGACCCACAATGGTATTAAGGTTTAGCCACCAAGAAAAATATAATTTTCCATACAGCTAAAGGTATGAAGACACAAGCACAGTGTTAAACACCAAGCATTCTGAAAACACACATTCACAAAGAGAAAATTCACTTTCGTTATTCCCAGCTATCACGTGACAGTTTATAAAAAAAAATGATCAGACGATGGAATTGAAATTGTTTCCTCGGGCAATTCATTCCACTGTTTAATGGTACTGGGGGGGAATGAGAATTTGAATATATTAGTCCTAGCTGAAAATTCTCTAATTTTTTTTGAATTATCCAATCTGCATGATACAAAGTGTGGCAGTTCAATGGATTTAATTTTATCCAGTCGTTTGATCATGATATATTCAATGTAAAAATTTTAAATGGAGTCGGCGCCTTCCAGAAATTAGAGGTTCCCAGTCTAATTGACGCTTAAGGGCACTAACACTTCGTTTGAAATTGTAATCTTTTGTGACAAACCTTCCAGCTTTGCTTTGGATTTGTTTAATTTTCTATTCTAAATAGCGTTTCTTAGGGTCTCAGAGCATGCAGGCGTATTCTAAAATAGGCCTCAGATAAGAAAGATAAAGGGTGCTTTTTATATTAGAGGAACAACTGTAAAACTTCCTCCTTAAGAAATTTAGCACAAAGTTGGCTTTGACCGTCATGTTGTCTACATGCACGTTCCACGATAAGTTTTCTGAAAAATGAACGCCTAAATATTTTACTTTGTCCACCTTTTGTAGTGGGTGGTCATTTTCAGGTGAACATTATGTGATTGGATTTGGGAATAATTAAATTCATTTCCCATATTTCGCACTATCTTGATAAGCGATCAATATCTTCCTTTAGCTCTAGACCGTCTGAATACGTCTTTATGTTCTGGTATAAGACACAATCGTTCGCATAAAGACAAACGCTTGAACTAATGTCTGTAGAAATGTTGTTTATATATATTAGGAATAAAAGCGGACCTAGCACTGATCCCTGTGGGACCCTTGATGTTACTTCTAAATGCGACAACGTTTTCCCGTTAACTAAAACAGCCTGTCTTCTATTTGTAAGATAATCATTAAGCCAGTTAAAATTATTTTCAGGGATATTCAAAATTTTTTATTTGTATAGGATCAATTTATGACCTTGTCAAAGGCTTTATGAAAATCTAAAAAAACGCAGTCTGCTTACACACCTTTATCAAACAAAAAAAAAAAAGAAATGTTGTGATAAAAGTCGATCAGCTGGGTATCGCACGATAAACCACTTCGTAAGCCATGTTGATAAGGAATAAAAAAGTTGTTTCCGTCGAGATGTTATATCAGGTGGCTGTAGATTATATGTTCTAATACTTTCGAGCACATACAAAGAAGACAGATTGGTCTATAGTTTTCTACCCTATTCTTTTTTACCGCTTTTGTGGGCAGGAACGATGTGAGCTCTTTTCCATTCACTTGGTAATTTACCCCTTGATAATGAGTTATCAAATAATACAAATAAAAAACTAGACAGAATGCCGGAACACTCTTTTATTATGTGACCTGGTATACCATTAGGCCCAGTGGCCTTGTGATAGTTAATATTGTTTAGTAAACTAAGAATCTCATCTTGACAAAGTTCAATATCCAACATGCTGTCTTCTAAAGATTTAAAAATGAGAAAAGGGCCATTCACTACAGAAGGCGAGAATACAAATTCGAAATAGCCATTAAAACGGCTTGCTTTTTCAGTCGTTGATAGTTGAAATACCTGGCTCATCTTCAATTAAACTTTTCACATACCTCCAAAGTTCCTTCAGATTTTGTTTTAACTTATCATCAAGAGTTGCGAGAAACTAATTCTTGTAGTGTGTCGCTTTGCTTTTAAAAATTGCTGTTAGTTCCTTTAGATGAACCAGGAGGCTGTTTTCCATATTGTCTAAATCTAGCCCACACACAACGTCTAGGACGCTGCCTAGAGGACAACTTCTTGGACGACCTCAAGCTCGTTGCCTAGAACGACGTCCAGGACAACCTCAAGGACGACGTCTAGGACGACCTCGAGGACAACTTCTAAGACGATCTCGAGGACGACGCCTAGGGGCCGACCTCAAGGACGACGTGTAGGACGACCTCAAGGATGACTTCTAAAGAAATTCAGCCTTTCCACTCTGGTTTTCACCAGAGTGGAAAGGCAGGAAAGGTTGCCGCCATCTATAAGCATTTGCGGCAACTAGACAACAGGCAAGCTGGTTGCCGACGTCGTTCATAGATGGCAGTAGCTGTCTGGAGTTTTGTGCCAACATTTGATTGTCCACGGACATGATACCGGGGAAACTAGCCCTTAACAGCTCCACTGTAAAAAACTAGCACAAACCAAACAGTGTGGTTTGTCCGGGACATATTTTGTGCTCCCTTGTCTTTGTCAACATGACCTAGCTTTTCTTTTTTTTTCTCTTCATTAAAGGAAAGCTTGAGAGGTTCTTAAAAAAAGACAAAACAAGTTAGAGCGGAATTCTGGAGTGTTTTTATCCCATGAATATGAATGTCACGTTCGTCTTCCCACGAGATGTATTTAAATGCGAGAAAACAAAAAAAACCTCCAACCAGTCATTACGTCATGCCTAGATCTTTCAGCCGCCAAGAGCGTGTCGCTCGTGTGGGCAGCACGTGCATTTGCAAACTTGCCAAGTACATTCCCCCGCACCGACACAAGTTGTGACGTCTTTTTCGGACCTTTTCGAAAAAAGCAAGAGTGCATGTGCATAGCTTTCAGAGGCGCTGAAGATGCGCGAGGACAGAGATTCCAAACTCTTGATATTGCCGCGCACGCAGCTGGCCAAGTAGGCAGCACGGCCGCAGCCGTGGAATAACGGTTATCGTGCTTGCCTCCCACGCGAAAAGCCAGGGTTCGATCCCGGGAGTTATTCGTCCTTTATTTATTCTTTCAGTTTAATATTCTGGTGAATTCGAGAACATTGTTGTTTATTCTGGGTCCGAATGTTCTATGCGTCGAACCTTCTACGCTAATTATTCCAGAAGCCCACGCGTGTACATAAGGGGCTTTGTGTGGTGAGCCAAAGTGAATTTTCATCCAGCGTTCGACTCTGCTGTCATGCCAGCTTTGACGCCCGCGACGCTGTGCTTTTTTTCTGTTTGCTTTTTATTTTTGGGCAGAAGTTCGCCCTACTAAACGTTCAGTTTACTCAGTCATTGCCGCCTCATCCCTTGTCATTCGTGACAATGTGACGTTAAGCTTTGGAAGGGACGAGCTTCAGCGATACTTGACATCATGACCTGGCATATTCATTTGATAATAGGCTTCAAGTAGGTTGCATATTTCTTTATTTTAAAAAAAGCATTTGATACAGTATCTCATGTGCTTATTATTCATAATCTTTCAACATTAAACTTACCGAGTAACATTCTCGCATGGCTAACCGATTACTTGCAACAGAGAAAGCAATGGTGATATTGCGGTTACATCCAGAATACCACAAGGGTCTGTGAGGGTCCACTTTTGTTTTTAATGCGAAAGAATTAACTGTTTCATGGAGCGAGCCGACGTCATCAGCTTTGAAACCATGCAAAACGGTACCTTAAAGGGGTAGGGAAACGAAATTTCAGCGCTCATTTTCTAGCTTGAGTGTGTTGCATGTTGCACCCTTACCTCAAAAACAACGGTTTTCTGTTAAAAGGCACAAGAAAACTAATTTTAAACCTAAATAAACAATCTTTCAATGTGCATCTGGTGGATGGCATGCGGAGCCTTTTTGGGAGGTAATCTAGTAACGTTGGGGAACTTGCTACGTAGTCGTGACGTAGCAGATTCCTTCGGAGTAGCGACGTTTTTTGGAATTTCAACATTTTCCTTCGAAGCTTTCCTCCTAGCTCAACTCACAAATCGCGCACTGTACCAAACGGTCCAAGAAGACAAAAAGGGAGGACTCCCCTCTTTCTTGGACCCTCATTCGTGCAACCGGACACGGCCATTCTCCTCCTAGAAGATTAGCCCGTCGCTCAAGACTCGAAAAAAAGTTTCTTTCCCCACCCCTGTTCAGCCCTAAGCTGACAGTGTTGTGGAAGCTACGTGCTTCTTCGGCCAGCCACACGGTCGTCACCCCACAGTTGTAACGCGCTGACGCTATTGACACCACCACAACGCTGACAACGCCACCAAGGGCAAAGCTCATAACCACGCCAGCCATGCTACGTCACGAATGCGGGGGAATCTTTTCTTTCTGTTTTTGTTTGCGCCGGATATCCCATGACGCATCGCACTCTCCGTTCGCTTCTCTTCGAGCGCTTGCTCAAGTGCACCATTTGGAACAAAAAATATAGCCCGTAGTTAAAAATACAAATGTGCGATTATCATTTACGGTTATTATCCGTCATGTTTGACTCATTTCCGAACGAAATTTGAATATTTCAATTTTTGTTTCCGTACCCCTTTAATGAAACCACACGCAAAGCAAGTTAACGGCACCTTTTACACTTTGGTCCCACTGGCTGGTGTACGTCAACGAGGCTCCCATTGGCCGCTGTGCGTCAGTTTGTGTAGTGTCATCCTGACTGTGTTATCACATTGTACTGTTATCATTGATCACCGCGTTTGGTCGCCCCTTATCGGTCCTATGGCGCGTGGCAATTTATACGGCGCATGGAATAAACCCAGGGGTTCATTCTGCTCAGAACTACGTTGATGTCTGTTTTTTTCTTGCGCCGCAAGGCACATGACAGTTTGAACGATCGCTCACCCGATGGCACTGCGTGCCTGTGAGGCAGCGGCTCCACCGTTCCACGCCCAAAGTCAGCGAATCGTACGCCCCAGATCAAAGAAGAGAGCGAAGAGTGGCGTGCGTGCTTTCGCATTCACAACTCATAAGAAGTGCTTAGGTGTACCTTGAGCCTTTCGATTTTTATTGACGATATCACCCACTCACTGAATTCAAGAATAAGGCTTTACGCTGATGACTGTGTTGTATACTCCGAGGTTCGTGACATCGCAGATTGCTGTGCATTACAAGATGATATCTTCCGTATCTTTGCTTGGTGTGATACATGGGGCATGAAACTAAACACGGTAAAGTGTCATCATGTGCGTTTCACGCGTAAATGCAGGCCTGTCCTCTTCACATATAACGTCAGCGGAAATTCTCTAGCAACCGTACCAAACGCAAAATACTTTGGTGTATACCTTTCGGAAAACTTTACCTGGACAAAACACGTAGACTACAAAACTGCAAGAGCAACTTGCGCGCTTAACTTTGCAAAGTGAAATTTTAAAGACTGTCCGCGAAACACTAAGTTGACGTTATACCTAACATACTTTAGACCTATCTTAGAGTATGCCAGTGTCTCCTGAGACCCTAGTCAAACATGTATTGTTTATCAACTAGAAAATATTCAAAACAGAGCAGCCAGGTTTATAAGAGGCACCTACAATTTTAGATCAAGTGTTAGCGATCTGAAAAGAGAATTCGAACGCCACAGAAGGCGTTCCATGCGATTGAAATTCTATCATAGCATCTTTCAAAACTACCTTGGTTTAAATAAAAATAACTATATGCTGCCTCCCCACTTCACATCAGAAAGGAGAGACCACTCAAAAAAAGTGAGAGAGTACAGTCTAAGCTCATTATAACAGACCTTGATCTGACTAAAATTTCGGTCTGCTCTAAAAGGAGTATGTTGTATGCAGATATCAAGTTGAGTCAATGGTGCATAGAGGAAAACCAACCGAACTTCACAAATCGGTATGTCATATCCAAATGTCTGCTGTGATCAGGTCCGTTGTACAGTAGACTCTCATTAATTCAAACTCCAGGAAGTCACAGATTTTAGTTTGAGTTATCAGAAGTTTGAATTATCACAAATTTATCTAAATATGATACTAGACAACATTATGGTTTGTTACATGGATAGCTACATACAAAGCAGATTTTTGCCAGTTTCCTCTACATAGGCCTAATTATAAGCAAGTACAGGCAAAACACATTGGTGAAAGAACTGAACTTTGTCTTTGTGGACGTCCAGAACACGGGGTGTGCGGACTACTGTCTGTAAAACGCATTTAGTGTGCGTCGGGTATTGCGAGGATACAGGAATACAGTAGACTCATAAATTCAAACTCCAAAAAGCCACGAATTTTGTTTAAACTATCGCAAGTTGGAATTATGAGAAATTCATCTAAATATGATGCAAGATAGAATTATGATATGTCATATGAATGACTACACAAACAAAGTAGATATTCAGTGATTTCCTCTCATAGGCCTGCTGATAATAAGCAGGTATGCCATACATAAAACATTTGTGAAATGTATGACAAGTTTATTTATCTCCTAAAAATGTTGTTTATCGTGGACTGTTTAGACAGCAGATCAAAACTCAAAACAAAATTAACTTTGCTCATCAGGCCAAGAGGTTGTCTAATGTGGACTATTAAGCAGGGAACACATGAGCAATGAAAACTGGCACCGCGCGGCAGTTTTCATAGCAACTTGCGCGAACACTGTGACTTGGACCTATGCCATGCCGCCATGTCACAGCGTCCGCGCAAGTTGCCATGGAAATGCTTGCATGGTGCCAGTTTTCAGAGCTCATGTGTGCCCGCTTGAGCCCCGTTGAGTGCGCTTCTCACCGAGCACCGGTGCACCGCGGAGAAACAACACCCGCGGAAGCACGTTCCGCGTGTGTTGCTTCTCTGCAGCGCACCAATGCTCAGAAAGAAGCGCACTCAACGGGGCCGCGAGAACAAAATGTATGAATTAAGCGAAAACGCCGTTCGAATTAAACGGCTTATAAATACATTAAAAACAGCGGGACAACCAAAATTTTGAAATCTGTTTAATTAACCGGAAGTACAAAATATCCGAGTCTGAATGATCGCGAGCCTACTGTAATGAGCTTAGACTGTACCAGTGCAGAACGGAAGTGTTCAAGAACTCTGTCTTTCCTTCCAGAACAGGTGACTGGAACTCGCTACCCGAAGAGTCAATAAACATAGCATCTACATCCCTGTTCTTCAATAGAATATTAAATAGTGACCTTTCAGATTGTTTTTGATGTCTTGTTGCTTGTGCCTCTCTTCAAGAATAAAGTAATTAGTAAAATTTTCTTTTGCATGTTCATGTCATGTGCTTTTTGTTTTTGTACCTTCGCTCAACTGTACTCGTACTCCCCCCCCTCGCTGTAATGCCTTCATAAGCGCAGCGAGGTACCTTGAATAAATAAATAAATAAATACAAAATAAATTAATAAATTGCAAATTCCGCTTCATCAGGACATCCAGCTCGGCCCAAAAACCTGCTGTGCATGACAGAATCTTTTTTTTATATCATCAAGCAGCTCAGGACACAACAGAGCTACGCCTGTCCATACCTAGGAGTTAACAAGAACAAGCAAATTCATTAGAAGCGTAGAAAAATTAACATTACGGGCCATCTGCGAGAAACCGACGTTTTTCGCATCGCCGCAAAACAGACAAAAGGGCCCGACACGGTCGCACCATCTCAACGACAGCGAATACTGTGGCTGAAGTATCACGGGACTCACTTCTTCGTAGTTGTCGACGGCGAAGAAGATGTCGGGGTAGGCCATCTCCTCCAGCTCCCCTTTGTCCTCCATGCTATGGCGACTGGGAGAGGCGTACACCCTCTGCAAGGCGCAATGCAGGAGTGGCGTGGCTAAGCCGACATGAAACAGCCCAGTGAGTTTTGTATGAAAAATCTTCATCTCGACTGAAGACAAAGTTGTCACACTCATTGGAAACTAGAGGCGACGGATAATTAAAGTTGCCCATGTCTTAAAAACGTAACACCAGTTTTGCCGATTTTTTTTTTTTATTAGAACAAGCAGAGTGTAATTTAAAGCTGTGTTCCTTTTTCAGCAACGAATGAATTAGCGCTTTTTAGTTTCATTCTGTCTTGTCTTACATGAATACCAAAGCACAAGTAAAATAGTGCAATGTTTTAAATTTTTAAGAAGACGCTTTTCTTGTCCTCATTCAAAATCATCGACTAGCTCAAGCACGAGACGTGCGACCAGAAAGCCAGGTGAAAAAATCCCAGCGAACGTACGCCCAGACCCTACTTATGTACGTAAATTCCGATCGACAACAGAAGTCTCCTTGGACCGCCATAAAACAAAAATGCGCACCAAATATGGATGGTCGTGGTATGTGTCCCACAGAGATGGCGCTAGAGAAGCCAAAAGTCCGGCGAAACTGCACCCAAATGTTTTAGAGCGCAGCTCTTAGGCGCCCGTTTCCGGCTTAAGCAGCATCGCTGTCGGCGTAACTGCGCGTTGCATTATGGGACTTTGACCATAATAATGTCACACGTGACGTCCCGTGCGACGTCATGAGGGTCACTCGGGACGTCACCGCGCATTGTATTATGGGTAAATTTCCGCCCTAAATCTAAGAAAAAATTTCTCCGCTAAACTTAGCTAAAAAATTCCCTGCTAAATTTAGCGGAAAAATTTCCCTGCTAAATTTAGCGGAAATAGTTCTCCGCTAAATGTAGCAGAAAAATTTTCCCGCTATATCTAGAGAAAAAACTTCCCCGCTAAGCTTAGTGGAAAAGATTTCCCACTAAATTTAGCAAAATAATTTCCCTGCTAAATTTAGCGGAAATAATTCCCCACTAAATTTAGCGGAAAAATTTTCCTGCTAAATTTAGCGGAAAAAATTCCCCACTAAACTTAGCGAAAAATTTTCTCCGCTAGATTTAGCAGAAAACATTTGGCAGGAAATTTAGCGAAAATTCTTCGCTAAATGGGAGGGGAGCAGGAGAGGAGTACGGATGAGGAAGGGGGGCATACCCTCCTCCTCCTCAAGAGCTGCGCTCTAGTTCGGCGTTAAAGGGGATTGTAAACGTCTCATTTTTTTAAAGAATGCATATCCCCCAATGTGTAAAGTGTCCTACAGAAAAACGTCACATCTGTAGCAGCTAAGTGCCGAACCCATGTGGTTCAGTCTAGCTCAAACGCTCACGCTGCATGGTAAAGGCCCGCTCACACTTGTGCTTACGACCGAGTTCCTGTGGTCTCTTACGACGAGACGCTGGCACCATTTTGTGAGGTGGCGCCGGAACTGCACTTCACTAGAGCAAAGGCTCTGCAGTATTGCGAGGTCAACTGCAGAGTTTTAAGGCACCCCGGCCGTAAGCAGTCGCAAGTGTGCCAACCAGCCTTGACACATTGCTTACAGACGACTCCTCGTGTCGGCGACGGTGCCCAGTTTGGCGCCCAGTCGTCACTTGTCCGCAAACAAGTCGGCGGCCTAGCGGACGTGCAGGGCACAACAAAGTTCACCCTAACAAGCGATCGGAGCTTTTCACGGTTCCCCCACAAACTAACAGCTTCCGTCGGCACCATCGGCATGGCAGAACGTGCCTGTCCGGGGCGTCGCTGTGGGTGGTAGCAGTTTAGGGGTTTGTCCCTACCTCATACAAATGAAACGCATGCACAAAAAGAGAGGTTCAATGTCACGTTCGTGGGAACTCTGTCGCACAGCGGCGACCGACGGAAACTAACTTGGGTCACCCCCACCTGAGACTTCCTGCGAAGAACCTGGAGATGCTGACTGCTTGTTCTCGTGCAGACCGCTCCAGTCAAAGTGTACTCCAGCTGTACAAAAACAAAAAGGAAAGACGCCGCAGAGCCGGATATCAGGGGACACCACTCGAATTGGCGCACGCGAGAGAACGTAAAGACGAGCTATGCTCTCGGCACTAACGTACCACCGTATGCCTCACACTCTTTTGCCGTGTAAAGTTGATGTTGCTTAGTGCGTGTCCACAAGGCGACGACCACAGATACCAGATGCTTTTTTAAGGAGGACAAACGTTACACTGCCTACATCTTCGTACAAAACATTAGATTTCGACAAATCTCGTATTCATGTCAAGCCTGTACCAGAACAAATTCTTTACTAAAACAATTTTCGAATTAGATAAATTTTCATATCTGGGCAGACTCTGTTGTCGGACAAATTCTGTAATAGCGTGGCCGCCTTTTTCTATCTGTCCAGAAAAGAATGAAACGAAGCAAACAGTGCTAACACAATGTGTACATTGTCGTTAACACAATGTGTACATTGTCCTAAGGGAACCTCCACTTTCCAGTAGCAACTTCTAATCTCTCTCCAGCAGATTACTATCCTTTTTGTAGCTATCTTTCTTGCCGCCTTCACCCTTCCCTGATAGCAATATTTGTAAATAGCAAGCAGCCTGGCTGTTAGGAAAGATGAGATTCAAGATACACTGAGATAGCTCTTGTTCAGATGGACCTAGAGCTATTAATTAAACAGCAACTCCGCTTCATTTTTGTCATTAAAAACCAATGCAGTCCTTTTCAGTATCACCTAGGGAGACCACACGTCCAATATTACAACCTAGTTCTGGCTAAATGTTTCAACTTCACAAATCGCCAAGTTGCCGAAATCGGCTGACACGAGCAGACGAATTGAGGCGCAACCAACAGCGCAGTCAAGGCTACGACGTGGGCGTAGCCAACATTGAGCTAAACGTCATCACCATTGCCCCTTTCTGCTTGTTTTTACTTCTCCGAGCAAGTGTACCGAGTGACATGAGCAGAGTTTCCTCTCGGCACTCAGCGGTGTCATGGTGATTGTCGTAACACGCCTGCGCAGCACGCTTCTTTAGAGCCATTCAGCCGTTACCGCCATCTCCTGCGTCTTAACCGCCATTCCTGCGTCTTAACCGCCATCGTCGTCTCCTTGTTTGCAATTATTGTCTCTCGAAGTTTCATCTAAACTACAAACACTAATGCAAAAAAAAAAAACCTTTTTTAGAGCAATATTGACAGAACGAGATGCGATTTAGTCGGTAGTCACCTCCTTTCCACTTGTTTTCTCTCTCAACCTTTCGGTTGTGTGAAGGAGAGGTGCATCGGCTTGGCCATCACGTTGAGGTGGAGATAGCATATGACCATTCCGTGACGTCATAGACTTTGCACACAAAATTTAAAATAAATCTCGCGCCAGCAATATTGTTTTAATTTCTTTTTTTTTTTCACGTAAAGTTAGTTTTTTTACTTGCATGTCTTAACCAAACTGTTTAAAAAAAAAAGCATTTTCTTTTTAGGGGCTTTTTAAGCTATGCTTAGAGCAGTCTGTTGCAGGTTGAAAGTAGCGGGACAACCTCCTTCCACAAAGCTTTCTACACGTTCCACTTTGGCCAAACAAACACTGGAGAGGAGGAAACCGTCAACCACGGCGAGCGGAGAGCTTTCTTGAAGGAGCCTGTCCCGCAGTTCTTAACTTACGGCAGACTACAGCTCTATGCCGTGCTGCGTCCAATGAAGCAACACACCGAGAGAGTGGAAACTCAGGGGCCCACCTGTTGCATGATCAGGTTCAGGTAGACCGTTTCCTCCCAGTGCATCTCCAGGTCCGCAATGGGAAGCTTCTTGGAGGCACGTCGGAACACTTGCACGCTCGTCTGAGTGGCGGCAGAAAAGCGTCACCGTTCGTAAGGACTCGGGTCGCTGTGGAACCGTTGTGCAACTGTCCTTTGCACCATACTCGGCTAGTAATTGGACTACGGTAAATGCATTACTGTAATTTAGTTACTTTTCCGGGTACTTCGGAAGAGCAATTCACTCCTTTTGGTTAAAAGAAATTGTAATTTACTTACTTCATGATCTCAGGGTTGCAGAATCTTAACTACATTTATAACCACCTTTTATTATAATTGTGCCACCCCAGAGCTCTGTCACCGACAAGCAAAAGAACACCGGACGTCTGCCTCACGGCACTTCTGCCGTCCCTTTGAACTTTGACAGTGGTGAGACAATGTCAGGGTGCCGACCGTGCATGCACAGCTCAGCAACGTTCAAAACCACGATGCCAGCAGGGGGGTAGACGAGATCTCCCCAAGTAAAGTGAGAGTGTATACCTTCAAGTACCTATTTATCCTTATTGATCGTAGAAATGAAACTTAAAATTATAATAAGAACTGTAATTCCATCATTCTCTCGTTTTTATGCCTGCGTGTGCTTTGTTCTTACTGTGTTCTTAGATTTCTCAATTGTATTTAAACCCCCCTTCTGTAATTCATTCATTCATTTTTTTTTTTTTTTTTGCTTATGAACAGTTTTTGCTTTTGTAATGATGCACAATATACATAAGCCAAAAAGGAAAAAAACAATAATTCTAGAGATTATTAAAGAAAAGCCTGCACGCTATAAAAGATGGGTTTAAAAGGCCATATGTGGAGCGTCAATGATATGATAAAAGTTCTGAATGTGTTTCACGGAGCAAGTTTTGAAGATTTGACAAAAAATGTAAGAGAAATTTGCTAAAAACATCTTGGAACATGAACATTAACTCCTTCCTAACCACGGGAAAAGCAGCAATTTTCAAAGGATCCGTGCAAATGCTTTTATTTTGCTAACTTAATTGCGTATGAAGCAATATGATACATCAAATGTCGCAAATTAGTTGTTCTTTCCAAAGAAACAAGTTAGTATAAAGTGGGAAAAAATTTTTAAATTTTATTTCTTGAAAATACAATGTATGTGTGGAAGGCGTATAAAGACCGAAACTTCTACAGCTATGTCGAATTAAATGTAAAATAAGAAAAATTTCAACTATAGAAAATGTGCCCAATACCCATGGCTATTACTTCCGAAAGCTAGTGCACTCTTACTGACATTACCTATTTTCACTTCGTCGGAGAGTTAGCCTCCATAGCACGCCTGCTTTTCAATGAAGGAATGCTTATATTGGTGAAACACAAATAGTACATCTCACATGCCCAGCAGAATGCTTTCCCTGAGTCCTACCTTGGTTCTGTCATAGCCTCGATTGCAGTTCCCTCATATTTAGAATTTCTGTGCGCTTTGTTGGGAACATAAAATCTGCACGCCGGCTCAGGACAACCATGGAAATTATAGTGATGCTTACTGACAACCATCAGTTAAGCAATGCCTGTAACATAACTTGAAGCGTCCCCAGAGCTCTTGTGGACTAAAAAATATGCCACAATACAGATGAATTATCTAAATAATTCCATCTTTGTTACGAAGACTTATGCAAGCAGTTAGCAATGTTAAACAAGGGCAACCACCATTCCCACAACTATTCTTGACAGCCCACCAGCTTGCGATAAAGCTTAAACCTAAAATTGAAACCGAAACTAGAGTTCTTCGGCTATCCATGAGATTGTGGAATATAATTTTCCGCACTAAATTTAATTTCTTGACGGCGCTTGGAAATTATTGATCCCCGGGGATTGATGGCCTATGGATGGGGTCAGGAAAGCGGTAATCGCTAAAGTTAGATCGGGGTGATCAATTACTCCATGAAGGCATTTAAGCAAAAGTATGAGATCTCTATCATAGCGCTCAAGGTAGAACAATTACATCATTCTAAGAGCCTTCTATAATCATGGTAAACTGAGCGGCCGATATACCAATCATAAAAAATTTGAAAGAAATGCTTCTGGACATTTTCAATCGTCGTTTGCTACATGCTGCCAATAGAATTTCATACGACAAAGGAAAACTCTAGCTTCGATCTAATTAATGCAAAGTATACTGTATAATGCAGGCTGACATGGAAAACTCGCGTGCAACTCTAGAAATGACACCCAGCGTATGAAAGAAGGCATTGACAATGCTATCGACATGTATACTGAATGACAGAGAAGAGCCTATATAAACTCCAAGATAACGGGTGCACTCGACTCTCTGCAACGGGGCATTCTCCAGTTGATGATAACAGAAATTAATAGGCCTTAGCTTCCTAGAGAAAGACAGATTAGTAGGATTAAGCGTCATATGAGCTGAGATCATTTAGGAACACATTAAAAAGAATCGGTCCAAGTATGGACCCTTGAGGAACACCAGAGAGGGTAAAAAAAACGTAAAGAGAGATGTCCAAGGACACATTCAAAGTTGTGTCTATTGAACAAATAATTGTGAATCAAGGCGCAAAGCAGAGTACTCATGCCGTAAGATTTAAATTTTTGTAAAAGTAGCGAAAGATCAACTAAATCAAATGCCTTAGACCGATTGGAATATACATTGTCAACCTGTCTGCGCTGACACAAAGTAGGCGAAACAAAATTAAAAATAGACACTAAATTTGTTTCCATGGATCTCCCTCGCACAGAACCATGTTGTGAGGGGAGGATCCCATGTTGACAAAAAGCTTGATATATGTTCCAGCAGTGCTATTTCATAGACTTTTGCAAACAGACATAACAAGAAGATAGGTTTAGTTTTTCTTATCGTCAATTCCTCCTTTTTTCTGTATCACCGCAGTCGTAGAGACTTTCCAAATCGAAGAAGAAGTAGAGGTCGGTAACGGCAGGTTAAGAATATGCACTAAAATGGGTGTGAAAATATGAGAGTGTCCTTTGACATTAGAACTCGGGATACCGCCAAAAGCAACAAATGACTTAGGTTCGAGTTTTCTGGTGGCAGTTGAACATCGGCGTCTTCAAAGAATGAAATTGAGAGGCAATCACTACCACTGTTAGTAACGTCAGGCACAGATAAACCATCCCCGTTGCAAGAATACACAAAAGCAAAATAGCTCAGCTCACAAATCAAAATTCCTGAGGAGTTAGAGACATTTGTTGTCACAATTCGCGGCTGTACGGTCCTTGGCGTACTTCCGAAAACTAATTGGTGCACTCTCCTATTGAGCTGCAATAACAAATGTGCCTGTTGAGGTCACACTTTACCGTGAACAGTAGGTATAATACTAAATAATGAAACAACTGGCTGACATTACTCTTATGACTCGGCTCTCACATCAAAACACCGACGAAATAGATGAAACAAAGGCACGAAGTGTGACGAACGTATCATGCCATAAAAGGAATCCTCCACCATCAGATAAAAAATTAACAATATATACCAGTGCGGAAAACTGCAGTCGCACTCACGTCATTGTTGTCGGAAAGAAAGTAACTGTCAAATAATGTAATTGTAAATCAAGCATTATTTGCTGAAAACATTGCAAAAATTGTAATTAATAGCTTTTTGTGCCCTAGTAATTCTAATTGTAATATATTACCTTGTTTTCCCAAGGAGTGAAGAACCCCGTCTTACCTCTTTGAGCGCCACAAACCCCAGTGTCCAATTCCCCTCCCTTCACTTTTTCCGCCCCCCTCAAAATCACCTCGGCCATTTTGTTTATTTTAATTGAAACACACTTTTTTCCCCACGGAACCGTGAGTCTGCCGGAAAACACTTAAATAATGCAAGTGTGCACCATAGACGCTTCCTCTGGTTCCTACAGAATTGCCGTAGCAGCTCAAGAAGCTTGCGTAGCTGTTATTCCAACTTTTCCTGTCTTGCCTAAAAGGGATATTGTATTTATCAAGAACTGCTGCACTCTTACCTTTATGCCCTTTTAAGAATTCCGGAACAAAAATTTTGGAATTGGGTTCTTTTGTGCACCACCTGTACATGTCTCCCCAGAGAACTTTTTGCCAAAGCATCTAACGAGGTCCACTCGAATAAAACCGACCGTGTCTAAAAATTCATGCCCGTCTTGTAATCAATCTGGTGTCGAAGAGACTTTTAATATGTTCACTTACAAACGGCACTCCTGCACGTGTGCAAAGCCCTGACAAATGCTTTTGGCTTCCAACTTCTGGTTAGTATAAAGATGAAACATCCTGCGAGGCAGCATCAGACAATGAAACACCTGCTTAAATAACCTTCTCTACCACCTGTTAGTGTTAACTACCCGGAAAGCGTACGAACGAACGCGATTGGTCGATACCGTCACGTGACACAAGCTGATCATGTGACTATGCTGCCCAACAACTGGATACGTTGCTGAGAGCATCTACAGCTGATTATTTTTTTTTTTTCTTTCTGGATTTTTGCAGTCTGAAAGCTGTGTGATACTTGCATCTTGCTCCGCCGTAACATCTTCGCACCTAGAACAGGAGAACACCTTCGGGAAATTTTGTTTTCTCGGTTCGTCACTCAAAAATGGCACATACCTCAACTCTCGGGAAATATCGTGCAGTAGACTTGCGAGTGGCTTTCTTGACGAAGAACACAAGATCGTCATGGTGGTCGGGGCTTTCGTTGCACAAAAAGTAACGAATAAAAACGTCCATCCAGAAATTCGACGTGGAGTTCACAACGACAAATCCTGAAAGGTCGAAAAGGGACGCTAGTTTGAACCACAAGCACACACAAGAAAAAAGGAAGCAGAGAAGCACGATTGGGATCGGATTAAGCTTGAAACCTCGTACAAATCTATGTATTGTTTACATATACGCCTTCTCAAAGCACGGTTTCAGCAATTTTGAAATTTCGTGAAGCTAGATTGTGAACCACGGGAAAAACCCTGCTTGATCATAGATGACACTCGCGTTCGCTCCTACGTGCTTGAAGTTCCTTGGGGGAACCGAGTTGCCGAAGGTAAGGACTCTAAACGATAAAAAGCAAGCCAAATGATCATGCTGTTGTGACGCGTGCGAGGAACGCTATCGGTGTTGCAAAGAGAGGCAACGCAATAGGACACTGCACAGAGACCTGGCAAGGGACTTTCGATCCCTTCGTTTTTCTTAAGCTTCGCTGGAGCTTCTTAGGGAGATCGGCTAAAATTACGCACCTGAGCTCGATAATTCTCGGCTTTCACGCGCTCGAAGGTGATAAACTTCGGAAAAAACCTTGGACAAAACCGCAGTATCAGAACTTTCACCAACAGCGTAACTGGCGTCTGCCATCACATTTGAACTGCTTGGATTGGATTGCTTCACAAGACGTCCATATCAGTATACACACCAAATTAGACCAAACAAACCAGTGACGTCATGGTGAAGGCACAATGAATTTGTCAATGTAACTTTAGCCACCATGCTTGTACGCCCAAATAAAAGTTTCACGATGCAGATTAATCTGACTGTTTGTGAGGTGAGCTAGCAGTTCCCAAAATAATCGTATCAAAATGTGCAAATTTTGATAATATTGATTGGCGTAACCAATTACATGACGTTTATTTTTATATATGGCTAACACATCCGCACGGCGTCGAATTTCCGAAGGCAGGTCGGAAACTGATCACGACGCGGCAAAACTTGCTTTCGTGAAAATTTCCACATGTTCTCAAAAGCAAGTCTCAACGCTTACGCAGGGTCTTAAAAAACTTCTTCGGCGAATGACGACGAACGAGTAAAAAACATGCCTTCAGCAAGCTGCCGCCAGCCTCTGCAACGCTAGCGAAACAGCAATTTGGGGGTCAGTAGCTTGCGCCACTTTGCGAAATGTTAGAAATAAAAAACAATACCGCATGGCAAAGCAAAACTGGGAAAATTACGAGCTACAGAAGAATAAAGTAAAATCTCTAGTGACGACAAAAATTCTGAAGATACACACGAAACACGAACAAGCCCTACAAGAAAGCGACAACAAAAGCCGTTGCTTTTGGAGATATGTGCGATCTCTCCAACCACACGAGGACCTTGAACACAAGACGGTAGGGAGTGGAGAAGACCAATGGACCACTGAAGAAGAAATTACCGAGGGAATAACTAGATACTTTCAGGGACTTCAAGCCTCCTTCTACAACAGACCGAGGACACAGGAGGAAACATCCCTACGACCTCAGGAACAATTTGACCGCAGCATTCTTGAACCAATAGCGCCCGGTGAACTGCAGAGACATATTAATAAACTAGAGGCAGGAAAGGCAGTAGGTCCAGACGACATCCCCAACGAGTTCCTGAAAAAGCTTAAACCGGTAGCACAAAAGCACCTAAGGTACCTTCTAAATAAAGACAAGAAATCATTAGACTCATACAGGCCGATAACAATACTAAGTAATGTTTACAAACTGTTTGCATCAATTCTGCAAGACAGACTACAGAGACTCTGTGAGAAAGCCCATCTTTTCAGCGAGGCACAGAATGGATTCCGTAGGAACCGGCGGGGCAGCGACAACATATTCACTGTCACACAACTAATAGAGCTAAAAAATCTAGATAGGTCACCACTCTATCTGGCTTACCTTGACTTGGAAAAGGCCTATGATGCAGTGCCCCATGAGAAGATGTGGACGAAGTTAGAAGCGATGGCACTGGATGTTCAGACAGTATCGCTCTTCAGAAACATGTACGCCGGATGCAACGCCAGATACAGTTTGGGAGAACATTTATCAGGGCAGGTGAACATGATTGTGGGTCTGCACCAAGGCTGCCCCCTTTCTCCAACCCTGTTCAATATCTACATGAACAATCTCATTCTGGAGCTGCAAGCCAAAGGGCAGGGTGTTTCTTTCACAACCATTACCTCCAGTCATGGAAACAACTTATATTCCAGTACTGGCCTTTGCTGATGATATACTCCGGTTATCAGAGAATGAAACTCACCTTCAAGACATGCTCGATATCTGCACTCGAATTGGGAATGAAGAGGGATTCAAATTCAGTAAGGAAAAATCAAAGTGGATGGGCTATAATGTTCACGAGCCTAATCACATGTTTAGAGTACAGGAGGTGGAAGTAGAACATACCAAGGAATACAGGTATCTGGGAGTGACTCTTCAAGAAAGCCCGCTATACTTGGAACAACACGAGAGGAACACCCTAAAAACCTCCAACATCCGAAAAGGTCACCTGTGGAACATGGCAAAGTATTCCTATAACCCATACACCCTTGCGAGGGCACTGTGGAAGAGTGTCGCAGTACCGGCGGTCACCTATGCCAACGACGCAGTGGTCTTCCAACAGACCACCCTTAAGACACTGGATCGCCATCAAGTGGAAATCGGGAGGTGGGCACTGGGCGGACGGGGCAACTGCAAACCTGGCCGTCACGGGAGAGATGGCCTGGTCGACATTCAAGCAACGGGATGCAAGGGCCAAGTTTGGATACCTAGGGCGCCTGATCCACATGCCAGACGAAGCGTACGCCAAAAGGACATTCCACTACGTTAGATACCGCAGCAGCAGGACGAACTGGTCAAACACCATCCCCAGGCTCGACTCTGTGTACAGCAAAGGGATAAGGCGACATGAGGCCACATCGGAGAAAGGATGGTTCAAGGCTGTGACAGAGGAGGTGAACGCGATTGAACTTGAGGCCTGGAGACAAGCGGTGAGGAAAAAGCAGAGCCTCCAGAGCATCTACGCGCTCCACAAGTCTGAGCCGTCTCCCTGCACACACTACCGAGGAGACCATGAAAGAGTGCTACTGTTTCAGGCACGGGTAGGAGCGCTGATGACGAGCTGCCGACGTGCCCAACTCTTCGGAGACACCGACACAGCCCGTCATCTGTGCGGGCAGTCAAGCGAGGACGTCCTCCACGTGCTGCTGTGGTGCCCTGCCCTAGACCACTGTCGACCGCCCTGGGCGACCAGCGAAGAGAAGATTCCCAAAATGCTGGGATTCGGGGAAGGAGCCCACGGTCCACTAGCAACCAAGCGCATTCTCATTGAATGGGAGAGACTGCGTCTGATCGCCAACCAGTGAAGGTGTCCCAAAAGTGGGAAAAGCTAAAACAAAACAAGAACTAAAACTTTTACCTGTGTCGGCAATCTGAACTTTTGCTGACCCCCGTCTCAAAAGGGGTTAGGTACCGCCAACTATCAACCACCAGGCACTGTGGAATATCAGCAAAACAAAAACAAAACAAAAAAATTGTTCACCTGAACGGCTTCCCTAGCAAGACATGTCCTCTGCTATGCAAATTAAAAAAAAAAAAAAAAAAGGTTTTTTGTTTTTAACGAGAAACGTGAATTTTGCAGCGCAAACATACGTTCACAGCGGAGCGGACACAAACTATGCCGACACGGCTTCACCCTCCCCTTGTTTTACCGAGTTCGGGGCCCGAAAACAGCAAACGCCTTGGAGACAGCCAGCAGTCTGTGCAAGTGGCTACGTCCCAAGCCACGAGCATGCTCCAAGGTTCTGTCGAAACGTGCTAGCAAAAGGCCACTTTCCCCTCGGCAAGGAAAGTCCCAAAGCGGGCTGCTAAAAGCTGCCGTCCAGCAAATATTTCCGCAACAGGAAGTGTGTCCTGTGCGAAAAGCCCACGGCGATTTTGTAAGGCAAGATCAAAAACTACTGCAGCGATGGCTCCACGAGTACCCCCGAAATAAAGAGACAAGACACAAAGTGAAACTAGAAGTCCGACCTCAGCTTTTATTATATTAGGGCTAAGTTAAAGGGAACCTGCTCATCACACACACACTCTCACATCCAGACACACACACAGAGTCAAGTATCCCAATACAGCTCGAGTAAACAAAAAAAAAAAAAAAAAGCCTGGAGAGGGAAAAGGGTCTATACTTTTGTTTTAATACAACTGCCACCCTAGCCCAGAGGTGCAAGCATGTAGATTCCTTCTCAACAAGTAACGGCAGATAACCTTTCTGCTTGGGGGTAAACGACTTGTCCTACCACGTGCCTCCCAGGACGAGAAAAACCAACAGGGAGAAGGGATGCGGCGGGCAACCGTGGCGCGCCAAGGGAGGATGGCGGCGACGCGGGGGCAGCGGGGTCGGAGAACGGAAGAAAGCACCGTACGTGCGCACACAAGCAGTCATCCAACAAACAGTGGTCCTGCCGGGAGGTGGGTCTTCCTGGAAACCCCCCCACCCGGCCATTTTGGCTCTTCGGTTCACGCCCTGTCATCCAGGAACTGCTCTTGAGGTCCGGATCCGTGCGTCTACTTCGCATACGAAGCGATGCCGCTTCCACGCGGCGCCCTGCCCGTCTGGTTCATCCCGCCGCGGCCGGGCCCCCGACCTGCATCGACGAGTTGGAACGAGACGTTTTGTCGTAGGCAAGTTGGAGGACCTGAACCCATTAAAATGTCTCCAAAGACACTGAAATGGCAACAAGATGACAGCCATGTCATAGTCAATGTCACTGGGAAAACGGCCAACTAGTTGTCGCCTTGTCAAGCCACGCAACCTATCACAAAGCTGTTCTAAGGCCCTAGCAGGTCCTGTGGATCACAGTTATATATGATTATAATGCAATTAAATGCAAAAGTGCAAGCATCACCTAGCCGTGTATAGAGATCTGTGTTTGCCCTTTGTCCCCCTTGTTCCCCTTCCCCAGGGATTATTTTTGCCATTCGTCAGTTATATATGCAACCTGTTTTTTGGCTGACTTACAACAATTTTGGTGAAAGAAAAAAAAAAAAAAAGAAAGAAAAAGCAAGACATACAAAAATCAAGAATGCTAATAAAGCTCTCAAGTAAGTTCTTGGGGTTCAATGAACCAGAACAACTTGGATCCCAAAACTTCCACAGTGAGCTGTTTATATGTATATATATAAAAAAGCCGTTTACAACTCCCTGTAACGCCGAATTGGAGCGCAGCTCTTGGGGAGGAGGGAAGGGTACTGAGGGGTGGGTAGACCCCTTCTCCTCCTCTCATTCTTTAACATGCTCGGGGGGGGGGGGGGGGGGGGGGGGGGTCACCTGACCTCGGGGGGAGGGGTTCACGTGATCTCGGCGGGGGGGGGGGGGGGGGGGGGGGGGGGGGGGTCCCGTGACCTTGGGAGGGATCACGTGACCTTGGGGGGGTCACGAGACCTGTGGGGTCACGTGACCTTGGGGGGGTCACGTGACCTTGAGGGGTCCCATGACCTTGGGGTGACCTTGGTTACGCCGCTCAAGCCGGAAACAGGCGCCTAAGAGCTGCGCTCTAAATAAAAAAAGTGTTACCCACAAATATTACAGTGAACGTAATACTTTACTCTGTAACACACACTCCATAGCACTGACGGTATTGTGAAATAAATGAAATAAAAAGTTAAGTCCGGTAATTCTAGCTTGAACCATCCAATTCAGTCGGCGATAAGGTTACAGAAAGAGGTACAGGAACGCCCGAGAGCCCCCAAAATGTGCAGAGTCACGCTCCCACTCACCCGCCGCCCTGGGTGGTCCCGCCGGTCTAGGCCTGTTGCCCTCCGGCCGGTCGTGACCAGGACTTCCCCCATTCGACTGCCACTGGCCACCTGCCGCAGAGCAGAGCACACACGTTCAGATCTCAAACCACAAGCAACTCTCCAATCAAAAGGTCAAGAACCTTCCCATCAAAAAGGTAGAAACTAGGGATGCCGCCAATTTTTGTCGAACCAGAGGTTTAACGAACCTTCAAACTCTTGGCAAAATTACACAATGGATGGATGTTAACAACTGCACCCTTGATAACAGGCGGTAGCTTGTGCCACCTAGCCTCGAAACCAAAAGTATTTTTCCTACCAGCCAGTTCATTTTGTGAACAAAGTTTTCAAAATCGAAAAACTAACTAACTAACAGTGGTTTGTTTTACACTTTACATAATACGAAACTAGACACACAAATGTTACATGATTTAGTTAGTTTGTTAATGTGAAACAATATACCATATTTACTTGCATAATGAACACACTTTTTTTTCCCGAAAAAATTGACACATATTTGGGAGGTGCATTCATCATGCTGGGTAAAATTTTTGCATTTACACACTTCCTGCAATGGTCATATTAAGTGCCAATATGACACAGCAAGGTACTGTTGCACGTCTCCACTGACAAAGGAGCAGCTGCAGCTGGTTGTGGGTGCGCCGAAGTAACCATGCTTTATAAATTGCGAACCTTTACAGGGTGCTTTTGGCATACCTTTTGCCAAAGGAAAAGCGCCCTACGAAGCTCACTCGGCATGGAGAGCGACGCAACCATTCTTAGGCCTAACCACTTTCACGATTTCACTGCCCGAAAGCGGACCACAGACGATGGCATTTTGTTGACATCAATGCATCCGATAGGCGAATGTCCGGGGCTGGGCAATTCCTCGACCCAAGCTTCGTCAAGTGTGCACGCCGCTCGGTTTCACGGTTGACACTTCAGCAACTACGCACTTTCAGCGACTACAAGAGCGGTTTGGCTTGGCTTGACTTCACTTGATCACTTGGCAGCAGAAGAAAATTGGCTTGGTGGCTAGCTAAGTTGGACGCAGTTTGAGACTCGCGGAGCCGACAATAGGACGTGTGTTCATTACATGAGGAAAAAAAAAAGTTAAATTATTGGTACCCGTTGTGGGGGGGGTTGCATTCATTATGCGAGTAAATATGGCACCCAATAAATATTACACCATTCTTCTGCTAGGTGGCGTCTGCTTTTTTTTTTTTTATCTCTGCCTACGTGCACACGAATTTCAGTTATAAACTCTTGCCAAAGTTTGCATTAAAGATTTGGAAAAAAGGTAGCACCTGGTTGAATTCAATCTTCGGCAGGTTTGCAACACTCCTAATGACAAGTTCAAACAACCACGAGAAACATCCCGATGAAAGGAACAGCAACCCTCCTCTTCCGTCGAAACTATGACTGCAAAAAGGTCACCGCACGAGCCGTCACCGAGACAATGCGCGAAGGGCCGTACCCTTTCCATTGGTATAACCGTTGCTCCGGGGCATTCTCGGGGGTCCCCCTCCCCCCCTCCGGCCCCCTCTCCTGGGCCCCTCCGAGCCCAGCTGGTTGCCCGCAAAGTCCCTCTGCACGCAAGGTTCGGCCACCGCCGCAACAGGGGCCTGGGGCGGCCCGGAGAAGCTCTGGTTGGTGAACGTCTGGGTCGGGATGGGCCTGGGGGTAAAGAGACAGCGGGGGTGTGTCAAAGAATGGTTCGCTAAGGATGCAACAGTGTCCGAAACAATCTCAGGCAGGAGTGTTCTATTTTCTACACCACACATGCACCGGAGTGTACCCAAAATTGCTACAAAATGCCACAGGAGTTGCCGTGTAATGCCACGGGTTTTCGAGGTCCTGGAGGTTTTTTGCAGCAGCGCCAACAGAAAAGACGTGTAGACACGGGCCTTGCCGCCATTGTGGCTGCTGCGGCAGAACAAGCAGCGGCAAAAGGAGCAGCAGCAAAATGAGCAGCGACAAAATGAGCAGCGGCAGAATGAACAGCAGCAGAACAATTAGCAGCCAAACGAGCAGCTGCATTAACAGCAGTCGGACGTATCCATCTTTGCCAGGATCGCAGCAAGCCACAACATTACACAGTTGGTTACATTGCCAGCCGAAGATCAAAACAAAAAAGCAATAACAAACAAATTGCCGCAAAAAAAAAAAAAGATATACCTTACCTTGATATTTCGCATAAAGCCAACAGACCCAGAATGCATTCTATGCTCATGTCAGCTTTCCAAACAGCTTACTCCAAAAGCTTCAATAGCCTAAGGAGCAAAATGGATGCAGCAAGTCCATACTGGGTCGACACAAACATAGAACACATTCTGCGTCCATCAGCTTTATCCGGAGTATCGAAGCTTGCAGCAACACATACACAGCATCTCGAAAATAACTTTTCCAACCCACTTTGGTAGCACAGAGGTAGCGTCAGACTACTGACGTAGAGATTCTACGTTGGATTCTTCCCAGGGGACGAAGTATCTTTTTGCAAAGAAACCTGGCCAGATTATAACGTTTCACACGCAACACTTTGTGATACTCTAAAGTTAGAAGCGGATCCTAAAATGCATTCTGTGTCAATAAATAGAAGTTCCAATTGATGACCCAAAAGTAGGTGCGCAAACGAGCTGGTGTAGACTTACACCAGCTCGTTTGTCCTGTCTCCTGATTCACCCTAGTCTCAAGGGCTTTCATAATCATCTCCAGTCGATGACCGGAGTCTCTGGCGCCTCACCTGGCCAGGTCGTAGTCGGCCACCGGCAACACAAAGCCGGCGGGCGGGGCGGCCATGGGGTGTGCCGCCACAACCGCGGGATCCATGTGGGGCGACTCCAGGTCGATTTGGGACTCCTGCAGAAAGTCCAGGTGGGCTCCCCCAGGGGGCAGCACGGGCACCGGTGGCAGCTCGGGCTGGTTTGGGGGCAGGGACACCTCCTCCGCCGCCACCTGCACCGCCTGGGAAGGGTCCATTGCCAGGTCACCCAGAGAAGCCAGCCGTGGTGCACATACCGTAGACCCTCATCAATTCAAAGTCCAGGAAGCGACAAATTATGTTTGAATTATCAGAAGTAAGAATTATCGGAAATTTATCTAAACATGATGAAAGATAAAATTATGATTTGCCATATAAATGGCTACACTAGAGGTTCCCAATCAAATTTTTAATTTTTCGTGCGGTTCTGCACATTTTAGCAGTTTCGAGGTATCTTGGCGCAGCATGGCGCAATTTTGGACATTTACTGTTTTTGGCGCAACCAGGTGCAGAATGTTCCGTGTGTATCAAAATGGTGCCCTTGGCACAGCTGTTCCACCCCTGGGTGTCCCCTTTGCTTGGCTGCACGTGCAAGTTTGCATCATTAAACGTTTATTTCTAAACTCCACACAAGTCTGCTTCAATCAGTGACAATATGGCTGCTCGGCAGCTACTACCAGAACCCGAAAGCAACAGCAAAATTTAAAGGGAACCATGCTCCGTTTTACCTCACGACCGACCACAGCAAATGCTACGAGCCACCGGAGCCAATCCAAGGCCACGCGACAGTTACGCGAGCTTGGAGGGTGGGCACAGTGACGGGCGGGAAGCGTACCACGTGCCACATTTACAGAGCCGGACAGGCCGAGATGGCTCGTAGCATCAGCAGCGGTCGGACGTAAGGTGAAACTGAGCATGGGGCGCGTACCTCAGCCGCCGGAGGGACGCCCGCTTCGGAGGGGTAGGCGTCCTGGTCAGGCTGGTGGACCTTCTCGGCCTCCCCCGCTTCCGCCGTCCCGTGCTGGCGGTCTTCCTCCTCCTCTTCCTCCTCCTCCTCAGCCTCAGCGGCTTCCTTGTTGGGGCCGGCCGAGGACTCGTCCGCTCCGGTGGACCCGGCAAAGTATGCACACCCCTGGATCTCCTGGAGCATCTCACGGAGGGCCTTGTCTGATTCGGCGAGTCAAGGACGCTTTTACTAAAGTCGCAGGGTGTGGGAGCTTCCAACCTCGACTAACTCTCACCCATGCTAGAGTCGGTTTTCGGGCATGACAAGTCTTCGTGGCCGTTGTCTACGGGCGAAGGACTTCCGGAAGGCAATTCAAAGCCTCTACTGCGTGCCGCAAGTTCGGAGCTCGAGATAAACCTCACATAAAATCTCCCGGTCCGAAAGGGTCGGGAAAGTTCTATGCACGACACGCACAATTGGGACGCTATGAAAGGCAACAACCTTGCACCAAAAGTTCTAAATAAATCTCCTTCCCAACGCTCTCAAACTATCAGCGACTCCGGCGTAGACTCCCGACGAAGTCCCGAGTAACGCCGGAAATTTGAAACGCGGCATGTAGGATGCGTGAGCACAAGTCACTTGGATCCACAATATATTGATCTTTCAGACGCCTCGGTGCTAGAAATCACGATTGCCGGTCACGTTTTTATAGGCCATTGCAGAAAATGATTTTCACTCTCCAGGAACGTCAAAGCAGTCGGTAACAAAGCAAAACTATATATAGCCGGCAGTTACCCTGGCAATGTTGCATGCAGCAACAGTGGATGCAGCAGACGTACGTTCCGCTGCGGGTCGGCCCTTTGGCTAGACAGTCCAGGGAAGCTCCGGCGGCCAAGAGTTGGGACACCGCGACGACACTTGCGTTCATGCACGCTTTTCGCTGGTACTTCTACGACCAAACGCCAGGTTCGTGACATCCGACATCGTGACACTCCGGCTTTTGTGACGTCGTTTGTTGCCACTTAGGGGCCACTTTCAACACGTGAGTGGAACGGGACGCAAAGTCCGAGACGCACTCCAGGCACTGTGTCGATGCCTCGAGCGTTGCTCATTTAGTTGCCCTGGGGTTCAACTGAAAACTGAGAAGTACAGTCAGGCCGTCATACCACTTTCTCAGTCTATAAAATCGTTCCCATTCGTTGTTCTCCCAACACAGGAAACGAATTCCGGTTTATGTGGGGTGGCACGAGCAGATCCCCCGTTGTAAAACGAGCCAGCAAAAATTGCTGCCTACCCGTAGAAGGCTCAAACTCTCGCCAAATGTGCATTGAGCGGGTCAGTTTTAACGTGTGAAATTTCGAGGCTTGGTTCTCTTCCTGTTAAAAAATATATTAAAGCAAAAAGCATGCCAAAGTCAGGGACGTTCGCAAACGACACAGTTTAGCAATGCTAGTTGTACTTGTGGCACCATTTCTCAACAGGCAAAACAAAGTTGTCATCTCCTCACTGCACCTATCAAGAGATGGCACCACAAGTAAATAGCGTCGCTAACTCGGTTGTTTGCGAACACGCCCAGTCTTGCTCCCATTTATTGCATGAAGTGAACTATGCCTTGAAATTTTGCATGTATTGAAGCTGACCTGCTCAGTGCACATTTGGCACAGGTTTGAGCTTCCTACGTACAGGCGACGACTTTTCCGGCTTGCTTTACGGCAGCCCACTTGGGACACCCTATAGATTTACAGCTTACGGACTCCAGTTCGTGGATTTCAGACTGTGGACGCGTCGTCAAAAAGGATACAGGTGGTGTCGAGGACAGCCTTGGGGCGGGCGTCGAGCAGTGCCATGACGTGGTCAGCGGCCGCGCTCACGTGCTGCCCGAACTGGCCCCCGGCCTCCTCGCGGTCGGGGCAGACGAGCCGGTACAGCTGGTCCAGCCGGTCCAGGGCCTCCTCCGAGAGCGCCACGGCGCCCCCGCTGCCCTCCAAAAAGCTCTGCCGCGCCTCCGGGGCCCCCAGCGTCGCCAGCACGTCCTGCACCTCCAGCAGCTCCCGCATCCGCTGGAGCTCCCGCTGCTGCCGCTCCAGCTGCTCCTTGCGGGCCAGCCGCTTGCTCTGCTTCAGGTGCTGCGCAGCACGGAGACACCGGTCGTCTTTTCGCAAGTCACTCGGCTCCGCCGCGCAAAACATGGACGACTCTTTAAAGGTCGCCGAGCAGCCAGAAAGGAGAAAACTCTCCCTCAATTCCTTCCTTCCCTTCAAGAGAAAGAGGGAGACCCTCCTCCTTTCTGTGTAAAGCAACCCAGAGACCCGCTCTTGTGGGGAGAGGAGCAAAGAGTGCAAGAGAAAAGGGAGAGGAGGAAACTGGGAACCCGTTTTCTTCATGTTCTGCACTTTCACGTCTGCTCGCTCCTCCTTCTGTTCCCCCCAAGCAGGCAGATTATTCGCTTTCTCGCGAAAGTTCAAACGCAGTGGCCGCCTGTGTGCCGATAGCCCTCCTACGCTTTTGGTCCTGAACCAGGTATACGGTGAGTTTTGCAGTATTCACGGGATCAAATCTAAGTGCCATCTTTGGGAATTAGCCGCTCATAGCACCGTCATAATGTAATTCACTCTAAAGGCCGTTTGCATTTGCAACAACCCAGACGGAAACGACCGGAACAACCGTGGACTGCGACTTGCTACACGAAGCTGCCTCTTGCATCGCTTGCCACACTGTATACGGCAAACACTTGTCCCGTCGAGTTTGGCTTCAATGCAGTCGTTCTGGTTGCTGCGAATGCAACCGACACAAACGTGCGAACCAGCCAATACGATGAAAGGAAAACCCATAAAAAAATTCTAGAATGTGTGCGCTACCCTATGAATAGCACCACCAAGTTTGTTGCCAAACGAAAAAAAGGGACGAATAATCGACCCCTTCTAGCAAGAAAAGCAGGACGACCCCCAAAGCTCTCTGGTCACCGTGATTAATGGTTTCTTCCTCTCCGCCATTTGCTCAATAATGTGATAAGAGCGGGGAGGGCCTTGCATGCAAAGCTTGTTTCACTTTTCTTGACTTGCAACAGACTAGTGATGCAAGGCTATTGTGCCTAATTTTACATGCCACTTATTGGAGGCCAGTGCGGGGCGGATTGGACACTTGAACAAAAAGTAAGGGTGCAAACGAACTGGTGTACATTGCACATGGTTGAAAAAAACCCGAGACTGCGGGTAAATGACACAACACTAAATCTCGGGGTTTTTTCAACCATGGACACTTGAGCTGCGTCACCGTTCAGCTGGGACCCGTGCTGCGACTGCACGCGCAACATTGACATGACGCCCGGTGCTGGCCTCCGGTAGTGTAAGTAGAAAATTTGCCGCTAGACTTGACGTGTAGGTATAGATTTTTTTTCATTTACTTTCGCCCCCAGCCACCTGGTAGACACTCCGGTATGGGCGCCAAAAAAATAATAAAACATTTCAAACTGAAAATAGTAAAAAAATAGAGGGGAGGCAAAACGAGAATAGTTGACGGTTACGTTCACGTCATAAATGTTTTCTATGGGCATGGGGACGACAAAACAATGTTTTAGCCCATACTTGGAAGTGACGGTAATTCAAGATGGTGGCACCCTTGTAGAAAAGGTCTATAGTTCGTGATTTTTCATTCTTTTTTTTTTTTTTCATGGCCGCCATTCTCTAACTTTGGGAGAGAAGGAAACCAATTGGAAGATCCGAGATAGTACTTAACAGAATGTAAAATGTGAAAAACGCTGTTTGACTGCCTCGAGGCATCGTACGGCACCTCTGTGGCTCTTATTTCTCGCACCGTACCGTTAGACCTCTGCCCGAGAACAAACGCAATGAAACGGGAAAGAGCGGCGCTCGCAACGAGAAGTATGCCAAGAGGCTCGTTGGAAGGTGTTACGTCGGCAGTCTGCGAGGCGGTCCCCTTCTGGCCTTTTGGTCATCCACTGCGACAGACATTCGTGCATTCCTGATTTCGAAAGAACAAATGCTCTAGAGAAAAACAAAGCAGCGAGGTATTTTTTAGGACTTCAATGTCAGAGCACAAGGGGACAAAATCTATTTAAGCCCACCGCCACTGCACCTTTCCAAAATAGGATTTTGAATTTAATGCACTGGTCTTTTGACATGCTGGGTCTTATTCTCCAATGAACTTTAGTTACTATACCCGACGTCATGCACCGCACAAAGCAGTTCCTACAAGCTTGACTCTTGGAGAACCCAATATGCTTTTGGGTTTTGCCTTTTGAAACACCATTTGGATAAAATCACAACCAATCTTAAACACACATATAAGTAGCTTAATCCACCCCATAAAAAAGACAATTGTTTTACAGGTTTTGGTAAACAAACAAATATGGTAAGTAATTTACTCTTTTTTTTTTTCAGTGCTTGTGCTTTTAGCATTTAAATTGATTGAAATCAACCAAATAGCTAGCCCACCACTTGAAAGCAGAGTCCAATCGAAACACAAGTCCCAACTTAGATCAGCCAAGCTCCTGAAGATTGCCCCCAAAGGACAAGATGGATAATTGCTAGTCTTTCCCACAATCAACTCACCATTCCCAAACGTTTAGCAGGCTTCAGTTAGACGTGTTGCGATGCCAACACGTTTGTCCCATCGTCGTTACCGAGCGTATCGCTCCTCCCGCCACTACCCAGGACGAGATTAATACTGTGGGTAATCGCGGACACAGGGAACTCACGTCTTGCATGACCGTCGTCACGCTTTTCTGCAGTTCCCGAGTCAGCTCCAGCGTTTCCAACACTTGGTCATACTTTCCGACGGCCGCCTGCAAGGAGATGGTGAAATCAGCTGCCTACGCTCCGTGCGTACGGCGGTGCGAGCAGCATTTCAAGGCTGCTACCATCCTCAAAACCTCAGTGCTTCTGCCATGACAAGCAACAATGCCATACCAAAAAGAGGTTGCGAAACCACTAAGTTTTATCTCACTAAAAATAATAGAAAAGGGCCTAAAAAAGATCAATGATTTGTGTTGATCAGTTTCGGTACTTTCGGAAAAAGTAAAAACCGTTTCCTGACCGTGCCCATAAGTCATCGATCACCGGTAACCTACGGTTTCCAAGCGTCGTCAAAAAACTGAATTTAGTGCAGAGAATTGTGTTCCACAATCATGTGGATAGTTAAAGAAATAGTTTCGGTTTCAACGTAGATTTTAGCTTGATCACAAGCTTGCGTGCCGTCAAAAATAGTCTTGGGAACAGTGGTTATAGGAGTCGCTAACAGATGGTTGTCGGTAAGCATCATTATAATTTCCAACGCTGTCCTGAGCCGACGTGGACGTTTCATGTTCCCAACAAGGCGCACAAAAATTCTAAATATGAGGGAATTACAATCGAGGCTATGACAAAACCAAGGTAGAATACAAGGAAAGCATTTTGCGGGGGATGTGAGGTGTACTATCTGTGTTTCACCACTATGAGCATTCCATCAAAAAAGCACACGTTACGGAGGCTAACCCTTCGATGCACCAAAGACGGAGGCCAACCTTTCGACGCACCGAAGACAGACGTCAGTAAGAGCACACTAAAGGCCCGTTCACACTCTTGCAACCGAGTGCGACCGAGAGAGACCAAACCGGTTTTTAAGCCTTTTGCGATCTCTTAGGACCAGCTCCGCTCAGTGAATCCGGTCCCAAGAAGTCTTTCTCGGTCGTACTCGGTTGCAAGAGTGTGAACGCGCCTTAACTTTCAGAAGTAATGGCGTATGGGGCACATTTTCTATATTTAAAATTTTTCTTATTTGACATTTAATTTCACATAGCTGTAGAAGTTTGGCCTTCATATGCCTTCCCCAGACACATTATTTTCAAGAAATAAAATTTAAAGATTTTTTTCTCCCATTTCACTAATCTGTTTCTTTTGAAAGAACTAATTGGTCACATTCTGATGTGTCACATTTCTGCATACGCAAATTAGTCGGGAAAAAAGCGCTCGCATGGATGCTTTGAAAATTGCTGCTGTTACCGTGGTCAGGAAAGAGTTAAAAAGAGACTGACACCTCCCCAATTTTTTTTTTTTCCCAGGCTATTTATTATGATGTCAAAAGACTACCCAATCAATATTTTGCTACAGCGTCAAATATTTTTAATGAAGTAAAAAAGCGCCACTGCTCAAAACCGAAACTGGACTGGGGAGAAAGAAGAAATATAATTAGAGGAGGAAATATGTCACAAATCACGTGGCTGTGCATTTTTTTTTTTAATTAATGTATTTGCAGTATATTAGAAGCCACAAAAAATTTGTATATTCTTTCTTCCTATTTTTAATATTGAGTGTGTGTCTTCGATGACCCACAGCCTTAATTATCTTTGGTGGTTGTGTCTAAACCGTAAAGAATGGCACCTGACCACGGAGAAGAGAATGGGCGCGACTCAAACCGGCCAGTTCTTGATCGGCGGTTTTCGGGCGGGATTTCGAGCCGCAAATTGTGATCTTGGTAGTTGGGCTCCCATGTGTCATAAAAAAGTAAAAAATAAAAACCTCGACAAGCATAAATACCCTTTTAGTGTCCTTTCAACCTAACTAGTTTTGGGTACATGCCAGATGTCCAAAATCTGGTGGCGAATTTTACCATGATCTGGCACTGCCGGTGACGGGTTTTACAACCATCTTGGATATGAGGATCACGGTAAGCCCTACAACATGCTAGAAAACCCAAAGAAAAAAAAAAGAATTTAACAATGGTTCATAGGTATGCCAATAACAGGAACTTCACATGTGCACTCACCTTCTGGTCTTCATTGAGTTCCTTGCCCTGTTCCAACTCCTTTTTCAGGTTGTCCAATTTCCCCTGTACACACCAATCGAACAGAGTGGTACCAAAAGTCTTTCGTACCCCAAATTCGGACATCTTCGTCAATACAATGTGCGGCCACTTTCGGAAAACTATGTGGAGAACACGAGACTGTTCCACACACTAGCATTTAAGCGTGATCTTGACTGTGTAGCAATTGCTTATGAGAAGAGGGCACACTGGCGCCATTCATCGGGAAGGACTGGAGTGCCTCCAGTCTGCCTAAAACTAACTGAAGGTCGTGCAGCACCTGCGAGATCAGACCTATGCACGATCTATCACAGGGGTGGCCAGGCTGACCCGACCTAAGAGCCGCAAACAAAACCACGAAACTTCCAAAAGCCGCGGGGCTTTTGCAAGTTTTGTCCAGAGTAATAAACGAAACTCAAACTACTTTCAATCAATCCGAGTCAAAAGCAGTCCCACTGTATGTAAGGTAGAAGTAGCACAAGACTACCAGACTGTAACCTGCCTTTCGATTTAAAACGCATTCTATTTCTCTTTTTGGGGAAGTGCTCGTGTGACCGGGAGAAAGGCGGGGGAGGGCAGGGAGGGAGCTGCGAGCCGCACTTCAACACGCGAAGAGCCGCAGCTTGGCCACCCCTGATCTATCGGAAACGGTTGACCATAACAATGTCAGAATTATTTTAAGCACACGGCAAAAGAATGGTGCGTGAAATCTATGCAGATCGGTAGCGTCCCAGGGCTCCCCGATCGATAGTGCCGGCATGTGCTCTAATTGCAAGAGGTAGCAAGCAGATCACAGTCAAATGCGTATGTCTGAACCAGCCCACGTTATACCCCATACCCCAAGCTGACAGGCCAGTGGGAAGCTACGGGCACGCTAATACCAGTTGTACATTGATCTTTCACCACATGATCACGTTGCCACCCATACCTGCGCGGCAGAGCGAGGTCGGGTGGGGAGGGAGGCGACCGACTGGTCAGGTGAGTGCCTGTTCCCACCACCGTCACCTCAGGGGGTGAACAGAGTACAGAGCACCGCACTGTAGAGCACCAGTGGGAATCCCAAAATTCTCCGATTAGCCGTTCACATCCTTAGGTGTTTGCAGGTACTTGTGTCATTGCAAGGGCCCAAGCGAGTTATTTGAAGACTAACGTTTTTTTTGTTTTTTCTCTTAACTTTGGAGTGGGAAAACTAGTCAGGACGACACAGTACTTGGGTTTTTTCTTGGTACTACTGACTTGTTTTTTTGTTATGCTCATTCCACGACTGTTTATGAATACGTGGTATGGTACTTTACAGTATAGCACAGCAGACGTAATTCCCTCTTTATAAATAATCTTTGTGGGATTTTTTTTTTTTAAGTATATTATTTTCTAGTTTATACGCGAGCTCGCCGAATGGATGGAGACACGTATCCTAGCGGAATGTAGAAAAGTGAAGCCTCATAATCCCAGCACATGAAGGCTCTATTCCGACGCTGGATCTACACTGGTGACGCCTCCGATTTGCGAGTGCAAGTTCGTCGATTTCGGTACTCCGCGAACATCTACTGTCGTTTAAACGAGGCGGAAGGCCCTCGATTCGCCGACAAAGCTTCCACGCCCAACTTGTCATTGTTCCCAAATGAAGACAAGCCTTTTGTGGCTAGAAGAGTGCTTGATTTTTTAAAAAGACGAAATGTATCTCTTGTTGAAGCGGATCGATCTAGCGTTGGATTACTGGACAAGCTAGACAAGGAAATTAAGAGGCAGGGCCGGTGAAACTAGCGATTAGCAGCGACGAAGCTAACTGCGTAAACAAAACCGCGCAGTTATTCCTTTGTGACAAGTTCGCCGTACTGGTTAAGTTTCGTGCGATCTGCTACGGCGCTTAGATGCAGATTACAGTAAACGCTGGTTTCAACGTGCGCTAGACCCAAAGTAAGCTTGAATCACTCTCAACGAGGAATTTGGGCAACTCTCAAAAAAGGGAAAGGGAGGGGGGAGCACCAAACTTTGCTGCGCCATTTTTAGGCCTAAACTCGTGCGGCATCAACGGCGACCTGCTGAAAAAGAACACGTTTGTGTGCGTCCAAACCGAAAGAAAGCGGCGCAGGAGATCGTGCTTCAAGACGGCGTGCGGTTTAACAAGCGTCGCATGCGAGACTTTGGCCCTGCGTAGGCTTAACATGACGTGTCGGCGACGGGAATTCGTCACCTCGCGTGGTCCCTCAAACCGCGGTAACCGGTGTAACAAGCCCACCTTTCGCTTTTCCAAGTTTCTTGTCTTCTTTTCAAAGATGGTGATGATGCTCTTTAGAGAATCTTGGCCCTCCAAAGAGCTTTGCTTTTCGATTTTGGCAGCGGCCGACGGCATGCTTTCCTACCAACAGCGTTGTGTGCGCGTGCGTACCAGCCGCGTACCACACTGCGGCTCAGTTTTGGCGCCCGGTTGAATTTGAAGGTACGACACTGAGGCACATCGCGACTGCGGGAAAGTGTGGCTCAATCGACACTCTTAAGCTGTCGCTGCTGTCGCCTAGCAACGCCAATCCGGCACGTCAACAACCGCAGCTTGATTGCTACTGCAGATCCGACAGAGCTATGTGTACTCAAAAACGGCAAGTTCGCTGCGGTTTGTAAGCAGGTCAATTTTACGAGGAATTCAAATGACTTGTAGAATGACGGCCAGTCCGCTTAAGTTTTGCTGCGACGTCGAGCAGCCGGTTTTGATGAGCGTACTCGCAAGGCGAAACTGGCTGAGAGTAGAACCCGATCAAGATTGGAACATTTACTGGTAAGAAACACAAAACAAAAAACAATTTCACAAAATCTGCGAACAAGCGTGATGTCTTCCTAACTAAACATTGTTATTTGCAGGGCTTCTGTGGCAGGTGTGAGAGCAGTGTTCAGTGCAGACTACGGTTCAAGGCTTTCCGATCACCAGTAAGCAGTTTCGCTTTCCCCTAAAACAAATAAATAAATAAGTTTTCATTGGTTTCCAAACATTTCAGATTTTATAAACCGATTCGGGGGAGGGGGCGAAGGGCAGAGTGGAGGCTGCCTTTTGCCGCCTCAACACGCAGGCAATGCCCACAATGTTTGAGCATATACTCCGTGCCCCTAGTTGCGTGCATTACAGGCAAAAGCAACGCCAGGCGAGGGGTGGAAGGGCAAGTACTAGAAAGGCTGGGGACGAGGAGAGAAACCTCCTTTTTTCTCTAACGTTCCTAGTGCTATCCCTTTCTCTCCTCGCCCTCCATTGCCCTCCTCTCCCATCCTGCCTTCCTAGTGCTCCTTTTCTCTCTTCACCAGCCGTTGCCTTCGCCTGCACTTCACACAACTAGCGACATGGAGTATACGCAAGCACACATATGTAACCGGACTACGTACGAGATAACATATTTACTTTGCCACGTGCTTCACACCTCAAGCTCCCTCTACGACTGCAGGAGGATCAACCATTTCGCGACGCACTACGAGCTCACCCGTAAGGACCTGATGGCTAAGCACATGAAGCGCTATCGTAGGGAACTCAACAAGAACAGCGCCGACGGTGAATCTTCGGGTCCCATCCCGGACCTTGTTCCCCCGACCTTCGTGCTTCCGAGAGACTACAACATGTTCGTGGACGAGTTCCGGAAGACTGCCCCAAGCATGTGGATCGTGAAGCCATGCGGAAAGGGTAGGGGCTTAGAGGCATGAAAGACGCTAGCCGTTTCCTTGTTTCACGGGCGTATTTATTTTCAGCTCAAGGTGTCGGCATTTCTCTTGTGAACAAGCCAAGCCAGGTCAAGGGGCTTCTGAACAGGTAGTGTTCAACAGTACACCTTATACTGAAGAGTGTAAACTGCACTATTGTCCACAGTTAAAAGCAAGTCTAGCAACCAGTCCTGGTCTAAACAAAAAAAATCATATGTTCGATCACTTTGTATTAATTGAAAACGAGCATGTTGGTGCACAGTTAGATATGAATACTTGAAAGGATAAAACAATCAGGTCAGGGACGGACACAGTACGTCCTCGATGTTTTGTTCTTTCAAGTATTCGCAACTTCTATTAAATGTATTGGCGTGCAAGTAAGCTGGTGAAGGTTAAACATGGTGAAAAGTACCTTGGACAGAGGTCACCTAGGTGCCCTGCAATGCAAGTAAACATAATTTTCTAAAAATTAAGTTTATACTATATTTAAAATATAAAAATAAAAAAAAGTATTCAATCATTCGCACATGCATGTATTGCTCGACACCAACAAACCTTATTTATGTGGCACAACTAGCAACGGGCATGCACATTCTAGCCTTTGGACACAACGAAAAATATATAAATATCCTCACAAAAGCCAAGCAGGTCTTTTTTGTTTTCATATTTTATGCATTGACGAAGCACATTCTATCCTAGTTGTAATTAACTCCAACCTGAGTATGAAGAGCAAAACACCGCTTCCAGTTGGGACTCGCAGGGGACAAAGGAACCGCACGTCGTGTGCCGGTACCTCGAGAGACCGCTCCTGATCGGGGGCCGCAAGTTCGACCTCCGGCTGTACACCCTCGTGACTTCGTTCCGACCACTCAGAGCCTACCTGTGAGTCGACCAAACGAGAGCGTGCAATTTTCGGGCTCACAAGCCACCACAATCCAATCCAGTCTACTTCGACGTGCAGGTACCGCCGGGGATTCTGTCGCCTTTGCCAGCTCCACTACTCGCTCCAGGACCTGACCGACCCTCTTGTCCACCTCACAAACGTCTCCGTGCAGAGGCAAGGGGTGCGTCCACTTCGCTATGCGAGCAGCTGCACGATGACGACATTGGGGATGCGACACACAAGCTGCGATATTTTTTGTGGAGTATTTGTGAGCGTAAAATCGATTCGATGCATTTATGATGACACACTACATCTTTGATCATAACCTTGTAACTAAAGGTTGGATGCCTCTGTGCCATGTTGTTGTGTGTCAGCGTCGGTACAGAATTAGCTGTAGGGTAACCGTGCGAGTGTTATGGCATGCAAGCTATATTCTTATAAAATGTCCGCCAGGGTCAATTTTGAGCAGAACTTAAGTTCGTCTGCTTCTTTTGCAGGGGTTGTCACGACGTCAAAACGCCGAGTTCTGATTGGTTCTGAATGAAGGATAGTGGGTAGACCAAGGCAGCTTGCTTTGAAGTCTACCTACTATCCTTCAATCAGCAGTCAATTAGAGTGGCATCTTTCTAACGTCACCAAAACTCCTGCGCAAGAAGCAGACGACTTTCTCTCCGCATTAAATATGTACACACATGGCATTGCAGTCTATGATAGTAAGCTTGAAACAGAAGGTCCAATAATTTTGTGCCACATTGTTGTGGGTCTCTTCCTTCAGTACACAAGCAGCTATGGGATAACCATGTCAGCAATAGAGCACACAAGATATATATTTTCATAAAACATCTGCAAGGGTCAACTTCATTAAATATAGTCTACATGTAGCATTGCAAACATTTTTTCTTGCAAGGTTGTAGCAGTAGGTGAGATGCTTCTCTTCCACGTTGTTGAGACGGAAATTCACCTTTCTTAAGAACTTTTAAAAACGTGCCAGTTGCAACGAGTTCAGAAAAAGCACGCCCCTTAAGTTGCACGAATTATGCGAAAGCGCCGCCAGCGCATTATTTGCACGTTCATCCCTTCCCTTTCCTCTAGGCATGTTTTCTGCCAAAATGTTGGCTAGTATCGACCGACAGCTAACTGGATAAATATACCGTACATGCACTTCTGTGTCATTATTTGAAATGAATCATATGTTATGAACAATTTTCGACGTGTAAACATTTCAAGAATGATGTCAAGGAGCTACAAGAAAACACTCGTATGAACAGTGCTTTAACAAAACAGTTACTGTTAAATTCGAAATAAAAAAAAAATTGCCGTTAAAAATTTATTTGGAGAGCATGCTTCTAGGATTGGCTTTGATTGAAAGGATAGTGGGTAGACCTCAATGCTAAATGCCTTGACTATCCTTTTCAATCAGCCAATCGGAGCTCAGCGTTCTGACATCATCGCAACCCCTGTGCAAGAAGCAGACGAACTTGCGCTTTGCATAGCTTTCCTGTCAAGGGGGAAATTTTGTCAGGAGTAGAGGATTCATCTTTTGATACAATTGCAGGGGCGCTACAACAGCCAGCATGGGGGAAAGTGGGACCTGAGGAGCCTGGAGCTGTGGGTGTGTGGTACCAGGGGTTCCCAGGCAGCCAACAAACTCTGGCAAGATCTGCGCCAAGTGGTGGCCCATTCCCTGCGTGCTGTGGCAGTAAGCGACATTGTTTGAGAGGCTTCGTGCATTGCCAGGAACATCTTTTGGAGAACTTAGAAAACCTTCGAAATCTAGGAGGGTTTTGAAGAACCCGCAGAATTCAGAGAGATTGATAAAAATAGAGCTATATATACAGGATGGAGTGAAGTTCTGGTTCTCTTTTTAACCGTATGCAGAAAACAAACATATAATGAATCGCGACATTAAATAGTAAAATCACGAGTGCCCCAGGCAATCGTGTCTTGTCCGTCGCTTTTTTTTATTTACGTGAATAACCTGCCCACCTCTATTCAGTGCAGTATAAAAGTAGATACCGATGATTGTATGATTGGTAATCAGGAGGACAATGTGCTGTTAATGATTTGAAGCATTTTGAAACATGACGTCAGTAGTTGCAAATGAATATTAGATCAATCAACTTCGCTAACAAGCATAGTCCTACACAGTTTAAAGGGATGCTGAACCGAAATATGGAGTTCACAAAACAAAGCTGGAGCGATAGGCGGGATGCTACAAGACCCCAAAACGTCACCCATTCAGAGACATCTCTAACAGATGGCCGTATTTTTGGGAAAGAGCTGCGCGACTGAACACAACCGACGAGGCCAACAAGACATGCGACGTCACGATTCTCATTCCCTCTCCTTTTCACTTCGTCCTCTCAAGCAGGTGATCCGAAGAGAGGAAAAGCGAGGCCGCTTCCCCTCATTCTCATTTGTTCCAGGAAAGTAACGACGTCACATCCCTCGCTTGATTGCGCCCTCCTTTTCCAAAAATACGGGCATCCGTTTGAGATGTTGATGTACGACTGATGTTTTGAAGTTCGCAGCGTCCCGTTCAACGCTTATGCAGCCTTATTTTGCAAAATCTATATTTCGCTTCAGCATCCCTTTAACAAAACTCTATTCGATTCAACTTTAGAAAACGTCCCTACATGTATCTCGGCATGTATCGTACTAAACTTCCTGCTTTTAATGCGAAAGCATTAACTGAGCTGACATCATCAGTTTGAAGCGCGAAAACGACACCTAGTTTTTTCGGTTCCATTGGCTGGCGCGTCGACAGGGCTCCCACTGGCCGCTGCGCTCGTCAGTTTCCACGACCGTTTACCCATGGTGCTGCGTGTCCATCAGCGCGCCGTTAACATGGAGCGTCCAAGGTCAGCATGTCCAGGGGAGCACACGTGCTGACACAGACGGAAAAGAGAGCGGACGAGCGGCTTGCATACTTTCGCATTCACAACTCTTAAGAAATGCTTAGGTGTACCTTGATCTTTTTATGGTTACCACACATTAGCTATATCACCGCGAAAGCTGACAAAACTCTCAGGTTTCTGGCAAATTGCTAGGCAATATTCTGTTCCATACGAGAAATATAATGGCATTACAAACGTTTAGTGATACTCAGAGTTTTACATATGCAGGGTTGATAAACCTGGCTATCTTCTAGAGCCTTTCACTCTTTAGCTCCCTCCATCAGTGTACTCAGGTGGTCAAGCTCCTCCTCACCTACCCCTCTGGTCACGTGACCTCCCCGGTTAACCAATCAACATTGAGCTTTGCGGTCTTGCTTATGAGGCCTTATGAAATGCTAAGCACCTAGTCAAAGGATATTTCATGTTGAAAGTTTTGAGAAGTCTCAAGAATCCCGAGGAACTTTAAATTCTAGAGGGGCTACCGAGAATCCAGAGAAAAATTTCAAGGACAGCTAAGCACTTTTTATGAGTTGTAAATGTGAAAGCATTAATGTTTAATTAAACGCCACCAGAAATCTTGCATAGTTTCGAAAACCCTGAGAAGAGGAGCCATCAAGTGCCTGGAGAAAAAGGCTCTAAGGAACCTCGAGAGTCTTGAGAAGTCTCAAGAATCCCGATGAACCTCAAATTCTAGAGGTGCCATTGAGAATCTGGAAAAGGTTCTTAAGGAATCTCAAGAATCTTGTGGAGTTTTAAGAACCCTGAAGCGTCTTGTATTCTAGAGGCTCCATCGAGAGTCTGGTAAAAATGCTTCTTAAAAAGCCTTGAGACTTTTGAGAATTTCAAGAACCCCCAAGGGAACCCAACATCCTTTGGCGACTGTCGAATGCATCCTTTATCCTCGAGGGCACTATAGAAAATCTTGGAAGCATTATTAAAGATTCTCGCAAGCTTTAAGCAAGCGTTCTAAAAAAAAGCTTTAGAAGGACTGAGAGACCGCAAGTATTCAGAAGAATCTCACAAACTTGGGGGCTCCTCACACAATCCGAGGAACCTATCGCGCATTGCAAATGCAATGTTGTGAAGTACTTCAGGGGTCCTCAGTACACACGTGATATATTAATGACACATAACTGATCAACTAAACATACCTACTGCTGCATGACCGGCATTCGACTTGAGCTCGCAGAGCATAGCAGGCTATGCAACAACGAATCTGCTTCCACAATATCACCTCACGGTTGAGACACCCGAATCGCACGGGAGAAACCCACGACGGATGTCTTTCCTCCCACTGCAGGGCACCATGCTCTCGGACTGGCACTGCTTCGAGTGCTACGGGTGAGGCTGAGGTCGCTCCCCGACAAATGGGCGTCGCGAGCGCTCTCTGGCCTTGCTGCAGGTACGACATCCTCCTGGACGAGCAGCTGAGGCCCTGGCTGCTGGAGGTGAATGCATCCCCCTCCCTCACCTGCAGCACTCCGGGGGACTGGGTACTCAAGGAGACCATGCTGGACGACCTGTTTGAGATCGTGGCTCCACGCGGAGAACTGAGGAGGTCAGTAGCTGGGATGTTCCAGACGGTCTGGTCTTTTGGAACATGCCAGTGTTCTGGGAGACCATGTGCCAACGTTCAGTATGAGGATGGTACTGTACTGAGAAAGGCCTCAGTATAGAGTATTCGAGATTGTGGCTCCATGCGGAGAGCTGAAGAGGTCAGTAGCCGGGACGTTCCAGATGGTCTGGTCTCTTGGAACATGACAGTATTCTGGGAGACCATGTGCTCGTTCGTATGAGGTACAAGGTGCCAGTGTTCTGGGAGACCACGTGCCAACGTTCAGTACGAGAATAATATCGTACGGAGAAAGGCCTTAGTATCGAGTATTCAAGATTGTTGCTCCATGCAGAGTGCCGAGAACGTCAGTAGCCAGGACGTTATATACAGACGGTCTGATCTCTTAGAACATGCCAGTGTTCTGAGAAACAACGAGCAAACGTTCAGTACAAGGATGGTACCACGCTGAGAATGGCCTCAGTATTGAGTATTTGAGACTGTGGCTCCATTCGGAGTGCTGAGAAGATCAGTAGCGAGGACGTTCCAGACGGTCTGGTCTCTTGGAACATGCCAGTGTTCCAAGAGACTGGGGTGACCACCCGTCTTGCGACTCGCGGGGCTGTCCCGCATCCCACAAGAAATATCAAAATCTTCAAAATGTCCTGCATTTCACACTGTCTTTAAATTCACTATGAGTCTCATGGCGCTGCTGAACAACGGGGCACGGGGAAGCGCGGAGGTCGCTGGTAAACGTGTGAATCGTGATGGTACACCATTTTCTATCCAAAAATTGCTAAAAGTGACCGCCGTTCTCGTACGAGAACAGACATGCATGCGCCATTGTGCCTCTCTTCCCTTAGTGGCGAAATATTGCAAGAGAAAATTGCTCGTCAAGAGAGATTATTGTAATTATTTTCAAATCGTGCCGTGTCATGCAAAAAAATTGCTGTGAAAAGATTAAAAAAAATTTTTTTTAGTGAAGACGATTACACAGTTTAATAAGACTGCAATTCACAATGGTCAAAAACAGCAACATAACTTCCGAAATTTGTGTAGGAGCGCGTCGTTGGTAAAAATAAGAATCAACAAGAAACAAGAAGCCGTAAAAGATTTACTGCTTCTTTCCTTTTGATGCATTAAGTTCCGCTCCAGTCAATTTAATGTTTTCAACTTAGACACATTGATTAACATTGTGGCATTAAAACTTAAAATATATCACTGGAAGTGAAAATTATTTGAACTTAATTGCCGCTACACAATTTGCAGCTGTATAATATGCTTTCGAACAAGACAGGATATTAAATTGTTAGCAGAGCCGCATTCCACATTGTGTGTTGATAAATTTCCTGGAATACTTATTTTTTCCATGATGTCTTTTAACCCGAGACTGGAGCAGGAGGGAAAAATTTTTTCGTCTTTTGGCCCGAGTCTTGTCTTCAAAAGCATCATGGTAAACTTCCACCAGCTCGACTGCACACCAAGATCTTTTTTTGCAGTTGCCCAAGTCAAAATATAATACCGTTCTTCCCTTACAACCCACCCCCCCCCTCCCCCGTCAGTCTGTCCTGCATTCTGCTAGCAGGAAGGCGGTCACCCTATGTTTCAAGATGGCCTGGTTTCTTGAAACGTGTCAGCCGTTCGAGAGACCACGCGCAAGCCCTTGATATTGAGTTCTTTTTCAGAATGCAAAGATATTTGACACTGAGAAAAGAGTTTCTTCATAGTGAATGGGTGCTTAGAAACATAATTTTGAAGTTTGCAAAGTTTTGTTGGCTCTGCTGCAAATCTGTAATTTTACGAAAATTTGTGTCACAATACTGACGGGCTCTGTGTCTGTTTCATCATTTACAGATGTTTTGTCCACCTTCATTAGTTTGAAGTGAGCCACGTTTCAGTTAAGGAACCTACCCAAGAGTGGGGTTTTCTAGAAGACAACACCAGTCACAGGTAGAGTCACTATGCTCGAGTCTCGAGATGAACTATACGTCACATTCGGCACCAGCTCCATTTTGGACAACCAAGACACCACACCTTTGTATTGCTTCACCATTGGTGGTCATTTATTCATACCTCATCTACAAAACAAGTCATTCAAATGTTTGCCAGGTGCGGGAGGCATTGAGTCGGTGTAGTATCGCAACAGAGGCGCAGTTAAAGGCTCTCACAGCGAGTAAAAAAAATTCGTCAACAAATCAACAAGAGTGACGTAGCTAGCTTGCATGCTCGCCGGTGCAGTGCCAGGAATGCCGTGCCGGAGCCCGATAGACAAGGCGACTTCGAACTGCTGCTGCCCGAAGACGCGGCGGCGACTTCGAAAAGTTGAGGTGGGTGGAACACCGTGGGTTGGATCACACGCATTGCACAAACTTAGCGGATGCAGCACACTGCCATACAGACACAGAGCTTTCGTTTTCTTTCCGGCAACAGACCCTCTAGGCCACATCAACAGCAACAACAACAACAACAACAGCTGCGAGGAAAAAATTGCTGGTTTCCTTTTTGTTTGGTACGTGCCGTCCAAACTAGTAATACGGGTGAGCTGCCACTAGGAAAAACTTGTTCGACGTCCCCCCTCCACTTCCTCCGCCGATCAACAATCTAGGCTAGAAGACAAGCGCAGTCGTCTGGTTTTCGTCGGTTAATATTGCATGTGGGAAGCCCGCGATAAACGCCGCCCTGCCCCCCCTTGGCACCTTCCAAAAAAACGCACTGCCGTAGACGGGACGCGACCGCGAGCGGCTTCGCACAGATCCCCCTCTCCGACCTCCCCATTTTTAACAGTGTCCCTAAAACAAGCGCGCGCACGCACGCCGCGTGCCCGGTTCCTACGTCGCAACTCTAAGTAGGCGTCGGTCGCCTGAGTGGTGCCCCCCCGCCCCGCCGTCGCGGGGGAGGGGAGGTTTATTGCCGAGTCCCGTGACTAAGTCCCGCGACCGCGGTGCCCGGAACGTGTCTCCGACCGCTGCGTCTGGCGCACCGTTCCGTCCACGCGAAGAAAGCGATCCCGAAGTGGCGACGCGGTAAGCGCGCGGGTCAGAGACGCGTCCCGTGCACCGTCCCCGTGACTAAGAGGAGGCGGCCCCGCAGAAGGGGTCGCACCCCGAGGAACGTTCCAGGCGGCTGAGCTCTTCCTGGAGCAGCTGCAGCGTTGCCAACAGCGAGTGCTTTTCCTGCTCGAGCCGGCTGACTTCTTCGCGCTGGTCCTGCAGTTCCTGGCGCTCCCCCGCGCTGTTGCTCTCCAGCTGCGTGACCTGCGGGAAGCGCCGTGGTCGTTTGTGGCCGCTTTTCGGCCGCTTCAGTGGCCTTCGCAAAGGCGCTCTCGTTTTACGTTCGCACTTTCACTCTCAACCTCTAAGACCTCGACACTGTTCACAGAGCTTGCAGAGGAACTGCAGAGTTTAGAAGAAACGGTATCGATGTGTTTCACCAATTCTTTCATCTCCATTCCAAAAAACGGCCTTTTATAAATGCCGAAACGTTAATCGTACGGTTAATTGTCTCGATTATAAGCGAGATAGTCGGATAAAGTAAATAATCGGGTTAACTATGTTATAATAACAATTTCAGTGTACGTACACACTGCATAAATGAGATGCCTAAATTGGAACTTCATTATTTATTTCTGCTGTTTTACTTTCTGCATCCCTCCCACCATTTTTTGCATGTAATTAAATGGTGCACATGTATCCCGTGTTCATTTATGGAACTGACATAACCGCCGACAGAATAAATTAAACGGTACAAAAATGGACACGCAGATGACTACAGAAGATGCACACAAACACAGCTCCTTGTCCTTGTATCCTTTTTTGCACCTCTTTATCCCGATCGTGCACCGACTGCCCAAGTACGCACTTTGCTCCCCTGTCACAATGCGTTCTCGGTGACGTTGAGGCAAACGAAATAGGACGAAAGATAACAACATTTTGCTATTATCGGATCTTTCTGACAGGATCCGATCTAACAAGATCCTTTTGCAGCAACCTTTTTCTGCCGTTTTCTCGGCGGCTATTTCGAATTTGGAGATGATAAAGGCTGTGTTCCAAATCTTACCCAAATGAATCCGATTTACTCCGGCGGGTCATGTCACGTGAGAACACAGATTGAAAAGAGTTGGACGCGGGTACGTTTTGGAACGCCAAAGTACAAAACCCAAACACTGCAGTAAGATCGAGTAAATTTTGGAACACAGCCAAAGAGTGCGCCGGGAAGAGCAGAGCCCGAGCACTGCATGGTACCGCAGAAGGGGAGCTCCAGCGAGAAACCGCTGGAGCTCCCCTTTGAAGCCGGGTTCCGGTCGACTTCGGCCTCACCTGTTCTCTGAGCAGGTCGTTCTCCCTCTGCAGAACCTGCAGCTGACTAAGCCGCAGGCGAAGCCGCTCGTTCTCCTCGAGCAGACCGCTGAGATCCGGCCGGGCATCTCCCGACGTGTGGGGCTCTCCGCTGCGCCACAGAAGCTGCTCCACCGCTTCCGGAAGGGACCCTGCAACAACGCATCGCAGCGCCTCACTTAGCGGGGTTGGGTTCTCAAAGCGACTTGTAAAACTTCCCCTTGCTGCAATGTTTTAGGCAATGCTTCGTGTTGTGAATATTTATTTGTATAATATGTATGCAACAAAACCTCCGAAAAGTACTTTTTCTTTTTTTAGGGTACCATTTTTATTTTGCAAGTGTCTCAAACGTTTAGCTCTGCTAGAATTACGAGTGTACTTCCAGTTTGCTGCATTATATTCATATCTTTGCTACATCTAAAGTTGCAGTAAAAAGGTCTTACTGTACCCTGTTCAACCCAAAACTGTGAAGCGAATGTAGAGGCAAAAAAGAATGAAAGCAATAGCTACAAAGGAAAATGAGCATTATACAGGTAACTGCGGTTATTATTTCATGTGTCGTACGCTGTAATAAAGTTTGTACACAAAAATACATTTGAGTGTTTGTTACGGGAGATGTCAAACATCCTGACCCACGATTAGGATGTTTGACAGCATAGTCAGCTTGCCAATGGACACTCACCTCGAAAAGTTTAGCAAAACCAGCGTACCATATCTAATAGCACCATGATAAACTGCCACGCAATACTTTGCTGAACTAATTTTAGCAGTTGGCTTAAGTGGGTGCGATCCATTTTTGGAGTGTATTTGTATTACAAAGTAGTCACAAAAGACATGACTATGAGGTTAGGTTAGGCTTAGGTTAAGTCTAGGTTAGGCTTAAGTCAGGCTTAGGCTGGATCAGGCTTAGGTTAGTTTATGTTAGTTTTAGGTTAGATCACGTCACTCACCACATCCCGTGGGCAGCAGGTAGACAGCGCCAAGTGCTGTCCTGTCCACCAGGCACTGAGGTACCTTGACCAGCAGACCGTCGGGACGCTCCCCGCCATTTTCCGTTTCCTCCTGCAAACGAAAAAACGCCAGAGGGGTCGTCAAAGTCGTGAAGATGCCACAGATACGGGACATCAGGCGCACCCTGTCGGCCCCCGGATGGCTGACTTGGCTTTTCTACAGTTATTGAAAGCTTAAAACGAATGCAGGGCGTGGTTTATTACCTTCATTCTTTGGCGTTCCTAATTCATTAGCTGCAATCGATAATAAGATGCTTGAAACTCGCCACGAACAGCATTTCTTTGGTTGTGAGTGACCATATAACCAGTGATACCACAGGCACAGCCTCAACATGTGAGCCAAACATCCTCTAGAACAATGGTTTTCAAATGGGGTCCGTGGAGCCCTGGGATCCGCAAAGGCATTCTAAAGGTCCGCGAAGCTCGGCCTGATCAGTCAAGACCGGCAATAAAATTTGTCTTTTCTCAGACTGAGAAGAAATGCTCAAATTTTCGGCCGTGTTTTCTCGTGTATATGTCAGTCAGAAAAGTCTACTTCACACTAGCCCTTAGTTATATCTATTTATTCACTCACTATCCTGATTAACCTATACATTCCCCTTCCCCTTACCACGAGCGAGGTCCTCCACCATCTCCACCAATCCACAAGGGCAAAACATCAATGGTTGAGAACCACTGCTCAAGAACAACGGCAGCTGCTTGACTCTCGCAAAGTTCCCTTATGAATCGTGAAGCTGGTCGAAGCTGGCAAGCTGAACAACATGAGAAGAGAACTTTGTGGAAGTCCCAGACTGGCAGCTCGCGTGGAGAACAGGTTTGGACCTGAAAAAGCCGTGCTGAGTAAAATGGCAAAATGTTGTCTGTCCGACAGTTTCAAGGCTTCCAGGAGGATCCCTTCCGCACTTCTTCGTAAATGACATACACTTTGTAGTCGGTCACACTTTACTATACACTTTGTTTTGTCGTAAGTCGGAGCACTGTTGAAGGTTCAAACAGATACTACCGCGGACGCACATAGTAAAAACCCGAGTCGCACAGCATTCGCAGCACTTGATCGGTTTCACACGCTGACAGACCACATGCAGAAAGACAATGAATGCCATTTGATTGGTTCCCTTGGCTCGTAGCGTCGGGCTACTTAAAGGTGAAATGAAGTATAAGTTGGAGATAGAGTTCCCCTGGGCATCGGACACAAGGGACAAGTGATCCCTAGACTGTTAAAAAGGAACCGGTGCCAACTGATCGAATTTAATAAAAAATAAACTGCGGCCACACACGAGGCATTGCAAAATCTGCTCCATACCCCCGAGACTACTCACAATCGCACTGCACACAAGCATTTTCCCATCAAATTTAGCGGAGAAATTTCGCCGCTAAACCTCACGGTGTCCCTCGACACCGACTTCGCATGACATTGTGATGTCACATGACGCCACGTCACGTGACACTGAAGTGACATACCAGGACGACCCCACGACGGAACACCTGGGAATCTGCCGCTGAATCTAGCCAATCATAGCCGTCATCGTAGTACAAACGAAAGAGCTCGGACCCACCAAGAGGGTGGCGCTGAGGCCGTGCAGGAGCAGGCGCATGGGGACAGCCCTGGCGGGAGGCTCCTCCTGGGCCATTTGCGCCAGGCCACCGAGGGCAGCGGGGCTCAGCCGCACCGCCAGGTCCCTGACCAGGGCCCTGACCTGGGCCCCGACCCCACCGGGGGGCCAGTCCCAGCGCAGGCTCAGCAGGCAGCGCTCCCCGGCGTCCCCGCCCCGAGGCCCAGCTGCGCAGAGGGGGAGACGCAGCGTCCAGTCAATTAGCTCATTGTTTCTTAGCATGTATCACATATTCCTTGAGTTTTCACGACCTCAAGGGCATCCGGCAGACGCACAACACATGGAGGATTCATATTAACTAAGAACATAAATAAAACACTAGGTCATTAAAAAAATTTAAGGGGACAAACTACTTAGCAAAAAAAAATTCTGCAAAAAAAGTTGTTTGAAAAATGCTATATTTACAGCCACCAACATCTGGAGGATATTCTCAGAATGTTTCATATGCTCACACTACAACAGTTATTTTTTTATAAATTACTTTCGGTCCACCAGTGCAAAAAAAAAAGGTAGAGGCTCGAGCATTTTGAACACGTTTTTCTCCATACCACTTTTTGGTACAAATTTCACCTTAGGAAAACTATTGTTTGGTAACGGGACAAAAGGAGAAACTTACTTATTGTTTTCCCCAACCGAAACCTAATGGGGAATGCGACTGTGGCATTGTTTTTACTTTGTGGATGTCTTTTATATAAGATGTTAAGATTTTGTTGATGACATAAAAGGAAAAATATTAGATTTTGCAGTGTAATATTAACAAAAATAAACAACTCTCTGAACATTTTGTTTCCACAGTTGCACTCTCCAAGAATTCTGCTGCGTATTTAGTGAAGAAAATTGCCATTTCATTCGTTTTCTAAAAAAAACTGCCATTTCATTAGTTTTCTAACAATAGTCTTTCTAATCAATATCAAAGTGTTCCTGATAAAAACAACTATAATTTTTTTTCTTCATTCATGTACACTGTCTCGCAAGTGCCAGTATATAGTGCAAATTTCATTCATATTAAGCAAAAGGTTGAAAAGCTGACCCCCCTCCCTTAAACAAAAAAAAAAAAAAAGGCAGCTGTTGAACAAGCCAACCATATCACTCCAATAACGAAAATAATAGATCAAAAAGAAAAAAAAAGACAGGGTTACAAGAGTTTACCGTAAAATACTGGGGAAATGCCACTCCACTTACACTGAAAACTGGTTAGTCTCGAGAGGGCACTTGTACGGTCAAATCGGGAAGAACCAAGATGGCAGCCAATAAAGTGCTTTGAAGACAGTGTGACCAGAATCGGAGAAAGCACATTTATTTTCACACGATATCCCCGTCGTCGCCGAAGGCGATCTTCGTGGCTGCCGCATCGGGGTGAATACTTTAGGCCGATGTTGGCACTTTGAAGGGTGCGGACGCTTAATGTATCAATCGCAGAATTTCCAAGCTTTGGAAATGTTCGTAGCGAGTACCTGCATGAAATGGGCACTTCTGCGGTATTTTATGGTAGTTCGTAGTTTTTAATTTTCAGCAAAGTCGGCATTCACTAAAACAGAAAACTTCGAGAACCTTTTCCTCCGAAAAATCCTCAACTCCAAACTTGTCTTTTCAATGCAAGAAAGGTTGAAAGAAGATTGCATAACAAGTGCTCAGAAGCGACGTGGATCGAAAATTTCCCACAAAGACTGCGTTGGAGCGCGAGGGCGGCGGCAGCCCGGAACAGACACTCAAAGTTGTGGAACTACAGCACCGCAGTTAAGCCGAACGTGCTAAACTTGGGCCTCACGTGAGCCTTATTCGACATGCACACAGCTTGCCGATGCAATGAGAAAAAAACTGCCCAACTCTTATGACCCAACGGCGCTCCAAGTGACTAGCATTTATAGATCCTATGTGGTCACGTGGAGTCACGGTGTCGCGTCACGTCACATGGCACCGCGACGCCACAATGTCGAGGTATCGCCCGACGACCGTCGCATCGACGATGCCACACAAACACTCTGGTCTCATCGTTGTGTCCACATGACGAGCCATTCCAAAACTCCGACAACGTAGCGCAAACACATAATCAGAGAGATGTAACCCATCGAATGCCACGCGTTTAATTAAAACACAGTTCGCTTTTCCCACAAACACTCCGCACGAGAAACCTTCGCCCGACAGCAGCCATGCTCACCACCGTGCAGCTGCTTCTCCTCCAAGGTAAGGTGCTGGCTCTGCACCAACACGGACGCGCCGTGCGGGGAAGCCCACGCCACCAGCTGCAGGTCGTGCAGGCCGATCGCCACGCACGACCGGCTCGACGCATTGCTGGCACTCCGCATGCGGGGCCAAGCCGCATCCATGGCCAGGGTGGCCAGGCGCTCCTCCTCGGTCGCCTCCTGGGCCAACTCCGGCGCGAGGTCGGCGCGAGAACGGAGTCCAAGCACTTCGTCGAGGACCCCCGCTCCGGCCAGCAGGAGCTGATCCGAGTCCGACGACAGGTCGCTCCGCAGGGAAACGCTGTCGTCGTCTGCCAGCGACGAGTCTGCTTCGCCGTCTGCTGCGCCTAGGGGCAAGGCCGGCGTCGTCAAAGCGCGCAGCTGACCAACTTCCCGCTCCAAACGTAGCCTCCCTACCTTCGGTAATGAGCAACCATAGCAAATGTGGTTCCGGGTTTTTGGGCGTTTATTTTATTCCACGACGTGTTTTTTCGTGGAAACTTTCGGTGCTGTACAGAGAAATCTGTACTCGTCAGGACTTATACCGAAAAAAACAGGACACGAGCACGAGTTTCACCAACCTCCAGGGAAAATGAGGGAGACCTGAACACTCGGGAAGTGTCTCTGTGCAGACGAGAAAAGAAAATAATAGGTGCGGTTCCCGACGCAAGCAGCAGCCTCATGAACAGTTCAGTGGAGGTATTATTCTGGGTCTACACAATATAAGCCTGGCGATAAAAATTCCTTGCGGTGAAGCTCGAGTATTTCTTTTTCAAGGGCAGCTTCAATTTGGGGATTATCAGTTTTCCCCAATTTATTGAAGGTAAGAAGGTGTCATGAAGGTACAAAGCTTGTGCTAGACGAGAGACAAGTGAAAGACCTCCCTGCCATTCTAATCCTGTCAGCAAATTCAGATGTATTAGGTTCAACGAATATTAAAACCTGAACAGCCCGACGCCACAAATCAAAATGTAGGACGAGGTATTCTCAGACATTCGATCGTTCAGAGCATAATTTGACAATGGTGAGAACAACCGCTATTTTGACAGTGTGAAACCTATAAGTTAAACCAAGAGGTGCTTACAACTCTGCAACCTCTCTATAATAAAGTCTGATAAATCGAAGATATCAAGACAATAAGCAATTTTAAAGTATGCTTGTAATACCGGCATTAGCATTTTAGGTATGAATGCAAGGAAAATAGAGATAAAGTGACCACTTTTTCATTAAACTGACTTGATAAGAGCAGTTACAATGCACCCATAGACTGCCCTAACAAAAGAATCCTTGCCGTTTTCGGCATTTTTTCACACGGTGCAAGCTCTGCTAGCTTTTGAAAAGCAACAAACAAGATGTGGTGCAAGAGGAACTTATCCGGGTATTTTTACCAGTGACGTTTCCTTGAGCCGATCTCATTTGTTTGCTTGTATTTTTTATTTTTTTTTTTTACTTTTTTTTTTATTTTTTAAAATTTTGGTAACTGTTTGCAATACGAGCTGCAACCAGGGTCCCCCTCCCCCCAATAGGCGGCGAATTTGTATTATAAAGTTTTGGGGCCACCCGCGCCAAAAACGTGATTTTAAAGGAGCTGTGCAACGATATTCAATTGGAATGTTTTTCTCTCTACACGAGCTTACTGGCACACCTGGGACTCAAGGATACTCACACGCAACGCCACTGGCCAAGAAACTTCTTTGTTGCGGTGTAATTTCAAGGACAAAAGCGATCATTTTCATTCAATCTCTCCTTCGCAAAATTCGATGACGTAACTCGGGGATCGCAGTACACCCAAGTGACGATATTTGAATGCGGCTCATAGATTGGACCCGAGCATTGCGTGGGCACTCGACTTGGGCTCGTGACAATTGCTATCTCGAGGAGCATTCGGGTTGTAACCCGTGTCCAATCGCTGCAACGACGACAATAGCCGAGCCTTAACAATGTCTGGAACTCAGCGCGTGTCCTGCGCTTTGCCAACCCCAGCGCGTGGCTGTGATCAACATTGGCGGCATATAATCGGCTCCAGATCACGTGGCCGCTTGTTCTGGCTGCGAGTTGAGGGGGTGAATGCTGCTCGTTTTTCTTAAATTTTTTTCTGGGACTTCTATTGCGTGAGGTGAAAAACGAACGCGTGTTTCATAGGTCATTAACGTTAGGGATCTGTTTTACGCGGTATTTGTGCAAAGTACAAAAATTGTTGCATTGCTCCTTTAAGTTTATTGTAAAAACCCGAGTTACTTTTCGATAACAACAAATGAAAAGATACCCAAGCCTGGCAGAGTATCGCGATACAGGCGATACGTTGTAATGTATTTCACTACTGAGAAACAAATACATTTTTCAAACGCATCTCGTTACAAAGATATAGATACTCGAAAATCTCTCTTGGATACTATCGTGATATATTTGTATCGCGAGGCTGCCCAGTCCTGACCTACAGGCCTTGAAACTGCCTGCCTGCAGGTACTTATGCGGAACCCCTCTTCATCTTTGTCTTCTCAAAAAAACAATTTTCTATAAACAAGCATTTGTTTATCGTAAGCCAAAATGTTTCCAGTCAGCGGACTAATGTCGTTTAAGAATACAGTCTAAGCTCGTTAGAACAGACCTTGATTTTAACCAAGATTTCGGTTTGTTGTGAAAAGAGTATGTTGTATGCAGATATGAATTTGAGTCATTGGGGCATAGAGGACAACCAACCGAACTTCACAAATCGGTATGTTACACTGTAAAACCCTTTATTTTCGCGGCCCCTATTTTTCGCGAATCGGTCACAGATGACATAATCGCGACCACTAAATTTCGCGAATTCCAGACGCCTGCATTGAAAATCTTAAGGACCGAAATTTTCGCGCGCCCTTAAATTTCGCGAATTTTTCAATTCGCGAAAATTGGGGGCTCGCGAACATTAAGGGTTTTACAATATCCAAATGTCTGTTGTAACCTGGTCTGTTATAACGAGCTTAGACTGCACTACGTTGACACACATTTTCGATTACTGTGGTTGGAACAGATGTCCAGGGCCGGTTTTCTCGAAGCGATGGTAAACCCATTTTGGTAAACCACGGTGCCTAGGAAGGAAAAAGTACCTAGGTACTGTAATAAACGGCTGGATATAGAACAACAATAATTATTTTTGATTGGGCAATAAGATGCGCCATCTATCGGTGAAACAAGCCAGTCATTTTGTTTATCCTCTTTTTCCGCTGGTTGTTATCGATCTAGTATGGTATTTTAAGTCAAAATATAGTAGTAATGTTGTACTTGAAGACCAATTTATTTGCTTCCGATGGTACGAAGAAGTTTTAGCTACTATGCCATAGTTTGTCGACGAATATTCGAAAATCTAAAAAACATTTCCTTCAATATGTTTCGCCATAAACAACGCATAACTTTCCCGTGTTCCTTCCAGTCTGGCAACGCCGGTGCTGTAGTCTCGTTTTTGTTCCTTGCAACGCACGTTTCTGCGATTCCTGCTGATCTCAACTGTTTGCCCTCTCTTCCATTTGCCCAACCGATCCACCGGTGACGAGAAGCTAAGCTTCTCGTCACCGGTGGATCGGTGGATCGGTGGATCAACGGTGACGAGAAGCTAAGCTTCTCGTCACCGTTGATTCGCTGGCCACCGGGGATATGTAGAAACCTCGATGCTGTCGGCATACTGTCGGCGCACTGCGAAAAAAAAAAAAAAAAGTACAATGTCCCAGCTGTTCACCAGGAACGAAGACTTTATTGTGGATAACCCCCTTTCTCCGCAAAGTAATCGCTGCTCAAGGCATGCATAGTGTAACAAATTAAACGTGTTAGAATAAGTATATACCAACACTCGTTCGCTAAACATTTTTTTACTCACCATAAAAACACTTGCAAGGCTTATGTACCGTCATATGTCTTGGATCCCGGACTGCTGAAGAGTGATGCGTTCGCGGAATGCTGCCGTCGGTTAGTTTAGTAGTCCCTCTGAACTAGCGCTTTGCTTGACGTGCTAATAGGTTGATGGTGCGTCATTAATATAACAACCGGATCGAAATGAATGTTCAGCAGAACCAAGCAGAACTATTAGCCCTCATTAAGCGATGTCGCGGCCATTTTGCTTCTAGGTACTGCTCCTCCCTCGGCGCCCCTGCTCTCCAAGTCACGTGACCTAGAATTCCCCCTTCTAGGGACAATAGTTAACTTTAAACCACGGTTCGCGTTCGAGAAAACGGGCCCAGGATGGTTCAGGCAATACTGGGACGGGTAACACACGGTCGCAACCCCCGCGCGGTAGAAAGAATTGAATTGTTCCTAGGCAAAAGCAAAGGCAGTAAGGAAAGCTTCTCTCTAGCCCGGCCGTGATCTAACAAGAACTTTTTCGACAACAGCGAAAGACGCACCCCTTGCCAAGACAGAGTCGATGCCCGCCACGAAAGACGCCAGTCCCTTTCGCAGCATCCAGGGTCCCCCCTTCGGAACGGATTCTCCCAGCGTGAATCCGGGAGGGGTCGCCACGGGGGGTAGTCCCTGGGCGGACTGCCGCCGGGGCGATGAACTCGTGCCCGAACTCGGGGCCGAGCTCTCCGTGGGTGCCTCCGCCGGCGAGTCCGGCTGGTGGTCCGAGTCCGGCGGGGAACCGTCCCCGCCTCCCCGACTCGCCCCTAGGGACTGGTTGAGGGCCAGCAGGAGACCCACCTCTACGCGGGGCCACAGCGCCGTGAGGCTCACGCTGCCACGGGGTTCTCCGCCGGGACCCAGGATGGACTGCGGAGTTTCCGGAAGGCACGGAAAGATTATTTATTTACCGCAAAATCCCGTACAACTGCACTCCCCGAGGTATTGCCAATCCTTTTTTTCTGGCTAAAGATCCATAGCATAAAAGATTGCAACATCGCCCACGCCTCCAATTCCTGTCGGACATCACGCAATGTCTGACGGGAATATAATCAACTATGCGATCTGTGCTATTGGTAGGTGTGACAAGTCAGTTCGTGGCGGGTTCCCGCATTTATGTCCGTGATCTGCATGCGCGATATCGGTTCTCGTGAGAAGCGAGTTGTTCGCTCCGAATTGTTTACTGCATCATGAAATGTGAATCTGCTGCGTCCGCGATCTGCGGTATCCATTCTCGTAAGATGAGAGTTCTTAGCAAGTTCCCGCGACTCTGTTCGCAATCAGCGCGCGTGATATCGGTCCCCGTGACAATCAAGTTGTAGCGGGTTTCCCCATGTTTATCGCGCCAAAAAAACGAGAATCTGCTGCATCCGCAATCCGCTGTATCTGTTCCCATGATGTGCGAGTTCGTAGAGAGTTCCTGCGTTTTTTGTCCGCGATCTGCGCACGCGACATCGGTTCCCATGACACAAGCAGTAGCCGATTCCTACGTGTCTATCGCGCAGTGCTACGTCCACAATCTGCGGTATCGGTTCCCAAGACATGCGAGCCCACAGAAAGTTCTTGCACATTCTTGGCACCGCGAAGTGCGAATCTGCTGCGTCCACAATCTGCAGTATTCTTTCCCGTGACACAGGAATTTGTAGCGAATTTCAGCATATTTGTCGCATCGTGGAACACAAATTTGCCTTCTCTGTGATCTGCAGTACCAGTTCCCATGTCCCACAGTTTGCAGCGGGTGTGCTGGTGTTTATCACCGATTTTTAAATCGAAAGCTTTACGGGTGAAACTTCGCAGGGAATTCGGTGTTGGCATTTGTTGCAGTTTGTCGTTGCAGCGGTGGTGAATATCATGTGAATTGTATCAATGATAAGTTGAGTAACAGCCTTTCCACTCTCGTGAAGAACCTCTAGCAGAACCATTTGACATAAAAAAAACATACACGTTACTAAAATTTTGGCGTTTCATACGAATAAATATAACGCAAGCACGTAGAGATGAAATAAATGGAACTCTTAAATATTTCATATTACGACTGAAGACATTTTGATCATTAAATCGGACAGTCGCTTGTTTTGTAATGAAAACGGTCGCCAATTTTGAGAGGAAATTTTCTTGATCTGATTAGAGGCTCAAGGCGACACCCTCTCGATAACAAAGCCATAGTGCCCGGTTTTCTGTCACCCAACAGAGGCCGAAAGAAGACATGGACTGGATGCAAGAGCTGCACGAGCGTTCGGCTCGAACTCGTGTCCTCGCTGAACCAACGCGTGTCCCAGCAGAACGCCGACGCAACACTCGTGTCCGGTACGCCACGGTTTCGCATTACGACGGGATGCCACATGACACCATGATGTCAGTCATGTGATGTCATAATGTCACGTGACATTGCAGTAATACCCGATACCATGATGGCCTATATGGGCAACTGTCCTTATGAGCTCCCTATGTGTAACGTGTAAAATGCCAGAATCTGACGCTGGAGCATAATGGTTTTAAAGCGGTAGCTTTATGGAGTTAACCAATCTTGGGAGCCGCTTAAGCACGGAATGTGTTGGTCGGTCAGTTCATAACTGGTAAACGATCTTGAAAAAACGGCAACCGGTGCCAGGGATCAAATTCTGGCCACCACGCAAAAGCCGAGTGCGCTGCTGACTGAGCGACGGACCAAGCACGCAGGAACAGGAGGAGCAGAAGCAGGTGGTGTGAGAAAGTGAACAGAGTGGAGATAGGTTGAAAAGGCAAGAAAGAGAGGAGCAGAAACAGGTGGTGTAGAAAAAGTGTGCAAAACAAGGAGTGAAACAGGCAAAAAAGTGTGCTTCCCCTCTCTTGGTGACCCAGAAAATTCAGCGCAAAGGCTTTGTATATGGGTTGTACTGAAGAGAAGTGCATGCAGCATCACAAAGAGACAATTGTGCAATGTAATCCATTTTAATTTTAAAAAAATAAAAAAAGAAACCTGCACGGGGCACTGCCTGAACTAAGAGCACCACCCACCCCAGACACTGAAAGACTGAGGTTATCTTGCCCCAGACACCACCCTAACAAAGAGCACCACCCACCCTATAAAGCTACCGCATTTAAATGCATTCGACAGAATGAGAAAGCATGCAGCCAATTTTTTGTTTTTCATGGAGATGAGCATATAAACACATTCTGTGTTAAAAATGTCTTTATGAGCATGCAGCATCCCTTTTATCGAGCGACACTTTTTTTTGGTGCACTGCAGCTTCAGCCGTCGACACGCCACTAAAACCCGGAACAACCCAATGCCGTGACAGAGCCCTGCCCTCACCAGGCGGTCTTTGCTGGCCTGCTCCTGGAGGCAGGTGAAGGCCCTGACCAGGCGCAGCAGGAAGGTGTACTCGTGCAGGCCGAGCTGCATGCGGAGGTCTGAGTGCACGTGCAGCAGCAGCTGGGCGCTGCCACCTGAGGGCCACAGCCACAACGTCAGGGGCAGCGGCTCCACAAAGGCCCTTGGACGGTTGCCCGGGTACTCCACAAACTCCGCCCAGCAGGGGTCCAGGTGCAGAGACCACAGCGCCTCCTCCGTTCCTATCAATGTACACTTCTTGTTAACTACTCACTCTCTTTCTCGCATTGTTGCACAAGTCGAACGTCAAAGTGTGCGAGGTCACGACCGATGTCGATAAAGATAACGACCTATTTGCCACGCACATAGTACATTCTTGTGAGACGACCATCCACGACGGCTGGGTAAGACTGGAAGCTTCTCGCTGTGGTCGAACGTAAAGATACGGTGAAGATATGAATATACTAGTAAGGCAGTTTCAATACCCTCCTAATCCTGACGCAGCAATTTGAGACACCTGTGCAATGAAGACACTACTAACCTAATAGAGATTTCTCCCCTGTACCGAAGTTTAGTGTATTACACGACCTGATGATGAACAGATGCTTACACTTATCCAGCTATTATATCCTATAGAAGTCATTGTTTGGCAAGTGTTAATTTAACGCTGCCACATTGGCCCCACAGCTAATTGCACCATCCAGAGGTCGTCGCAGATGCCACTCTAGACACATTGTGTCCCCCCCCCCCCCCCCTCACCAGTCTATTACATCTGTGTTTCTGTTACTGACAACATTTTGCGTACATCACGAAGCTGGCAGACAGAAATTCACACCACATCACAGCAGATTCCTGCAGATCAGCCCACAACACACCACTTGGTCACGTAGGGTCACAACTGTAAGGAGCAACGCTGTCGCCACCAAGTAAGGAGTAATTCAAACCAATGCCCTTCTTGCCCCTGTGCCACCTCCACTCGTGGTCTTTCTCTAGTGACGCCATCTGTCGCCGGCTACCACAACCACCCGGCCGAGCTCCGTACGGTCGCGTGAAAGGGTGAGCCCTCACCGGTAGACTCTCGAAAGAAGCGGTCAGCCACGGGGGGCGGGTCCTGGGGCCTCCAGGGAAACTGGGCGGTCTCGAAGAAAAGGGGGCCCGCCCCCAGGGCTTCCAGGCACGGCCCCAGGTTGGTGCCCGTCGAGGGGCAGTTGGTGGCGATTGCCCGGGAGGTCGCCAGGTGCAGTTCCCGCAGCCCGTCCTCTGCCCACAGGGGCCGCTCCCGGTCGAACTGGGGAAGCACCACCTGTGCGGCATCGACAGCCTTGTCAACGAGATGCCGTTTACCGATAAAAACTCCCAGTAGCCGAAATGCTGCACACTTTAGCACACAGTTACACTACCACATTTAGAGGACTTATACCCTGCTAAATGTAGTAGACGGCGTTAATACAATGCTGCGATGTCACGTGGAACCATGACATACTGCGACACTCAATACCTGCTAAATTTAGCAGGCTGCAATGCACAGCAATACCTATAAGGTCCGTCGCGAAACCATGCCAGTAACCGCTGTCGCCATTTTTTGTGGTAGCCGTTACCAACACCTTTCGCCGTACCATGTCGCACACAATTCAATCCGAGTTAGCTTCCCTAAGTGTGCAATTATGCATTGATATGTGAACCTGAATGCATCCTTTTAACCAGTTTGATGCGTGTGCGAGTCATACATGCGGGAAGTTGATGCCGGTAAAACACCAATCTTGTTTGATTAAAATCTATGTTAATTGAACCTTTCGCAAATTAAGAAGCGAAAGCCGAAAAGCCTAGCTGGAAGGAAAAGTTCCGAGAGCAATGAGGCAACGAAGGTAAGAGCAATCGACTCAGGACAGTTTGAGTGGGAAAGCACTGTGTCGGTATTTCTGGGACAAAACGCACCTTGGGAAGGATCAGCTCCAGTCTTACAGCCAATGGCGTAACTCCGTTGGTGCACGTCAGGTGTTCCTGTAGTGGTCAAGAGATGGCATAACTTGCGGCAAGATGCTAAAAGACCACCAGCGAGCACAAGTTGATAGGAAAAAGAAAAAAAATTAAAGCCCTGCACTGTGCATATAACAATCAACATCAAATGAACAACTCAATTCTTATATACACTGGGCTTATGTCCAAAGAATTAGGGTAGGCCTATAGCCTGTTGTCCCTAAAATTTATGCAGTTGTAAAGCTGCCAATCGTGTTTTCATTGTTCTTCAACTGAATTAGGATGAATCCTAGTTATACAGACCAACCTCCTTATAACGTAAAGGGCTATAACAAAATAATGGTTGTAACGAAATAATTGAGATCATCCCCTTAAAAGCTTCCATAAAAACCCATGTATTTAAAAACTAGCTTTAACGAAATAAATATGATTGAGTTTTGGATATAACAAACCATCTTTGCTTCAAAATGGTAACTAACCCCACGACTTCATGCTAAATACAATGATATATGACACAGCAGAACAACTTTGCCGTCAGCCCGACGCGATCTCCGCTGCCTCCCGCCTGAAGGCTCCGACACTGCTACGACTGCTCCGTGTGGTACCTTAGGATAAACATGGTGAGAGTAAGAAGCGCAGCATTGGCACCTGATGCTATCTCTCGGGTGAAGAGACAGCTACGCAGCCCGCTAAAGTCGGCGGCGCCGGAAGGGAGAGGAGGACATGAACGGAAAGATAGGAGACAAGACCGGTAGGCCGGGCGGCGGAAGGCGAGGGCTTTCTCAACCTGCGATCTTGGAGAGTGGTTCGTCCAAGTTGCTTCGGTTCGCGCTTCTCTAGTACGTATTTTGTGTCCGATTTCCCCGTCCCACGGCAACAAGATAAGCACAGGCAGCTCCATCTCCAAGCTAAAGCGGAAAACAATCTCCCTCGACGAGGAGGCAGCAATACTCCGGGCTCTTGCGGCGGGCACAAAGAAAAGCCAAATGGCAAAAGAGTTTGACATCGCGCCAAGCACGCTGTCCACAATCCTTGGCAGCGAAGACATCATCGGGGACGCTATCGCACGTGGCGTGAAAGGCAGCTGCAAGAAGCTGCCTTCTACTGCTTTTGAAGCAGTAAAGCATTGCTTACATGGTTTTTGGACACCAGAGCTTCAAATGTCCCGGTAAGTGGAGCACTGCTCCAGAAGGCAAAAGACTTCACTTGCATCGCGAGATTCGACAGTTTTGTTGCGAGTGCTGGCTGGTTGCAGAGCATAAAAGAACATCACGACATCATCAACAAAATCCTCGGCGGAGAGTGTCAGTCAGTGGACAAAGAAGAGGCTACGGCATGGATGAAAAGTACCATTGGTCCTTTGTTGGAGCACTACGACGAGCGAGATGTGTTCAACGCTGATGAGAAGGGACTTCTTAGTGCGAAAGCATTAACTATCCCATGGAGAGAGCTGAACTCATCAGTTTGAAGTGCGAAAATGGCACCTAGTTTCTGCGATTCCAACAGGAGCAAATTAAAGCTGATGGATTTCGCCTTCGGTTCTATTGGTTAACGGCACGTCGACGGGACTCCCATTGGCCACTGCACTTGTCAGTTTCCAGAACCACTCACCCTATGGAGCTACGTGTACATCAGCGCGCCGTTAACATGGAGTGACCAAGGTCAGCGTGCCCAGGGGAGCGTGCACGCTGACTGGCAACAAAAAGTATGCAGCAGACAAAAAAGGGAGCGGACGAGCGGCTTGTATGATATCACATACACTCATAAGAAGAGCTTAGGTGTACCTCGAGCTTTATTTTTTTTTCAAATGCTGTTGAGAAAATCTCAAGGGCGATCGTTGCCATTGCGGGAAGCAAAGCAAGGTGCGCATCATGTACTTCTTTGTGCCAACATGGACGGCTCGGAGAAGATACAGCCATTGGTGATCGGGAAAGGCGCATCTCCACGCTGCTTCAAAGGAAAGCAGAAACTTAGAAAGGTAATTGAAAAGAAGACACTCGGAGCAAACCCAGAGAGTGAACAGAATCGACACACCATGGGGGATGGAGCGGGGAAACTGGAATACGTCTCCAACAACAAGGCGTAGATGACAAGAGCCATTTTCGCCTAATGGCTTTGTGACTGGGATGAGAAGCTCAAGAAGCAGTAGAGAAAGATCTGCCTTTTTTTTTGACAATTGCACAGCCCACTACACAAGTGCTGTACTTATAAACATCGAAGTTTGCTTTTTGTCTCCAAATAGCACGGCGGTAATACAGACCCTCGACCAAGGTTTCATCATGGCTTTCGAGGCGGACTACAGAAAGCGACCAATTGACAGGTTGTTGGTCAACATGAGCTTGAAACACGAGACTAACATAGACTTCCACGTGGCAATCGAAAATGCTTCAGGCCGCGTGAATAAGCGTTGCTGCGAGCATCATTGCGAACTGCTTCCGACATGCATCATTTGCCCTCGACACAAGCTACTTTGGTGACGATAAGTCGGTGAACTTTATCGCTGTACCAGACGAAGCCACTGCATCGAACAAGGTCGTAGCGATGTGGAAGACACTTCTTGATGCCGGTGTTGTGTCTCAGAACGAATCATTCTGAAGCTATATGAGCACGGATGTTGATGTGGTGATGATGAAGGAGCTGATTGACAAGGACATTGTGATCCCAGTCACCGGCACGGATGATACGAGAGACGATGATTGCGTTGAGGACTGCGACACTCTGCAATCTTGCGCGTTCCCCATGCTGACATCGCCGCAAGCACTAGACGCAGTGGACTTGCTATGCCGCTACTTTGGCGCGTGTGAAGACTGCAAAGATGGTCTACGGTTTACTGCTGCTGCTGAGAAGGATGTCCTTCGTCTAAGGAAGACGCAACAGCAAAACATCATGGACGTTTTTGAACAAAAGTCTGCATGAATTGCAAGAATAACTTTTGTTACTAAGAATGTGTTGCGCAGTAAATGCTCCCGATTTCTACGTTTCTGCGGAAAATGCTACCTATTTCTTGCCGCACGTTATTTAAGCGGGGTCGTCAATACTTTATTGAGGACATGGCGGCTGTGCCGTCTCCTGTAAGCATCGACGCACCCGGTGGTAAGTACACCCCCTTCCATGCAATGATTACGGTCATGGTCAAATACGGCTATAACGAAACAATGGCTACAACGAAAAAATTGAGATGTCCCTTCAATTTCGCTATAACGAGGTTTGACTGTAGCTACTTAGGATTATACATTATGTGTGCATTCAATAGTTGAGATATGCTAATGAATGAACCGTACCAATTGAATAGAAATAAAAATTAGAAAGCTGTCAAGAGGCGAAATTTGGCAGAACGGAGTTCAAACTCCAGGCCTCCTCGTCACTGGTGAACTATTCTAAATTACACCGTGAGGAGACCCGGAGTTTGAATCCCGGCTCTGCCAAGTTTTGTGTTTTGGTGGTTTTCTAAACTTTTTTTCATTGGATCTGTAGAATTCATGTCTGCATTTTTGTCTATAAATACACATTTAAAGAAAGTGACAGCATACTGAATACACACTTGCAGAAAGTGATTACACACCTATTGGCTATCTTCCACTTGGCCAACTAGAGTAACTATAAGAAGGCAACATATCAATCACACCATCAGACGAAGTGTTCTATGGCACGAAGCCTGGAATGCCTCTTTGACTTTTGCGTCTCGCGTCCTATCCCGATCATAAATCAAAAGCAATCCCCACGTGTCACCCAATGACGTCGCAGAAGCCGGAGCGTCATGCTGTCGGGTGTTGTGCTCCTAGCATTTGGCGGCCCAATCCCCAGAGAAGACGTCGCGACGAGCGGGGCCGCTTTCCTCACCGTGCATTTGCGCACGCTGTGCAGAAAGGCATGTGCCCAGAGCACGGTGGTGAGATCCACCCTCAGGGCCATGGGGCCCAGGTGGGCGAAGAGGTGGGGCTCGGGCACGCTCCCGGGCTGGGAGCTCGGCGACAGGCCCGGCGGGCTGCTGTGGTTGGCCGTGGGCGAGCTGCCCGGCCGCGGGTAGTAGTAGGTCAGCTCCAGGTGGAGCGCCTCGCCGGGAAGCAGCACCGTGGCGCCTTCAGAGGCCAGGAAGCGCCGGCGCGCGCCCCGGCCCGAGGTGCACACCTGCAAGAAAGTCGAGCAGATGCTCTTCAGACCGGAGTCGGCGTGCGGACTCCGACGCCGGATTGAAGCACCGACAAGCGTGCCACGGCGTGATCCATATCGAACGAGCTTTGAAGTTGCTGCTAAATGTCCTTGCCGGATTGGTAGCTGCTGCGAGTCTAAAGCCCATTTCTTACGGTGCAATATTTTGTCTTTTGTCTAGCGTCGTGCGAATATTCGAAATTGCAAACATTAGTTTCGAATAATATGCTGTCCGAAATTCACGTCCAGATGAACCGTGATATCCATATCTTTTTAAAGTGTTGATTGCAGCAGGTTAGCCCCGTTGAGTCTTACAGAGCACAGCTGCACTGCGGAGAAGCAACACCTGTGAAAGAGACATCCACGGGTGTAGCTTCTCTGCAGTGCACCGGTGCTCGGTAAGGTTCGCACTCAAAGGGGTAACCCGCCACGATCAACACTTAGAAAAGTATGAATATAAATCGCAATCGCGTGCTTGGGAGAAAAGCACACTTTCAAAGCGGGATGGTGCATGCATGTGCCTGGTGTATTTAAAAGAAAACTGAGTTTGTGAACGGTGATATCAACATTGCAGTTAAGATTTTCGAAAATTACAAGAGGATGCTTAAGTTTCGTTTTTAAAGTGGGACACTATCCAAAAGGGCGAAATTTTGAACCTTTTGATATGAATGAAATTTGCAGAATATACTGGCAGTTGCAAGGCAGAATACAACGTCAAGTTTCATATGTGTACATACATTATAAAATAAATTATAGCATATTTTATCACGAACACGCTTATATTGTTGAGGAAACCTATTATCAGAAAACTAATATAATACCTAACATTTTTCCTGACTAGATATGCAGCAGAATGCCTGGAGGGTGCAGCTGTGAAAGCAAAATTTCCCAAAAATAATTTATTTTCTGCTAACATCGCACAAAAAATCAAATAATTTTTTTTAGCTTTTTATCTTGTCGACAATATTTTTAATATATTTTATAAAAGACATTCTCAAAGTAAGAAAACAATTCCACAAGTTGCATTGCCCATGAAATTTAAGTTAGGAAAAACAAGAAATGAGCCTTCCCATTTGTCCCGTTACCAAACAATAGTTTTCCTAAAGCGAAATTTATGCCAAAAAGTGGAATGGAGAGAAATGCATTTGGGAGTGTTCAAACCTCTACCTTTTTTTTTGCATTGGTGGACCGAAAATAATTTATACAAAAATAACTATGCTGCGTAAACAAATTAATTTTCTAGAAATATTCACTAGATGTTGGTAGATATCAATATGTCATTTTTCATCAAATTTAATTTTTATCTGGATAGTGTCCTTTCTTAAGGGTGGAACGCGCCATGTAAACATTCAAGCCCCCACTCGTTCCCAAACCTTGCGTGTCTGCGTGGCCTGGTGGGTAGTGTGTCTTGCTTGCAACCGAAGGATTGCGGGTTTGAATCCCGCCTCCGCCTACAAATTCTTCAAATATTTTTTCCTTTAAGGCAAATTAATTACTTTATAAAGTGAAATCATTTGAGCCATAAGGCCACCTTTAATTCACATTACATGTAATGTTTTAATTATTTTCATTTCACGCATGACATTACATTTAACGTGAGCATTGTGGGTTGTTTGAAATTCCCGTGCAAGGTCATGTGGCTGCGACGTCGTGACCCTATCGACGAATTAGGATTTTTCCCGTCCCACACCAATTACGCCGACTTTTCTGCGACACGAGCTTTTTAAAGCTATCGCTTCAAAATTGAGCTGTGGCTGTTATGCAAGAACATTCGTTCGGTAGAGGTGCCCTCACAGCCTGCGTTCATCATTTGCGATACTTTTGTTTTTATTAAATTTGAGATTTAAGAAAGAGTAGTTGCATATACCAATGTTTATAAATCAACTCAATTAGATATAGCTGAGCATCTCTGTATGCTTCATTTTATGCAAAATCCGTCATCTACTTGCCACCCCAAGGCATTGTACTTTCTAAGGCCACAGTCCATAAATATAGTTAGAAGAAAATTATCTTATAAATAGACAAGTGGAAGCTTTGGAACAACCTTCGCAAGTTTAGCTGGCCTTTCGTTTAAGCATGGTGCAACAATAGTGAAAGGCTCGAAGAAATTATTCTATATTCAATTAAAAATTATGCGGTTAAAACCACGGTTTGCCTCAAACTCAAAACCTACTATTCGCACATGACTACTTCTGTCATATTGGTAGCCGCTGCAAGTTTGAAGCCAGTTTCATTTGGTGCAACTTGTGACTTGTCGCAGAGCGATTTTCGTCGTACTGAGATTTAAATGATGCTTGCGTGGCAAAAGAAAAACCGTGGACGGCACCTGATGTGCATGCTATGTCCAGAGGCCTTTTGGGAGGTGAGACTGAAAATCGCACCAATTTTTTGTGCACAGTTCTTCCATAAGAGATGGCCTTTACCTGTGACCCGACGATTTCTCCGTACATATCTGTTTCAATAAACCTACCGTAAAATCCGGAAAGGGCGCCCACCCTTTTGCCAGAGGAAATTGTAGCAGTAAGTGAGGTGGGCCATGTTTTCCAAAAACCACGAAAAATACGAGAAACGGCAGATTTTTTTGTGCCTTTATTCTCGCTAATCAGCGTTGCTAACTCCATTAAAGGAAACATCACTCCCGCTGTCAGAAATCAAGTCCAAAGCCTCGTCCACCAGGCTCTCGTGTTCCCTGGGTCCCGCCTCTGCCGCATTGTCCATCGACGCCAAACGGTCATTTGATTCGCCATACTCCGTTTCATCGAGGCTCGTTGAAATGCCGCACCTCTTGAAGGACCGCCGCACCGTGTCCTCGGAGAGGGAGGCCCACGCGTCCGCCACAAAGTCTACGACGTTCTGCCTATACGGCCTCTTTGGATTTCCCTCGGGAGTCAGCTTGCTTGCCTGGAAGAACACGGCCCAACGCTCGCACAACGCATCCTCGAACGGTTTCATCCACGAGAAGTCGGTGGGTTGCAGTATTGATGTGCAGCTGCCTGGTATCAAGGCTACGTCTGTGTCCCTGGCATAAAGAGCTTCTCGGGCAGTTTCCTTCTCACGTCGTCTACGTTCGGCCCCCAGACCCTGTCTATCCACTATTAGAGGACGGGAGAGGTCATCCACCCATTTCTAGATGATGTGATTCACACATTTCCCAAAAAGAATACCAGTACAAAATTAATTGACAACTTGGAACTGACTGACTTATGAAAGTGCATGCCAAACGAAAGCACAAAGGCAACAGGCCTCAAACACGACCGGTGGATAAATGCAGCCAACCCACAGGGCGTACCTAACCGCCTCACCATTGAAATTGGGCAGTGGCCGAGCCATATTTTGCAACTATGGCGAAGCAAGACGAAATTGGTTTGGCTCTAGGGTAACTGATGGCGCCACAATCAGACTTTTTTTTTTTGCAAGTTTGAAGGAGCGGTTTACAATAGGGAGGTTCTATAGTTTGTTTCTGTCTTGCGTAGTTCTAAGCATGTAGCTACCTTTATCAATGGCAGAATAAGTTTAAAAACAACATACCTGGAAGTCTGAGTGCAAATAGTGCCCTAGAGGGTACCCAGTCTGCTGGCTCTTCAAGCACGATCAACGCTGGAAGCTTGACTCCCGCTGCCGTTGCACACAAAGCCATGGTCATACCTCTCCGGTCACAGTCGGTGTTGGTGATTTGGATAGCTGAGTCGCAGGTAGCATTGTTTGTTCTTGTTGTTGGATAGTCCATTTGCACCATAGTCTGGTCCATATTGGCAATGTTCTAATCCGTATAATCATGCTCCCGGCGAGGAGTCGAAACAACCTTTCTGAAGACCGCAATCACTTCAGCATAGTCAGCGGGCAGCTTTTGACTTTAGTTTGTCCCAACCCGCATTGACACATTGTAGCGCTTTTTCCAGCGAGCGATGTACTGGCACGATGCTTGAAAGTTGCCCAGACCCATCTGTGCCGCGAGCTGTCGCACATGCTCTTGAAAAAGCCGGCTGCTGACGGCTCGACCGGCTGATCTCTCAGTCTCCAGGAAGTCCATTAATGCGTCGTCAATTTCTTCACTGAAAACGGCACGTCCAGTACCCATCCTTCTCTTTAGCTTGGTCTTTCCATGACACTGCTGCACGAGCACTTAGTCTTTTGTGTTCCACTCCCGTACACGCTTTCTGTCAACCACGATGCGGCGTGCAGTCTTGCTCACATTGATTCCGTATTTACGGTGCCACTCCACGATTTCCACCTTCTTCTGGATAGTGTAGCTAGAACTCATCCTGGGATCGCAGGAGAAACATCTTCACAGTTCACTGGCAGATCGAGGAATGAGATGGTCAAGTCAGTCTGACCTGTTTTCCTTTACGTTTATCAATTCGAACGATCAGATGCGGGGGCACCAAAAGAGTAACCTTGAACCTTTGTTGGGTTTTGCCTCCTTACCACTCTAGTCCTCCAAAATGTAACCTCTTCCCTTTGCAAAAAAATCAAAAACTACAATAAAAAAAAAAGAATTCTACCCGCGCCTTTTTTACTTTTGGGAATCGTTGCTCCTGGAGGGTGGGCGATGTATCGGCAGAGTGACTGAAATAGACGTTTGGGCAACAAAGGGGGGTGGGCCATGAGTTGGTGTGGGCGCCCTTTCGGGATTTTACAGTATGTTTGCCGCGGTCGGGCCGTTAAGTGCCGTTACGCGTGCAACCAAACAAGAAGAGAATCAAGTCTGTTGCCACAGTTTCTAGCATTTACCGCAAGCTTCCTTCACGCCGCTGCGGTAAAACAGCCATCGGCACGGCTCATGCGCACATGCTTCCCTTTAAGCAAATCTGGTTTCCGCGCACGTGCAGCGCTCAAACCTAGTTTGGGCAAATACCAACTTGTTCGTAAACAGTGTGTGGATCTATACAGGTTCTGTGTCGTTACCTATTGCGGACAGGTCACAATGAAATTTCAGATTTTTAGTGCGTAGAAATGTGAATCGTCGAGTTGTTAGAAACTTTCCTGTTCACGGAACAAAACCCTCGTTAAACAAAATTAAAGCAATGTTCTCAATGAACAACAGCCCGGGCTCCATTCTTTTGTTTTTGTTTCAAAATGCAAGGGTCAGTGATGCCCCATTCATTCTCACGCCTATGAACGGCCAGATAAAGAGGTAGCACCACCCTCATTAAACAAAATTAAAGCAATGTTTCTAATGAACAACAGCCCGGCCTCCATTCTCTTATTTTTGTTTCAAAATGCAGGGGTCAGTGATACCCCATTAATTCTCAGGCCTATGAACGGCCTGATAAAGAGGTAGCACCACCCTCATTAAACAAAGTTAAAGCAATGTTTCTAACGAACATCAGCCCGGGCTCCATTCTTTTGTTTTTTGTTTCAGAATGCAGGGGTCAGTGATGCCCCATTAATTCTCAGGCCTATGAACGGCCAGATAAAGAGGTAGCACCACCCTCGTTAAACAAAATTAAAGCAATGTTTCTAATGAAGAACAGCCCGGGCTCCATTCTTTTGTTTTTGTTTCACAAATACAGGGGGCAGTGATGCCCCATTAATTCTCAGGCCTATGAGCGGCCAGATAAAGAGGTAGCACCACCTGCTGCATGGCGAACTCCTCGAGGCGAACCAGGAGGCAGCTGGACATGAGGCAGCGCCAGTCGCCCAACTGGTTCGAGGAGGGGCTGCCGCCGCCGTCCTGGGGCGGAGTGGCGCCGTGCGGTGGCGCCCTCTGCAACACAGCGTGTCGGCTGCCCTCCGCCCACCGGGACAGAAGCTGCTGCACCCAGGCCTGACGGCCAGACGATGGCTCGCTGTACTTGAGCCACTGGGCACGGGGACTCGCTACGGCAAAAGGGGCGGGAAATCAGTGGGTGTAGAACCCCAAGCTCGGTAACACCGTTCGTCTTTTAGGGCGAAAGTAATTTTTTGTGAGGTTCTGTGGCGGATCCCGGGGCACGATTCGTGCTTGTCGTAGCTGGGAAATTCCACCGGTAAATTTAGAAGGAAAATTTCTTGACTCAACATCCTGATGTCGCGTGAAACAACGCAACTCCCTGACGTCGCACGACCCGGTGAAGTTGCACGCGGCACCGTGATGTCAAGTGACACTCCGACGTTGTGCGACAGTCTCGCGTCGCACGCATCACTGTGATGTTAGACTGCGATGCCATAGCACGGGATACCGTTATGCAACATGATGCTATGATGTCACGTGATGTCGTGGTTAGTGTGCAGTGCTATGGCTGTCGTCGCACTTCATTTGCATGACACGGAAAGAAACCACAAATTTTTATAGTGATGCATCCGAAAAAAAGTTTTCTCCCCTTTTTTTACCTCCCGTGGAAAAACGACTTGGTTGCATCCATCCGAGTAACAAACATTATAATTAGGCATAAGAGGCTTTAAATTTTCCCATAATCGCCTTGGAATTTGGGATAGGCATTAAAAGTTCAGTGTCCCAAATTATTTTTTAAAAAAATCCAAATGTTTCTTAAAAAAAGGCGGTTAACAAGAAATAAAAAAAATCATGAGCCATTCCACTTTGTGAAGGTGGATTACCAGCAAAGCTGTTTAGCATACGACACTAACGTGACATAGAATTTTGAACAAAGGTACAAACACAATTATTGTCTTGATCGGTGGTCGATCAAGTGTCAATGGTCACCGACAACACTTGCAGCGCACAAGTCCGGTTTGCAGGAACCCGCACATCGTAGATGTTGGTCAAGACGTCGTCGAACCACAGCCGATCACACGTCCTACAACTTACAACCAAACTGTCTGTCCAGAAAGTCCCTTTTGAATTTAGTGTATGCTCCATTAAAGTTGTCCAATTTAGCAGCACGGTACCTGTGTCTTTGTGATGCATTCTCTGCCCTGTGACGTTCGTCATCGCGGGGCGGAAAACGCATCTGGTGCAAGCAGTGCGAGCCTGAGGCCGAGATTTCGATCATCGTTGGTCTTGATTTAGAGCTTGATTTGCATGGGCTCTCGCACAACCGGGACCACCACCCCAGGAGAGCGGAAGGAAACTAGACACGCAAGCTCTTGGAACGAAGACAAAGAGAGGGAGCCATAAACAGCTTTGCTGTAAAAAATCCTTTCTTGTCTTTTCAAAATTCTAAAAAAAATTGCATTCCTAACTTACGTTATCACTAGTTTGGAGCTGCCTCGGCAGCTAGTATTATAGTAGGCCTGCACATAATTTCCTTCCTTCCAAAGTTTCATATTCTTTCTTTTAGACGCCTCTTAAAGAGGGGTCCAAGGACATCCAATATGAGTCGAACAAGACAAGGAGGTCTCTGCGTTCCACGAGCACTCACCGACTCCGTGGAAGGGGTAGTAGTCGACCAAAAGCTTTTCTAGGACCACCTGCAGCGCCCCCCCACCCTGGAGGGGTGGCCAGCTGGACCGGGTCTCTGCAAGCAAGAACGCAGCATCGAGGCGTCAACAAATAAACTCTCGGAAATGACCACACCAAGACGTCAACAAGAAAAAGCGCCGACTCACCCTTGGGGTCCATGTCGTCACAAAGGTGGAGGTCGATACGGGTGCAGAACAGATGGTACGAGGTCTCGAGCACATCGTGGTGCCTGAAGAACTCCACCAAGGGGCTATGCGTGCGGGGCGGGGCACCCCGGGGGGCCGGCTCGGCGGGAGGGGGTGCGGCACGCCGGCGCTGAGCGGCCGAGCGGCGCACCAGCACGCTGAGCGAGTGCCACAGGTGGATGGCCGCCACCAGTTGCGCGTCTGTCAGAGCCCACAGCAGGTCGTCGAGGATCAGGACCAGGCGGCTGGCCACCATGCTGCAGTCTGGGGGTCAAAGGTCGCCCAAAGGTCATCCTGGCAATGTCCCATGCTGCTCAGCGACAGTTGCAAAAATTCAGAGGGGAAGGAGTTATCTTGGGAGGTTGGGGAGAAGAATCGCGTGTTTTTGGTCTCCAGGCTACCTCTTACTATAAAGGGTTCAGCCGATAACATCATCCGAGGGATTAGATGTGGGCACACGATTTACCCGGTCTAGTTAAATTCGGAAGGCGACAAAATCTTAGGTGTCACTATCCTGTTCGAAGCGCTTGTCTTCTCACCGATTGGAAATTAGTGCCAGCCGAACCTCTCCCTCGAGTGCCTGAGCGTTACTCCCGGCGGGGGTAAAACATCACGAGTTCAGACATACAGCGGCACTCTGCTTCGTGAAACGAGCGCACTACGGCCTTCCCCAGAGAAAGAGCGCAAAAGAAAGCAACAAAAAAGCAGAAAAAAAAAAAAAAAAACTTTTTTGCCGCAACGCGTTGAGGTATTAGTTCCGAGTTGAGGTCTTAGTTCCGTGCTCCGATTGATCTGTTTTCCGCAAGTTCCAGCAAACAGGTCTCGCACTTCAACAGGCTCCGAGAAAGTCGCATTTACGCCACAACCGTGGAAGATGGCACCCCCACATAACACGCCCAACGAGCACTCGCGCACTTACCTCGCACGAGACGGGCGTTCGTCGCGCCGTCCAGCCTCTACATGAATACGCAGTTTCTCTACACTAACACGTAACAATTAGTGTTACTGCCGCCTTGCCACACCAATACGGCAAAGGGGTTACTTTTTTTCAAATGCGCAGCATTTATGGGGTTGGCTTTGGCGCTTCCCTCTCCGGGTCAGGCAACTTTCCTTGGTGTCCCCTCGGTAGAAGCAAAGCGGACTACACGTACCACGGAGGCCTCTTGCTTGCAGGCTTTGCACACCACCGAGGCGGCGCAAGAGCGACCGCAAAACAAGATCGCTGGGCTCAGCAGCAACGCGAAGCCAGTTGCCGTCACAAAGTGGTCGACCGGCAGTTTGTGCGCAAATTTATGAATGATTCGTTCAGTGAGGCGCGCAATGTGCGCGACAGACTATGGTTTTGGGCGGACGCGACTCTGCTGCATTTTCTCGGAAAGAAGAGACTGTGCAGCGAAGAATCGCTCGGGTGACGCCCCAACACCCTCCTGGGTTTGATGGTGGAGTCGTCGAACGCGAAAACTCGTGGGGCACCCGATTCCAAAGATCCCGGAGACCCTTTCACGCGTGAGAAAGGAGCGAACGAACATTGAAACCGGCGGGGCTCCCTCCGTCCTCACCGGCCAGGCGCTTCTTGAGCACGATGCGGCAGCGCGCCCCGTTGGTGATGAGCCTGAGGGGTGCGGGGGCCCCCGGCCCACGGCTGCGGGCCTCCAGCCGCAGCATCTGCCACTCGAGCTGCTTGAAGATGAGGATCTCGCCCTGGTCCTGGCTCTTGATTCGGCACAGCCTCAGGTCCCCCGCCTCCCACCGGGGGGTCCGGCTGTCCAGCACCACCCGCGACAGCTGCGAAAGATAAACAAGCGTTTGAGAAACAAAAATAAAAGAGTTCGCAAAAAAAAAAAAAAAAAAAAAGACCAGACGTATTTTGTTAGGTGTTGCTTCCTCTTTCGTTCTTTCAGTGCAGCTTCCAGTGTACGCAAGTCAAGTGCTGTGGGGATTGTGATCCCTCAACACTCTGTCGCGTCAGCGTTTTGGCGCGCCGTGGCGGCCGCACCGACGTAGCGAGAGGTGGCGCTGCTTACCACTGTGAGTGGCTTCCTCCTCTCCCCCTTTGGGGCGATTTTCGTAACGAACCCCCGCAAAGAGGAGATCGACGTGTCGCCCCTTGGTTGGCCACTTCGCCCCCGCCGTCATCTTAAAACCAGCGGACAGCAGGATCTCGCTTCTCTCGGCTTCCTGGGATTCGGCGGCGGCGACAACGGGGAACCGCCCGGTGCACCGGTGAGCGTTTACCCCGTCCTTCGTACCTTTGTGAACGACCGTTCGGCCGTGGGCGATCTCCACACCGACGGCGTTCAACAGCTTATAGCCGCTGTGTTCTTGTTGTTTGTTTCGTTGTTAATAAACAGAGTTTATCACCGTTACCAACGTGACTGGTGTCTGTTTGCGCTCAACGAGCAGCATGCCACGCGAGTACGAACCTGCCTCGCGGTAGAGCGTCTCGCCGCGAACGTGGTACACCCAAAGGCAGTGGCCCTAAGGAGAACCACACTATGGGTAGAAGAATACTCGAAATTTCGAATGCAAATACAGTATTTTGGACGCTCAATCCACTTTCATTTGGAGAATTGATAATTTGGCACTTTCCAAACATTTAATTATGGACAAGCATTCAACCAAATGAACATTCAACCCAGATTTACCGCAAATAACCGGATATTCCTCTGTTTAATATTTGCCAAATATTTTTTAAGCATTGAATACTGGCATATTTTGCGAGAACAGAAATTTTAGCAGTCTATGGTAAACTGACCCAAATACTCTAACGCGGCCGAAGCATTTGCATCATACAATGTTGCAACCGTTTTTTGTTGGTTAGACTTGCAAATACTATTCATTGTTTACAGCAGTTTTTTGCATAGCTAGGTACATGTGAAGCAGAAAAAAAAGAGCAAACCTTTTACGCCCCTTCCCACAGTGAAGGCCAGTTTACACATGTGTAAATTCTTTTTACTGTGCGCCTCAATTAAAGGGCCACTGGAAAGAAAAAAAATGTTTTTTTTAAACAATCTAGTTAGGACACACATGTCACAAAAAATTATTTTTCGCACAAAAATATTTTTTAGAGCAATATTGACGGCGCAAGATTTATTTAAAGGTCTGCGCGCAAAATCCATGATGTCGCAGAATGGTCATACACTCTTTCCACCTTAACAAGATGGTCATACCCTCTCCACCTCAACGTGGTGCCCAAGTCGATTCACCTATCTTTCACACAACCAAAATGCTGAGAGAGAAAACAAGTGGAAATGAGGTGACTACCGCCTAAATCGCGTCTTGCACCGTCAACACTGTTCTAAAAAATTTATTCTTTTTCCCGTAAAATTCATTTTTTGATGCGCGTGTCCCCAACCAAACTGAATAAAATTTTTAAAAAATTTTCCGTAGAATATCGTGCATCCGCCCATACCCAAATTTGTAAAATGTGAGAAAATATGCACAGTACATTGATATGTAGAATTGGTGACCGGACAAGCGCCCATCCCCCATTTTTCATGATTATCTCAAAATTTTGAGTGGGCGCTTGCCCTTTATTTTACGGTTGTTCAGTTTTTTTTGTTTTTTTTTATATTTTAATATCTTGTACGACGAGAAGCCACACTGGCGCTATTTATCGGACAGCTGGGAAACACTTTCAGTTGCCGTATATTTCTCCTTTTTCCCCACGCATCATTCTTTCTTTGCTGGCATGAGAAACTTTTAACGACGTTATAAACACCATTTCTCATAGATGATACGTATGTCTAATCTTGTAAGTACTCCTCGCTCTAGTGATCCTTCGCTTTAGTGAAATCCACTTTTCAGGGTCACCTCATAAATGGCGCCCCCATGTCCTCTCGTCGTAAGAGATTTTAAGAGGCTTCGAGGCACTGGGCCGTAAAAAGTCGCATGTGCGTGAACGGACCTTTCGTGATGTCACTCCTTTAACAAGTGTTCTATACAGATAGATCTTGAGGGGAGGGGGGGGGGGGGTAAACTCAGTGCCTTATTTTCTGCGCTACATCGTCAAGGCCATCGTAGTTCCTATGCTGCTGTTTGCCCACACTTCCTCAAAAGCATATGTCTTGATTTTGCATCTCCTTCACACACGCTCTCGTGCAGTGGAGACGCCAAATGAAGCCGCACACTTGCGCACGTAGCTTTGACAGCGTTGGAGCACTGTAGAAACTATGGACGGCACTTATACGTGCATTTAGAGTGCTGAAAGCAAACAGTTTGTTATTGAAGACGAACAGTGCAAAGTGCACAGAAAAAGAACAGGAGATGGAGACCCCCCCAAACTTACCCCTTAAATGCGTCTAGTACATCTAGAATGGAGAAAGCATTCTTTTTCTCTCAGACAGCCAAATCTTGTAAGATTTACTTTGCACGGCGTAAGCTCTATGCACAGAAGTTGTGTTTTTCTTGATGTGACGAGAAGAAAATTTTCCCACACTTCAAGGAAAAAAAAAAAAACCATGCAATTATGCAGGGATGGGCAAAATACATGCAAATATGTATCGAAATACAAATACAAAATACTTCATCAAAAATGTATTTAATTACAAATCTAATTACATTTCCAAAAAAGCATTTAAGTACAAGATACAAATACAACCAAATGTATTTGGTCTCCTCCAAATACTTTTCCAAATACATTCCTCAAAATTTCCGTCAGCGACTTCAGGGCACCTGCAACGGTTTTCTGGATATCTCATTTTAATTTTGCATCGCACACTCAAGAGTTAGTGTGCGAGGCTCTAGTAACGTAATAGAAATATAATCACAAAAAACTGTAGTCAGCTTGGACGTAATAGGTGAAAAAAGTACAGAGCTTCAAGAAGCTTTTTTTGGCGATTATACATTTTGTTATAGACCAAAAAAGAACCGAGACGACCAAGACGTGCAGCACTAGCTAGAGAATTTTTTATTGTTGCAACTCGCACCAGTTACGAAAATCTGGACGACCCGCACATTTAGAATGTTCCAGGCAAAAATATGGATGGAAATCAGGCTGGAAAGCATCACAAGTTTTCACAGGCACTTATTTAGCCAGTCTGCCTGTGAACGTCGATTTCATCACTATTCTTGCCCTGGACTAGCACCGTAATCACAAAGTTACTAAACGCTTGTGCTTGATTGAGAGACACTGCATTCGGTGCAGAACATAGTTTTCTTCCTGCTCTGGACACGTCTCAGGATGAGCAAAATGAGTCGTGGCAATAAGTTTGAGGAATGTATTTTCACCCACAAAATTGTATTTAATTACAATTTTATTTGAAATACCCACGTTTTAGTATTTAAATACACACATCAAATACATTACCCAATTTGTAATTGAATACAAATGCAAAATACACAAAGTATTTGAAATACGTATTTCAAACACTAGTATTTAAAATACTGCCCATCCCTGCAATTATGCAATTCGACCACCTAAGCTCCCGCTGCCGTCTTGGGCGTTGACTCGGGACACACGAATGTCGCCAGTTGACACACGGTGGCGCGTCTTTTCAATGCCGACACGGCTCACCTGAAAGGAGGCCTGGAACGCCGCGGACTGGAAGTTGATCACAACCGAGTTCACCACAACCTTCATGCCGTCCACCACTCGATCCGAGAATCCATACCGGCCGCCAGAGCTGCAGCCACCAAAGACACCATACCGATAAACACTCTCTTCGTATTTTACACACTGCTCATGTTGCAAAGCATAATTATTATTATTTTTTTTTTTTTTTAAATGGTAAATGGCGGGACAATTGTCTACCAAAACAAAGAGCACAGGGCGTGGCTTACACCATTCCATGCGCAGAGTGCCCCGCAACCAACGTCGGTGGGAGGAAGAACTCTCTTAGGCAAATCCGCCAACACAAGAGCGATGCGCAGAAGTTTGACAGTGAGCGCAGTGCCATCACCAAACATTGCGACGCCCTAGACCATCGCACTCGACCATCGCAGCCAAATATCCGAAGACCTTTCTTAGAATCGTGGCAAATCCAGCATTCGCCAGGAAACCTATACAGGCCCCTGGGCACACTGCCCTGTGTACGCACATGGACTCCGTAACCTGACGAAAAAGCTGAAGAAATGACAGTCTGCATAACCAAAAACATGATTTTTAAATCTTAAAAAAAAAATTTTTTTTTAAGACAAAGAGGTTAAGAGCTGCTGCTGCTCTGCATGCTTTCAGTCACCCTTGAAGAAGAAACCAAGTTGGTTTTGACACGTAAGGTTTCCTTTCCAGATTTGGTTGGAGCTACATTTTTTGGACTTTAATTCTCATCCAAGCAGGAAGATTTCTGCAAAATAAGTTTACTTTCAAATGGTTTACCATCAGCCTTCACATTGTTAACAATAAGCTCCGCTTCAAGCTGCCTCTTAGTATAATGCATTTACCTACTCCAGATTGTCACCACAACGGTCACTCCAACGGCTTTGCAAGTGGCAAATTTGATAACAGTGCTTTCTGCATCACGCAACATTTTAAGCACTAAACGCTTCGGTGTGCTGACAGGTGCTCATCCTAGAATTCTCAGGGAGTAGACTACCGTGTTGATCCCGAGATATATTTGAAAACGATGACATCTAGATGCCTAGTCACCTGTAGCTGGGCTTACTGGCTGGCAGCGGCCGCAACTCCTCACAGGTCTCCACTTCAACCAGCACCTCATCCAGGCACTGAAACAAAGCCATCTCAACTTTATTACAAAATATAGTTTAGTCAATCGTCTCTCCTCCATCATATTTTGATAGAAAATAAACAGATTATTATTGTTATTATTCCTGAAAAAAGTGTGACATGAAAAATAGAACAGGTAACTTGGAGGTGCCATAACTTTTGAACAGTGTCAACATGAGAAATGAAAGGTGACACGAAAAAGCTGTGGGATTTCCCTTGCAGCTACCCGTCTCGGAGAACGACACAGCACACCGGTTCAACACCACGTAAACATTTAATGACCGCTATCACCTGCGCCGCAATCCCAACAGCCCCCGCGCATCCGCTGCGACGGCCTTTTATCAGCAGCAGAGCGCCGCTCGCGTAACCAGTTGCCCTTGGCCCCCTCGTGGTCAAGATGACCATTTAAGTTTGTCGGAGGGGAAGCCTGGGCCGACCGCTTGGAATCGCCAAGTTGCCCACAAAGTGTAGCATACGAAAAAGAATATTTTGTGATGATACTGGTCCGAGTCATTTTGGAGCACCTAATGAAGCGCGGCTAAAAGCCCATTTTGTAGCAGCAAAAATTAACTTTTGGGAGCATAAGCACACAGATCATTTTCATACGTACCACAGCAAATGGTAGGTTAAGACTGAAGTGTTGGCGTCTCCAACCCCAAGGCAATGTCCCTTTGCCATCCCACTTGTGTGCAACCTTTTGTTAGCCTCAACTGCAAGGCAGGTGTGATTCCCTCAAGCACAGAACTAGCTGCTTCATTCCACAAAGAAGCACCAGACATGGCAAATATTTGCCAAATGATGAAGAACAGCATGAACGAAGGCAAACCAACTAGTACATAACACTGAAATATTGTTGAAATAAAATAATTACGAACATGCAAATTGATGTTTCATTTAAGCTTCGAAAGGTCGTAATAAATTGCCATCTTTAATTCAGACAAAAAAAAAACATCTGTCAATTCATTATGAACATCGCTGACATTTTATATGTACAACTTCATGATAACAAAGATGAGCACATAGCATGTAAACAATAAATATGCTTCTTAAAAAAAAAAAAATCGAACCAAACTTGTTAAGGATGTTCCCAAGCTTTCATCCACTGCTGCAACTAATTTAGCTTTAATTTTCTCTACTGACCGTGGCATCAAACAGATGGAACCCATGTAAAGACAATAATTAAACCAAGCTGTCATAAAAAAAATGAAAGCCGTTTACAACTCCCTGTAACGCCGAATTAGAGCGCAGCTCTTGAGGAGGAGGGAAGGTTACTGGGGGGTGGGTCAAGTGACCTCGGGGGGCGGGGGGTCACGTGACCTTGGGGGTCACGTGACCTTGGGGCGTCACGTGACCTTGGGGCGTCACGTGACGTCGGGGGGTCACGTGACCTGGGGCCACGTGACGATGCCGATGGCGTCGTCAGTGACGTCACTGATGACGCCATCAGTGATGATGATGATGACGATGCGGATGCCGGTGACGTCACCAGTGACGTCACTGATGACGTCATCAGTGATGATGACGATGACGATGCGGATGCCGGTGACGTCATCAGTGACGTCACTGATGACGTCATCAGTGGCTATGACGTCAACGGGGGGTCACGTGACCTCGGGGGGTAACCCTAGTAACCCTTGTGAGGGCAACTCTCGTGACCCTCGTGAGGGTAACTCTCATAACCCTCGTGACCCTCGTGAAGGTAACCATTTTGAGGGTAACTAACCCTCGTTACCCTCGTAAGGGTTACGAGGGTAAGTAACCCTCACGAGGGTTACTTACCCTTGTGAGGGTTACCCTTTTGAGGGTAACAACCCTCGTAACCCTCGTGAGGGTTACGAGGGTAAGTAACCCTCGTGAGGGTAACCCTCGTGAAGGTAACCCTTTTCAGGGTAACTAACCCTCGTAACCCTCGTGAGGGTTACGAGAGCAAGTAACCCTCGTGGCCCTCGTGATCCTCGTGAGGGTAACCCTCATGAGATTAACCCTCGTAACCCTCGTAACCCTCACGAGGGTTACGAGGGTTGCGGTTACGCCGACGCCGACGCCGACGCCGACGGCGACGGCGACGCCGACGGCGACGCCGCTCAAGCCGGGAACGGGCCCCTAAGAGCTGCGCTCTAAAATCTAAACAAAGTTGACATAAAGAATTCACTATAATCTCTCAATACCAAAGTATACTATACCTAAATCTCATACCTGAACAAACAAAATGTTGTCAGAATAATGCAGTATATTACTAATTCTAGTGGCAGTTTTATTAAAAAGAATTACTGCAAGGTTTAGCCGTTCCATCAGCACTCACCAAGTTCCTTTTTCTTTATTATACCCGATGCCTCCGCACGTAATGTCCCGCTCTGGGGGTGTGCTTTCTCCTTAGCACATGGGTGCACTGCCGTGAAGCGAAGTGAGCAAGATTCCCTATGCCTACGCCGCAGCTGTCACTTCACTGCAGCGCATCAATGTGAAGTGAGAAGCACACTCAAGAGAGCTAAGTAACCCATCATAACAGACCACAAACATGCGAAATATTGTGAAACTTTTCAGTACTGTCAGTGTTTGGTACAGAGATAAAATTAACTAGTATGTTATTTGAGGCGATGATCAAGTTTTGAAAATTCGCACCAGTCTGCTGTAACGATCCGTCCGTGTAGCAGGGCTCCAGCCATAATATTTCAATTAGTAATAAAGCGAAAATAAGGCGAAATTAAGTGTTGGCAAAATGTTGGCACAAATTTGTCACCTTTTGGAAAAAAATGTAGCAGAATGTAGCAGGGTAGGCACTTCGGCGCAGTTTGGAGCAGAAATCACATCCTTGCATGTCATACACGAAAGCATAGCATACAAAAACACATATCATATGACAAAGCATACAGCATATGGGAAAGTGAAGTGGCAATATGAGCAACCAAAGCCAGCAAGAATTATTTTTTCTCATGCATGACTAGAATAGATAATGAATGCAAAAGCACTCACTAGGTGGATGGGTACATACTTGAGCTTGGTCCAGTGGATCTGTAGAAAAGAAGACAGGTATACGCATGACTTGGGGGGAATCTGTCATATGCAATGCTCTAGGCGTGGCACCTTGGAAAATTGAGCGAAAAAAGCAGGAAAGTGATAGGCTCCAAATATACATGTTGAGAAGCTTCAGACTTTGTTTAAAAACGTCGCATTGGTTCTCAGCATCTGAAACCACATTGGAATCCTTTGAGAAGTCCACCACTCTCCGAATGGCCCTTTAGCGCTTCGCAGCACACGACGATGAACGCTCTAAGAGCAGCAACATTGCCCTGATCTATCGCCAAGATCGAGACTGCATAAAAAAATTAACTGTAGAGACCTTCCACTTCGCATGAAGATAAAGGACCAGCGAAGCTGTTATCTTTACGTCTAGGACAATGCCTAGAGGACGACGTCTAGGACGACCCCTAGGACGACCTCAAGGACGACTTTTAGGATGACCTCAAGGACGACGCCTAGGACGACCTCAAGGGCTTCTAGGGACGACCTTGAGGACAACCTCGAGAACGACTTATAGGATGACCTTGAAAAAAATGTCTAGGACGACCTCTCTGACGACCTTAAGGACGACTTCTAGGACGACCTCCAGGACGACATCTAGGACGCCCTCGAGGAAGACCTCTCAGACGACTTCTAGGATGACCTCGAGGACAACGCCTAAAGAACGACACCTAGGACGACCTCTCGGGCAACCTCAAGGACCACTTCTAGGACGACCTTGAGGACGATTCCTAAAGATGATAACAAGAGATCAGGACCTCACTATCTAATAATGCCAAGGAAGGCTGACTCACGCTGGTTGCCCCCTCTTTTTTATTTTTATTTATTCATAATTGCCACGACCAACAGGGAGTTTTCTGTCGACATGTGAGGACGCATTTTTTCCCAGACCATAGCGCATAAAAGCTTCACAGTAAAAAACTAAACAAAAAAGAAGAAAAATGTTTAAATTATGCAGTGTTGCGCAGCTCAGTTCCTTGGGACGTGTGCTGACAAAAACATGCTTTTCCACAATGTGCCAATTCTGAGTCCCTTTTTGATCTGCATGGACCGTGAATGATATCCTGGCATTTGACTGCTGGCATATTTTCGCAAAACAAGGCATCATACGCTGAAGTCTGTCCAAAGACACGCTCGGTTGCGCACGTAATATGCTGGCGTACCATTCTGATCAAGCCACGGTGCGTGAGCAATGAGTGCAAGTCACCGGCCGATTCGAAGTGTTCAACCACATTCCTTTGTACGTACTGCTCAATTTTTGTTGCCAGCCAAGAAAACAAAGGCCTTTCTCCAGGGTACGGTGCTAGACAAAAGAAGTTGGACTACGCTAACGCGTTTCATCGCCACTATTTGCGCAACTAGGCGGCGATATCCAAATTATGTGCGTGCGAATGGCTAGAAGGCACATAAAAAAGATTGTCCAGGCAGGCAAAGAGACCTCACGTTGCCCTCAGAGGCCCTAGACTCATGGGACACAAAGTCTGGGCCAAAGTCCGAGGAATGTGCCGATCGGACCTTCGTGAAGACGACGCCTCGCTTTCGTTGCAGAGGTCCAATCGGTGCGCCTCGTGAGCTTTCTGCGCCAACTTTCGTTTGACGAGTCTCGCAGGTTTACGGTGCCAGCCAAACGGAAAGAAAGAACGGATATAAAGACAGAGGAAGCAAATTTTCGCGTTCAGCTGGCACCACAAACGAGCGACGAACTGACTAGCTCAGCTTCGAGCCGTCACGTGTCCAGCAGCCCGGGAGCAACTGACGGTCGAGACAAAGACGACGCGTTCCGGCTTCTTTCGTCTGCAACCGTACGTAGTTCGGCGACCTTGAATAGACCTTCCCGTCTATAAGGGCCTCGTGGCCAGAGGAACGCTAAAGAGGCAGACGAGGACCGGGAAGTGGAGGGGGTGCCTGCCTTGAGAGTGAGGAAGTTGCAGACTGCCCGCGTGAGGCACAGCCAGGAGGGCAGCTCGAGCAGCTCGGTCAGCACCTGCTCGTCCAGCTCCAGGTTGCGAAGCTCGCAGTGGCCGCGCAGCGTGCTCAACTGGATCTTGTCCAGCGACAGGTTCTTGGTGAACCTGCCGAGCCGCACGAAGCACCGCTCCAACTTTTTGACACGACGCGGCACAAACGATGCAGCGGGGATGCGTCTCTAACTACGGTCACCGACAAGGCGAGAACGGCGGGGGAGGAGCTTCAGTTGTTGCCGCCCCCAGCGCGAGCTTCCTACCTTCCGACGACGCTTTGGCGCCCCGTGCACTCGAGCGTACGCGCATGACCCAAGCATGGCGGAAGGTGCGTGCTGGAAGCCGGGTGTTCAAAAGACAGGTTGTCTGTCAGTGACTACATGGTCCCTGGCAGAATAAGAACAGCAAGGTATCTCTTCAGAAAGCGTAGCCTCCAGCATACGCTCGTTGCCTTCCCCCGTGCACTGGCTCGAGAATCACAAGACGCCGAAGCGTTATCGAAGGTAGACGGCTTATGTTGCACGCAGAACAACTGAAAGAAACCTCCGCCGTTTTCGTCCTGTCCCTTTAGCGTTACAGTGCAGCTTCTGCGATTTAGTGTGTTGCCCTGTGGGGATACCGCGGTGCGACTGCGGTATGGGGCCTCAAAATCCCAGTCGGAGATTCTTTCCAGGCACCGTAAGGGCACGGGATCGGTGGAGTTCGCATTCCACAAACACAAGCTCTGAAGTTATTTTTTTCCTGCGATATTACGCCTTGAATTTAGCTGCATTCCAGACGCATCTGGCAACTCCTGTTAAGCCCGTTCTCCGATACTTTCACGGCCTCACGTTTTGGCCCCTAGGTGCTGACAAGAGTGAACAGCAGTACCTACAGTCTCACACTTTCTGCTACGACAAAAGCTGCGACAGCAATGGGTGACCAAATATGAGGAGGTTGAGTGAACGCTGTACTTCTCCAAAGTACTTCTCTTCACTGACTGGATATATTGTATATACGTCGCAAAATGCATTTTCTCCAGAAAAAAAAAAAATTTTAAAATTAATGCAGTATTTATGGCACAATGCACAGCTGAGATGGCATGACTACAGTGTAAGGATCATCTTCGGTGTACCTTTAAAAATAGGTAATTCCATATACTTGTTTAACATGGACAAGTAAAAGCACCCAGAACCCCAAATGTCAAGCTGTAAAAGTAGGTCGGAAAAAGTTTAGCTGGGGATGCCAACAGCAATTGTGACACGCTATCCGGTTTGCACGCTATTCGGTGCACATCTGGCTTGACCTGTTAACATAAAGCCATGAAGGCAATCGGCATATCCTGTATGGGCTTCAGCGTTTTGATTGCCTCAGGCTCTTGGCCTTACAGAAGTATGAGCCAATAAAAAACCTTTGAACCTTTGAATAAAGGATAAGGCTAACAGGACAAAACATTAATTAAAACGGGGCAAAGCAGTGATTCAATGTGTTAATGTTGTGACTCCGTCCCACCTTCTATCTTTTGCATTTTCTGCGTGCTGCCCAAACTGGGCCATAAAGACATTTTCACGCGCACTTAAAAATGTTTCAGGTGGTTGCCAGTTGTCAAGCCACATGGATAACAATGAAGCAACGAATAAGAACCAAGGAATTAACAACCACCTGTGCAGTAAAATGAAGGGCAAACTGTCTCTGTTGTGTGCACAGACTTCTATTCTATACACTCCCTTCAACTATAAACTTTAAAATATATATATATTTTTTTTATTATTTTTAGTTTTTGAACAATAGTCTTATATTTCTTACATTCATTTAATGTCGATTCAGAAAGTAAAGCTATATTATCCGACGGTCTATCTTCGAAGGTTTCTTTTACACGCGCGGTGATGATTGCATAAAGATTATCAAATAAAAGGGAAAAGGACACGACCCAGAAACACTTTCGTTTTACTTCCGAAGCATTCCTGAAGACTACTCTTTTCTTGCTTTGGTTTTGTAGAACCATCCGTTACACTCCTCGTACGTTTACCTCCGGAGCCAGTCTTTCAGTAACATAAAATTATTAACAGTAGTATTGTTACCCGAGTGAATGCAACGTCCAGAAATTTCGTCGGGTACTGATGTCATTCACATCCGAAGCATTCCTGAAGGCTACCGCTTTTCCTGGTTTTTTTTCCTAACATTCGTCGCACTCATTTAACTAAGAGCAAGCCTTCACATAACGTACTACAACTATTACTATCATTATTATTAATATAGTGAAAGTAACGCAGCGAGCAGTAGGCGCCTGAAACGCAAGCCAATAATAAATAGATAAATACTCACTTTGACAGGTGCTTGAGAATCTGGTTCTTGATAATGGAAACCATCTCGATGAGGAAATAAATAGGTAATTTTTTTAACTTTTTGCTTTCTTTTTTACATTTATATACACAACTTCGGGCACCGTCGGTACCTCTTCATAGCCGCGAGTTTGAGTTGACGTCCGTCGATGTTGCACTTGTGGCGACTCGGACGAGTCGAAGCGCCGACGTCAAGCCCCCGCGCTCCTTTGGGAGTTTGGTCGCACGCATCGGCAGGCCGTATCAAGGAACCGCCAGATCGGAAGACGATCCGATTAGATCGGAATGATTGCTCCCATTGTGCGAGCGAGATATCCACTTGCTCAGCTGCTACCAGTCTTTACGACGGCGATCGTCGTCAAGCTGATTTAGCTCCGTTGACCGAGCAGAAGGCAGAAATACGAAACTGCTCGTGCCAAAGGGTCGATTTCATTACATTATTACGAGATCGGCGACGTTAATATCGGTCATTAAAGGAAAGCAGTAACGACTTTAATTTTTGTTCAGTGGATTGGGAAAGTTTAAAATGCGCCCGATGCGTCCAGAACAGGTCATCTCATAACCACAGCAGAAACAATTAAAACCAAGGCAAGCCAAGACGCCAAGCCAAGGCAAGCCAAGGCAAGCCAAGACGATCTTGCGCATGTTTCCTTTCCGAGCGGTGGTGTTGTTGTGTCGTGGTGTGGTTGGTGTGGTCATGGTCTGTTTGGTACCATTTCACTTATTTCTGGCCGGGAGAAAATGGGGGTGACTCATCCAGGTAACCAACGTAACCGTAGATAAAAAATTAAAAAAAAAAGAACGGAGTAGGTCGCCGCTTTCAAAACCTTCGCAGCAGCGAGACGTGATCGCAAGGGGCAGCGATGTCCGCCACTGTGTTGTTCGAACTCAAAAAGAAGCGGCGCGCGCCGAGTACGAAAAAGTCCCCGTTTCCGCTGGTTTTCAACTTGGGTTGTGACGACAAATCCAGCATCGTCACCTGGCAGTTTTACCGGGGCACGCTGCGTCCCGACGGCGTGGAAGTTGCCGCCAGGGAAGACATGAAAAACCTCTACAACATGGTTTGTGACTGCTCCGCACTCACACACACTTTTTTCGTTTTTGCGATCCAAATATTGTGTTTTGAGAAATTTCCGATTGCGTTTTTCGCAGGGCTACTTCGGCAAGGGCAGCTTGTCGCGTTCGGCGCCGAGGTTCAAAGCCGCCACCGCAGACGTGGAGGACGCTCCTGAGATGAGTCAGAGAAGGTAGGATCTCAGGACCCAACAAGGAACATTTCCCATGTCAGAACAATCCAAGCTTGGTAAAAATAAAATAGCGCAAACGGTACAAGGGCAAGCAAGGAAGACAGGCAGGCTTGTCCTTGTCGTCTTTGTGCTGTGTCATTTGTACCAAAAAGGCACACGTGTTGAATAAAGGGCATCTAAAAAGTGCTTGAAGTAAAGTACGAAGTAAATTAGAGGTTATGCAATAGCAAGTACACCGGTCACGACATACTTGAAGTCAAAGACGGTGCTAGGATTTTCCATAGAGTTATTATAATGTACGCTAGAGGTTCAACTGGCGCTAGTGTCTATGCGACTTCCGTGACGCAAATTGAAGCAGACAGCAACCAGTCTACATTTGCGGTGCTCCTGTGCATTCCTATGGGAAAATGCGCGAGCAGTTTGTCTCTTCGCCAGAAAACAGCAGTGAACGCTTTGGTTATTTGGGTCGTACCGAATAGTATGTACCTCGATTAACATTCTAAACGTGTAATTGCTTTAGTTAGCGCACTTTTCTTCATCGGTGAGCGATGTTTAACTTCGCTACATTTCAGTCCGAAACGTATATTCCGCAGCAGGTGTGTAAAAACAAGCGACAATTCAAAGCAAAATAACAACCGAAAGGAATATAGAGTGTGTTCAAGGCTTGCCAGCATCCCGGTGACGCTTATAGTTGCTAATATGCCAGTCCTCTCACTATATGAAAATGACCCCCTTCGTGCATAAGCGGATACATTCAAAACGTAAACAATAAAGTATGTGGGCCGTGAAAAGTGTCTCTTCGTATTGTTTTATCTGTTGTTCTCAAAGATTTCGAGCATGCGGATGATATTTTAAACGTAGAGCAAGCATCTTCGCGCAGAGCAGAAAGAATAAACCGGTACTTACTTACTTAAAATTGGAATATATTACGTGGTCTTCAATTAATTTTGATCGTGCATGCACTGGTAGTTACTGATCCAGTGTTACTGAGTAGTTCTTGCCGTCTCTCTTGGCTTTCCAGATGACCTTCGTTCGTTTGGCACGTATATCCCTCATGCTGAAAAGCGCCGACATCGTGTTCGCGCTAACAGTGTCCGACAATGCACATAAATACACGTACGAAGCTGTTTTAGCACAGTTTTTAATGCAACGAATTTGAAAGAAAAACGCAGTAACTGACCAATTATTTCATCTGCGTGACTGAGAAATGTTCCAATGCGCCTAGTACGCACGAATTATTCGTGATATTTGCTCTTATAATCGAGCGCAGAGAGAAAATGCACTCGTTTTTTCCCATAGAAATGCATTACCGTAAGTCAATTTCGGACTGGTTGCTGTCTGCTTCAATTTGCGTCAGCACACCAGCGCCACTTAAACCTCTAGCGTACATTATAATAACTATGGGATTTTCATTAGTGATGGGCCGAACTTTTGCCGAATTCTAAAATTCAGCGCCGAATCTCGAGATTCGGCCAAGCCGAACTTTTGCCGAACTTTTCTAAAGATTCGGCAAAAATACAATGTCACCAGCCTTAACGTTGATATTTAGTTTTTTCATGCGGAAAAAGATTTTATGATGTTTATTTCAACCTAAATGCAACATATAATGCATATTTACACAGTTATTACTAAATAAGGTTATACTCTACAAGATAATTGTATTGGTGTCGTATGTGTTTACTGGCAACTTTTCACTGACTTCCTGCAGAAATGGCGTGACAACGAGGTTGGGTAGCAAGTAACGCGCGCAGTCATGAATAACCCGAATAACGATATGAGCATTTTTGTCTTGAGGCCTCATCAGCGCAAGCCTGCAAGTGTGTGTACATTGTTAAACTAAAGGCAATAACACTGCACTCTTACTTTCTCTGAGAGTCACCGTTTCATGCACGAAAACGAATGCAGCGGTTGCTGAGCCTTCACCAAAAGGGATAACAATATTTACGTAAATATGCATGCTCTTCAATTTGAGTAACTTTACATCAGCTTTGCATAAAAGTGTGCATCCCATATTCGCAATGTCTCGTTTTTAACCTTGAAAATGCCGGTTTCTGATGTTAGGACACACACGGACGTTCAGGAAGATGGTAAGAGTTGGGAATGTCGGATGTGCAACGTTGAACATACCGTATTTGCACGAATATAACGCGAGTTTTTTTCCGAAATTACGTGCTCTAAAACGCACCTCGCGTTATATTCGGAATCGAGTTCAGCCACGAGGCGCGCGAGTCTGGAGAAAGCCAGAGGAGAAAGTCATCCCTCCTGCTCAATGCAAAAGATCCAATGGAAAAAGAAGTGGGGGTGTGGAGGGGCATTTTCTAGCCATGGGGCCACGTGAAGGGGCGAATAGAAAACATAAAAAAGCATTTTTATCGCTTTTGTGTTTTTACAACGCGCGCACGCCGCACGCGCGCGCGCCATGCGGGAATGCGGGTACCGGCCAATTCGAGCCAAGCCAAGCCGGGCCAAGTCAAGTCAACACAAGCCAAGACCACCGACCGCGTTTACGCAATCGTGCAACACGAGGCATTTGTTTACGAACAGGGATCAGAACAAGAAGTGTGATCGTGTATCGGGTTCAGCAGTCTTTTTTTCTGCCTGCGCATTGTTTAGTTTCTGCTCCAGAGTGGTCTGGTGTTTGTGTGTTGGTGCTTCTGCTTCCGCGCCTTGTTTGGATTGTGGGCTGCCGTGGAGCTCGCAAGAAAAGAACTACCAGACAAGCAGGTGCCGTCCTGCTGCTGCATACCTGCGTAGTTGCCAAGTGGATTGTAAACGGAAGGACCTGAGCAGTGAGGATGAGTGCAGTCAAAACATAAACTGATATTTCTTCTATTTCCATTGACTTTTCACTTCTGCTATGCCCCCGAGTGCGAGAAATTGACGCGGCATCGGTTCGCGTTATAATAGTAATAATATTTTTTTTCTTTTTGGGCGCATCAAAAACTGCCCTCGCGTTATATTCGTGGTCGCGTTATATTCGTGCAAATACGGTAATAGCTGTGTGTTTAGTTTTATGCAGATACATGAAAACTGCGATGTAACGCTTATTGAAACGCAACATTATTTTGTTTTGGCACAGACTACTTGTGAGCCGAAAACAAGATTGTTAAAATTGTGGAACAACAGTCGAAAGAAAATCACGTTATCCAGAATGTACCGCCTCACTTGTCACTTGCACAGTTGACTGCGTAAATTACCGGTCGATCTTCTGTTCTTGAGGCAGAAAATATTCAAGAGAACCACACTCGCCAAGGCTCACAGACACACATTTACCGTATTGCGTTCTCTACACAGCGTCTGTTTGCAGGCCCCGTCAGCCCTGTCGCGTTCTTGCGCGTGCGCAGACATTTGCTGAATTTTTGCCGAATCCTTGCCGAACTCTCCTTCAAAAGTTTGGCATGTGCCGAACTTTGCCGAAGCTGAAGTTCGGCAGATTCGGTCCATCACTAATTTTCGTAATGGGGCAGTGGGGAGGCAAACCAAATTTGAGGGGGGCATGCCTTTTTCAGTTAAGGGTGATCATAAGGCTAACGGAAAGATAGTAAGGAATGAGGAACAATTGCTGGATCGGTCTGGGCAAGGGCATTGTTTAAAGCTCAGTTTATTGTATCTTTTTACACATACAGCAAAGGTTTCATACAATTTCACTTTTCAAATATTCACCTATATTTACAATTTTACACGCTACTAGTTTGAAGTTTAGTGCAGACGAATTCGCCTGTTATGATGGGTAGCATCAAAGGCGTCGACAATGTCACTTGAATCCAGACTTTTTGCAGTGGCTTTTTCCACAGCGAGAACTGCCAAGCTAATGAGCCTTTCGTCGCACATCCTGTTTCTTGGATACGTCTTCAGCCGACGCAGGCATGAAAACGTACGTTCACGTGCGACACTGGAGGCAGGAATGGTTAGAGCTATGACACACAGACGATAGGCTTCCTGGAAGGCTATCTGAAACTTACATAGAAATTCAGCAAACATTATGGTGGTTGTCACCTTGCACTGGTTCTCTTTCCGGTATCGCTGCACAACCTTAGGAATCAGTTTCATCTCAGCCACCAAACTATCGCAGTCGCGATAGTTAATTAATGGTTTGCCAGCGTCTCAACCAATGTAATATCCATGAAACGATCATGCTGAGGCTGGAAACAATTAAGGCCTTTGAGAACATCATCGTTCTCGCCAAATCGTCGCTGAAGTTCTTTGCACATCCTATCCAAGATGGGAAGAAAAATGTGCACTCGATAGTCATTTTCAATGCAGTAGCTGGTGCCTTCCCTGGGCAGCGTTGCTTCTGTCACATACTTTGCAAGGTATGCATACAGACAGTTGGCTTGTCGATCTGTTGTGAGACTAATACCATTCTTTTCTGCAACGCTTACGCATTGACTCCAAATGCTTGCGAAGCCCTCTGCTGTTCTCAGTTTGCTGAACCGCTCACATACTCTAGTGATCGTCATAGATGCTTGAGTAAGGTCACATGTTTTGCTTTGTAGGTAGTCTGAGATGATTTGCAGCTTTACCAAAGACTTGGCTGAAGATGCGCAAATGTGCAACAAACGTAAAGTCCATCTGGTACAAAATCCCATGTTCTTCTACCTATCTTGTTTCGGCACTTCCTGCGATTTGTGCGAGTGTAACAATGATTGGCGGGGAGTGTGTGGACAATGGCTTTGCAGGCATTTACTTGGCAGGTCCACCTAGCTTTGCCGATTCATTTAAGTTCAATAGCCGTGCCGCATACCTGCTTCTGGACTGCAAGAAACATTGCATGTGTTGCAGATCTGCGCAAGAAGACATACAGTGTCTCCATTAGGGTGAAAAATGTTCTCACAGAGCCTAAAGCTTTGCAGGCATCGACAAGGACTAAATTCAGGCGGTGATTGAGGCAGTGGACGTACACGGCTTAAGGCACATCTTTCTTCAGGAGGGCTTGAACTCCTTTGCTCTTGCCATTTATGACGCTGGTACCCTCATGCATTTGTGCAATGCAGTTCTCGAGAAGGATTCCACACCTCGCCAGCCTTTCCTTTACGTAGCTGTAGAGAGAGGCAGCGTCCAGCCAGAGGTCGGCATTTTAGGTCGCCCTCACTCACCCTCACAGCCACACTCGCTTAAGCCCCTCCCTCACCCTCACAGCTACCCTCACCTTTAGCCCCTTACTCACCCTTATTCTCACAGTCACACTCACCTTCAGCCCTTCACTCACCCTCACTGAACTTCACGGCCCTCACGCCACTCACCGCCCTCACTCACTCATGGCCCCCACGCACTCACCGCCCTCACGACCCTCATGCACTCATAGCCCTCATGCCACTCACTGCCCTCACACCCTTCACACACTCATGGCCCTCACGCCGCTCACTGCCCTCACGCCCCTCACGCGGCCCTAACACCCCTCACGCACTCACCACCCTCACGGCCCTCAAGCACTCATGGCCCTCACACCACTCGGGCCCGCTTCAGATGTGGCAATTTCACCCAGAAACTTGATGTTGCGACACGAGCCGCCCTTGTTCACACGCAGCGACCAATTGCTGCAATTTGCCATCATCATCATGAAATTTTATTTTTCTTCCACTATTTAGACACACAATTACGCGCTATAAACATGTTTTTATGCATTTAAATCCCATTGAGAATACTATTGCATATTTCTGAAACAGTATATTTCGAAAAACTATCAATTTCAAACCAGAACCAAGTCTTTTGTGGTTATCATCACCGGCACGAGGTATCACGTGAAAATATCGCGTCCCTGATTGGATGCAGCCACTTCAAACGTTATAGAATTGCTCCAAGTTGCTCGCTTGTTTCGAGCCAGACCCAATCTCGGCAATTCATGTCGATCTAGGGAAAGCTAGGGAACAAACCGCCATCAACACCGAAATTACTGAGAAAGTTGCTCAGTCTAAAGGCGGCCTCACGCACTCACCGCCCTCACACCCCTCATGCACTCATGGCCCTCACACCCTCATGCACTCACTACCCTCACGGCCCTCACACCACTCACGCCTCTCATGCCACTCACACACTCACTGCCCTCACGCCCCTGACGCACTCATGGCCCTCACACCCCTCAAGCACTCACCGCCCTCACACCCCTCACGCACTCATGGCCCTCACACATCTCACGCACTCACCGCCCTCACTCACCCTCACGGCCTCACTCACCCTCACACTCATGAATTTTCCTGGATCAGAAACTCATTCACCCTCACCTCATCTGTGAAGATGAGGGTGAGTGAGGGCCCTCATGAGTGAGGTTTGCCGAGGTTTGCGTCCAGCATCTTCGCGCTCTTGAACCCAAGAAACCTCTTGTACACGGACGCATTGAGGAAGTGCTGTACTATGACTGAGATCTGCTCTGTTTTGCTGACATCGTGGGACTCATCAACCATTACTGCGAAGCATTGGGCACTGTCCACTTACTTCTTAAAATGGTGCAGAGTCAGATCTGACATGACATAAAGTATCTCGTCCTGAATAGAGTGGTGCGCATACTTTGCGTTGGCAGGGCCACTCTACAGTTTTTCTAGCACAATGACATCACTTCCTGCAACAAGCTGAAACAGCTCGAGAAAGTTTCCCTTATCGTCGCTCAAAAATGACTTGTCGTCTGCTCTCTGGGCTGTAAATCGAAGCACGTCAGATATTGCAGAAGTGTAGTGGCGGTTCTCTCTCACCTCTGTTGAATATGCCTCGCTGGGGTGCTCGGCCACCGAGTTTTCTGTGCTTGTTTCCTTCATGAGCTTGATGAAAGCCCAGGATGCTTGGGACATCTTGTGCACCGCACTGTCCGCATGAAGTCGAAAGCCGCCATCCTTCTGAAGGGCTTTCTTCCAGTTGTGATAGCCCTCTGTCACAAACACTGCACTTCCACTTCTCTGTCGACCTGTGGAGAACATCCAACAGGGAAAGCGAAAAACAAAGTTTGAAGGCACACTGTACTCCAACCACAAGAAGCTGGTGTACCGATCTGCCTTGAAGATCCTGGAATCGCTGCCATACTTGGTTGTGGGGAAGGATCATAGCACAGGCTGCGCTGGGGAATCATTGGCTGTTTTGGCCACATCAGATGGTATGTCTGCCTTTATGTGAGGAGGTGGGGTTTTCGGTTCGTCGTTCCGAAGACTGACATTCGGCTCGCCGTCGTCGCTCTCGTATGGACTGGAGGCATGTTCTTGTTCCCCGGCGCTGGCGTTAACCAACGGTTTTTTCGTCGAGCGAACCCTTGGCTTTGTGACAATCAGGCCCAGAGACATCTCCCTAAATTTTCCGTTTAGTGCATTTGTGTTGAAAACAGTCACTTTTTGAACGACTAGACGCCATAGTGCATCAGACTGGATGCTTCCGTTCTACTACTGTCCAACTGAGCTGACACAAAAGGTGTCGACTTCAGAAAATCATGTTTGATTGTATGACCACCTCTGTTTTTCCTCCCTGACCCCCTTCCACCCCCTCTCTCTCTCTCTCTCTCTCCCCCCCCTTGAAGATTTATACTAAAAGGTTCCAGACACAGACGCCAAGCCGCCTTCCTCAGGCATAAGATCCTATAACAAAGGGGGGGCAGCCGCCTTTTTACCACTCTTTTTGTTGGTCCATTTCTATGGATTTTGGGCTTGTCTTCAGGCATATCTCTTTCAGCTTGCTCTGAGGTGCTGTCGCCCACGGACTTACCGAAGATAGCTTATGCAGTGTGCTCATTGAAAAGGGAAATCCGGAGACATGAGGAAGAAGAGGGGTGGGGGTTGTCTCAGCTGGGACCGCTGCCACTTGTGCTCACACTCACAACCAGGTTTTGCTTTCCCCTCTGAGACGGTCCGGGCCCATGACCTCAACTTTAACTAAGCTCGCCTTCAACCACGTCTCCGGTCTCCGCTGAAGATAAACACCACAGAGCAGAATATGGAGTAAAAAGCCAGCACGTGCCATGAAGGGGAGCTGCTTTTTTTAAAGCGCTTGATAGCTTACTCGCCCGCGGTACGACTTCCCGTGGCTGGAAGTTAGTAGAAAATAAAATAGAAGGCTTGAACGGCTCTAAAGGCTGGACGCTCGTTACACTGCAATGCTGCTTCATCTTGGGGTGGCAGAAAAACTTTCAGGGGAATCGCCCGCAACCCTTCGCGTCCCTTTGGCACCGTCCCTGCTTGAAGTGAAGTACTATAAAAACAATGTTCTTTTAAAGTGCAAGCACATTTTAACTCAATCTTTCATGATTTTGTTTTTTAATACAATCTTTCAACACAATCTTCGGTTGTAATACTTGTAATCCTCCCCTGCTTGGTCACCACTGTGACTGGCAGTATTAGTAGACAAACAACAACCAGGCGACGCAAAAATGTTACAAAGCTTGGAGGTCGTTCTTTCTTGAAGTATGAAATAGTTTCGCTCCGTCGCTGCAACTAAACAGGGTGCCTTTGCATGGCAACATGTTGCATGCTGTAGAAATTCGCCTTGTGCACATTGAGAGAAATTTAAATAGCAACAGAAGCTTTGTCAAGCATGGTTGTTTTGGGAAGAAGCCTTTTTTTTTTTTTAGGAGGGGAAGTGTCTTCTCGAAACATTTCTGTCTGATGATGTCTGTGTTGCTGTTCGGATTTCTCTGAATGTTCACAATTTCTTAGTGAAAAATATACCTCACGTACAATCGGTTTATCCGTAAGTACCAAGAAGCACACCATAATGGTGTGACAAACCTTCTTACATTATTGAAACTGCCTCGTCATAATGCAGGTTAAAAATTTTTTGCTTATTTTGTTTGTCAGCATTTTAGAATAATCTCTTAATTGGGTGCAAGCAGACAAATTGTTGAGTTTAAAATGTGAAAACTAGAATACCTGTTTTTTTTTTTTTTCCTAACAGGTTTGAACGACACAAGCACATGCAAGAACAAGCGTCTTTGGACACTAAAGAAGCTCAGAACAACGCCAAGCCCCCGAGGTTTGTGCTGCTCAGGCGCGACGAAGCCACCGACGAAGTCCATCCCCAGCGTACGCCGAAGTTAGACCCGCAGGCCGAAGATTGCAAGGCGTCGCCCGCCGAACAGACAGAAGGCAGTGATCAGGACATCACCCAAATATTTGAGGGCACAGTTTCGAAAGCGGATGATGAGGCAAGCACGTCGCAGACAAAGCCGCTCCGGCACAGGAAAAGGGGCAAGAGGAGCCGGTGCAGAAAGAGCAACGGCGACGAAGACATCATCGAAGTCTTCAGCAAAACCAAACTAGAGAGACAGCAAGAACAGGCCGATGTGGACCCACAGGAAAATCCCGTTTCGCACGGAAATGGAACAGAAGACGTCGCAGATAGCGTTGCGGACGAGGTTATGGAGGACGTTGCCGATTCGGTTCCGAGCACCCATTCATGCGCAGCGGAAGTCGAGGTTGGTGCGGGTAGCGATCACGACATCACCGAGCTCCCTTCCGAAGCTGCCTTGGACTCAAGGGAAAACGCCGATACGGGAATCCTGCAGATTGATCTCGGGGGGGATGAGGAAGAACCGGGGAAAAACGACGTAGAAGAAGCCGTTCAGCGGCCGAAAGTCGGATGCGCCAACGATTGTGGGAGCTCATTAAGCATCTGCAAGGCAAACGACATTGAGGTGATTACGAGCGACAACGGCCCGCGGCTCGAGCGCGACCACAGGCTGTTCAGCGCCGAGGACCCCTGCCCCGTCGACGAGTACCTTCAGCTCTTTTTCGAAGAGGTGATTACTTTTCTGCGATTCTAAACCTTCACAAATCGTTCTGCGAATTCGGAAGGCATGCATTTCGATGAAGATCGGGTTGGGTAACCGCCTTAAATGTTTGCGCGTTGAAGTGGCTTCTTTTTTCTTCCACAGGCGTATTTCCTGTCTTATGGTCTGGGCTGTCTGATTGTCCAGGAAAACAATGAGGTCAGCAAAATCTTTTTCTTTTTTTCCTTCGATACTTATAGGTCTGCTTTGCTACTATATTTCATTGAAGCATAATTGCTTGTCTGTTAATTAAGGAACTGGATCTCTTGAAGTTGTGGCAAAGGCTGTGTGCACTGTGCCCCACCTTCCCAGCACGCTACGCAGCGTACCACCATTTCCGCAGCAAAGGCTGGGTGGTGCGGACAGGATCAAGATATGCTGCCGACTATTGTGAGTAAACATTCTTTCCTGTCTTTTTTTTTTTTTAGTAGTTGTTGGTTGGTTGCATTATTCAGTACTTCTGACTCGTACCACTGTCAAAAGAGCCAACTGATTCCCTTCAGAGTTAACAAGAGAAATCGTGCATCACTTGTTCAGTGGAGGCCGGCAGCGGATACGACAGTCTTAGTACTTACGGGATTGACCGAGCTGAAACATTGCAGTTGTTTCAAGTGCGTGCCACATGACCAAACGGTTTGTTCTGTTGCAGTGCTGTACAAAGATGGTCCCGCATTTTACCATGCCACTTTCTCCGTCCTGGTGCGCCAAGCGTGGAGCGAGACGCTTGAAGAGGCGGAGGACCGCAGATTACGAAGCTGGACCTCCCTGGCGGGCCTCATAAGGCTCAGTGCCAGCGCCGCCAAGGTATGCGTCAACCACGGCATGTTGATGGCTCGGCACGCTTGGGTGCACGCGCAAAAAATGTCTTTGCGTCGAGCACTCACCCAAAATTTTATAGATAGTCGCGAAAAGTTAGGGCACTTGTGAGATCCAAGAGAAAGTTTGCAGAATGGGCGCACGATACGGTAGGCTTCACTGCTTTGCGCCGGAGCGCTTGAAGAAGCGGCCGACGAGGGGGGGAGGGACCATCTGGAGTGAGCGCATGCCTTTCTCCCTGGTTTCAAACGTTTCGCAAATCCAATAAAACCCGGATATATTGAATTCAAAGGGAATCGTAAAATAGTTCGTTATATCAATAATTTGATATAAAAAAATATGTTAAATTAAGTTCGAGTTGAAATTTCCTGGCGTCTGCTACTACTACCGTAGGTCGCGACAAACGGGAGTTCACCGAATAGAGCACCCAAGAGCCGCCATATACAGCCAAATACAGTAGAGCATAATTGGTGGAGACCGCAAACACCGCTGCGCTTACACGCACGTCTGGCCGGGACCTACACACAGCATAAACGACAAAACACGAAAATAATTTTTAAAAATGATAGAAAAATGGAAAAGCAAGTTGCATAAAAAAAAATCATTAAAAAAAGTTAATGAAGCAACAAAAAAGAAGGCTCACTAAACTCAAACAGAAAAAAATGAAAGGCAAAAAAAAAAATGGGCAAAGCAATAACAGCAAAAGAAAAAGGTAAACAAAGATAAGGCGCGCCAATTGCGATGCACAACCGTTGTTGTGGGAAGACTCGACTTGCCGAAGACTTTTTTTTCTTGCTCATTTTATTTTCGGGTTAGAGAGTCGCGCGGCATCAGCAGTGTTCGGGGAAAGGGCGCAGGCTATTGCTGTGACAGCAAGCACTCCCTGCTCTCCCTATGCGCGTGCGCGTGCCCTTCCCTTTGGCCATCCTCCAGTTTTTTTGGTTTTTTTTTACGGTTCATTGTTTTTCTTTTTCCACAACTGCTCTTTCGCTGCATATCTTACCGCATGTATGCTGGCTTGAGGGTTTGCCAAACCCGCTACACAAGCGATGTGCTCGCCACCGGCACAATTGGAGCGTGGGAAAAGCAACGGTTGGCCGGGTTTCGTTCGCTATATCAAGTGTCTGCCGTGGGAGCTCGATACAGAAAAACAACGTTCCTATACCGTTGCATGTGATTTTCAAGGGGACATTTCGACTGTTCGATATAAACAATAATTCGAAATACCCCGGTGCGATATACCTAACCGGGCTCGACTGCAGTGGGAGGTGGCTTTTTGCAGTACAGGCACACACTCTGTACGTTACGCCGGTAGTAGTAGAGCAAAAATAGCGACGAGTTTTCCCACTAGCCGGATTTTTTAATCGCCTCGCCAAAATCAGGAAAGTTTGGATGCGAAATCGGCGATCCGAAACGCAATGGCTCGGGCTACATTTCGGGATTACAGTTTGTTGCTTGGTTATGTTGCTGCACTTTGCGATGAAATAGCTTTTTTCTTTTTTTCATTGACTTTGTTTAGAAAAACATTATCCTTTCTTCCAAGGCTGTGCTCCTCTGCTACGTGGTCATCCCCAAGGACGCGGATCTGTCAACCCCCGAATGTCTGCGGTCCTTCAAGATACAGGTGATGATCGTGCCCTAGTAGGCCTTGCGGTTGGTTCACATGCTTCCAACTGCTTAATGCTTAACACCTCTTAAGGATCGTCCTCACCGCCTCCCCGTTGGCTCATCATAAAGGTCACCATAGCAACAGCTCGACGCAAGCAGTCCTAATGCAGACAAACGCAATCGTGCGAACGAGCCTTTAAAGTCTCTTATGCCGAGAGAACGCACTATTGGCGCCATCTCTCGTGCGGCCTTGGAACACTCAGTTTTCCTTTTATTCCAATTTTTTTTTGCGCATCATTCTTTTTTCTGTTTCTCCAAAAACTTTTTGCAATGTTATAAACTACCTGTTCCTATAGATAATATGTACATTTCATCTTGCAAACGGCACAAAACCTTTGCTCTCGCAGTTCCAGGGTCAGCTCGTAGATGGCGCTGGCACGTCCTCTCGTCGCGAGAGATCAGAAGAGTTCGGTCAGGACGTCATTCGCTTGTCGAGGCCACCAGCGATGTGTTGCGGAGCACCGGGGGAAAATGCGCGTCTTTAACTTGCAGGGTTACAAAAAGAATGACAAGCGGATGAAGTCCGCTTGCCATTTCATCACCAATCACGTATGCTTGCTAGCCATGAAAAAAACATTTACAACAATATGCCGAGTCAATGCCCACCCCCTGCCGCCTGAAATTCATGAAAAAATAGGGTGGGCCATGTCTCGGTGTTGAGCACAAAAATATTTAAAATAGCTAAAAAAGACAGCCATTTTTCTGTTCGTATTTAGCGCGGCTGCACGATAGATACATTGAACTCTAAACTCGAATTAGTTTCATTGTTTTGTGCAAGAAATGATGATGAAAGAGTGTCTTACTATTGCAAAGTTTGTTGCTTGCAAACGCGCCATCAACACTGCCACTCGGCATACGGTGTGAATGTTTGTTCCATGAAAGCATGTTTCTTACACTGCTATATTCTCTTTGTTAGTAAAAAAAAAAGTGAAAGCCGTTTACAACTCCCTGTAACACCGAATTAGAGCGCAGCTCTTGAGGAGGAGGAGGGAAGGGTACTGGGGGGTGAAGTGACCTGGGGGGGGTCACGTGATTTTGGGGGTCACGTGACCTTGGGGGGTCACGTGACGATGCCGATGATGTCATCAGTGACGTCACTGATGACGTCATCCGTGATGATGACGATGACGATGCGGATGCCGGTGACGTCACTGATGACGTCATCAGTGATGATGACGATGCGGATGCCGGTGAGGTCATCAGTGACGTCACTGATGACGTCATCAGTGATGATGACGATGCCGGTGACGTCATCAGTGACGTCACTGATGATGTCATCAGCGATGATGACGATGACGATGCGGATGTCGGTGACGTCATCAGTGACGTCACTGATGACGTAATCCGTGATGATGATGACGATGCGGATGCCGGTGACGTCATCAGTGACGTAACTGATGACGTCATCAGTGATGATGACGATGCGGATGCCGGTGAGGTCATCAGTGACGTCACTGATGACGTCATCAGTGATGATGACGATGCGGATGCCGGTGACGTCATCAGTGACGTAACTGATGACGTCATCACTGATGATGACGATGACGATGCGGATGCCGGTGAGGTCATCAGTGACGTCACTGATGACGTCATCAGTGATGATGACGGTGCGGATGCCGGTGACGTCATCAGTGACAATGACGTCATCGGGGGGGTCACGTGACCCTGGGGGAGGGGTCACGTGACCTTGGTTACGCCGACGGCGACGCCGCTCAAGCCGGGAACGGGCCCCTAAGAGCTGCGCTCTAAAACAAAAAAAAACTCGACAATAGAAAAATCAATGAGTGAGCGAAAGAGGCGACGTAGAGCGATGCTGGGAAAGCCAGCGATCGCATTGTCAAATACTTTGGCGTCGGGCCAAGTTGGGCGCCTTGTCAATGACAAGGAGCAGGCTCTTCTGCAACTTGGTGCATGTGTGCGTCCGCTTGTGCACGGCGTGCCATCAGCGCCGGTTGAGGCGGCGTTGCTGTGTGGTGTGGAGGGCACCACAGACACCGAGCTGGAAATGGGATGCTTTACAAACGTCTGTGTGCTGCGTTCCATCAAATATTTACCCGTTGGCTCTGTCTCATACATTGCACAACCGCAGTCGCAACGTTCCAGGAGGAGCGGGTTCGCGGTGACCTAATTTCGGTGGAGACGGACTTTGACCTTACAGTCCGCGGTTACATTCCTGGATATCAGGCGTTCGCTGACCTCTCAATCCCCGAGTGGGTTAATGCTTGTTACCTTTGCAACTTTTATTTTTTTTTTTTTGGTCCAAACAAAGTTTTTGTGAGTAAAGCAGTTTTATTTTGTTGTCTCCATAGTTTTCTTTTTCGCACGCATGCACACCGACTTTGGGGTTGCACAATTCAGGGAGGAAAAATTTAAACAGAGTGGAGTCTACTTTGTTTTACTTTGTCATGGACGTCACCCAACTGTAAGGTCTACAGCCACGTCACTCGGGTAGGATGAATATTCGCGGATCGCAGAATTCGGGTTGGGGTACTATTTGTAGGGATGCACAATCACTCCATTTCTTGGAAATGGTACTCGCCCAAAAAGTGGGGTGGGCAACGACTCAGGATATTATGATAGGCTTACATTTAAGGCATATACCTCGTTGTCCGATTAATGCGTTCCTTACAAAAGGTAGAATGTTGTTCTAAAATAGGATTGACTGACAAGACAAAGTTTAAGTTACCTTTTAACTCGTGGATATATTCCTGCGGGTAATTTTAACGACTCTGTCCGTTCCTCCCCCTTTCCAAAGGAACTACTTCTGCGGAGGTGGATCACATCGGAAGAGCGGGAAAGAAAGGACGACGGGTAGTGAAGGCAGAACGGTCACCGCACGACAAGCTAAGCGAGTGCTTCGTTCGAGATCAATGCACATCAATCACTTCGCTCCACGATCACCAATCACCCAATAAACATTTGCTTGTTTTTCCATTCGGTGGCTGCTTGCAATTCTGAATTTCAAAGGTCAGCATAAGCACGCCAATGGTTGCATGGTGGCACCAATCACTATGGTACCGCAATTTTTCTCTCTTTGATCCGTGGCTCGATGAATTGTGAGCAAACATTGTTCAGCTTGTCCAACACCGCCCAACAAAAAGCTGCAGTGTCGAATTTTATGAAGAACCCACGCTGACCTTCATCAAGATTGAACACTACAGCTTTCTATCCAGGTAGTGTTGGCCCATCTCACACTTTACCTGCATCACCATCTTTTCGCTTGAAGGTCGGTGTCGTCCATTTACTCATGGTGTAAGGCACTCTGGTTAGCAATGCCAGTTGGGTTCATGTAGAAGTTTTTTCTTTATTTTCCGAGTTGTTCACACAAGTTTGGCAGTGCACACACAAGGACACAAGGAAAACGAAAATGTCTCTAAAAAGATCTTATGGGGGGGGGGGGGGGGGGGAAGGGGGAAGGGGGGAAGGGGAAGAGTTATACATGATGACTGTGGAAGGGCCACAAATGTTTTGGTACGACTTGCGATAATGACTCGATAGCTGCAGAGAGTTAAAAAAACTTCTGGGCATCTTTCGTGAAGCTTGACAACAGGATCAAGCAGACGGACGGCAAACTTGCGGAACGGCGAGGACACCGACTCTTGTAAAAACTCGACGCGCTGCCGCAAATTGTGGCCATTACAAATGTGTTGTTTTGATTATGCGGTGAGTATCTTCGCAGTGTGTGGTACATGATAGAAAGTTTGTCTTGGGAAACCTTTGGCAATTGTGCGTGTGTAAAACTCGACGCTTCCAAGGAGGCATCTGTAAATGTTGCCGTTCCTTTTTAAAACAGAGATGCTGCATCCCTTATTGGTGAACTTCTAACGTTTGTCGACCCAGGGAGTAAAAAAACATCAATGAAAAGACACGTTGAAGATACAAAAAGGTAAGAAATGCTGCGTTGAGCAATAACTCTGGCTTGCTAAGTGGACGCAGCAAATCTCAAAAAAGATGCTGCTAGCTTAAAACACGGTGTCTTAGTACGTGGAAACTGTTACGAGTTCCTCGGAGACAACGCTAAACTCTGTCCCTAAAAACTTTCCTACAAGGCGTTCCTTCTACTACACGTAACCCGCGGCTCTAGGGTAAATAAGTTGAGTTATCAAACTTCGACCCCGTCGATTCACTCAAATTTCTCTCACCCTGTCAGCTTTTAAGTTCAAAGACAAAACTTGGTTCCTGCAGGACCTCTACACGAAAGCCCTCCATCTTGGCTTCAAGTCGCGCGCAGAATAGCCTCGGATGCCCAAACTTGCCAGTACTAATTCACCCGTGGCAGTTGTGCAGGAAAGCCGGTCTAGGAACGTTCAGGGGGAAGTTGCCAGAAGAGCAAATGTAAGCCCTACGTTTTAAACCGACCCGTGCACTTCGTCAGAGTTAACTGCCGCGCTCTACTATACTCTTTTTAATCTTGCGATTGACCGTAGAGGCCGCCACTAACCATCGAAGCCAGTCGAATGCCGTGTGACCTTTGGAAGGGATGCGGGGCACGTAGTCGTGCGACGCGTTCGTAGTGTTGGATTGGTTGAGTAGCACAAGGCATTCGCTGTGGACCATCGCAAGGCAAAACTGAGTTTAGATTAAACAGCTACAGTCACGCCAATAAGTTGTAGTCTATCCATTTCTTACACGTTCTAGTACACTTGCGGTCCCGAGGAACACAGTGTGATGAGTATTCTTAGGATGGCTTTGAATAGCTCGTTTCCTAGTCGCTACTCTGTGACCAAGTCACCAAGAGGTGGGTACCCACGAAACAATACCATATTTCTGATCGCAATCTGCTTTGGTGACAAGAAAAAAAAAAAAAAGAGGCTTTCAGTTCATCTTTGCGTACGTCGGAAAGACGCCATACTTCTCCCACGCAGCGCACGCGTCGTGCTGGGAAGCGCGGCTCCGCACATTTGCTCCGATGTAATTCGTGAACGGGTTCTCCTTGAGCGGCTGAGAGCCGAGCGACGGCGTCCCAGTGTAGACGAAGTTGTAGAACAGCTCCTGTAGGTTGTGCTGAAACTGCAGGTCGCCACGCGAAGAGAAGGCCGTCTCGTTGCGGGAGGCCAGCTGGCCCAAGATGGCAGCCACGTCGAGCCCGTGAGGGGAGAACTTGGTGGGGACGGCGTTTGAGGAGAAGTTGAGGAGGGCGTTGGGCACATGGTCGACGACGTAGAAGTGGACTCCGCCCTCTGTGGCGTTGACGAGGTCGCGCGTCAACAGCTGGAGGGGGCAGGTCACGCGCACGTCCGAGATCTGTTGGGAGGAAGAGCGGCGGAGTTGTGGGTGCCCGTTTAAAGGGAAGTGAAGGCTATTATTAGTTCCCCAGGCTTTATCCCCGCTTTCGGTTTGCGACCAGAAAAATTATGGGCAGAACGGTGAGTGAGAAAGGTATGTGCAAAGAGAGTAATACCCGTTGCCATACAATTAATGTTAGCTTCAAAATTGCTCATTGTTCTTGGTAGTAATACCGCAGCAGTATGTGAAGAGAGTTGCATCTAATGGTGCTTCTATAAATTTTTAATATTGTATGCAACCTTCCAGAGGCTGCAGTTCAAAAGACTTGACGATCCCCACCAGTGTTTCGCTCCGCTCGTGGGTCATTCAACAAGTTAGCAAATGCAACTATCCTTACCAGTGTTTCGCTCCGCTCGTGGGTCATTCAACAAGAAGTTAGAAAATGCAACAAACTTAGCAGTTGGGGACAAGCACCTTGTGCTCACAGCTTTCACGAAGTAACAAAGTGAACAGAGTAAAGCAGTGTTCAGTTTGTAATGAAATTGTTCCGAAAGGTCTGACAATGTCATGAACTCGTTATGAAAAGTCGAAGGAGATGTTCTATCGTTTACCGAGGAGCCTGACCACCTTCCATCTTCTCAAAACCTTCTATTCATTATTAAATGAAATTCATTATGCCGACGTCCACTATGTCAAAGTTCATTACATCGAGCTTTATCTAGGCTTCCTAAGGCAGTGGAAGGCTTACCAAAGTGTACTAGTATTTGGTAAACACTGTTACGCTACTTCAGCTGACGGAAACACCTTACCATGGTGTGGAGCTGCTTTGCTGGCGAAGTGTCGTTGCCGATGTAGAGGCTGATCATTTCTTCAGCCAGTTTGACATCGATTGTGTTCAGCCTGTCCCTGATGTAGGTGAGGATCTCGGAGATGTCGGCAGTCTCCATGTCGGGAAGCACCCGTCGAGAGGCAAACTCCTGGAGGTTCGATCCTGCCGCACAAGACAAGAGACCCTCTTTAAGCACTTCCTCAAGGACGTTTTCGTGGTGAAAACTCACAGACAGCTTTTACGAAAAGGAAATGCTCCAGACGGGTATAAAAATTCTGAAACATAGAAGTAAATGCGTGTATGCACCTATCACGATGGGAACCTTGTAGTCCTGCGAGGCCCACAGGTCGTACACGTAGTCCCTCAGGAAGTGACCTGGGAAGAAGTTTCATAAGCATGAGGCAAATGTGATGGCGTCTTTTTGGTCTATAGACGCATTGCACCAACGAGCATCCTCGTGGGTGAACCCCTTGAAGTACAAAATAAAATAACAAAACATGAATTGAGACTTGTACATCATCATCACGCCTAAACTGACAGTACAGTAGAAGCTGCTTGCTCATTGGACCAGTCGTATGTTTATCTTTCGCCACGTGATCGCACTCCCGCACACACCCATGTGCAAAGAGCTGGCTCGAGTGATGAAAGATAGGCGGTTGATTGTTCCGGAGAGCCCAGCTCGCACCGCACCATCAACTTGGGGGCGAATGTCCTTCTCTCGCTACAATCGGTTGGCCGTGACACGATTGGGTGAATTTCCGTACCATCAACGAGGGCCAAGCTAGGACCGTTCCTCTCGCCGGCGCTGGGCAGCTGAGCATAGGCGTCATCATACCAGGAGTTTGGAACGGCAGCCATCACCTGAGCAGACGACTTGTTCTTCATGCAGACGACGTCTGTGCAACCCAAATTGCTGCACGGAAATAAAACGGGCAACGTTGAGACTTGCACATTGTGTAGTGCGTGTTGGATACTTCTACTTGGTCTAAAATTGGTCGCAGCAAGCAGACGGCAACATCTCTGCTTTCGACTGAGTGCATCACCTGCTGTGCGTGTCAGTCGCCGCTGGCCGTGGCAAGGAAGTTGGTCTCATTCTTCACAGAAATGCTACACTTTGAAAATCGAGATGGTAAAATGCATTACTAAAATACACCTTCGATGAAAAGTTCAGATCGATATGTGCGGGCACTGATCTTTCTGACCAATTTTAGGGTTTGGGGGCCTACATGCCAGATCGATATGTGCAACACCTGGCATGCCACAGCCAAGGACAGAGGACTGTTGTAGATCTCTCGGGGATCTTTAACATAAAATTTAAATCTCTGTCACCATTCAGTAAAATCAAATTTGTTATAATGCAACACTACAAAACAATTTTACTTCTCTTGAAGCCGATGAGTGCCAAGAAAGGAAAAAAAAAATGACCTCTTGAATGCTCCTCTGAGTGAGAAAGAAGAAACCCTATTCCCCTTCCCATAGACACTGACTCAGGGATGTGCTCCTTGTGGGAGAGGAGGAGCAAAGGTGTGAGGGAGAATGGAAAGAAGGGCACTGAAGGGTTTTCTGCACTGCAGAAGACAATTCTGTAGGTCGGCAAAAGGGTCATGACACGAAATTTAAACATGGATGATTAGTCCTGATATGAAATGTTCACAGGGAACTTATTTAATATACCCACAAAGTTTTGCAATGTTTAGAACTTTAGTAATTAAAAAAAGGAACTTTTTAATGTTCATATTTTGCATCTGGTGACCGGGCAATACTGACATAAAGCTGACGTTGGTGACATCTAAAAAATTTAAAGGGGAGGGTGCAGGGGCGGATTAAGAGGGGGGGTCCGGATGTCCTGATCCCCCTCTTGATTTCTGCATATGTAAAATTTAGGGCGTGAAACGAGGGAGAGGGGGAGGGGGTTCCTAAACAAATGGTACGCTGTCCAACACCTGACCCCCCCCTCAGGAAATTCCTGCATCCGCCCCAGGGAGGGTGCATGAACTTTTCCAGGCTAGGTGATCCAAGCTATTGCCCGATACAAAAGGTGTAGCCAGTACCATCCATCCCTGCCCATGATGATGCATGCTGGTGCCCATAAACCACATTACTATGATCAAGCAGCTGGCCACTTTTGCTCTCGGCCCACTGCCCACACCTGTCAAGTTTGCTCCTTGTTGCCACCTATCCTATTTACTTATTTTCCCGCCAGTTTCCTCCCGGAAACAGGAGACGGTTCCAACAACGCGAGCAATGCCCAATATTCCCACGGTTCAAAAAGGCCAAACAAAAGTGGATGTGAGCACGTTACAGCAAGATTGCTTAGGAGCAGGGGATAGATTACACCATAGACAACGTCACCAGTGCTTACAAACGTGGCGGCCTTGCTGAGGGGGGGAATCTAAGGGTCCATGATTAAATCAAATCTATCCATGAAACTGATAGGTTGTTTTCAAAACATGTGGAGTCACAACCCCTTCAAACATTGCATGCAAAAATATCGCAAATGCAAACAGGCGTGTGGATGGAATGCAGTTTCGCCATTAAGACTGGTCGAGACATCTGCAACGAGCGCGTTGCTACGACTGTGTCCGTTGTGACCGGAGCGACCGGAACGACTGCTCTGCACCGTGCGTACATACGCCTGCAACTGTGACTGCAACTAGTGCAGCGGGTCGTCAGCACGGCGACCGCTTCTCTGCCGTTGTCAGCTGTTTCAGCAGTACCTCAAAAAAGAAGGGGACACGCTGCCACTCAATGGCGTAAAAGAAAATAGACAAAAAATTTCTATAACCTCAATTTTTTTTTTTTTTTTAGGATAGGCTTTTAGGGTAGAGTCAATGATAAACGTAAAAGAAAAAGATGCAGTACACCATCTTGGACGATCACGACCTTAATACACGACTTTGCCAAAATTACAAATCTCACCACATGCCTTTCCTACAATTACAAAGGCTATGTAATCTTCGCAATGATATAGCAACATAGAAATATGATTTCGTGATCACATAGACGTTACGAGCGTTCAGGGTTGCTAACACTAATCACTTTTCTCGGCTGATGAAAATTCGTGAAAATTCGCATCCTTCATTCGGTACACACCAGTAATACCTTGAACTTGAGCACACGCATGGAATGCGCAAAATAAGAAATCTGGGCGATGCTCAAGGACACAAATGCTAAGAAAGCATTATTGTAGTCGCAGTAAACAAACATGATGGCCCGGGCGTTTCTGCTGTCAGAAGGCATAGGGCACATGCCGGAGGCTGGGCATTTGAAAGAGATGCCCTGCCGTTCTCACATGTTGGCCATAACATGCGACCCTAAAGATTTTTTTTTTTTTTTATGATGTGCAATGGTTGATATGCAAATACGGTAGTTTCGCATCCAACTTGTTACAATCATGCGACTCTCCTGGGCACATATCGTAATTGTTCGAACTGTTCTGTTTGGGCAGACGCACACAGGCGCTGTTGTGTTTGACGAAGTGGACGAGTAATAAAGTCGAGAGTATGGTACCAGTGGTTTCATGCTATGTTTCACGTCTCGCTTTAATTGTGTCGCAAGCAGACGCCTTATTGCATGCTGAAAAAAAAAAAAAAAAAATCTGGATCTCGAACTTTTAAATTGATGGGTCTGAAATTTAAGTGAAACCAAACGTTTAGGTACAATTTTATGTGAAAAGAGCTTTCCCATTCTATAATCCTCTGCTAACACAAACTCTAAAAAAAAAAATTTTTTTAGTTTGTGGGGTTTTGTTGGAGTTTGTTCAGGACTCTCACATACACCGTCTGTTCACAAGCTCACATGCACCGAAAATGAATATAAGCATATGAATCTGCTCAAAAAAAAAAGGGATAAAACATGATTTTAATAATAAACTGAACGATTGTAGCGATGCAGGCAAGTTTGTCATGCATATTGAAAAGTAGTGAAAGCGCACAATAAACACGAAGGCGGAGAGGCAAACAGCGCTCGTCCTGTTCGCCTCTCTGTCTTCGTATTCGTCTTTATTGTGCGCTTTCACTATTTTTCAATAATTATGAACCGTTTTATGCAGTACCAAGTTGGTCTGTGTTATAAATTAATCTTTCAATCAATCCTTATTTGCATAAAACTCAAGTGTGATTCGCTCTATCAAATTCATTCACTGTTCAAAAAGAAACCAGTATGTACATCTTTGATTTCAAAATTAACCAAGATTCATACCTAGTGCTGAGCATGAAATCAATGTGCCATGACAGACTGTCCGCGCTGGACGGCCGTGGCTTACGGAGTCTTATTTTGGCGAGATCTGCCACAGCAAAGTTGCCCAGTAAATTTCAAAGCATTAGAGCACTTCAAGAAGCCAGTGAATGTGCAAAACATAACAAAAGACTGACCTAATGGTGGAACATACGAAACATAGCAATGATGTTGCCCTTTAAAAGCATGCAGACAATACCCAAACCGTAAGTGTTCCCGGCTCCTTGTTATGGCAGCCATGGCAAGGAGCTGGGAACACTTCCGGTTTCACAGAATTGGCCCAAATACGATGTATACTACACCACAAAAAAAAAAAAAAAGAAATGGTGAGAATTAAGGGGACACTTCATGTTAACAATACTGGTGGAATGTATACATTAACGTAACTTCGTTGTAAAACGATGGAAATAAAGTGAGCTCTAGGTTTCTTCTCGAGGTCACACCTCCACCTTTTGGCTCACCTCAAGAACTCAAGGTTGTCCTGAATGGCGTCGTCCAAGGTGCGGTTGGGGAAGTTGACTGATGCTCCAGAGATCCAGACCTTGCTGAGCAGTCCCTTGGTCAGTCCAGACGTCATGAGTAGCAAAGCAGACGTGGCTCCCGCACCGTGACCAAATACGGTCACCTACAAAACATCAACATCGTCGTGATCAGTCATCGCTATCATTGTAACCGGTCATCACCATTATTGTGATAATTTGTCATTATTCAAAAAGTGACGACAGACAAGTATTGAAAAAACAGTTAGGGCGCAGGCGAGCTGGTGTAAGTTTACCATTTTTGTAGACCCCCTGAGACTGGGTGGAAGAAACACGACACAAAGAAACACGAAGAATTGAGACGTCGTCGTGTTTCTTCCGCCCAGTCTCAGGTGGTCGACAAAAATAGACAAGTATTGATAGACTAGACCAGCAACAAATATAGATTCCTTTATTTATAGGCATGCATGTACCGTATTTACACTATTGTAAGTCGACTTGATTGTAAGTTAGCCCCTCCACATTGCACATCAAAAAAAAAAAAAAATTCCTTAGGTGCGCATTTTATTGCAGACAAGTGAGAATGGGGCAAAGTATGTTTCGAAAGTACCCAGCCTCCAACACTGGATTGATGCCTTCTGGCGTGCTTTGGCTGCACATGCCGTTAAGATCATGCGCCATTGCAGACACCATTGGAGCGTACCCCCGCTCCAACAGTTTGAAGTTGCGTCCAACAGCGCAGTTGTTGGTACCTTCTGGGTGAAGAATGGCCATAAACGAGCACCAAAAACCTAAACTGCCCGGATCACGCATGTCAATAAAGAAAACGTAGTTAGCGCTCAAACATGATCTTGACATTCGATCAAATGACGTGCGACTGTGAATCGTGCAAAAACTGTGAAATGCAGCCGCGGGGATTGAGACGTGAGGCTGTTCCAGCGGCCTCCGGGGTGGCTCTTACAAGAAGTGCTGCCCACCCCAGAAGTCGGGCGCACCATGCGCTGTTCACTGCTGTACATTCAAGTTAATTTGCAAATCGCTAGCAATAACACTCGTTCGTGCAAAAAAAAAAAGAAAAGAATTTGTAAAATGAGCGCACAGAATAGCGCAATGCCACAGGCACCACAGCTGGCTGAACTCATAACAAGCCGAGGTGTTCTTGATACAGTGTAGACCGCATATAACATATGTCGCGGGAGTTGCGAAAATCTGCACTATAAGCGGTACCGCGCTATAACCAAAACATCAATTTTTCAGGCCAAAATACACGCCATGAGACAACTTACCTTTGTAAAACAATTTATTTTATATTATTACATGAAAAATAAAGCTTAGTCTGAGGAAAGTCTTTATTTCACCAGACTAGTACAGTTCTGTCTCAAGTGTGTCACACATTTTGAAACAAATGAGTGACTTTTGCCTGGTGCAGCCTTTTGAGAGCGTCGCGGGTTGCGGACGGACGTTGCAAGCGTTCAGGATTGCTAACCCTAATCACTTTTCTCTGGTGATAAAAATGCGTGAAAATTTGCATCCTTTATATGGTACGCGCATGAAATGCTCCAAAAAAGGCATGAACGCGCGCATGAAATGCCCCAAATAAGAAATCCGGGCGATGTTTGAAAACACGAATGCTTAGAAAGCACCACTGTAGTCGAAGTAAACAAACACGACGACACGGGCATTTTTGCCGTTTTGAGAGTGCCGCCACAACATTGCCGCACGAGTAAGTGGATCTTCCCTTCTAATACGTGCTGGGTTATCACAGCGACACACAACGAAAATTCACAGTCAAGTATAGCGCTTTTACGCGGAACGATGAGCTTCCACTGCGCCGTCGACGTCAACGGTCACCACGACGCCATGTTTGCACATAGAAAAAGCCGGTCCGCGACCGGCATGCAACGCACGCGAAAGGCTGGTTGGGCTTGCCAATGCCTTGTTACGTGAACGACACGTGCGTTCGTCCCTCCGTCGCTATGGCAACTGAAGCCTCTCTCTTCGCTTCTTTCCGCTTCTTCGAGCAACCTCCTTGCCATCCTCGCCCCCACAAGTGCCGCTTGCGGCTTGCGCCGTTATCTGGTGTCGCACAGGGAAGCGTGCTCGCTGCGCCGGTCAGTCGGCGCGGTCGGCGCACTGCTTCAGAAACCGCACTATAACTGGTATTTCCCTTTGCGCGCCTGCATTTTAAGCAGTATGTAATTACACGGAGTTCTATGGGAGGCGGACCGGTGGTTTAAAAAAGCCGTGTTATACCCGGTCCTGCACTATAAGCGGTTACGTTGTAAGTGGTCTATACTGTATTGCAATTGTGTCGTTTTTGTCAGCGGTGGAATCCTTTGGTTTGATTATACGTCGACGACGCCCCCCCCCCCCCCCCCCCCCCTTCAGACTTTTCAAAAATTGAAAAATGGGTCGACCTACATTCGTGTAAATACGGTATGTAAAACTAAACGCTAGAGTTGTGCAAAGTTTTGAAACTTTGAAGAATTCATGAATAGTGTCTGCTATTTCTATTAAATTCGTAGCACACTTTTATTGTTCAACGTAATCAAGGTTTTTAACATTAAAAAATTACAAACGTAATTCCCGAGTTTCTCGCAGCAAGCCTTGCCGCTTCACATCGACGCAAAACAGTGAAGTTTGACAACCTTGCACTACACGCAGGCACTTCAAGCTTCTCTGCTTTGCACCAGTGTGCAAGGGGAAACGGCTGATGTGTCAGGCCATCTCAGAAGGCTCAATGGTCTTGGAAATTTTGCTTAGTATTGTAGGTCATCCTCCTCAGATTATAATTATGGTTCGACACCAGACTTTAAAAGACAGTGCTTAAAAAGAAATCATGAAGCTATATTCAAATAAAAAAGTTGGTAGTCATTGCTTTGCTTGCCATGTTACATATGTTTTACCCAACTCCTCTTATCAGAGCCTCTTCATTTAATATAAGCATTAAAATGTTGCTCATGTAGCAAACTGCCTTTTCTCATAGGTACTATGCTTTCTAGAAAAGGTTTCCAGCCATAATTTATTAAAACATTCATGCTCACTTCACATTAAATGTAAGATATTTATATTAGAAAGTATTTGACTTTGATGCAGTCAGAACTGTCATATATTTGCGCAGCTATACTAAGCACCCAAGATAGATTCTGAGACCAGCAGCTGACAGAGCACCAGAACTGCCATACCTTGTTTGGATCTCCGCCGAACTGCTGGATGTTCCGCTGCACCCACTTGAGCACCGCCACCTGATCCAGGAAGCCATAGTTGCCGGACGTTGGGGGATGCACACTCTTGGACAGCTGATCCAGAGCCAGGAAGCCGAAGACGTTCCGTCGGAAATCAAACGTCAGCATGACGACGTCTTGCCGCCGCGCCAGAGCCGGGGACGGCTGAAGGTGGAGGTCTTCCTCGCCGAGTCCCATCAGCGAACCACCAAGAATGTAAACGACGACCGGTCGGAGCCGCCGCGTCGACAGCGATGGCGTGTACACGTTGAGGAAGAGGCAGTCTTCGCTCATGTTGAGCTTGACCCCCGGGATGCCCTTTTGGTAGCACCGCGGCGCGAACTCGTGGACCTGCTTTGTGCCGCGCCAGCAATCTCCGAGCCGCTGGAATGGCAACGGCGGCTTCCAGCGCCGGTCACCGACTGGCGCGAGGGCGTACGGCACCCCACGGAAGACGAAGACGTCGTCTTCGAAGTGTCCCTCGACGGGTCCGCACTCCGTGACGGCGATCGGAGTTTTCCACTCCTCCTCGAAGCCGAAGCCTCCGTTGGAGAGCGCGGTTCCAACCAGCACTATGGTGACAAGGACTAGGAGTCCGACAGCGGTTCCAACGAGAACGTAGCGCTTCCGGCGGTAGATGGCTAGCCGGTCGCGGAGGGGTAGCTTGTCGGACTCGCCTTCTTCGGCTTGCTTCTCTGACTTGGTAGGTTCGGAGTCGCCGATGGGGATGGTGACGTCGGTCGAGCTGGACGACTTCAGGTTTCCGTCCGCCTCGCTTTTGGCCGGGTCCTCGTTGGCAGTGGCTTCCTTCTCGCTGTGGTTGTTCGCAGCCACCTGCTTCTCGTCGGCATTGTTTTCCTCGGGCTTGGAACCTTGTTTCTCAGTCATCTCGGTTTCATCGGAGGGCTCTACGTCGGACTTGGTTGGAGTGCTGCCTTTCTTGAACCAGCTGCGAGTTAAAGGCGGGAGTTTGCTATTTCATGCAAAAATATCTCTATGAATCGACAGTTTGATTACGGGTTATGTAACTTTACGCATGATGGCCGTAAGTCGCACGCGTGACGGATGCAATTTTGAAGCCATAATTGATCAAATCAGTTGGTTAAAACGAAAACAAAAAAAAAAAGAAAAGAAAACAACATGTGTCTTATAAGCAGTGATGGAACTAATCTGCCGAACTTCAGATTCGGCAAAGTTCGGTAAAGGTTCAAATGCCATTTAGGCCAAAGGCTTTCGAGATTTCCAAAGGTTATTCAAGGTTTTGAGTGTAATACGCGTCGGAAAACATCTTGAATGCTACTTAGATGTTTATTGCAATTGTAGTTTTCGATTTGTTGGAGAAAGTGGTCACCCATTTAGCAAGATAAATGACTCAATAGAACACAATTGCTGATGTATTGCCATTAATTTTTGGAAACAATATTATGGGTTGTGTTTATATGAATTTTTTTATTGATTACACATGTTTTTGCTAGTGAAGCAACTTTGCTTGGTGCGGGCTGGTATGAGCCGCTCTAAAGGCAACAATGATGTTCCCGCGTGAAAACTCTCTATTGTTCCTCGGCTTGTGAGTCTGTTCCCTGTCCGGTTCCTCGTCTACTCGGTCTGCTCTGCTTACCCCACCGATTCCGGTAGTGTCGACAATGGAGCCATCGGAACCACCAAAGACGCAGGCTGCTGTTCCTTTTTGTATGCACGCGCAGCAGCAAAGCTCCTTGGCTGCCATCCGAGCTGCCGCATCATCGACAAAGAGTGAAGCTGATAGCTTGGAGGGTCGGATGCTGGCCCTCCAAGCGAAATACAAAAGAACACCGCAAAATTGGAGTTAAGTTATAAAACAAAACCACAAATGAAAGATAACGGAGAGCACAGTGATGAGCAATGATGAGTACGAACAGGAAGGAACAGAGGAGGACGTGATTGCTGTACTCGCGAGTATGTATGTATGTATGTATATATATAAAAAAGGATGCTAAAGTCGCTCTAAAGTAAACAGAGAGCTTCATAAATTGTTTTAAAATTTATTCTAACTGATGAATTCCCAAATAACAGTATATATTTTCTTATTTTCGTAGTCATCCGTGACCACTGTCGACGAGATTAGGCAGTTGAGGAGTTAACGGAGTTGTTTTAACTCCGTTGATCGTAAATGTCCTTCAGCCCGAATGACATTTGACTAGCGCGTCTGACACCCCCTAAATAACATTTAAGTTGAAGGAAATTTACTCCAAAGGCATTCAAGATGCCCGTCTGACAGGGGTATTAGCCTCTGTGCGTGTGTTATAATAGTTTCTGCCTCAAGAACAGAAGATTGACCAGGATTTGAAGCAGTCCACTGCGTAAGTGACAAACGATGTGGTACATTCTGGATAGCATGATTTTCATGTGATCTTTCCAGCGATACAACGAGGTAGTTGCAACATTGACTGACAAGTACTGTAAAGCACTACTCGCAATTATAGCAATCCTGTTTGCGGCTCCCAAGGAGTTGGTGCCCAAACAAAATAGTATTGCTTTTTTAATTAGTGTTATTTCGCAGTTTTCATCCATCCGCATAACACCAAACACACAGCTATCACGCTCGACATTGCACATTTGATATTCTTAATTATTCCCATCTTCCTAAACGTCCGCGTGTGTCCTAACATCAAAAACCGGCATTTTAAAAGTTAAAAACGAGACGTTGCGCACATGGGACACACTTTTATGCAAAGCTGGCGTCAAGCGAGTCAAATTGAAAACATGCATATAATTACAATAATATTGTTATCTCTTCTGTTGAACGCTTAGCAGCGATTGCAGTAATTTTCGCACACGAAACAATGGCTCGCAGAGAAAGTAGATACCGCATTTACATTAAAAATGTACACACTTGCAGGCTTGCACTGGTAAGGCCTACAAACCAAAACTCGTGTAACGTGACTGTGCCCGCTACTACCCGACCTCTTTGTCACACCATTTCTGCAAAAAGTTATTGTAAAATTGCCAGTAAACACACAAAAATGACACCGATACAATTATCTTGTAGAAGATCACCTTATTTAGTAACGTCAAGATGCATTAAATAAAAAACAAAAACCTTTTTCGCCCGTAAAAACGAAATACTGAATTTTGAGTCTGGCAACAACGTATTTTTGCCTAATCTTTGCTTAATTTTTAGAAAAGTTTGGCAAAACTTCGGCGTTGCCAAACTTTCGATTCGAATTTTGCAGAATATTCGATTCGGCAAAATTTCGGCCTATCACTACTTATAAGGTCAAAGAAAACTTTTGTTTGAAGTTTGCCTCTACATATCTCTCGAAATTAAAGGACAGATATGTCATTTATCAAGCTGCCATTTATTGTTCCCAGGTTTGCTGGAAAGTTTCTGCCCTAAAATAATAGTGCCCATCAGCTGTTTGAAGGAGTATGACATAGATATATGTCCACAGGCTCCTTTCGAGGAATGTGCAGCTTTACACATGAGAACATGAAACGCATGCACCATGATCGGACGCGGAATTCGACTACTGAACATGAAAGCCAACACTCTTTCTTGTCCCCTATTGGGAAGTATATCCAACCATAGTGCGGTAAAAACATTTTGTACAGGTTGTGCCCAGTCTTTGCCATGCTCGCAATCAAGGAAGAAAAGTAAAAAATCCAGTGCACATGCCTTGTGTTGGTAAACACAGAACTAGCTGAGGAAAACAAGCTGGACACAGCACCCCTTACAGTTCAACCAGGCACGTAGCCAGGATTTTGTTCCGGGGCCCATGACAAAATGCTGTTCGAGGGGGAGGGGGGGAGAGGAGGTCCCAGCAAAATGGAAGATTTCGGGGGGGGGGGCGGGTCTATGGGCCCCTCCCCCTGGCTACGTGCCTGAGTTCGATTTCAGTGATCAGGCAAAGAATTTGGAAGAAGCTCCGCCTCCAACTTGTTGCCTTCCGCCAGGCTTTGGTTGTGAGTGCGATGAACTCGCACTGAAGGCGGAGCATCTAGTGAAACCTTATACCTGCCACAGACTATACAGACCGTCTACATAGAGCAGACCGCTCAGAACTGACCTCTCCCAGAACCTGGCCCTTGCCATCTTGACGAGGCTCGGTCGCTCCTCGGGTTCCTCCTTGGCCTGTTCCTCGGCCTCGCCTTGCAGCGGCACCTCTTCTTCGGCAAGCTCGATGGAGGACTCGACAGTCTCGGCAATGGGGACGTCATCTATGGTCTTCAGCTCGCCTTCCTCAGACTTGGGGCTGACTATGTTCTCGTCAATGGCCTTCTCCTTGCAGATAGCCTCTATGCTGTCCCCAGGGAGGTTCTGGTGGTCGGTGCCCTCGACTTCGATCGTCATTCTGCAACAGATATGTGGGGAAATGGTCCAGGAAAGGCAAGATCAAAGTATAATTAAGGGATTTTATGTACCAAACCAACCAAGGGCATCTGGCACGCCCCAGGGGAGGACTGGGAACTAATTTCAAGTGCCTGAGAATCTATTGGCGGTTAACTGAAATCTCGGTTACAGCACAGTGCATCTTCTGCAATAAGCCTTGTTGGATTGCAGGCACCTCGGTCCGGTGCTAGGATGTCTGAACTCGTGGGATTTAGAGAGCTACGCTGCAAAGAGTGCACTGACAGTGCATTATTTACCATTCAATGCGGGGGGGGGGGGGGGGGGGGGGGGGGGGGGGGGGGGGGCAGAATTAAATTGCTTTCTATCAGTCTTGGCTTATATTCTGTCACATATTGTTACAATAGGGCACTTGTGAGACAGAGCAGCGAGATAATTTGCATATTGGTGGAAAACCTTAAAATTGAAGCACTCAAGTGTCGAATTCTAATCGAAGACTATAGAATCCATAACTATTTTTTTTTTAAGAATTACATTATTCCCTTTTCTCCCCCTCCTTCCCTCCCTCCTTCCCCCACCCCCCCCACCCTCCCTCCCTCCCTTCCTCCCCAGGAAAAAAAAGAACAACAAGCAATTAATGTTTTTTTTTTTTTTACCCCAAGAGTAATGCATCACTGAAGGCTTATTCTCCAGTCAAATATAGCGCTAGTGGTTCAAACCAGATACCAAAGTTTCAGAACTAACCGTTAAGTCCTCCCAAAGATTACGTAATATAATTTGGCGACACTGACTTTAGTTTACTATCTTGCGTTGATCAATGGGTAATTTATTCGTTATTTTCACAAAAAAACACAACCGAGCTCCCATGTTCATTTATATTGTTAACAACAAATATTGTAAAACATACTCCAGATAAAATGAGCGACAGATTTTTTGCGGTTTCATAATCTTTTGGTGCTCATCAGAATGTATTTTGTTTTTAGTTTGTAAAATTAATATTTGCAATAACATACATAAAACATATAGACTCAGAGTTTTGTCTTGACTGGAAAATGTTTTTGCAAAAGCTGCTTCTTTTGCAAAAGCTTTCTGAAATATGCCACCTGGTCTGTTTGAAAAGTAATTAAACTGATTTTAAAACACAATAACATTTATATGGGAGCATGTCCACTTTCTGATGAAGAAAATTTTAGTATCTTCACACAAACTGAAAAATATATTTATCACGCAAAAAGTATACAGTAAAAACACTTGCCGCGTACCGAAGCATTAATGTTTTTGTCTTTTCGGGGCGGATGCAGGCAGCATAGAGGATATTGAACATTGCACATTGTGCCTGTCATTAAAAAATTTAATTGGCCATGAAGTAACATGATTATATGCTGGATACCAATAAAAGATTAAATTTTTTTTCCTTAGTTGATCGAATAACCCGTGCTGCGATTTACTCGCAACACAGCTGATCGTTCGACGACTGACCATTACACAACTGACACTTTGGGCAAACTTATTCTAAAAAAGAAAGACTCAGTTTGAATTTCATATTTTTAGCACCACGGGAATGTATGTTTGTTTTGTCACTGCAAGTTATTTCTCGTCGGGATATTATGAAAAATAGCACTTAAAAACATTCGTTACACCACTGACACATCAAAGAGGTATGTATTTAAAGATAATAAATTTTTAGGTTTTGGTCCAGGGTGAATGGCTCTTGTAAGACTTTCCTGAAAACGTATTAAATAGTCTGCATACTGACAAATTAAATATGATTGGCAGAAGTTTTTAAATAAATTTGTACATCTTTCGTTATACAACTGACATTCAGGTCGGTCACACTTGTTTCTTTTTAAAATATAAATACTTTAGCAACACTGGACCCCGAGATCATATCATAAATTTTTCAAACTTATAAAAGTTTACTTCGCTAAAACAAAGAAATCACAAATTTGAAACTTTTGTGGTATCTAGCAAATACAAAACAAGTTCTTGTATTTGTTTTTAGGAGACTTTGATGCTATCCTATACAAACTATACAGGGTGTCACGAAAGAAAATTTACACGGTCTTTTTTACCGCAAAAATAAACTAAGCATCGCCAAACGCTCATTCTCCACCCAAAGGTAGAACGAGAGGTCACAACCAGATTCCATAGTTTCAGCCCGATCCCATAACTTAGTCAAAAGTTATAAGGGATTTTCTGAAAAATTCAATGGGAAAATGGAGCCCATTTTAGCCTGTTTTCGGTTTCTGGTGCCATAGAGCCCCATGTGTTTGAAAACTATGTCGGCCGCCATTTTCCCATTGAAATTTTCAGAAAATCACTTATAACTTTTGAACAAGATATCGGATCGGGCTGAAACTTCGGCATCTGGTTGTGACCTCTAGCGCTACCTTTGGGCGGAGAATGAGCGTTCGGCGATGCCTATAGTCGGTTACAAGTCAAGAAGGTAGGAGAAGCTCCTCCCACAAGTGTGATGCGCCCGTTTCAAATCTCTCCGCAGTCGAAAGAAGAGTTCACTGGAAACGCTCCTCGTTCCGCTTCAATGGATTCCCACTTGTCTCCGATCCCACTTTTTAAGAAAGCGACCTTTGTATTCATCGGAGAGGAAACCGAGCCCCTGAAAGCAGCCTTTGAAGTTTGTACCCATCGGGGGGGAAGCTAATCCCCGAAAGTCGTATTTGTTTCCGTCGGTGGGGGAGAACTCTAATCTCCCTCTCGTGCCTTCCACAATGCTAAGTCAAAGTCGAAAGATAAAGCAAATATGTACAGAAAGGCAAGATCCTCCTCGCGCGTTGGCCGCGACGTCACGGAAACGGTGGGACGCTATTGGATGCGGAGGTGGCGGAGGGATATCTAATTCCCTTTGAGGGGCATTTGCCGCTACCTTCTTCACCTGTAACTGACTATAGTGTATTTTTGCGGTAAAAAAGACCGCGTGAATTTACTTTTGTGACACCCTGTACTTTAATGGGAAGATGGCGACCAACGGAGCTCTCATATACATGCCGAAAACTGGCAAAAATGGACCCCATTGAAATCACACATGCTGAGCGCAAATTCGTCTGCTTCTTGCACAGGGGTTGCGCTAATGCCAGAGCGCCAAGCTCTTATTGGCTGATTGATATAGAATAGTGAGTAGACCTCAAGGCTTCTCGCATTGATGTCTACCCACTATCCTTTTAATCAAAGCCAATCAGAGCTCGGTGCAATTCTGACGTCACTGCACTCCTGAGCAAGAAGCAGACGACTTGCTTTCCTCATAACTTTAGAATGAGATAACGGTTAGTTCTGAAACTTTGCATCTGGTACGGACTGTTAGCGGGGAGCACTCAGCTGGTCGAACAATGTTTTAGCGAATGCCAACTTTTCATCGAAAGACACTTCAGCGAATGGTCGGCCACAGCGAAGCGACATTTACAGGTGGGCCAAGTGGGCTAACATTCTTGTAATGCGCCGCCACAGACTGCCGCCGCAAAGCGGCGTGAACGCAGCAGGGGGGTGGGTTAACACGTACGCACATTTGGGCAAAAAATGAGCAATCAACAGTGCCTAATTCATCTTTTTTTTTTTTTAAATGTGATTTTTTTTGTTGGTTGTCATTTTTTAATTAAAATTTTCCCAAAAATTACTTATAAATGTTGAACCCGGCATCTGGTCCAGACAGTGATGCCCGGACCTTTAGTGCTATGTCTGGACCGTTCCAGCAATGAATTGTTTATTTTTGCAATAAAGCAGAGCCGTATATGTAGAGAGTTTGGTCAATGGGAGGCGCGGGCAGAGTCAGGGCGTGCGGCCGAGTCGGAAAGAGGGCTTGGCATGCTCTCTTGACCAACCAGAAGCCGAAAAGAATCCCCTAGCGGTGCTAGCGGCAAACAGTTCTGATCAAAAGCCTATGTTCGTATGTGGTTTTAATAAGCGCGTAAGAGTGAAGTGTAGTAACTTTTCGTGGATGAAAATAGGGTGCACGTGTTGTTTTGATCATGATCACGCAGAAAGATGTAAGAAACGAATGCGCCGCGCAACTCTGTTTTGCGCGGACAGAGTGTGACCGTTCAGAGGGCAGATTCCCGGCCCTGGGCGCTTGGCGTACGGATCATGTCGATCGATCCGCTAGTCGCACTTTTCCAACATCACTTTGGATTGACGTGATTGAAACATCACGTGTACCATATTTTCAGCCATTAAGAGTTACTCCAATGCAGTTATCAGGTTTGTTTCTCGCGACTACCACCAGGGTATTATTTCCGGCTTCTGGTTGGTCTCATTCGAATTTCTGAAGACGCCCTGGAACACGCCCAGCCCGCTTTCGGCCAATGGCGCCTTCTCATTTGTCTCCTATACTTCCCAACGAATGGCCAAACTCTCTACATATACGGCTCTGCAATAAAGAAGACTGTCAATTTTTTTCCTTGCTTCACTTTTTTTTTTATTTTCTCCATGCCTTCACCCAGGCCTAATCTTTATTTTGTACTGTAAAACCTTTAGTTAAATAAAAAAAAAAAGTTACAAGCAAAGGGCCGGTCCCATTGTTACTTGACCAAAGAAATATATCTGGCTGCCTTTCAGCTCCATAACTGCGAATGAATCTCAAGATGGCTCCAGATGTTTTGGATGTAGCCCGTGCATCACCTTCCCCATCTGGTGTTGTCCGCACAAGAGTCTGGTTGTGACTCGCTAAGTGCCGCTATTTTTAGGTCGGCACCCATCTCGCCCGCTTTGCACAACCGTGGCTCTCTTGGAAACGTTGGGCGCTATTTGGGCGACGCCATAAGAGAACCCAGAGAACCCGAAGTCTCCATCCATTCTGAGGCACTCTCTATCAGTCCATAGGATGCAGACAGACGGAGTATATTTTCCCGAAATCAGCACTTCTAACAAAAATGTGTGCTTGACTCACGTATCAGTTGCAATTAACAAAAAAAAAAATATAATATATAATTTGTTTTTTTTTGGCTGAGTTCCAAATCTTACCCAAATGAATCCGAGTTACTCCGGCGGGTCGTGTCACGTGACAACACAGATTGGAAAGCGTTGAACGCGGGTAAGTTTTGGAAGGTACAAAACCCTTCTCCTGGAGTAAGATTAACGTTGAGTAAGATCGAGTAAAATTTGGAACACGGCATTTATGACGTCATTTGCGAGACATCACGTGACTTTAAGCGCGGCTAACAAAACGAAACTACACGAGTCTCGCGTTCTTTACTTCCTTTGCTTCGAGAAAACCGTGCTCTTCCGTACGATCCGCACACCTGGCCGACCTGGTCATTGCGAAACGTGCGCTGTGGAAACTCGTGTTCATTCTCGGCGGGTTACCATGCGTGGACTCATCACGCCAATTTTCACGGCCCACCCGCACACGCGCGCTTCCGCTTTTTATTTTCACTGGCACGAAAGAGGTCGAGAAAAGACTCGAGTTACAGTAATTCAGACTGACAAGTTTGTGCTCTCTTATAAAGAGGGCTTTCCCAGAAAGAACTTTTCCACTCCCTAAAACTGTTGCATAAATACCGAACGCTTATTGTCATTTTTTTGAAATAGCAAAAACAAGACGCCAAGGTTTGAGAACTCATCGATTGATTTTAAGAACTTTTCAATTAGAAAATGGGGCGCGTTTGGACGGCTACGCGTTATGGCGAAAAAAAAACAACACGGATCTCCCTACATTTGGACAAATACGCGTTATGGGGAAAAAAAAAAAAGAAACACGGTTCTCCTTCGTCAACTCGCACGTCATATCATGAACCAAACACCAGAAAAATACCCCCCCCCCCCCCACACACACACACACACAAAAAAAAAAAAGAAGGCGGTCACCCATTTTTGTGTGGTTCGGAACCCCCCAAAATGGCGTTCGTAACAGCGGATTCCGCTTTCTGCTACGTTTCTGCTTTCCCCACAATCCCCACGCCACCCCCCGCGCCGTCTCTTCCCGGCTTCTCCTTAGCTTTCCCAAACACACACGTACAAAATGTGCTCTGCCCCAAGCCAACAGACAGGGCGTTAACAATGGAAGGCTGCCAAGGCATGCGAGTTCCTTTTGCGGGGGTCAGGGACCCGCAAAAATGAAAACATATGCCGTGCAAGGTCACAAAAAGCACACTGGGGAGAACTTTGTCGAAAATATCAAAAATGTAGGATGTTGTTAAACCTTTTTCTTCCCGAACATTTTGTCTGTCTCCTTTGCGTTCTATCCCTATATATATATATATATATATATATTGCTGTTTAAATTCTGTTTTCCTTCGCCCCCCGCCGACGATGAAAACTGAAAGTTACCGAAGTGCCGACCCGAACAGCACCGAATGTGTACCACACCCTCTCCACATTTTTTTTTTTTTTAATTGCATTTTTTATTACACGTATTACACCCGGGCATTACAGATGCAGATACAAAACGAAAGCTTAAAACGAACATCACTTTTAAGAAAAAAAAACGAGCAGCGTATAAAATACAACACATCTGACCGGTAAGGACCAAATTTTGCAATGCACTTTAGCAACGATTGCTGCCGTTAAAATTATGCAATTTCAAATTCGTAAGAAACACTTTGTCTTTTTCGTGGTGATGAAGTTTCGACTGCAACGACAATATATAGAACTGGATGCGACCAACGGACAAGTGATCGTGCAACGTGAGAAGCTCCAGGGCTCCCAGCTCCACCCATCACCCCCTCTCCAACCGGCAGAGCAAGAGCAGATCAATAAACATCCTTTTCTTTTTTTCCCCTATTGGTATCTCTTACAGGCTCGCTTATCTCGGAGGCAACGCCCACATCAATAATCCTAACCGCGGCATCATCGAAGCATCTTCCGCAACGCTCAAGTACTGTTATGCACTGCTCGGCGGATGCGACAAAGGAGCTTTGTCCCCCGGGCAGTCAACACACAGCCGCCAGACTTTCTCCTTCGCTAGGATACTTGGCGCGAGTGTCCTAGCTCGGAGCAATGGAAGGTCGCTTACCTCGAAACGATGGAAGAGCACTCCGACGAAGACGAGCCTTGCAACGAAAGAGAAAAAAAAAGGGGGGGAGTCGAACGCAACGGGCTTGGCGCGTGGAGAGCCGAAGCGTCTTTTGGGATTTTCAAACGGCTACGCGGCCCATCCCACCACCGGTAGCCAGCTTCGGAAACGTCATTTGTTCGGGGGACGTATGCTCAATATCCGAAACGTCGCTTGTCCCGCGATAGTGTGCGGATGTAATATGCTGGAACGCTTCTTTAACAGCCCCGTGCTGTCGTGCGCAAGTAGTCCACCAGGGTTTATACGACGCTATAGGCGCTTGCGCTTCCGATAGACAGATTATATTGTTTTTATCTGTTTCAGAGAACAAACGACAGACACAGGCATAGCACTACTTACAACTAAACTTTATTGTCGTTGTCGCACAATATATATACTGGCGCCAACAAAGACAAGTTAAGAAAGATATACAAATACACATTGCAGCTAAAAGGCTAAAATTGTGACATTACTCATCACACCAGCTGAGATATCCAGGCAAAGATACGGAGGGTGTGCTGACACACTGCAGCCCCAATCTACAAATTTTTTGGGCCTCAAGTATTTCTCGAGTGATTTTGTTTAGTACAGCACAGTCAGCAAATAATGGAATGGAAAACCGATACAACGTAGATAGCGTCGTATCAGTGATCAGTACATCTCGGTGTGCACTGCCGAGATTGTGGCTGCGTTCCACTATTTGCTGACTGTGCTGTACAAAACAAAAACAAAATCCCACGAGAAATACTTGAGGCCCAAGAAATTGGTAGACTAGGCTGCAATGTGTCACCATGCCCTCTGTGTCAACCAGGGATGAGGATGACTAGTGACTAGTCTGAGATGGTCTGATGAATGAGGTCACAACTTTAGCCTTTAATAATGTGTATTTGCATATCCTTTTCAACTTGTTTTTTGTTGGCGCCGGTATATATATTGAGCGACAAGAAAAATAAAGTTCAGTTGTAAGTAGCGCTGTGTCTGTGTCTTCCTTTCTGTCTGTTGTCTTGTTGCACTTTGTAACCATTATGAAGATTATGAATCACTAACTCACATAAAAACTTGATCTCATGAAAAATTGCAGCGTAACAGTGTTCCGTGCTTTGTCCTATTTGTTTATTCTTTCATGTGTAAATTCTGTCGTTTCTCATTTCATGTTTACTGTAGTGCAAGCATGAAAAGTAGGCACCTTTTATGGGAGCGCTTCTTCAAGGATAGCACATTTTAGGGGCGAAGCTCCTTAGGGTCAAGCCTTGTCCGTCCGGCGTCCGTGCTATCATCGATCTTGCTGGTGCTCATGTAGGGCAAAAAAAAAAAAAAAAATGTTTGCGCAGTCGACAGGATTCGCACCTGTGCGGGGAGACCCCAATGGATTTCTAGTCCATTGCCTTAACCACTCGGCCACGACTGCGAAACGAGTAGGGGGCTCCGAGATGTGGTGGTAACTCAAGAGCTGGGGATGTCATGGATAAAACCACTGATCTCTATGGATGAAACGTTGCATGTAGCCGCTCAACGTCTATAGAGGAGGGAGCGCTGCGGTCAAATGCGTAAATAATCACGTTAAACTTCGCATGCGTTGGCTCAACGTTTATACACGAGAGGGCGCTGCGGTCAAATGCTCAAATGCGTATATAACCACGTTCCATACCACACATTCTCTTTCTGACATGGTGAAAACGAACGAAAGGCTCGGCAGGCTGCGGCTCAGTGTCTACGCAGACAAGCACCACCAGAGCTTTGCCTCAATCAACGTCATTCACCACGTGGAGATGCAGTAGATTTTTGTTTAGTATGGCAGTGTACCATATTAGGCTCCTAATAATAAATTGCCATGGGTAAGAAAAAAAAAAGAGGTATATTTTTATTTTTTAAATTGCAGACAAAATACAGGGAAATATGTAGGGTGTCTGCAATTAATCTTAGCGCTGTAAAACATGCCGGAAAAATAAGCGCCTGCACAAAGACGGCTCGAACTTTCATCGAAGGTGCATTTAGATGGTACATCTTACCTTGTTAAATTTCATGTCAACATGTTTGCAGACGAGAGTTAACAGAGTTTCTAACTTGTGGCGCCATTTCCCGATAAGCGCAGCGAGCAAATGATGCACTCTTTCATCTGCTCGCTGTGACTCCTGGGAGATGACGCCACAAGTTACAGCCACTTGTTGACCTTACAACCACTTCTAACTTGGTTGTCTGCCAACATGTTTGTTGGTCTCACTTTTCACAGAAAGGTAGCTACACCTCAAAACTTCACCACATAATATGTGCCACCGAAATGCATATTCGATGAAAAGCTTGGGCTTTCTATGTGCAGGCTTTAATATCTGTTGTAGACACCCTATTTATCCACGTAAATAAGTATAGCCGAATCCTCTTCCAAAGGAACAGAAAACAGAACTGCTTTGAAACCATAAATCAAGGAAGTATGACATCACAGCAGGCACGTAGCCGGGGGGGCCCATAGGGCCGCCCCCCCCCCCCCCCTCCCCCCGAAATCTTCCATTTTGCCGAGACCTCCTCTCCCCCTCCTCCTCCTCCTCCTCCTCCTCCTCCTCCTTCCCCCCCCCCCCCCCCACCTCCCGAAACAAAATCCTGGCTACGTGCCCGGAGTAAATGAAGCCAAAATGGAATGTCCTCTCGTAGGTGCACAAACTGAAATAAATATTGGACATTGAAAAAGCCAAATCATGCATTGAATAGTTCAACTAGCACCGCTGACTCTCTTCAAGGACTTGTCTCTAACCACTTTGTACTTCAGCAGCTGGGAATACTTTTTCAGCAACTGCAGCCAGTAGCACATAACGTCTTCCATGGTCAGGTGCTTCCAAATAAAGTCGTACCCTCGCTCCGCCATCTCCCGCACGACCTCGTCATTTTCGCGGGCGAACTCCAACAAGTCTTCGACTTGGGACAAGTCCGTACCCACCGGAATATAGTGGACCCACGGCTTCAGGCGCGGGTAAAAGAACTCCAGCCACTCGTGGCCCACGTGGAAGACGACTGACTTGCACAAAAACAAGTGTTTGAGTCTGAAGCTCGCCGCAACTCCCCTGAAGTTGAAGAGGTACTTGAATTCACAGTGGTCCTCGAACCTAACTTCCTTAGCGGCAGGGAGTCCCAGTGTATCTTCGGCCGACTTCCAGGCCTGGTTCTTGGTGTACTGAGCGTCCACAAGGTGGGGCTTCTTCCTGGACAGCAGTATCAATGGATCGCGCTCGTCGCTCGTGCGCGAACCACGAAAAAATCCCACGTCCCTCTTTTTGCTCCAGGGCCATTTCTGGTTCGCCGTCTTAGAGATAATCCCCCGCTGCAAATCCCACCTGCCGATCCCGGTGGGATAGAGGCTTATCGCGGGTCCTCCGGCCCAGAATGTCCAAGCAGGGTACATGATGTCGGCGTAGTCTGGCGTCTTGCTGAAGGAGAACACGGGCAAGGGATCATAGCGCTTGTGTGCTTGCGGCCAGTCACGGGTGTTCACTATGAACTCCAGGTCCGGGAGTTCGTCGACGATCTCGAGGAGAAAGTGCTCGATGCCGCTGCACCTAAAGGGAAATAAACAGTCTTCACCCCGATAGAGTTTGTGGTTGATGATTTGGTAATGGATGCCTCTCGATTTGGAGCGCTGGACGAGGTCTTTGGTGATACCAGACTCTGACCAAAGTTGGAGGTCGTCGTCAATCACCGCTGAGTGGCACGAGCAGGTCTTTTCGTCATCTTCGCAAGGGACGTAAGTTTGAAGGCTGTCGTTGATGTTCCGGAGGTAAGAGGACCAGCGGGTGTTAGCGGCCTGCGAGTATTTGTTCTCGGTGGCGGTTTCGGTGCCGCAGACTTCGCCGTCGGCGTTCTTCATAGAGCAGTCGCATGAAGTGAACTCGGCCGTGAGAGTGACCAGAAAGACGGCGATCATTTGTGCGTACGCTGAACAAACCTTCATCGCGAATTTCATCAACCTGGACCTGATGCGACGGAAAACATCCCAAAAAGCGGCGAAAAACTCACGCCAACTTGAAGTTGTTGGATCGGATTGGAATGGGAATGGGATTAAGGACTAACGACTGAAACTTTAGACCAATTTAATCTCAATGTCACACCAATAAACTTTAGTGTAATATTCAATTTTTAAACTTAAAATTTAAATTAAACTTGACGTATAACATTTTAAGGACAATTTTTTTCTGTAGATTATAAACGCGAAAATGGGAAGTGATAACCGCGACATGGGCGACACGCAGCAGCGCTTGCCTGACCTAGACCCTTTTAACAGCACGTTGCAGTGTGTCTGGTGCCGAAAGCCGGTATGTCTTCACCTTTTCCTTCAAATACCGGTTCGTTTGCAGAGAAATGAGGCTACACTCTGTTTTCCCTTTGAGCTTGTGAACCGTACGTTCAGTCTGCACTAAATTTTCATTATGTCGCTTCGTAGTTTGGTTCTGAAAAGGACTAGCAAAACTCGAGCATCCTGGAACAAAGATGTCGTCATTTGATACCGTCAGCTCCTCGGTTTGACCATCTGTAACGGGCAGAACTGAAGTTATCGGGGTCACGCCCACGTCTTTCGTACAGACTTGGAATACCACTGGGGAGATATAATGAAAGGGGAACCGTTAAAGCTTTTGCTAACCTCCGCTTTATTTCGTTAATTTTTTTTCAGACCTCGACAGAATCGAAAATGGCACAGCACCTCGCTCACGATTCGGTCTGGTTGGACAAATACAAGTACGACGACGCTGAAAAGCAGTACTTGACCTATCTTAACAGGGACCAGATTGCTCAGGTATGGATTTCGAAGTCGTCCTCGTTCTAACTGGCACTCCAGGTTTCAACGATGTTGATCTGTCCAACAATAGCTACAGCACTTTATGACCCTGGCGCGCTTGAGACTGTTGAAGTGGTGCTGTTAATTACAAAGGAGCTTTACATAGACTTTTTAAGTTGTCGTTTCGCCAAACCAACTTTGAAACGCAGTTCTGTACGCTGGACTCCGTGCCTGATCACATTGGGTTGTACTGTTTAGTCGCCTTCGCCGAGTTACGATTTCTTCGAATGTCCGAAACCAAAAGCTTCGTCTAGAACGACAGTCCAAAGGGGCTGCTTCCCCGCGTGAAGCAGTCGGGATCGCTGTTTTCGTGAGAGTTCGGACAACATACGAAAGAGTTTAACAAAGCACCGACGTTTCTGAGACGTGCCCGTTTCTTCCTCCTCCAGGCTAAGACATCGTCCCAAAGCTCACTAGTCGATAAAATAGCCCAGGCTCGACTGCAAATTAAAAACTCTCTACAGTCAGTGAGTAAATGCTCGCTTACCTCATCCATTCCCTTTGCTTGATTTTTTTTTTTCTCCCTTGTTTTTTGGTTATGGCAGCAGAGGCTGCTGCAGTAGTATTTTTGAAGCACGGTTGTTCTACTACCGTTGTTGACGTGTGGAGGTTGTAGGGCTGTAGGTCGACAATACCATTAGATGCCTCCTCTCCCTCAAACCCCCTTGATCAATCTTGATCGTGCGGCGTCTCACTGCATTCTCTGCAATTCGTTCGTTCGTTTGGTTTGCCTGTGCTCCCTTTGCGCATGTTTTTTTGCCTCTGCAGTCGCCCTCGAGTTCTTGCGCATTGGCTCCTTTTAACAGTTTTGAATCCAGATGGGGGGTGCCTATGGGCTTTGTTTCTTGCTGCCAACTGCATGTTGCTCTTGCACCAAGGATTGCTGTTGCTTCTGTGACAGCTATTGCTTCAAACTAACTGCATCCCTTTGGCTGTGCCCGTTTGCCACTGATCTCACTTGTTCTTTTATTTGATATGATTTACCTTTCTCACTATACACACTAAAACTTTGGATATCCAGCCATTTGTGCAAGTATATTAGTGCAACTAATCTAGGTGCTCAAGTTGCTAAATTTCTGCTCGAGTACTGGCATATGAAGCACCACTGAAGGCAGCCCGAGCTAGGGTTATGTGATTGCTGCTCAAGTACTGGCATATCAAGTACACTGAAGGCAACAAGAGCTAGATTTGTGCAATTGCTGCTCAAGTACTGGCATATGGAGCACCACCAATGGCAGTAAAGGCCCGTTCACACAGTTGCGTTCGGAGCGACCACTACGCTTACGAACGAATGCAACCGGTTGGAGCGACAAGTTACCATAGCAACGAAGCGCCAAACGGTCGTTTCGTTCGTGTTCGTTCGCAACGCAAGGAGTTGAGCCGGGCTGAACTTTTTCGTTACGTTCGGGAATGACGGGAGCGACAGACCAATCACAGGTCGAGGAGAGCTCGGTCGCGCGCGTTGCATGCCGGTCGTGCCAGGATCCTTCTATTTGCAAACATGGCGTCGGTGGTGATCGTCGGCAGGACGGTGTGGTGAAGGTTCATCGTTCCCCGTAAAAGGGCTATCCTTGACTGTGAATTTTCGTCGTGTGTCGTTAGTATAACCCAGCACGTACTAGAAGGGAAGATCCACCTACTTGTGCGGCGATCTCGTGGCGGCACTCTCAAGACAGCAGAAACGCCCGTGCCGTCATGTTTGTTTACTTCGACTACAGTGGTTCTTTCTTAGCATTTGTGTCCTCAAACATCACCCGGATTTCTTTTTTGGCGCATTCCTTGCGTGTGCTCAAGTTCAAGGTATTACTGGTGCGTACCGTACAAAGGATGCGAATTTTTTACTCGTTTTCATCGCCCGAAAAAGGTGATTAGTGTTAGCAATCCTGAACGCTCGCATCGTCTGTCACATTATATTTGTACGTTGCTATATTGTTGCTAAGATTACATCGTCTTTTATAATCGTAAAAAAGGCGTGTGGCGAGATTTGTACTGTTGGCAAAGTCGTGTATTAAAGTCGTGATCGTCCAAGACGGCGTACTGCATCTTTTTCTTTTTTTAATGCACTACCCTGCAAGCGTATCCTGAAATAAAGAGTAATAAAGCTTGAGGTCATAGAAGACGGTCTGTCTATTTTCTGTTACGCAAGTGAGTGGCAGCGCGTCCCCTTCTTTTTGGAGGCACCGCTGAAACAGCTGACGGCAACGGAGAGGCGGTCGCCGTGCTGCCGACCCGCTGCGCTTGTTGGAGTGGTAGCAGGAGTGTACGCGCGGCGCAGAGCGATCGTTCCGGTCGCTCTGGTCACAACGGACGCAGTCGCGGATAGTGGGTTCGTTCTAGATGTCTGAACCAGCCTTTACACAGCTATTGTAGGCGCAAAGCAGATCTTCGTGACTGTACGCCGTAGCCGAACCCTCGGGCTGCTCCGGTGAGGACCCCGCTACCCCGCGTCGGGCTCGAAACCGTCCGCCATGTTTGTAAGCGTAGCTGGGTCGCTTCCTATTGGCTAGGAGCAAGAGCTGAAGCTCGTTTCTCATTGGCTGTTGCTTCGTATGGTTGCATGCGGTTGCATGTGTGTGTACACGTCGCGCACAGTTGTCGTTAAAGTCGCAGCGGTTGCATTCGTTCGTAAGCATAGTGGTCGCTCCGAACGCAAATGTGTGAACGGGCCTTAAGAGCTAGGCTTGCACAATTCCTTAAGTACTGGCATATGAAGCACCACAGACGGCACCACAAGCTAGGATTGCACAGTTGCTGCTCAAGTACTGCTCAAAATAAAGCGCTGGCGAAGGCAACCTAAGCTTGAGTTGCCGAATTACTCACATGTGAAGCACCGCCAAAAGCTAGTTGCACAATCGCTGCTCGCGTGCTGGCATACAAAGCGCCATCAAAGGTAATACAAATGTGCTGGGTAGTGGGGCAACCAAAATAGGTTATTATCTTTTTGGTGACTGAACGATGTCACCAGCCCAATCCTTGCCTCACTAAATGCTCCTTGCCTCGCCCCGCAACCCCGTTCCCTCCCTCCACAGGTCAAGTAAGTCAGTGCTTGCATCAGGGATCTGCCGTTGCGGTGGGTGGGGGGGACTCTGCAACAAAAGCCATAACCACTCGCTCGTTTGCACGAGAAGCTCGCAGCGGGAAAGCGGGCAAGGCTGCTAACGAGCTCCGCTTTCCGACAAGCCTTTCCCAAGCGAGGTTGAAAAAGCCCGGGCACGGGGCCGCCGTTCTTGCAGGGCGACACGCTGGGAAAGTGCAGCGGCAGCTCCCAAGACGACGGATGGCAGAAGAAGCTGCTTCAAGAGCACGCAGAGCTTAAGAGCGGTGAGTCTGGATGGTTTCACGGGTACAGTCGTTCGAAAGGATGTCGGCAATTCGGTTTGTTGTCCCGTTGACGTTCCAGCTCTCCAGGACATTGTGAACGCCGTGCGTAAGATGGAAGCCCGTCTTTCTGAGCTGGAAAGGGTGTGCCCCGCTGGAATGCAGAAGCCCAAGGAAGCTGTGCCAAAGGTGCGCTAGCCTTTGTTGCCATCCATTAAAACTCGCCTTTGCTGTCGACCAGTCAAATCAACTGTCTCGGACTGACCTTGGTTTTAACGCAGAATAGTCGGGTTTTGTGAGATAAACGACGCATTGCGCTTGACCGACACCCTGGTCAAGGTCATGTGAACAGTTTAGGGGCTAAGACGTCTAAGCAGTATCGGCATGCGACATCAAGCGTCTCGGAGTTTACCAGTACGATTGAGACATGCTTCGATTTTTGGTCGCAGAAGGCTACAAACCATGTGCCTGCCAAAAAGGAAGCGGAGGAGGAGGAGGACGACGACGTGGATCTCTTCGGTTCGGAAGAGGTGAGAATGGTTCTGGCGACTTCCCTGTCAGAAAACTAAGTCGACTCTTCCGCCAGGACGAAGAGGCGGATAAGGCGAGGGAAGAGCGTCTGAAAGCCTACCACGAGAAAAAATCCAAGAGTGAGCTTTGTTTCTTTCGCACTTGGCCATCAGTTTCGCAGTCGCAAACGCGCATGCGGCACACCTCGTTCTTGACGAGTCACCTAACGCGTTTGGTGTGTTGCAGAGCCCCAAGTGGTCGCCAAGTCGAGCATCGTGCTGGACATCAAGCCGTGGGACGACGAGACCAACATGAAGTCGATGGAGGTGGAGGTGCGCAAGATCGCCATGGAGGGCCTCATCTGGGGAGTCTGTAAGTGACTGCCGTCACCGTTCCGAGAACCCTCGAAACCCCAGCCTCTTCCACCGGTTTTAAAGTGACAGCTTTATACGAGAACCCCGCGTAAACTTTGCTTTCTCGTGTTGGTCGCACAGTACCACGGCGACGGGAGAGGGTGCAAGCAACGAAGCTTAGCTGTTGGTTTGATGGTAGGGCGCATGTGGTTGATGGCGTGGCACCGTGCGGAGTAGGGGTAATAATCGGTGCGCTACCACTTCCCCTTTTCGCTGTATAGGGGCGGGGGCTGCGTAACAGGGTAGCAACTGTGTATTAACTCCGTTTCACCGTAACTTGGCAAAGGCTACGGACCCGGCGAGCCAATCGGTGCATCGGAGGGAGACGCAAGACCATACTCTTCCAACTACGGTGGTCGTGCACAGTGCTGTCAAAGACAGATTGTAGAAAGAGGAAAGCCGCTTTTGTGAGAATTTTGAGCGGCGGCCCCATCTTCTGGGGGAGTATAGCAGCGTCTGGGACACACAAGAGGGTCTGGGTAAAAGGGGAGTTCCTTTTTCTCTTCTTCTCAAACTGCTTTGGTTATGCACTCGCCCCTGCGCCTTTGGTAAGGGCCGTCACGTGCTTCACCAAGTTACAGTGAAATGAAGTGTAGTGGAATTTTCTACTAGGGGCACAAAGGCACTTATCGTACGCGCGGCGACATTTCGAAGGAAATAGTGCGGTGCCCTCCAAGAAGTGCGTAGACAAACAGACGTCTCTTACACATTCACAATTCCTTCACCGTGTGACACGTTGCATATCATTCCGACAGGAAGAGCTGGTAATTAAGAAAAGCTCAGGTGCTGTCACACCTTCGTTTCACTTAGCGGAACATCCGAGCTGGACGTTCCCCAAAGTGAAAAGGCAAGCCGGGCAAGCGACATGTTCATAGGTTTGTTTTGCGGCGTTTCGTTTCAGCCAAGCTCGTCCCCCTGGCTTACGGGATACAGAAGCTGCAGATTGTGTGCGTCGTAGAAGACGACAAGGTCAGCATCGACGAGCTGCAGGAGAAGATCGAAGCCATAGAAGAACTGGTGGGTTGCACGACCTTTGAGTTTTCGGCTTCAGCATTGATTGTTCCGTGGATGATGTTTCCAACGCCGAACGTGTTTTTAGGTCTGGCTCCAGAGCCTAGAGTATGGCGAAACATTGTAGCAAAAATATGATAACGCGGTCAGTCGTCCTTTTTAAAAAGGCAGGGATCCAACCACCGACCTCTCACTTCGTATTCAGACAGCGTATTTTCTGCGCTAGCACGGGGACTTTCTTTAATTAGCACGCATAGTTCGAGTTGCTATGTCTTGGCATTACTATAACGAATGGTTTAAGATTGGGTGTGCATGTCCGCAACATAGTTAAAAAAAGCCAATAGAGTTGAACCTCGATTTAACAAAGTCACCGGGACCCACTAATCACTTCGTTAAATTGGGAACTTCGTAAAATCGAGGAAGAGAGACCTCGCGCATAGGCTGCGCGGGGAATCCGAATTTGTTCGTTAAATTGGGAAATTCTTAAAATCGGGTTTCGTTAAATCGAGGTTCAACTGTAGTAGATTGGGCTGTCTCCGCAGATCTCCGAAGCACGCCTACGATGAAACAAGGTTACTGACGTCTAAAACACTTGTCAGACCTTTATTCGAATGTGCCTCAGGAGTTGGGACCCTTATGTGATATACTTTGAAAAGGAATTAGAAAGAGTTGAACGTCTTGCTGTATGCTTTTTTTTTTTCTAAATATTACCGACAAGATGCCCCTAGACAGCTTGTTTTGCAGCCCCCGTCGCTTATCGGTAGACGAAAAGTGAGGTGTGTAAAACTTCAGTACATGGATCTAACTGACCTACCAATAAATCATCTCATGTCATACTTCATCACTCCAGAATTTAAAGAGTGTTGTGGCTTGTAGTGAGCCAGAGCAAATTATTTTCTTCATTGAATGCTGTTTAGCTGTAGAGAAATGTGATCTGCACACGTATGAATGGGTCTGCTATTCTTTTTATACCAGTGTGTTTGTAGTGTTCTTTATTTTTCTTACTCCTATGAGAGCCCTAGTAAAGTTATGTAAAATAAAAATGTGTGCTAGTGTTGGTGCACAAACTTTGCACCTCCCCAGTGATAGGGAAGCTCAAAACATGCGGCGCATTGTTTACCCTTTAATAGAAATGCATTAAAAAAATTTCTTTCCGCTTGTTCCGCAGGTGCAAAGCGTGGACATCGCCGCTTTCAACAAGATCTAAGTTAACGGTGTGGAAACTGTCGTGATTGAATAAAGATTGGTTCTTTTTTGCACTCTGTTATCGGAGGTGTTCTGTCTACCGGGGACTGCACACATGGACGTTGAAGGGTACAGAGGCTGTAAGCAGTGGTGCTCTCCGAGATGACTTCAGTGCTTCATCAGGATGTCGACAAGGGGGGCCCACATTATTTTAAGAGGCCATGTGAAATGAAGTATGTGCAGGGGAACATCTACAGAGGTGGGTTTGTATTTCGAGCTACAAACTGGGTGGCCAAGTTTGACTGGAAGGGGAGTGGAGGCACATTTAAAAAAAGATGAATGTCCACGTAACGAGAATTAGCTAGTGTTGTCGAATCAGGTAATTTCTTGTATTGGGGGGGCCAAAACTTAGCTCTGAGGGATAAAATATAATCGGAACACATTTTTAAAGTTGAAGGCGTGTTCGGAGTTATACCTTTTGTCCCTTGGAACTATGTTTCCCGCCTACATTTTTAAAAATTGTTCAGAAATGATTTCAGTGGTTGTGGCTCATTGCTTTAGTTTGAAATTAATGGGAATTATGGTAAAGAAGTACACATAAAAGTTGCATTCACCGGGAGGAAGTGAAACATGATTGGGAAGCGTTTTATGCTAGGGTGCAGGCAAGATACAAGGACAATGTGATATGTGACAATATATTTACAAAAAAAGTTCAATGACACAATGTTGTATACTACAAAGTGGAAAGCTCTTGGTCGGTGATTCGCATTCCAAAACCTATGTGGTCGGGTAGCAGCACGTGGAGTAGTGCGCATGATTTCATGTACAAAAAGTGCACCCCATGGGCTTGTCTGTTTTCGGCATCTCCTGCACCAAGAAGGCACTGCCCTTGTGACTCTCCAAAAAAAAAACCTTGTAGGGGTTGCACCAGCTTTCAGCGGCACAAGGTATCTAATAAAAAGAAGTGTCGCCGCTTGTCAGGATATTTTTTGGAAGCTCGTCTCGGGTTATTCTCTCTGAAACGGGTGCTTTTTGTACTACATTCAAGCTGGCTTTGTTTCCATAACTTAAGTAATGATAGTAATTTGTAGCGCAAACGCGGTTGACACAAGTTGCAACTGTTTTCGTTGCAAACAATTGAAATCGGTTCGACTTCGGTCTTTGAGGTGCCATGAATGTAACGCGTCGTGAAACGAACGTCCCAACACATGCCCGTTCACACATACGACGCAACTCTAGATGATATTAAGTCCGCAGTAGAAATGGTGCACAACCCGAGCGCTTGTGCAGTGCTGATATTGCGCAGTGCTGGCAGCACTACATCACTGCTAACTGTGTTGAAGGTGGCACCATTAGTACCGTTTCTTTGGCATTGATTCGGCACTGAGCTAGTGCTGGGGTATATGTTTAAACTGGCCCTAATAAAAAAAAAAAAGGTGCAAAAACTTATTGCTCTTAGTTCGGCCCAACCGACTTTGCCACGTCTGCACCCTTCCCACTGGCTAGCAGCCATTCTGACGAAAACGCTTGGCAACTTCCAACGCTTCACTTCGTGCCCCGCGTGGGAAAGTTCTTCAGCCGTCTTCCTGGCTCGCACTTGTGGCCAGCACGTAAAACAGCAAGTCAGTGGGACCCTCCTGCTGTTCCTCCTGCTGAAGAATCGTTCCGTCGTCCAGAAGAATCGCTCCTGCAAATTGGGTCACACTTTAGGTAAAAGGCTTGGCGGGGACAAGGCTCGGTTCGAATGGCGAAACTTCACGGCTCGGGGTCTCTGGCTAGAGTTGTAAATTTTGCTGGCTGAGAAGTACTGCAGTAAGTGCTACTACGAAAAAAAAAAAAAAAAAAAGGCCTTTTATTATTTATTTATTTATTTATTACAATACCCTCATGGCCAAAAGGCATTACAGAGGGGGTGGGGCAACCAAAAAATGAAAAAAAAAAAGGGTACAAAAAGAGAGCAAACACAGCCGAGAATAAACATCAACAGCTCGAAACACAGCACTCTGGTCAAAAAATAAACAAAAGGACAATCACGACAAAAGGTGAGCAGATAAGGTTTTTTTAAATAAATCAATTGAAGGTATATTAACAAACGAAGCGGGAAGGTGGTTCCACTCAAGAGATGTTTTTGGAATAAACGCGTTCAAAAAGGCTGATGTGTTACAATGAGGGACACCAACTTTGAATGGATGATCAAAACGCGGAGAAATGAATGGGGGCTCAAGGAATAGTTTATCTTTCAATGACGTGTTAGAATGATAGATCTTGTAAAAGAGGCACAAGCGCGATATTTTGCGACGTAAAGAGAGAGAGGGTAGGGATAGACTGAGTTTCATGGAGGAAACGCTTGCTGTACGATGATAGTTAGAAAGTATGAAACGAACTCCGCGATTTTGCATGGCTTCCAGGTTAGTTATAAGTGTCGAGTGACCGGGATCCCAGATTGCAGCAGCGTATTCTAATTTTGACCGGACCAGGGAGTTATAAAGCAGTAATTTCAAAGAAACGGGGGCCAGTGTAAAATTTCTTTTTAGAAAACCGAGCATAGAGTTAGCGTTAGCAATAATGTGGTCAATGTGGGTTTTCCATGACATGTTATAGGTAATATAGACACCCAGGTATTTGTAACAGGTCACAGACTGAAGTTGAGTGTTACAAATTGAGAGAGGTGGAAGAACCGTGTGACGACGAGAAACTCTCATAGACTTGCACTTGTTAATGTTAAGGGACATCTGCCACAATTCACACCATTGGGATACAGCACACAAATCATTTTGGAGGAGGAGTGAATCGGATTCATTAGTAACTTCACGATATATCACACAGTCGTCGGCAAATAAGCTAATAGAAGAGGATACACACGTAGGTAAGTCGTTAATGTAAATAAGAAACAATAAGGGCCCCAGAACGGACCCTTGGGGGACACCGGAAGTGACTGGACTTAGAGAAGAGTTAGCATCATTAGTATACACAAACTGAGAACGATTAGTAAGAAAACATTCAATCCAAGACAAAATATTAGGATCAATATGCAAGTGACTGAGCTTGAAAAGTAAAAGTTTGTGAGAGACTTTATCGAATGCCTTACAGAAATCTAGAAAGACGCAATCAACCTGGGAACCACGGTCGAGGATGGAAAGTAGGTCATTAGTGAAAGTGATAAGCTGGGTTTCGCAGGACAGTGATTTGCGAAAACCGTGTTGTGATGCAGTAAAAAAAGAATTTGAATCAAGAAAGTTAGCAAGATGTGAGTAAATTACGTGCTCTAAAATTTTGCAGGGAGTACTGATAAGGGAAATGGGTCGATAATTGGAAGGGTTATGTTTACTGCCTGATTTGTGAAGCGGAATCACCTTCCCAATTTTCCAGTCGTCTGGTAAAACGCCAAGGTTAACAGATTGTTGAAATATTTTGCAAAGAAAAATGGAAATGTAATTTTTAGTTCTCTTAAGAAATTTCGGTGTGATATTGTCAACGCCACAGGAGGAAGATGGTTTTAAATCATCAATAAGTTTTATAATTCCGTCATAGTCAAAAGCAAGTGGATCCATTTGAAAAAAAACATATCTCGGGAAAGTACCAGGGTAAACAGGAGCAACATCACTAGCGAATTCTTTGACAAAATATTCATTAAAAACGGAAGCACAACTTTGACTAGGAACTATCACGCCATCATCACATGTCAGCGAAAGCACTGTATTTTTAGACCCGCTATACATATTCCAAAATTGATTAGGACTGTTAGTTAGCATAGAGGGGAGGGTTACAGAAAAAAATGTTCGCTTGGCCTCCGCGATAGCGGTCTTATAGGAACAAGCTGCTGCGCTATAAGCTTCCCATCGTTCAGAAAGTCCAGTAAGCTTGGCAGTCCGGAAAAGACGTTTCTTTTTATTAGAAAGACGCTTAACAGATCTGTTGAACCAGGGCGATAAGTGGTTAGAAATGATAGGCCTACATGGGATAAAAGAGGTAATTAAAGAGCTTACTTTGGTTTTAAACATATTCCAATTGGCATCCACTGTGCGGTGTGAGAAATTAAAAAGGAACTCATCGAGAAAAGCAGCTAGTTCGCTATTAATGGTATCGAAGTTAGCTTTATCATAATCGAGAAAATGTTTCGTGGTTTTCTTTTCAAAATAAGCTGGAAGTTGCAAATAAAAGTGCAAAATCGAGTGATCGCTAATTCCCGGTAAGTAAGTTATGGATGAGACAAGGTCTGGGTCAGTAGATAGAATAAGGTCTAATATATTGGCCGTTGTACTGGTAACTCGGGTGGGTTCAGTGACAGATTGTGAAAAGGAAAAATTGGCACAAAGGTTCAAGAACTCGGTGTAGTCAGGAGAGCCCCCAGATGCAATCGGGAACGCTCCGGACCAATCAATTAGCGGAAGGTTAAAATCGCCTAGTAATAACAAAGGGGCACGAGGAAATCTAGAAGAGATAACGTTCAGCGCGTCATACAGATCAGAAGTAAAATTTGCAGGAGCATTAGGGGGGCGGTAGCAGACACACATGATAATATATCTGTGCAGGCATCGCAAACGCACACAAACAAGTTCAAGTGGGGTGACAATATCGACATGAAAACATTCCATACTATCGTTTACTGCGATTAAAACCCCGCCACCCCGCCTATCACTCCTATTATGCCTAAAAAACCTATACCCCTTGGAACAATGAAAAATCTCGCTGTCACGAACACCGCTCGAAAGCCAAGTTTCTGTTAAAACAACAATATCACTAGATGACGCATCAATAATTGATGACAAATCGTCTCGGTTGTGAATGACGCTTCTTATGTTAGTGAAAAGAACAGAAAAGTTATTTGGAAAGGAAGTGCAGCAACGTGCTTCAGCAGATAAAACTTCCCCTAATTCCGAGGCAGCAGGTCTGTTCCCACTACGTCTAGTTAGTTATGTGGCAGCTTCGTAAACATGGCTTGTGGCATAATTAAAATGAAATTGCTTATCACCAATAACCAGTTTGTCGAACCGGAGTTTAAAAGGACTACCTTGAGTACGGGCAAATTCCAAGAGCTTCTTCCTCGCGAATTGTACATTTTTAGCATAGTCTTCACTGACCGAAACACCTGTATCTTTTAGTTTGTAACACGACCTTATAACAGCCTCCTTCTGCTTAAAAAAAGAAAACTTCACAACAATGGGCCTGTTTTTAGAAGGATTAAATCTCCCAATCCGATGGGCCCGCTCAATTGTTTCTGGGTCAACCCTTATACCAAGTTTCTCGTTACAGACTTCAAGAATCAGCCTTTCGGACTCCGCCCATGTTTCCCTCGCAGCGTCCTTCAGGCCGAAGAACAGTAAGTTAGATCGCCGCGAACGGCTCTCAGCGTCATCAGTTTGCCGCTTAAGTTGAGCGATTTCGGTTAGAGCGGACACAACTTTCGCCTCAATTTCTTTTGTAGTATTAACAGTGGATTTACATAGTGCGAGGTCACTTTCAATGATAACGACACGAGCGGTCAGTGCGGAAATCGAGTCATTCGTGCGCTTTTGTTCCTCGGTGATTTCTCTTAATTGGCTCACGATTCCTGCCTGGCCGTCGTATAATTGCGAGACAATCGACTCGATTTTCGCCAATGACTGAGCCTCGTCTTTAGTCATGGGACCAGGGTTTCGTTCAACATCGCCACAGAGTAGCAATAACAAGTCTAGAAAGCGCTTAAGACAATACCGTGGGCACGGCAGAACTACAAGACAAAGGTTATTGCTTCTTATAGAGCAGGAAAGGTTTTCCGTACTAACCTGCACGATAAACAGAAGCGGAACATTAGCCATCATAGCTGTGGCTTGCATGCCGTGCCCACTGGTCGAAAGATCCTGGAACGATGCTTTTGAAGGAAGGTAGCTTGCCGTCGATGACCATGGGGCTGTCGATTCAAACAGCAGCGGCGGGGGTAGGTGTTGACCAGTGTTGTAGTAATCATCCCCGAGCATGTCTGAAGATAGCGGAGCATTGGCGTCATGCGATAGGACCAGCAGCTGCACGATAAACAGAAGCGGAACATTAGCCATCATAGCTGTGGCTTGCATGCCGTGCCCACTGGTCGAAAGATCCTGGAACGATGCTTTTGAAGGAAGGTAGCTTGCCGTCGATGACCATGGGGCTGTCGATTCAAACAGCAGCGGCGGGGGTAGGTGTTGACCAGTGTTGTAGTAATCATCCCCGAGCATGTCTGAAGATAGCGGAGCATTGGCGTCATGCGATAGGACCAGCAGCTGCACGATAAACAGAAGCGGAACATTAGCCATCATAGCTGTGGCTTGCATGCCGTGCCCATTGAAGAAAATTTGTTTCTTGAGGGCAGCAAACGATTTAGATTTACAGGGAGGTGCTTCAGTTGTCCCGCCTCTGGTGCAAGCTGTCTACCTTTGATGGCACTTTGGTTCCTCGTGAACTTCGGGTATGCACGCGCAGTCAAAGCATGGTGGAAGGCAGCGAGCACATGCTGAAGGCCAGGCATCCAGAACGAGACGCGCCCTGCCACTCTCATTCTGTCGGTGACAACAGTATGGTCTGGCGCATTTTCTGGACTAAGCAAGTTTAAAAGAGAAAATTTTATGCATGGCTTGCACATGACGTCATCCAAAGAGCACTCCGACGGCCACCAAAGTAGAGGGGAAAAAGGAGCTCCTTTTAGGGGCGAAGCTCCTTAGGGCCTAGCTTTGTCCATCCGTCCGGCGTCCGTGCTCACATCGATTGCACTGCCTCCAGGATCGGCCCAATTTAAACAAAAAAAACTTACGCCTGCACGGGGGTTCGAACTCGGGACCGCTTGATTACGAGGCAGACGTCTTAACCATTACGCTACACTCCAACGTTACACGTAGCTACTCAACGTCTATACACGAGAGGGCGCTGCGGTCAAATGCGTATATAATCGCGTTAAACTTTGCATGCGTTGGCTCAACGTTTATAAACGAGAGGGCCCTGCGGTCAAATGCTCAACTGCGTATATAACCACGATTCATACCACACATTCTCTTTCTGACATGGACCGTTGACTTAAGCGGTGGAGATACGTTCCCAAGGCTTCTAGCGGATCCAAGCTGATTCGCTAGAAGAACCTCTGGCTCTGCATTTCACCGACCATAAAGCAGTAATAATGAAGTCGAAACGCAACCCGGAACTCAGCACTATCTATGAGAATAAAAAAAAAATCAGCACCATCAGCACTACCTATGAACAATAAAATCAGTATCATCAGCACCACCGGAGCTTCGCCCCCAGTCAACATCATTCACCACGTGAAGATGCGGCCTTTTTTTTGCTAGTACCCTCTTTTGTGTGTTTCAAATTCGCCCAGATATTGCTATTCTCCTCCTAGAAGATTACAGAAGATTGACCCCTCACTCAAAATTTCCACAAAAGCAGCTTCCCTCTCTCTCTCATGGTAGTCCAAAGTATGCGATTGGACGTCTGTGCAAGCCGTGCATGGGTATGGACTATGCAAGAATTGCTTTTTTTCTTAATATAGTTCATCATACCTAGATGTAACGGATTTTGTGAACAATGGAGCACATTAATAATTTATGTATGATACAAGCATCTTTGTAAGCTAATCAAGCGTGCATTTGTCGATGCGTACTGTGCGTAAATATTTCACGTGCGGACTATCGAAGGAAAGTTTTTTTTAACCGAAATTTTCCCTCATGGACTATATGCCAGGTGCAGGCTATTGGGGAAGTCGATTAAACAGTCGTGCTCCTAGTGGCTGGGTTGAGAGCTATACCCGTGAAAATGATGACGACGACACATGCTAAAACAAGCTGGACAGGGCAGCCCTAGGGAGCCTTCATGTGCGCTTTGCTAGGGTGATGCCACCCTTTGTAATACCACTTGCCGACAATCCAGCAGCCATTTTGGTTCGCGGCGATAATCCGTGGGGCTTATAACCCTCCCGGAAACAAGCACCTTATCTCGCAAGTTTGGAGCAGCATTGTGGAACCCACGGAGGGAGGATTAGGATATTCGCCCTCGGATGCGAGGACCGATGGACACAAAGGCCACTTTCCGGCGCACGGGGAAACAATGAGAGGAACAAAATGGCGGTGGAAGAGGGTGTTGGAAAGGGAAACAGGCAGTTGACATCACTCTATGCGAAGCGCACATGAAGGCACCCTAGGCAGCCCCTTTGGTTTGATCTCATCAATAGTTTGAAAAAATGTGGAAAGTTAACGATAGCCTAAGTTGACGATACATTGCTTACCTACACCCAGACCAAGATTATAGAAAGGCAAAAGACGACAAACGGAAAACACCTACCGTGAGACATGGTCTGGTCGGGCAGCCCCCCGGTCTCGTAGACCACCTGCGCCCCGTCCGTGACCTCCTGCCGTGCCACCACGAATCGGGGCTCCTCGTAAGGAATGCCCTCCGCCACCGAGGCCAAAAAAGCCTCCTGCGTGGCCGGCGCACTCTCCGTCGGCGGCCGCTCTTGGCCGGCCGTCGCCCGGTCCTCCATCCCGTACATCGGGACCGTTACGTACTGTCCTTGGGCCGCCGCTTCTTCTCCAGCCTGCTGCATTTGTCGTAACGACAAGGTGGGAAGCCGGCGTAAGTGCGGGCGCTGCGTTTCATTCTTTTTTGTCGAGGCTGTTTCACATTTGCGTTTGCGTGCGACTGAGTGTTGTGAACGCTTGTAACCAATTATGACGCGAGAAAGTGCTGGCAACATCTCTTGGGTGGCCCTGGAACCGTGCACAACTAGACTGAAGGTTTCGCGGTACTCGCATGATCAAATCTGTGCACTCTCTACGAGAACTAGCCGCTTATGACATCGTCAAAAGTAGTTCGAGCCGACGACGAAAGAACGACGCCTAATATACACCCAGATCGGAAGTGTTCCGGGGCTAACCCAACGGCCGCTTCTGCGGTCACGAGCAGTCAACCACACTCAAATGCAAATGGGTGGACCGGCCCTCATTGCGGGAACTCTAAGAAACAGCCTTTAGCGGCGTGGCAGCGGTCGTTGAACCTAAAGAACCTTAATAAAACCAACGCTTCGCGTGTCTTACAGGTGACGACAACCATTGTTGTGCGGATGTTACGGGACTCGAAAAAGTCCCACGTAAGAACCTGTTGGAATCAAGCAGCCGACATGACCTTCACTATACTGTCGTGTCTCCGCAATGTGGTCACCTTACTATACCCCCGAGAGCAAACACAAGCATCGCTGCGGTTGCCGTGCCCCGATTGGGTGAGGTGTACCGTGACGACAGGGAAAGGACTCCACTTCGCTATTTCACACCTGGCTCACTTCCCTGCCGTTTCCCGTTTCCTGGTTTGCAATCATGCTGACTGTTCAGTTCAGTGCTGCAATGCAAATCCCGCAAAGAAACCGGTATCAGCTTCTACCACCCGAAGACATTGAGGATAGAAAAGGTACCGTCAACGTCGGCCGTTGTGAGCCGCAAGCACTTGGAGGAGCGGGACTTCGTTTACCCGGTGTGCAAGATGCCGGCTAAGACTGATACCAATGTGCTTCTGCACCTTTCCTAAGCGTGCTTGTCACTTTTACCTTTTTAATAAGGTTAAAAGTACCGAAAGCTGTCAGCGGAGGCAATTCCGCCGATGAACCTCCCCGTCTGTCCACACGACACGAGGCGATCGTGTGCGAGGGGTGGGGGAAGCGGGGGTGTAAGCGTTTCAGACGCTGAAGTTCCGTTCCTTGCATGTTCACGAGTTAAAAGAATGTTAGACCTCGCTTTGCAGGCATTTCGAGTGGCATTTATGTCGAAGGCCTTTAGGCGGTCGGCATATTAGCTCGCGACCCAGACTCTGCCCGTGTCACTCTGCGTGCGCCGGTTCGGAGACACTTTTAAAGGGGCCGTGAAACGTCTTTTCAATTTCTTCCTCCTCAACTCAAAAGCAAAATGAGAAATCAAGTAGTTGTGACGCGCCTGTGGTGCACAAGCTCGCACCACACTTTTTAAGCACAACGTAGAACTTGTCATTCGCAAGTGAGGATAACTGCCGTCACGGCACTCGCACTGGCCATGAACGCAAATCCAAATGTTCGTCGACGGACTGATTGTTGACGAAAGCGTACGTCTGAGTGACGCAGCACTCATGTCCAATGCATGAGCTGGGGCAAGCTAACATGCTTTGGGGCTTTGGATACCGCAGATGTATAGCAGTGAAAAGGCGGAGAGTTTTCGAAGAAAAGAAAATATAGAATAGTACGCTATACTTTGAAATTTTCGTAGCGAAAATAAGGTTTTTGACTTTCTACTATCATTCTTTTGGCCGACTAAGTAATCTGTAAGGTGACCATCCGTCCCGCGACTCGCGGGACTGTCCCGCTTAAGCGCACATGTCCCGCGTCCCGTTTGAAATTCCCAAATCTTCAAAATGCCCTGCATTTCACACTGTCGTAAAATTCACTCTGCAACTCATGGTGCTGCCGAACAATGGGGCACGGGGAAGCGCGGAGGTTGCTGGTGATCGTGTGAATCGCTATGGTACACCACTTTCTATACAAGCATTGCAGGAAGCGACCGTCGTTCTTGCAGGAGAACCGACGTGCATGCGCCGTTGTGCCTCCCCCCTGGTGGCAAAACATTGTAAGAGAAAATTTCTCGCCAAAAGTTTAGACGTAAATTATTGTAATCATTTTCAAATTGCTTTGTCAATGGGAAAGGGTTGCTGTGGATAATCATTTTCAAATTGCTTTGTCAATGGGAAAGGGTTGCTGTGGAAAACCTTTTTAGTGAAGACAGCCACACAAGGCAAAAAACCTGCAACTCGCAACAGTAAAAAGAAAGAAAATGTTAAATTTGTGTAGGACCATGTTGATTAAAATAAGCGTTGACAGGAAACAATAGTCCGAAAAAGATTTACTGTTACTTATTTCCATTTGATGCATTGAGTTCTGCTGCAGTCGATTTTTGTTTTCAACTTTGACACATTTAATAACATATTTAGCACTAAAGAAAAAAAAATCACTGCGAGTGAAAATTATGTGAATATAATGGCTACTATACAATTTGCAGGTGTATAAACAGCACAGGATATTAAATGTGTTAACAGAGCCTCGGTTCATGGTGTGCACGTTAATAAGTTTCCTCTAACCCCCCCCCCCCCCGCCCCCCTCAACCCCCTGTCCCACGTGTCCCACATTTCGCTAGCAGGAAGGTGGTCACCCTAGCTATATGCGACAGGCCATACCTCATTAAAGCCACACATGAAAATTCACACTTCCTATGAAAAACGCGCACAAAAAGTAAATAGAAACGAGCGAGTCGGCCTCTGAAAATGTCGTGACAGCCTCCACAAGGCAAGCAGGCCGTGTCTCTGAAAAAGTCAGTCCTCGGCGCGACGTCATCCCGGTTCGCCGTAAGGGGGCGCCACGCAAACTTCTCGGGGCTAATACACAAAATTTTCGGGGTAAATACCTATGCACATTTTTGTCTCGTCATTTGGACAACTCGCATTATGGGCAATTCTTGCGGGTAACGTGAGACACGACTGTGACTGGCACTAAAAAAAGTCGCTCACCGCTTCGGCCATCCCCGAAACCACGAACTGCTCCGCCCCGACTTCGGCGCCATTCGTCTGCAGTCCGACCATGTCGGCTGCGGCGTCGGTCGAACCGTCCGCCACGAGGTGGTCCGGCGCGTCCACCAGGTTGGCCATGTAGGTGACCTGCTCGCTGGCACCCTCCGTCACCTCGAAGGGCATGGAGATCTCAATGGTGTCGGGGGTGGGTCCCTGCTTGATCTGCGCCCTTCCCGTCGCAATGGCCTCGCGGAGCTCCTCGCTGCTGAAGCCTTCCACAGCCAGCAGCACTTCGGAGCCTGGAAATGAGCCGGGCGGAACTGGAAATTAATCAATTGGAAAAAAACGGGGTGGAACCGGATGGAACCAGAAATGTACTGGGTGGAACACGATATAAATTGGGCAGACGTGGAAATGGATGGAACCGGAAGGAACCAGAAATGATTTGGGCAGGACCGGAAACAAACTAAGTGGAAGCCGAAAGAACTCGAGCAGAAGTGGAAACCTGGATGGAATGCAATAGAACCGGAAGGAGCCAGAAATTAATTGGGTGTACCAGAAACAAATTGGTTGGAACTGAAAATGAACCGAGTGGAACCGAAGACAATTTGCCTTCGGTTCCACCCGGTTCATTTTCCAGGAGATATGCGCTGCTTCCAATCTGAAACAAACTGGGAGGGCTCTCGAAAAATTTTTGGGAACGCCACTGGTACCGGAGAAAGGAAAGCTTTCCAAGGTTGCGTTGTTATTGTCAATTGGGGGCTGTTCTGGGCTAACACAAAATAAGAATGTAGATAAGATTTCTTCCCATAAGGCTTCGCATTTTTTCTCGAGGACAGCTCCGATTCGGGGTTTTCATCCTTCCTCGACTTCGATAAAACCGGCTCGGGCGTCGCTTTCTTGGGTTCATCGTTACATACCAGAAACAGGGAACCCTTGTTAGAGTACAAAAGGTACTTCAAAAAAAAAAAAGCTCTTCTATAAATAGTGCGCCCTCGTAGCCATCTAAAGCCACATTCACACTGCCCAAACATCATACAAACGACGTTTGTTGGAGGTTATGTCTTGAGCACATTCGACAGACCGTTTCTGTTTGAGCAGACCTTTTCTTATGGCCAATGCGACAGGGCCGTCATACAAGGAAGAAACGCATTTCAAACGGCGTCTGTAGATCGTTTTTCGTACGACGTGTCAACCGTGTGACCGCGGCTCAAGAAAGCAGCCGGAATGGGTCTTACCTTGCTCGGTCATCACGTTGGCGACGAGCGACTCTGCAATCTCCCGAGCCGACTCTGCAGCTGCGATGGCATCCGCTCCCTCGAATACCGCCTCGAGCCCTCCCGACCCGAGGTTGCCATCCCCGACGACGGACGCACGTCGGAGGCCCTCCACGGCGGCGCCGGGGTCCAAGCCGGGGTCCGCGACCTCCGTTGCCGCGATCCCTGCATCGCCCTTGAGGACCAGCATGTTGTTGAGGACCTCGGGGTTCCGCCACTGGGACTCCTGCTCGGGGTGCTTTTTGCGGAGGTGCCGCTTGAGCGAGTGCCGCAGCTTCAGGCAGAGTCCGCAGTAGTGGCACGTATAGGCCTGGTTTGAGTGGAACATGCGGTGGTGGTTGCGGAGCTGGTGTTCCTGCGTTGGGAAGGGAGGCGAGGTTTGATCCGGGAGCCGTGTCGCAGGCTCCTGGCCGGCTTCGGAGACAAGAAGCGCAGAGTGTGCTTTACGTCCGTCTGCTCATTAAAATGGCAAGTGAGGAGGGAAGGTGGTGCCGCGAGAGTCTCCTAATACTCAACATAAAACACAAAGAGTTACATTTTAGGGCTACATCTGTCGTCAAAAACACCGGCACCTGACTTTTTGGAACTCAGGTGCGCCCCACAGCACGTGCCTCTGAAGTTCCTCGAGGACCCAAGCCTCGCCAATCACTCTTAACCCTAAATAAAGTGTTCCCCCAGTTTAGGTGCTAATTTAGCATATTCGAACCACAAACTTGTGCGCAGCATAGAGCCAATTATTTTGTAGTGCGTGCATCACTGCTTTCAGAGCATAGAAGACTTGTGAACTACTTTAGTGCAACAAGGCCAAGAGGGAGGGGGAATTCCTTTCCTGCCGTTCCAGGCAGATAGGTGTGCACCAAGATACAAAACATTGCGGTGGCTTAGCTCGGCTATGCCAGGATATACGTAGCGTGAGTTTATGCACACAAAATGAGAGTTGCTATCAGGCGGCTCCGGTGCAGTGTCAGATTTGGCTACTGCACAACGGAGGCGCACAGCTGGGCATGCGGCGGCGCCAGTGCGTCTGCCGCGGCTATGACACCACTCCTCTGGAATGCGCAGACCGGCAAGGCGCGAGTGGTGGCGGCGGATCACGCAGCGGCGGTGGCTTTGGCGCGCCAAATGTGTGCCGTGTGACGTCACTGCTCCTCGTGCTTGCACAGCACAGAGCATGGCTCATTATGCGAGCCACGCGAAACTGCTCAACCTTGGCCAGTGTAGCTCACGCTACAAAAAAACTATTCCCAACTTTAGAAAAGAAAAAAGCAGCTCTCAGAAGTTGACAGTGTGTAAACCCAGGTGGCCGGATTTTCACCGGGATGATGAGAGCGAACCGACCGCAGCCCTGACAGACTTGGACAATGGGCCGACAAGGGCTGTCGATACTCTCGAACACGGTTCTCGAGCGACTTCAGTGCCGCAGAAGTGGATGTAGACTTTGGTCGTCCGGTCGTGTCGACGAGCAAAAGCGAAAACGCCAGAACAAGCCTCACCTTGACAAAAGCCCGTCCACAGATGCCGCAGGTGAAGACGCGTCCCCTGGTGTGCTCCAGCATGTGCCTGCCCAGCGACTCTCGGGTGGTGAACACCTTCTGACAGACTGTGCACCGGTGCCGTCGCTCACTCAGGTGGGTGTCCTCGTGTTTCTGCAGGTTGCCCTTCTGGAAGAACTCCTGCGGTGCATGCATGGAAAGATTGGACATTTAGGTCTTAGATGTCCTGTCCTTCCTCTATGGTGACGACACCTAGTAGTGTGCTAGCTGGAGCCACCACATTCAAAATGGTGTAACACCAGAATTTGATCTTTTCTTGCAGCCCTGCTGATGGCCAGCAAGTGTTTTTGTTCATACGATAAAAGTTAGTGCTTTGAGCCCAACAGAATGAACTCGCTTTAAAAGCCAAGAACAAATTATAGTATACATCATCTAATCTGCTTGCTAACAGGATGCAAAAGGATGCATGGTTGAAATCCAGCGGGGCATTTAGTTGACAGGTACCAGCTGCCATACTATTTACCGCCATAGAAATCGTCACCAGAGTGCTTTCATACTTATCAAGCGATAGCCCTCCAATCGGAAGCGGTGCATATTTCCTGGAGACGACGTATTATTGGACCGAGAGTATATTAAGTTTCCACGACTTCTGTTAGATGGCACTCACTTTTGGAAAGAAAGTTTGTTTGAGTGGAAATGCCTCCTAAACTCATTATTTCACCTGCACTTAAGTTTTTGAGCGTGTGCCTGGCAACTGACTGGACGAGAGTCCAAAATTAATGCTGACACAGCGGGTCAATTGCAATTCGTGCGCAAGACTGTGTTAACGTCTAGAACGCACAGGTGTCGCGTTATCTGCTTTGGGGAATGCCTTCAGCTTCTTCCTTTGTCGGACACCAAGAGGCCGCCATTAGGATGTCACAAATGGCATCCATCCAGGTTGGACTGGATTTTGGCAGCTTAACCCTTTGTATAGGGAGATCACAGTATAAAAATTACGAGATGATGATACAATAGACCATTCCAAAAATTTGTGGCGCCTCCCACCGCCTTTTTGATGCACTACGACAATCCGATGTACGACGAGCAAAAGATTACCCAGAAAAGCGGGACGATAACAAAATAGGGTGTGAATCGAAGAGCGAAAAAGTACCCGAAAAACGGGACGATGCAAAGAGAGTGGGACGATAACAGAACAGTATCGACTGTTTTGTAATTGCTTTGTTTACCTTGTGTTCTCAACTTACAGTAGTAAAAAAGAAGGAATTACACTGCTTCTAAGATGTTTGTAGCGCATCAACAGGCCCGAGCGTGCATTGAAACGGCCCCACAACACCCCTGCTGCGCGATGCAGGAAGGGGGGTCGAGAAGAGGTCCTAAGGGATTCTCTGGAAAAACAGACGTCAAATTTGGGAGTTTACATTCCAAACTGACGAAGGGCATCTGGCACGCACCGGCAGAGGACCCAGGATTATCTTCAACCACCCGGGGATCTTTCAACGTGCAATCGAAACCTGGGTCACACAGCGCCTTCTCCGCAACAGGCCTCCGTCGGATTACGGGCACCTCGACTGGGATTCAAACCCGCCACCCAAAGATCCGTAGGCCGGTGCCTCGCCTCAGAGCCACCATGGCAGCTGAGGATTTTCCGGAAAGGTCTGTCGAAGTGGCCAGATCGAATTACAACACAGGTGTGCTACAGGATGGGGCATGGCAAGGAATTGCTTGCCTTGGAGCAGACGGAGCACTTGAAGCGCTTGACGCCGCTGTGGATCATCATGTGGACGTCAAGGGACTTCTTGGTCTTGAAGAGCTTGCGGCACGTGGGGCAGGGGAACGTGGGGTCCCCGTGCACCGCGTGATGTTCCAGCAGAAGATCCTTGCGGTGGAAGCGCTTGCCGCACACGTCGCACTGGAACCGCTTCTCCCCGTGCAGGTTCCTGGGAACGGGACGAGCAGATGCGGCGACTGGGCTCTGGTACAGAGCTGCAAACTAATTCTACGGCCAGGAAGCACAAAATGCGTCCCGCACAAACCATTCTCCATGTCTAATTTGTGCTAGTGTTTTGTTTTTTAATTATCCTTTTTTTCTTATTTCAATATTAAATTTATTATATTTGCTTAGTTACTTTGGTTTGATTATTTTATTTATTTTATTTTACGAATTTATTTATTTCTTTTGCCATTTGTTTATTTCTATTATTGACCCAAAACCTGCTGCTCTCGCCGCTGCGTATGCATTCAAATGAAAATCATGTACCCCTCCAGACCAGCTGTGCCAGTTGCTCGGTGCCTATAGTACCAACAACCACACTGACCCAGGTTTGAGCCTCACCGGGGCTCAAACCTTATACCTTAACATACGTAACGCTCCCAGCGTGTCACTTGCTCATGACGCTTGTTCATGACAATTTTCTCATAGAAAACAACCCCTAAAACACTCTCAAGGATAAAAAAAAAAGAAAAGAAAAAAAGCCACAGCTATTTGTAGGGGTGTGTAAAGAAGTGACAGCGAAAGCTGTTATTGCACTTAGTAGTACCCACCTTAATGCATACTCACTTTTTATTTATTCGATCAAATACAGCATAGTCTTCTGGTCACGTACGTAGCAAAGGGAGCACATCACACACTAGTCAACGTCCCTGTCCGAGACTAAATCGAAACCGTCATCGTTGCGAGTGGCGGATTGTTCTGCATTTGATAGTACAAACAAACCGAGTTCCACCACAAGGATAGTATGACTGCGTCCCCCGTCGACCGTAAAAGCCGAAGCCACCTGGCAAAAGCCATGTGTGCACAGTACACGTCGCAGGACACCCAGAGCGCAAAGAAGATTCATCTAGCAACGGGGAAATCTACACCATGTAGAAGTTGGGCTCTCCAAAAAAGCCCAATCCATTCTTAGTCGAGCTAGAACTTCGAGGAAAACTAATAAAAAATGAAACCCGTTTACAACTCCCTGTAACGCCGGTTAGAGTGTAGCTCTTGAGGAGGAGGGGAAGGGTACCGAGGGGAAAGTATATCCTTCCTCCCTCCTCCTCAGCTTCTCATCCTGTCTGCTATTCCTCCCTCCGAGAGGCGTCGCTGTCGCCTCACGAGGGTCACATGACCTCACGAGGGTCACATGACCTCACGGGGGTCATGTGACCTCACGGGGGTCATGTGACCCCTATGAGGTCACATGACGATGACGTCATCAGTGACGTCACTGATGACGTCATCATCATCAGTGACGTCACTGATGACGTCATCATCATCAGTGACGTCACTGATGACGTCATCATCATCAGTGACGATGCCGATGCGGATGCCGATGTTGTCATTAGTGATGTCACTGATGACGTCATCAGTGACGGTGACTATGCGGATGCCGTCATCAGTGACGTCACTGATGACATCATCAGGGACGATGACGATGCGGATGCCAATGACGTCATCAGTGACGTCACGCGTCCCATAATGCACCACGCAGTTATGCCGACAGCGACGCCGCTCAAGCCGGAAACGGGCGCCTAAGAGCTGCGCTCTAAAATGGAGCTCGACACTGGGGCAACTGTTTCCATCATTGGAGAGAAGACGTTGAGTCAACAATTTTCCAGCCTTCTAAGCGAGGCTGTTAAGGTTCAACTGAGGAGTTATGCTGGAGATATGAAGCTTGTGGTCGGGAAAGTCACCGTAACTGCGAAATACAAGGACAACCACTTTGAGCTCCCACTTGTAGTTCCTCAAGGCGATACTCCTACACTGCTAGGACGTGAGTGGATGGAAGCGTTTCACGTGACTGTATTCAACGTTGGAGGTGACTTCCGCATCAACAACGTCCAACAGCTCATAAATCAACACACCACTCTCTTTTCTGATGGCCCAGGAACATCCGGCCCGGCAGCGCTAATCTTTTATGCTCGTACGTCCTCCGCGTTTAATGTACGACGCCTACCCCAGTCCCAGCTGTCCGTCCTAAGAGACGCTGTGGCGCCCATGCTCAACACTGGGATCGCAGAGGAAACTTCCCGCAGCCCTTTTTCGAACCCTGTACAAGTCGTCCTTAAGTCAGTGGCGCATACCGGATTCATCTTGGATTGCAGCCACTTGACCCCGAGCCTCCCGAGCCCAAAGTTCCGTCTCCCCCCCCTTCCAGTCGCCCTGCAGGTCTGCCCTCTGCCATTACGGCCTTTCTTTATGAAGGTAGACTGGCAAGATGTTTTCTACCACTTTAGGTTGGCAGTGACTGCACGTCATCCGACCATCTTTCGGCTGGACGGCTGCTTTTATCAGTCCACCGTCCTGCCGTTTGGGGTCAGACAAGCATCCTTTTTCATGCAGTCACTGGCCACGGCTTCGGCTCAGGAGGCTTGGGCTTACGGCCTCTGGTGCTGGGCGCACCTGGACAATTTGTTGTTTGCACGTAACGACCAGGTTTAGCTCGCGCACCAGACAAAACTTTTTTGTGATCAACTCCTGCAGTGCAGGTTCCGCAATAACGCGGACAACTCCCAGTTCGAACCAACCCCATCCATCAAGTTTCTGGGATTCTTACTCAACGCCCACACTCGCTCCATTGGTCAGACATCCAAGCACCGACAGGACCTTCTACAGCAGAGCTGTTGAGGGCTAGTTTCCCCAGTATTGTGTCCGCGGGCAAACAAATGTCGACATAAAACTCTGGCAGCTACTGCCATCTATGAGCGACAGCGGCGACCAGGCAACTAGCTTGCCGGTTGTCTGGTTGCCGCCGTCGCTCATAGATGGTGGCAACCTTTCCAGCCTTTCCACTCTGGTTCTCACCAGAGTGGAAAGGCTGAATTTTTCTAGGCATCGTTCTAAAAGTCGTCCTCGAGGACAACGCTTAGAGGACAACACCCTCTAGGCATCGTTTTCAAGGTCATCCTAGAAGTCGTCTTTGAGGTCATCCTAGACGTCATCCTAGACGTCGTCCTTGAGGTCGTCCCAGAGGTTGTCCTCGAGGTTGTCCTTGAGGTTGTCCTAGAAGTCGTCCTTGAGGTCGTCCTAGAAGTCGTCCTTGAGGTCGTCCTAGAAGTCGTCCTTGAGGTCGTCCTAGAAGTTGCCCTTGAGGTCGTCCTAGACGTTGTCCTCGAGGTCGTCCTAGACGTCATCCTTGAGGCCGTCTTAGACGTAGTCCCAGACGTCATCCCTGAGGTCGTCCTAGACGTCGTCCCTGAGGTCGTCCTTGGCATCGTCCTCGAGGCCGTCCTAGAAGTCGTCCTAGACATCGTCCTCTAGGCGTCGTCCAAGACGTCATCATAAAGATAACAGCTTCGCTGGTCTTCCATCTTCACCAGTGTGGAAAGGCTGAAAGTTCTTTGGCCACCCTTCACGTTCTCCAGACCCCACAATCCATCAAGACATACCGAAGAGTAGCCGGGCTCTGGAACTTTTACTTTAGTATTTTTCAAGGAGACTTTCATGCTATCCGACCACTGCACCTCACGGCCACAGCCGGAAGACCCCCCGACCAGGAATGACTATGTCTCTTTGCCAATACCTACACCTGTTTCCCCCGCCTGGTGCCAACGTGGCTCTCACTGCAACCACACCCAATCCCATCTACTGAAGGGAGCTCTGGGCACTTTTGATCGCCGTCCTACTTGCCCCACCAAAAACTCTGGTGCAACGTGACAACATGGCTGTTGTCAACACTGTCACTTGAGGCCACAACAGCACCTTCATACCCGCCAAGGCGCTAGCATGTACCCTGCTTTTCACCAATAAACAGAGCAGGGTGAAGTGGGTTCCGACGAGCGACAACCCTGCAGACGGCCCCTCTCGCCTCCGCCTTGCATAAACCTGGGGAGCAGGAGAGGTCGCCGCCAGGGGGCCTGCACCTATATTTATGGGCAGTCTCCTGGACATCAGGCAGTCGCTAACGAATGCCGCTCCCACCAGGCCAAGGGTTTTAAATTTATACATAACTCTAAGCATCTAAAATTGAAACTATAAATAACCCCAGCAAGACAAACTATAGTGCAAATACAACGACTTTGGTTCCCGAAAAACACGATAGATAGCAGAGCCTCCCAGAGTGCACGCAGTTTCGCATTTAGGCGAAAACCTTCAAATGTGTAAATGTTGTTCGGCAGTGACCCTAGGCTTAAAACCCAATCTATTCCATCTTCGGCAAGTAATACTTAGGTGGGAAGGGGACTTTTGAACAGTGCCAAAGATGAAAGATTGGTGCTGACAAGAGCTGGTAAATAAAAGCAACTTATCGAACGACACTACCGCCAACCGAAAGAGCGCGCTCACTTGTGGACGTTGAGGCTGCTGGTGGAAGAGAACCGGGAGCCGCAGACCTCGCAGACCAGCGGGGTCAGGCTCGGTGCAGCCTTTTTCCTGCTGGCCGCGTCCGGGCCCGCGCTGGGGTCCAGCACGTGGACACATGGGTGCTTGGACAGCGCCTCGCCCCGGAAGAAAGCTTTCCCACAGAGCTCGCACTGGAAACAAGGGAAACGGCGAGAAGAGTTGGTCTAGTTTGCCAATAATGACGCCGTAAAATCCTGCAAGATGACCCACGAATAAAAGCGGGGTGGAAAAGGAATATGGGAGACTTCCCCTCTCCCCTTCCCTAATAAAGCTGAGCAAAGATACCCAACTGAATTCCTCGTTTGCTCCTGCACACACCAGCTGCCCTGGGCCGACCCCGACTATTCGAAAAACGACGGGAGAATTTTGAAGAAGAAACGCCCCAGTTGCGAAAGCTCATATCGTATCGTTGTGCAGGTCACCCAAACCCTGGTAACACAATTTCTAGAGGCAGGTTATCTTGGCGTATTTTTCGTTTTGAAGAAGATAACATCGGACAGAAAGCATTGTGGGCTATACTATTTCTGGTTTTTGTAACAAGTTTCTTCCGATGCTTTGCTTTGTCCAGTTTTTCTAGTAATTCGTCTGCTCTGCCGTTTTAGGTGGTCGTTTTAGGGCACACGAAAAAAGCATTATTCTTCTTCTTATTATAATTACACTTAACCAACAGGATTAGAACGGCAGGGAAGTCTTTGAGTTGTTCCACTTTCAGCCACAAGCTTCCTACTTTTGAAAATCTTTCGGCGTCTCGATGAGCCTCGAAGGTAGATGCACAGCAGAAGTAGGACAGAAGGACATGAGAGCCTGCCCGATGCGGGACGTCGGAAAGAGATGCCTCGCCGTTCTAGTCCTGTTGGCGACAATATTGGGCTCAATCGATTTACCCTTACTGGCTCGTTTCAGCGCAAAAAAGTGTAGCGGAGTGCAGAAAACTGTGGAGCAACATACTCCTGGACGTGTTTTGAAACAGGCTGCACTCAAAAGTCTAATGCGGCAGCGTGGACCGAGTGCAGCTGGTGCAGGAGGTAAATAAAGCGGGCAGAATCTTCTGGGGTGGGTCATCATTTGATACGTCACGGTAGCTTGCACAAGGTAGCCAATTTCCTCGGGATTGCGGTGCCCTCACCTTGAATTGGGGTTCCCCGTGCGTCGGCCGGTGCTCGTCCAGGGCCGACACGGTGTCGAAGACCTGCCCGCAGGCGTCGCACTCCACGGGCAGCCCCTGGCAGACGTGAGCGTTGAGCAGGGCCAGGTTGCGGAAGCGGCCCCCGCACACGCCGCACCGGTGCACGTGCGTGTGCTCGTACTGGTGACGACGGAACTCCGCCGCATTGGTGAACTCCTGTTGTCGTCGGGGAGAGAGGGGAGTGAGGTTCGACCGGGCCAGATGCACCCGCACTTCTCTCTGTCCCATAAATTGCATGCGGGAGGGTCTAGGAGGAGTCGTTTTAGTTCGAACGGCGGTCAAAACAGAAATACTAGTTTTGCTCGTAGACTGGTGGATGCTGCAGTTAGAGAAAATAGGCAGTCCCAGCTTGATGACATTCGAGAAAATGGTAGCCGGCATTCGAACATTTCTTTTCTTTCCCCGTAAACTTGTCACACTCTACACGCTAACGACGTAACTTCCGCTCTTACAACTTCGTAAGTTCAAGGAAACAACTTTTATTACACTTGACGGCGCCGAGCCGCACTGGACACACACCAACCGAACCCCGCTGTCCGTTGCGTGCGTTTTTCCGTTGTCTCAATTTCTCCGCTTGTCCTTTTACTCTTCCGTTCTATGCCCTCATTCACCGTGACGCCATCCGTCGGCTCTCGCAAGGAGTATTCACACCTGTCACTGTGGCGCCACCTAGTGAGGATGCATGCACCTAGCGTACGCACAAACTAACAAACTGGACAGAAAATTGATGTCACACTGGCAAGACATTATGTGCCCACTTTGGTGAGAAACCGTCGGTGATGCTCAGAGAAGATTTGGTGTCAAAAAAAAACCTAAATTTTCGTGAACCTCAATACACTGTATTTTTTTGATGTACCAAAAAGGACCCTTCGCCTCCATTGTTTGTTCGGTTGCTCTAGGTCAAAAAGCATGCAACCCCTTGAACGCATTCAATATAGTTTCATTGGGTCGAAAGTGGTAAACTCGTCTCAGGTAGATATTTTTATGCACGAAAGTTTTAGACTGCGATTACTGCTCAAACCTTTTGAGTTAATTGCTTTTTATTTTTACACATTTCAAATCTTTTTAGTCAGTATTGCTGTCTGAGCTATTTTGTGTGCTTTCTTTTTTTACAATGTCACAGGTCGTATTTTTTCGAATGTTTCATATTAACGATAATGCTCGTTAGCTTGATTTTTATCATGCACCACTTTCTTTTCTCACCACACATTTTGTGTTACACCAACTGCGCATGCATTTATGTGTTTTATGTTTATGTCAGAATGAATGTACCTGACAATAGGTGCATCCTTCTGTAGGCCCACACATTGTTTAGGGCACCCCAAAAATTAAACCAATCAAAATTTAAAAAAAAAAGCTTTTACAAATGCAAAGTTTAAAAGTTTCTCACAACAGTCCAGCTTTTGGAACCGAAGATAGTATTGGGTGGTTTAGTAGATCATTCGAATAATTTTGATAACGATATTCAATCTTTCGGCGATGCCTTCGAGCATGCTATCATATTATTATTGGGCATTGTTATCGGAGGCATCGGAGCGGCCTACAAAAACTCCCTATTATACCTATAATTACAGAAAGCTGGTACCAGAAACACAAGCTTTACATCAAAACAAATGAAGCGCCATGTAAACATCACCATCAATAAGAGCACAACAACAATCTCAGTGCACGTGATCTTACCTGGTGGCAGTGTGAACAGTTGACCTTGCCGTGAAGGCTGATCTCCTGCACTTGGGTGCACATGCGCACGTGGTTGGCCAGGGAGTCCAGTGAACGCAGCCACTTGCCACACACGGGGCAGCTGTGCTGGCCAGTATGGACGGGCAGATGCTTGAGCAGGTAGTTGTGCCGGGTGAACGCCTTGCCGCACACGCCGCAGCTGAAGCGGTCAAGGGGAGGGCGCCGCACGCACGAATGGTTCGCCAGGATCTCCTGCAACGCAAAAAGATGTGTCACCATCAAGCCAACTACTGCGTATCTTTGAGCTGCGTTTCTTTGCGAAGTAAGTCATACGCTGTATTATATCCCGAGACAGGAACAGTGTGTCCACTACTTTTTCTCCAAATCCTAGAATTTGTAGCGCTTCCGCTCACTTTTTGTCCATCTTGCTTTCATATAACCTGCTCTTAATTTAGAGTCATTTATTTCTTGCCACATCGAGATAAAGCAGTGGCAAAGTGTGGCGTGAACAACTGGCTGCAAAGATATCTTGTGGCATCGCATTTGTGGCACCCCAGTTAAACGAGAAAAATGGTCACCATAAAAAAAAAGCCTCAAATCAAATAGCAGTAACAACAGAACGCATGGATATCTGCAGGCAGTGTTGTTGACAAAACTTTGCTTAGTTGATCTGCTCGTTCCATCAGTGAATTATGTGAGCATTTTGTTTTTAACTTTCTTCTCAACAATGAAAGCTTTCAATCCCAAAATTTTCCAGTCGAACGCACGAGAATAACTCTACCGTTACACTCTGTAAGAAAAACATTGATGCCATTCAATAAGTATGAGCTGTGGGATGCTCGACGGCGGGAACAATGCCGTGACGTCACCCACCCTGGTGGTGTAGCTCTTTCCGCAGTCGTTACACATGTGCTGTCCAGTGTGCTTGGCTGTGTGCCGCCGGAGCAGGCGGTCCGACCCAAAGGACTTGCCGCACAGCGTGCACGGGTAGTTGACCGACTTCATCATACCCAAGCAGGCGTGGTTCTGCAGGTTCTCCTTGCGGGCAAACACCTGGGCAAGAAGAGTCTAGTAAGATGGGAAACTGACTCCTGCCTGGGTTTTCAGTGGCTGCACCCAGCTGCATGTGTTACCACAAATATGTGAGATGCTAAATGGAATCCAAATGATCTGTGCAAGAAAACAGAATCGGCTCAACATCGGCTGAAGATGAGGAATTACAATTTCTTCTACATGAAGACAGGTATGAAATGACTACATGCCGATCTTAGGATGCACATACTGGGATAAGCGCTTACAGGTTGGTTTTTTCCACAGCTTCCCTTAATGTACCCCCTTCAAAGTGATTGGCATAAATTCTATGCCGGCCGGACACCTTCGCTATTGGGGAGGAGGACTGACCGTGACGCCCCAAGCGGTTCACTTTAGAACTACACGGATGGGGACAACAAATACGATGACTCAGCGCTCGGCTGACTTAACTGAACGCGGTGTCAGCGTTCGTCTGGAGTTTGTGTTCTCCGAAGAGGGGGAGGAGGGGCTCTTTTGTTTCCACCATGGCCCGCATGAACAATGCAGCATACACGGTCCTAGCTCAGCAAAACAGCCTAAGTGGGTCACACTCGCATTCTCGGACGACTGCTTTCGGGATAGATCCGACACTTAACGTCACTTCGTCGATTGTTAGTGTTTTTTACATTACACTGTGCCCCGCGCTCTATTGTAGAAGATGACATGGACATGCCCATAAGGCCCATGGGCATGTGCACAGGCCTTGTGTTGAGTAAACACCGAGGTGTGGGGAAACGAACGGGTCAGACTGCCCCCTATAGTTTGATCTCCTGCCGAATAAATGTGAGATTAGGTTGACCCATCCCATAGATACTATTGGCGTCTTTACCACACCACTGTATACTTTGGTACATTTATTGCCACATATTATTTTGTATCTTCTTCTGTCTATACATTGCATTGTTACGTTTTCAATTTACAAGACGACGTATATGACCAGATTCAAGCAGATTAAAAGACTGTCACGTGCTATCTCCATGCGGTACATCATCGTCTTTCGTGGTTCCCAGCATAAACTTTATTTTTTTGTGAAGGAACATGCCTTTTAGTAGGAGCGTTATTTTTGCACGTCCTTGTCATTGTTGCTTTGGAGTTCAACAGCCTGTCTTGGTTTGTTTTTTTAACACTTTTCTTACGACATGTGCCCTTTTGGCATATAATTAGTGTTCCGTGTTTTCTGATAAATCTGAAAAACTCCGAAAACCACCCGCCAGTAAAATTTTGGTCAATTCGGATTTATCCAATAAACTCCGAATGCGGATGTGCTAATGCTTCCTTCCCCTCCTCTCCCACCTTCCCCTTCACCCCCCCCCCCCCCCCCAAAAAAAAAAAATAAATAAATAAATAAAGACAGTATTTTACAATTAAGTTTGCTCAGCGCACAGGGTCAATGATCCCGGGAAAATGCCACCACAGTTATGTTTAAAATCTCGGATCCTTGACAAAAGGGGTCGTACCATTTATCTCGTCAAGGTTCAGAACGACGTGTGATTGTACTCTCGGGTCACGACAAAAGCCTCTGTATTGGGTCCCAGTTTGGGTCATACTATTTGCGCTATTTAGAGGAAGGGGAGGTTGTGTTTCTGTAAGAGTGAAAGCTATGGGCCATAGAGATTGCAAAAAATGGGGAAGAGGGACAGTTGACACTTCCCTATTACATCCTTTACCACTCCACCTCACGCGGTTGCGGGGTAACATGGAATAGGATGGGATGAATACGTGTTTCCCGGTGACTACCTCCAGGAGTTAATTTTTAAGGTATCAACAATTCTCGAAGCCACACATGCGTGCAACTTTTGCCGTGGGACGAAATTAGTGTGTCAATGGCAATGGCACCAACACCAAATCCAGCTGAAAAAATATTAATTGATATAAGTGTTTACACTTGAATATTATTTATTTATTTTTCATAGGAAATACTGTGAAATTAAGCTCCGAATTTCTGAGATTTTGGATTTAAACAATTATAAACTCCTATAAACTCTAAATTTTGGGAAAAAAATAAACTCCTAAAAATACCCTCCGACTTTGACGAGAAATAAACTCCGAAAACACGGAATCCTATATATAGTGAATGCTGACATGGTAGCTCATGCTCGCTTGCGCACGCTCACAAAGTAGAGGCCGACACATTAGTTTGCTCGCAACATCAAAATCCGTTACTCTAGTGCTTTGTAAACATTGGTGCGCGGAGTCTTGACAGCGGGCCGTCGGGCAGTCGTCTCGTTGTCATTCGTGACGATACGTCAAACAGCGAATATCATTCTGGCGCAAAATTGAATATGGGCGCTGCTCTCTACCACTAAGCAACGATGACGACAGACCGAGAAGTATTCGTGCGTAGAGCGCACTTGGGTGCTTCGATGGCCCAAGCTTCGAGGATGCCGCTGTGGTTGTCGACTAACGTAGGAACGTGGCGAAGAAAGGTGGTCCGCTCGACGGTAGTCCGGTCGTGATTGTGCCACTTCACGAGACGCTGGCACTGACGATGCGCAAAGAACGTCCTCGCTGGTAGTACAATTTCTTGGGGCTGCCGGGCACAATGCCAGGAATCCCACTTCCGACATCCGCCAATAAATTTTTAATTTAAGAGACGAGGTCCGCGACCTGATTCGGCCAAATTAGAAGTGTCTCGCGTGCAATCTCCACGCGCTTCGTCGTCTTTCGTAGTTCCCGGCATGAGTCTCAGGTGCACCGCAGTAGTATTGTGCACCGTCGTTCTATTATTGCACGCTAATAGACAGATTCGTCAGCTACGGAGTTCACCCTGGATACCAGACGAAAACTATTACGGCGGCATCGACGTATCGTAACTATTACCGCAACAATATTTTGGACTCACCCGGCGACACTGGGAACAGGTGAACTCCCCGGTGTGCTTGCGGATGTGGCGGAAGAGGTAGAGCGTCTGGTTGAAGCCCTTGCCGCACAGGTCGCAGCGGAAGCGTCCGGGCCGCTTGGGACGATCCATCCGTGCCTGCTCCACACTTCGGTAGAACTTCTCAACCACCTGGTTCTGGTCCTGCAATTCATCAGGGGATGTCTATAGCCTCGGGGCAGCGCATAGGAGGTGCTGCCCCGCCGGCGGCTGTCGGCGCAACTGGTGGCCACAAAAAGTAACTTTGGGTAGGCCACCAAACTATTGGATGTAAGCTCTGCGTCAAAGTAAGGCACTCGAAGGATTGAGCTCGAGATCTGCCTTTCATAACGTTTCGTTGCACGAGCAGTCAGAGCTTTGAGGAAGACAAGGAGCACGGGCTGACAGCAGAACTTCCACTGATTCTCAGCCTATTACCGTCTATAGAGGCGCTCTGCTTAAGGGTAGCGTGGCTTACGCAAAAACCCAAATCGCATATAGATTGGCCCAGAAACAAGCAGTCACCTCATAATCTTCGGGTGCTTGAATCGCCGGAGTGTCGACGCATTCCGAATTCTGAAGTTCCCGAGTGGAACTTGGAGACAATGGTCCTCCGGTACGATGGTCCTTCTGCCAAACAGACACAAAAATGTATCTTTTATTTTTATGAGGAAGCATGTGACTCTGCCAAAGTCGTACGATAGAGGCAGCAACTGTAACCAAACAATAACTGCATTTAATCAGACACCTACAGCTTGTTTAACTATGAATTGAGATTGATCATAAGAAATGAAGCTTGAGGTAGTACTGTATTTACTCGCATAATAATGGTCGTCAATATTTAAACTTTTTTTTCCCGCACATAAAGTATGTGCCTCCGATTTCTGGCTCCGCGAGTCTCGAACTGTGTGACTCAGTCAGTCACCAATCCAAATGTTTTTCGCCGTCGAGCCGCCAAGCCAAACCGTGCCAAGACAAGCATGGCAGTACATGCGCACGTTATGGCTATAAGTGGGAAGTTGTGGAAGTGATCAACACTGAAATGGAGCGGCACACACAGCTAACACAGCTGGGGATGAGGAATTTCCCAGCCCTCGGAGATGTTTCATCCATCGGACACACTAATGTCAACAAGCACACCATCGCCTGTGGCCCGCCTTGGGACAGTAAAATCATAAAGTGGTTAAGCCTAGAAACGGTCGTGTTGCTCTCCGTGCAAAGTGAGCTTCGTAGGGTGATGTTTCTTTGGCAAAAAAAATGCCGAAGGTGCCAAAAAAAAGTTTGCCATTTCTGGAGCATGGTTACGGTGTTGCACCCACAACCAGCCGTGGGTGTGCTTCCGTCAGTGGAGACATGCCAATAAGTACCCTGCCATGTCAGGTAGGCACCAAAAATGACGTCTGCGCAAAGTATGTAAATGGACAAAATTTTACTGGCGTAAACCGCCCTTCCTCCCCCCCAGATATGCGTAAATGTTTTGGGAAATAAAGTGTTCATCACGCGAGTAAACACGGTAATTGTTAAGTTTCTTGGAGAATTTCACATAGACTAGAGCAAATTTACGCCATACCGAAGGAATGTTTTCATAGAAATCTTTTATTAGCATAATGTCTACTTTGATGCATCGCACAGACGAAAGGACACTTAAGTCGAAGCTAAGCTGATTTTCTCAGATTCAAAAAGTTTTATAGGAATTCTCGCTGCTACAGCGCATAGAGATCTCAAGCTAAGAAACCCTTCAAGTGTGTTTTATTTTATTTAACCTCCAGCAGGAACGAATTGTGCGAATATTCTAAATTTTGAGTAATACACTATTCAATTTTCGCTTTGAGATGAACTCCAATATTAATATTTTTCAAAGTGTTGATCGCGGCGGATTACCCTCGTTGAGTGCGCTTCCTATCGAGCACCGGTGCACTGCGGAGGAGCAGCACCCATGAAAGCGAGCTCCGCGGGTGTTGCTTCTCCACAGTGCACGGGTGCTCGAAAAGAAGCGAACTCAACGAGGCAACCCACCGCTATCAACACTTGAAAAAGTATGAGTCTCGCAATTGCGTGCTTGGAAGAAAATCACACTTTCAAAGCGGGATGGTGCACGCGCGCGCCAGGTGTGTTTAAAAAGAAGAAAAAACTTTGTGAATGTTGATACCTACATAGCAGTAAAATTGATTTAAACTGTGGCTGTTAAAAAGAATGAAGAGCATTATATGTTGGGCATCGAGATTTAAGAAAGACAATTTGCATATAGCAAGAACTGTAAATCTACTCAATTTGATATAGCTGGGCATCTCTAAAGGTTTATTTCTATGTAAAGTTCATCGTTTATGGTACTTGCCATCCCAAGGCATCAGACTTTCTGAGGTCACAGTCCATAAGTAAAGTAAGATTAAACTTAGCCTATAAATGGACAAGTCGAAGCTTAGAAAAATTTACAAATTCGGCAGATTTTTTTTTTCTTTAATGCAAGCACTCGTGTACACGCACGCAGAAAACTGCTACTACTGCACATCAGAAATTGTAGCAAAAGGCTTTGGAAAAATATATTAGATTAAAAATATTCAAACAAAAACCACTATTTGCTAACGAATTCGCCTCAAACTCAAAATCCACTATTCACACACAACTAAAAGTTGTACATAGGCAAATCGTCAGAATCATATCGCCAAAGTAAATTCATAATAAGAGTTTGCAAGCACTTGTATACACGCAAGCAGAAAAGCGCTACTACTGCACAAAAGTGACATGGAGCACTTCTGGTATGCGTTTCAATATGTAAGCACTAGGGAGTGAACACAGCCATGTCCACTGTGACACCTGCATCTAAGCCGACGACGACACTGGGACACAACATCAAAGGACTCGCCTCCCGTTGTGCTGCGTTGTTGGCGACCTGGCTTGTCTGACCCGGAAGGGATGTGAGCATCTCGACTGCGACGTGAAGTTCTTTCGGAACAATCGCTCCGAAAGCGTTGTTTTTCGGAACTTCGACACCTCCGGGTTCTGTAATACGGCGGATGTTGCCCCGCTTCAAGACATGAGCACACACGTTTATAACAACAGGAAAGAAAGCAAGGCACTGGCCTCCAACCTTTCTGCAATGCGGGGCGCAAGTTCGTTTGCTTCTTGCACAGGGGTTGCAATGACATCAGAATGCCAAGCTATTATTGGCCGATTGAAAAAAATTGTGGGTAGACCTCAAAGGCATCTGGCATTGAGATCTACTCACTATCCTTCCAATAAAAGCCAAGCAGAACTCCGTGTTGTTCTGACATCTCCTCAACCTCTATGCAAGAAGCAGACGACATGCTCTCAGCATAATGTCTGTCTGTCATGACTCTAATATCACATTGTCTCGATTGTATGAGTGTGAAGTGTTTGCGCATTTTAATAAGCATTAGAAGGGCACTAAAAGTTTCTTTAGATAATCTTTTTTTATGCTGCAAACTCAATTTATATGACCCAATAAGCACAGCCTTTCCCCCCATTAAAACGTGACCTCACGTTGCGACGATCCCGAGAAATGTTCTTAGAAAAGGGGTGCAATGCGACGTTTGGTTGTGTTTTTAATAAAGGAAAAGTCTATCCATGATTGTAATTTTTAGTTTTCTAGGATGCTTAGGCCACATAGCTCGCCCCTTTAAAAGTTTGTGATGCATTTTTCTGTCTTACTGCTTGGCTCTATTCCTAGAAATGAATGTGAGTAAAGTTCATGTTCAAAATATGCTTTGAAGCATTAGAAAAGTGATAAAATGAACAGCACCAGAGTTCTACAGTCAATTTCTTTCAAGAGTACGATCGACTTCTGAGGACAGTGCTGACCTGTCAGTTCCTGCTCAACAGGATCGGGCGGCCGTGGGTCATGACCGCCAGGAGGCGCCACGTTACCACCCTCGTAATCGTCCTCAAAGTCCGAATAGCCTTCGCCTTCGTAGTCTGAGCCGTCCTCGTAACGTTCCTGTAAAGAGGCAGCAAACTCGTAAATACAATGCTCCACAACTAGTAAAGTACCAGCCTTCACTGTCACTTCATATTCATGGCATGTCAAGACAGCAGAGTACCCCCAAAAAATGTTTGTAAAAGCCTCGGTTCCTTTTTTACCACGTGGACAAAAAGAGGACTGCTTTGCGTGCGAAATGCGGCATACACCCAGACGAGCCAAAAGTACAGTGCAACCCCCTTATAACGATAATGAGACAACCCAAAATTTCAATCGTTATACCCAATTATCGTTGTATCTGGACTAGAAACTGATTATTTCCAGTCTAGAAACTCTAGAAACTGATCGTTATAAGCGGTGCATCGTTATATGTGGTATCGTTATAAGTGGATTGCACTGTACCTTGAAGAGGTGCTTTTCCACACACGCACTGCTGTACTGAGGGAAAGCAATACCCCCAAATGTGTTGCTGCACGTGGTGCTTTGCCGCAGTGTGCCCTTGTTGTAGGGAAAGCCCACCTAACGAAGCTGGACTAGCGCACCTTGGATCATGGGTTCTCAAACTTCAAAATTCCCCCGACCGTCCCCGCCACAAAGCGAAGTGTTTGTCCAGTTTAAGAAGGATTTTTACTGGACCTGAGCCACCCACTGAGGCACAACTGTGAGCAACATACTCCCTAGTGTGCGTTATCCATTACGTCTTTAGGCTTCTGCACTGCTTCACTATATTAATGCCAAAACCGGGAGGGGTACTTCAGCTATCAGACAGGAGAGATAGACATTCCTTTGAGATTCGGAAAGTTTGAAAACACCTTCCTTACATCTTGAAACCGTTTGACATGAGTTTTCAGAAATACTTTTGAGCTTTCCAATTACTGCTGTTCAACTCAAATTCAAAACAAAACACTATGAGGCCTGCTCTGCCGGAGGCCTATTTCGAACACCTATTCTTCTCGTTGGATGGAGCGCCTTCGGGACCTCACCTCTTCGTCAACAACAAGGGCCTTTCGCGTCGTCCGGAGGTTGTACTTCCCAGCCGACTGCCGCTCCACTGACTTGAACCTGCGTGCTGCCGGCACTTCAGGCTCACGGTCGGTCACCTCTCCCTTGCGTTTGCGTCCCCTTTTGGCACCCCGGAACTGGTGCGCCATCTGTTGCGTCGTCTGCTGCGTCGTCTGCTGCGTCGTCTGTTGCGCCGTTCGTTGCGTCGTCTGTTGCGTCATCTGCTGCACCTGCCACAAGGTTAATATGCACAGTTACTTGGCAGCAATCGGATTAAAGAGGCACCTGTCGTACAAGTAATGCCTGGACAGAGTCCTATGCGGAGAACAACTCGTGCGCTTCTTGCGCAGCGGTTGCGGTGACGTCAGAACAACGCCGAGCTCCGATTGGATTTGACTGAAAGGATAGGAAAGGTAGACCTCGATGATAGATGCCCTTGAGGTCTACCCACCACTTTGTTCACGAAGCCAATTAGAGTTTGGCCTTCTGACAACATCGCTACCCCTGTGCAAGAAGCAGACGAACTTGCGCTCCGCGTAGCTTAGCATGCTATGAAAGCTATAGTTACTAAGAGGATGAGAACGACAAGGAGGTCCTTCAGCTTTCCCGCCTTCAGCACGAGCTTACTACTTTCGATATCGCTTCAGCATCTTGCGAGCCTTGAGCATGCATGCGCAGGCAGTGGACAGCGGAAGGTAACAAGCATGCGCTGGGGACCGGGAAACCGAAAGAAAGGTCCTGGCATTCTTGTCCTGTCAGTGACCGCACACTCACCACCTGCTGTGGTACTGTGTCTTGGTGGAAGTGTTGGAGCGAAAGTTGATCCAGGGTGGCCAATGTAACGGTTGGTTCGGACGTGGAATTGGAGACATCTCCCGTCAGGTGTACTTCGTCGTGCTCACCGAGAGCGGGCAGGTTCAGGTTCGGTGGGTAGGACTGCATAACAAACACAAAATTTGTTAAAAATATTATTTTTAGATGTTTTAAGGGGGGACACTACCCAAAAAAGTAAATTTTTGAGCCACTTGTCCGATTTAAATTATATTTACAGGGCTTGTTTCTGTTGATGTTGAGAATATTTCTGCCAATTTTTGTTAACCTGGGTGAAGTACAAAAAAAATTACAAACGTTCAAAGACGAAAGTGGGCGTGTCTGCTTAGGAAAACTATCGTTTCGAAATTACTTATAAATTTGTCGTTTTCATGTGTTACATTGCATTAGGACAGTTCAGAGCAGATAACTATGGAGCTATATTTCTATGTTATACCATCTTTCATGACAAAAAAGCCACATAAACACAAATACAGTTGTTTAGATTTCCGTCCTTTGTCCAAACTTTTACTTCTCGAGCATGAAAAATGACAAAAATAAAAAATACAAGCCCACAGTTATCTTCCCCTTAAAATTTCACCCCAGAAAAGCTCGTAAAAATGAATCCAAGTTGCGTAATAACAAAACGATAGTTTTCCTAAAGTGAAATTTATGCCAAAAAGTGGAATGAAGAAAAATGTGTTCAAAGTGCTCCAACCTCTACCTTTTCTTTAGCATCGGTGGACCGAAAACAATTTATAAAAAATTAACCATACAGTGTAAACTAATGAAACTTTCTGGGAATACTCTCTAGATGTTGGTGGATGTAAATATGACATTTTTCAAAATCAACTTTTTTTGCAGAAATTGTTTTTTTCTGGGTAGTGTCCCCCCTTAAAGAAAACCTAAAATACATGAACAAAAGAATGTATACAATGTCTGAAGTGTTCCAAAACCTGTTACAGTGTAGTGAATATTATAAGAGAGTCATTCTTGGAACTGCTACTTCAATGCAAAAGCTAAAACCTTCAAAGAACAGTGAAGACAGTCTCAAACCTGTAAAAGACTGGTTTTTAATTTGCACCGAACCTGAGCGCACTGAACGTCGTAACTTAATGAAACTTTTCTTGAATTTCACTTTATTTTAAAAGTTATAGGCAAATTAAAATCACAAAAACAAGCAAAAAATAATCTCCTTCATGACGTCCTTGGTCACTTGAGTGGCCGTGAACTAGAGGAGGGGTAGCGAGCTAAGCGAGCGCTCACGGCTGCCGCACTCCGTGTCGACGGCTCGAGAGGACACCATAAAGCATGTTCTGGATAGGCTGTGTGAAGCAGGCAGCCAGGGTGGCTCGCGTTGCATTTGCTGCGCAATTAAACACTAATTCGGCATAACCCTTCATTGCCCACAAATGATGGCAAACACGGGGTAAAGATCAGTTCAGAACGGGAGTCACTTCGCACGGCCATACCGCCAAAAGGCCAAACCGCAAGCCAAAGCTGCTCACCGAAGGCCTTCAGAACGCTCGGACCCGGTCGGATCCTCCAGTCCATACGACCGCAGCGCCGCCGCGTACATCCGGGACCTTTCTACGCTCGCGGCTCGTCGGTGCCTGATCCCACCACCCCTTTGTAGTGTGCGCCGCCTTTTCCACCGCTTGGAGGCGGGTATGTCGACGGGTAACATCTTGTTCCGTACTTTCTAAAGTGCATTTGTTTCTTTTCTGATCTAAAATACTGAAAAAAGACTACTTTCATAAATAATTGAAATGGTTTGCACCACTTATATTTTGTATTTCGACTAAAAAGAAGCTCTTAGAGGCTCTGACCAGTAGTGAGCCCAGGACCAAAGACGTCGCATATCGCGCACTTTCGGCACCGCGCGTCGCCCCCGTAGGTGGAGGTTGTTTCCGCGTAGTCCGGTTAAAATATAACTCACTGATATTTAGTGACTCTTCATGCCTGCTGGTTTACCCAAACCGTAAGAGACACGGAAACCGCAAAAAACGTAGACGCTTAAATATGTTTGCAGGGTCCCTTTAAACCTTTGAAACTTCAAGACGAATGTCTTAAAAATGAAGCGCCCCAAACAACCCGCACAACATGGTAAAAGAAATTCTTAGCATCCATTTTCCGTTTGTCTAAATATTAGAAAGAGTGCAGCTCTAACACTAAAATGAAATGACTGCTGGAGAAAGTTGTTTGACAGCAACAAGCAGAGACCAGTTTGTTTTTCTGGCCAAAGCCCTTCTTAGACCTATGTGGAGTGCAAGTTCATCTGCTTCTTCCACAGGAGTCGCGATGATGTCAGTACGCCGAGCTATTATTGGGCGACTGAAAACAAAATAGTGAGCAGACCTCAAGGCACCTAGCATTGAGGTCTACCAATAGCCTTCCAATCAAAGCCAATCAAAACTCGGTGTCATACTGACATCAACACCACCCCTGCACAAGAAGTAGATGACTTGCTCTCTGCCTAGGTTTGGGTACACAAAAGTGTACCCAAACTATCTCTTAGTCCCACTTCAAAAATGGACCATGCCCGCAATTCAATACTCATCCACAATCATTTCTAGGGTGTGTCCTCAGCGACGTCCCACACTGTCGGGCCTGCCTCATTGATTGCTGAAGCTCCAGCCAAATAAAGGCTTTTGACAGCACTTTTGAGGAGATACTACCAACAAAAAGTGACTTTTAATTAAAGACTGAAGACCACTAACTGTAAATAGAACATTAACCCTAAAAAAAACGATAAACAAAACGAGGATAAAGAAAAAAATATTTTTAGGTGCTTGTAACAAAATTAACAACCCAAAAAGCTTTTGACAGAATATTTTTGTTGCGAGAAAACTTTAGAGTTGGGAACATTTCCAAACCATGCTTCTATTTCGAGTTTTTCGGCCTCAAACTAGGAGTGTGTTTCAGAATCGCTGAAATAAAACTCGTAACAAATATTAAACTTTTTTTTTTCATGGAAATTTTTTTTTTGTGAATACTGCGTCTTATTCTGGCCCTTCAAAAAATGTCTTGGAGGGTTTGTGTCGCTCGTCCATCTATAAAAGTTTAAAAGGATCAAACAAAACGTCAAAGAACATGGAGGAGGGGCTCACTGTAATCTCGTGGATGGTGCCGTCTTCCAGCTGGATGAGTAACCGTGTCCCCTCCTTTTCTTCGAGGAGAGCTCCCAGCTGTGATTCTTCAATGGGGGCCTCTGCGGGTACTGCTGGCACTTCACCACCTCGCTCCAAGGCCGCATCTGGGTCGGCAACCTGCTGGGTGTCTGGAAGACCGTAGCAAAAACGAGCCGATTCGAGTGCAGCAGCGGACTGTCTAAAAGGCGACAGTAGTTCGAGTTATGCAAGGGTACCTTTTTGGTAGGAGTGTGTGAATATTCAAAACTCCAAATGACTTGCTAATAGCGTTCGCTGTTCGATTTAACTTATGGAGTACTTCTACCATTCGAAGTATTCAAATTCTTTTAATATTCAAAAATTACAAATGCCCCCGGAATTCTACAATTTCTCAAGTCATGCTTCAGTGCTTTCACTAATGCTCTGGTGTCAAGTTTCACTGCTTTGCACCGGCGTGCTAGGAGAAACGGCTAATGTGTCCGAGCATCTCGGTTGCTTCAAAGGCCTCGGAAATTTTTCTCACTATGGTAGGTCAACTTCTCTTGCCATATTGAAATAACATCGGCCTACACCAATACCACCTAGGTGACAAGGCCTGCGAATAATGTCCTTGTTAGTGGATTCCCAACCTGCGGCAGGTGGGCTGAAGTTCAACAAAACTTGCCACAAAGCTGCCATTGCGTCCGTCTCTGTGTCCGTCTCTGCGTCGCCGCGTGCTAGCGTAGCGCTCGTTGTGAGACGCTGCATGACGCGCTGGCGGCGTTGCATCGATATGCTAGTGACGACGTCAAGGGGGTTAAGGTGGAGGCCGTGTCTTCCAGGTGGTATTGCGTCAACTCAGGGACGGCCGCACAAACCTTCTCCGATCTCCACGGCCTCCTCGTCCTCTTCCTCGATGGCGCCCGCGGGAGAAGAGCTCCTCCGGGGAGGCGCAAAGGGCCGACTCCAGCCCTGTCCCCTGGGGCGACCCCTTCCCCTCCGGGCGCCCCTGCCTCCCCCGCGCTGCCTTCCCGCCAGCTCCCTCAGGTAGACCGGGCGGTAGTGGTCTTGCAGGTGGCGTGCAAACACCACACTGTCCCGGTACAGACGGCCACACTGGGAGCAGGTCCACTGCTGCCGGTCGTAGCATGCCACCGTGCCGTCCGCAGTGTCTGGCGCGGAGGATTCATCGCTGTGGTTTGCCTGGAAAAGGAGAGTATAGGTCACTCCAGTCAGTGCGTTTACGTGGGTAGCGGCAGCACAATGCATGTGCGAAATCTTGCATCAAGGATAATGTAGTAGAGATGCAGGACTGTGTCAAGGAGTACATAGCAGAGAAGCAGGAGAGTGTCAAGGGTAATATAGTAGAGAAGCAGGACTGTGTCAAGGATAACAACAGAAAAGCAGGATTGTGCCAATGATTACATAGAAGAAACACAGGATAGTGTCAAGGAAAACATAGCAGAAAAGCAGAACCATGTCAAGGATAACATAGAAGGGAAGCAGCACCATGTCAAGGTTAAGATAGCAGAAAAGCAGGACCCTATCAAGGATATTGTAGTAGGGAAGCAGGACCCTCTGTCTAAAACAAGACTCAGATTGTAAACTAGAGGTAGGACTCATCTGGGATGACCCAAGAGCTTGAGGTCAAGCTGCATGACATGCTACCACACCCATCCAATTTACCCGTAAGTCCCTGTTTACCTCCAGGTGCATTATCATATGCTCCAGGAGAATAAAAATAGAAAAAGGGTTCTTAGGTGAAGGAAGACCAAACTGCTCTATCACTAAGCCAGAGCGCAGAGAGGAAAAGCAAAAGTAACATAACTGATGCAATCGAATTCCCTGAGGGAGGTCATAGGATTTGTATTGACCTGAAACCCATGAAGGGTTGAGAACTTTTCCACAGTTCCCCAGCGACGTTTCGAGGGCAATGTCGAAAAGGTACAAGTGCTTGGAGCATATGCTGTTCCATAACTTCTGTGGTATGGTACTTGGACACCAGCTTGCAGGAAATTCTCGCAAGCAGACAGCCGGTAGTGACAAATAATAACCAACACTAGAATGAAGCAAGGAGGTGCGATTACCTGAGGGATGATGGTGACCGTAGTGTTCCGGGGAGCAGAAGCACTCCTTGGTGGTCGCCCCCTTTTCCTTTTCACGGGTGGTCCGCCGGGTTGCTCCGCCACTGGAGGAGGCGGTGGTGGTGCTGGTTCTTCAGCAGGCCCAGCTGGAATCAAAACAAGAGAAGGATGTGCATTTTAGAGCGCAGCTCTTAGGCGCCCGTTCCCGGCTTGAGCGGCGTCGCCGTCGGCGTCGGCGTAACCGCGAGTAACCCTCGTGAGGGTTACGAGGGTTACAAGGGTTACTCTCAAGAGGGTTACCCTCGTAACCCTAGTAACCCTCACGAGGGTTACGAGGGTTAGTTACCCTCAAAAGGGTTGCCCTCACGAGGGTCACGAGAGTTACCTTCACGAGGGTCACGAGAGTTACCCTCACGAGGGTTACTAGGGTTACCCTCACGAGTGTCACGATGGCTACCTAGGTCACGTGACCCCCCGAGGTCACATGACCCCCGTTGATGTCATTGCCACTGATGACGTCATCAGTGACGTCACAGATGACGTCACTGGCATCCGCATCGTCATCGTCATCATCACTGATGACGTCATTAGTAGGGGTGTCGCGAACCGGCCGAGGTTCGAGTTCGACCTAGTTCGACTTTTTCGAACTTTTCGTGGAAATTTCGACGAACCTTGTATTGAGGTTCGACTCGTGTGCGCATGCGCGACAGGCTGGCCAGTTGGCTTCGTATTGGATGGTAATGGCTAATGGATGAATTAAGGACACCGCTGGTTGGTTATTTCAGTTAATACAGTACAAAAAAAATTAAGTTATTAACGTCTTTAGTGATTAGAAGTGGTTTCTTTTAATTCCAACTGTTTATAAAATAAAATAACCATTTGCATAAAAATTAATTCTCCAAACCTAGACATGCGTCTATCAAGGTCTGGCCACACTGTCCGCAAAGTCGAACCGGTCGAATCTGGTGAAAAGTTTCGAAGGTTCGTCGAACCGATTCGACCGAGTCGAACCCCGAAAGTTCGACCTAAAAATCCGGTTCGACAAAAGTTCGCAACACCCCTAGTCATTAGTGACATCACCGGCATCCGCATCGTCATCGTCACTGATGACGTCATCAGTGACGTCGCTGATGACGTCATCAGCATTGTCATGTGACCCCCAAGGTCACGTGACCCCCCCGCCACCCGAGGTCACTCGACCCACCCCCCAGTGCCCTTCCCTCCTCCTCCTCCTCAAGAGCTGCGCTCTAATTCTGCGTTACAGGGAGTTGTAAACGGCTTTCATTTTTTTTACGCCAACCCACTAGGCAATAGGATGCCCTCAAGATGTCTTCTAGATCTCCTAGTATGATCAGACAATCTACTTGGAATGGTGGAAAGATACTCTGAAGACATCCAAATGGAAAGTGCTGAAGTTTCGTCTTTAGAAAGACGAGACTTCAGCAAATTTCTACATGTGTAACATATTCTAAAGTGTCGGTAAAGGCATCACACAAATACAGATCAACCACGTGCCAGTCGTACACCAACGGGAGCTCCACAAGATACCCCGACGTAGTCCGAAACATTCACAAGATTACTCCAACAAATCACGGTTGGATCAGAGCAACATGTCTGTCAGGGATATGCCCTTAAGATGTCTACGATGGGTACTTTCCAGATAAGCTCCAGCGATGGTTTGATGAGAAATATATGGGATGTCCAAGTCTAAGGCACATTCACAAGATGACATCATGAAATATGATAATGGGATTGAGACATTCTAAATGTGTAGGAATGTCCTTGAGCATTCATAATAATCATCCAGATATAAAGTACACTGTGGCAATATTAGGAGGCAATACTCAGTTACAGACATCTTTAGGATGCCGGTGGTTCATTGGACATTGGAGAAGGTGTTAGAAAACGTGTCCGCACCCATCTTGCGTCCGTAGGGCGGTGCGTAGCCGACTAGGAGCACGTCCCCACAATCAATGGGCTTCTGAACGCTGAAGTAGATGTCCTGTCCAAGCTGGTAGGCAATCAGGTTCTGCAGAGAAGCCTCGGGTGCAGGCTCCACAAAGCACATCCAGTTGCACTGGTATTCGTCAGACGTGTCCAGGCACGTTGCACGCCCCTTGGTAGGAAACACCTGGGAGCGATGGATTTCGTGGTGAGACGTTGTCCATGAAAATGAGAATAGCAATTGACCTACTGCTCAATTACCCAAGCATCAAAAAGAATGTTGAAAATGTAGGTCTATGCGCTGCGCATGCTCACCTTCCTCGTAAAAAAGATTTGAAGTAAATAACTGAAATAAGGCACTGACGAACACGTATGCAAGACATCATTGGTTTTAGGTTTTTGCTTTAAAACAGCCACTGCCGCAGACGCCAGAACAAGTGGTGAATTCCCAGCATTCTCCTTGATGCTTGGGTAATTCAGCAAAAGGTCTATAGGAAGAATAAAAAAATGAGACATTTACAATTCTCTGTAATGCAAAATTAGAGTGCACCTCTTGAGAAGGAGGAGGGGAGGGTGCAGAGGGGAAGGTATGCCTCTCCTCTCCCTCTATACCCTCCCCTTCTCCTCTCCTCCCTGCCTCCCATTTAGCGGAAAATTTTCGCTAGATTTCCTGCTAAATTTAGCGGGAAATATTGAAAAACTTTTCCCGCTAAATTTAGTAGGAAACTTTCCCTGCTAAATTTAGCGGGTTAAGTTTCCCGCTAAACTTAGCGGGGAAACTGTGACGTCTGATAATGCAATGTGCGCAGTTGCGCCGACGCCGACGGCGATGCCGCTTAACCCGGAAACGGGCGCCTAAGAGCTGCGCTTTAAAAAACTGAAACTGAAGCAAAGACGAAATGAAGTTTGCAAGTTTACCCTCCGGTAAAACTTGACTTCATGCGGTACTAACCAAACACCAGAAAAAGTTTTTTCAAAATAAAGTTAGACCCAATGCGGAGAGCAAGTCATCTGCTTCTTGCGCAGGGGTTGTGGTGACATCTGAACGACCTCGCGATTTGATTGGCTTTGATTGGAAGGATAGTGGGTAGACTTCAATGCCTTGAGGTCTACCCACAATAGGAGCTCGGCCTTCTGACATCACTGCAATCCGTGTGCAAGAAGCAGATGAACTTGTGCTCTGCATTTCCATTCAGGAAGAAGCAAATGACTGCTATGCGAAGCGAAAGTTTGTCTGCTTCTTGTGCAAGGGTTGCAGTGAAGTCAGAACGCCGAGCTCCTATTGGCACGATCGTAAAGATAGTGGGTAGACCTCAAGGCTGCTAGCATTGAGGTCTACCCACTATCCTTACAATCAGAGCCCATCAGAACTCAGCATTTTGACGTCATGCACCGCAACCCCTGCGTAAGAAACAGACAAACTTGCACTCCACATTCAAGTTCCGCAACAAAATTCCAATTTTTGGTTGCAAAATATTTTTTTGTGGCAATTTAAACAAAAAATAGTTACCAGATAGATTTTTTCTTTTTTTACTTTTAAACAAGGATACAACCCAAAAACTTCTGAATCAAGGAATCGACAGGGAAAACTCAATTCTATTCTTCACAAGCTCATACGATCATCACAGTGTGGCTCACGCTCAGGCACCCCACCAGTCAAATTACCTCCCTGCAGAGAAAGCAGGTACCCATATTGCAAGCATGACCGAGTTTGCTTTGCCCAAAGAATACTAACGTCCACACACCGAGACACTTTTGGCAGCCCCACCTTGAGCCTGAAACGGGGCGCACCCTTGAAGGCGCGGTAGCGGGGGGCCTCCACAGGGCCGAACTGCGTCCCCACGGGGATGGCCTCGCGGGCGGTGACCCGGGGGCTGCCATCAGGGGCCTCATCCAAGGCCAGGTTGGGGGGCAGCGAGAGGCGGGCACGAGACGGCACACACTTGTCGTCCACCTTTTGCGCCAGGCCCAGGAGAGGACAGCCAGACGTGGCGTGGGCTTCCCCGCAGACGTTGCATTCTGCGCGGGGGGTCGGAGTGAATTGGGGATGTGCACCACGACACGAACCATGACGGAAGGAAAGAGAAGTGTTGAAACAAGGCCTGAAAAGAGGGTCCCTATCGTTCCGCCGAAACTCATTCCATGAACACACGTTTCAATGACCGTAATGTTCTGTCGACACTAAAGTTTAATCATGGCTAACGTTTTGTCGACACTAATGCTTCATCAACACTGATGTTTCATTGCCACTAAAGTTTCATCAACATGAACGTTTCATTAACACTCGTCACGCAAACTGCAGGCTGTAGGAAAATTTTTTTCCGTATGTAACACTGGAATACATCAGACTGACAGACGTAGCTTATTACAGAAAAAAGCTAATCTGAGCTGTTGATGAAACAATTTGTTGATGTAACTATCTGTCGATGAAACAATCTGTCAATATGAAACATTGTTTGATGAAACGTCATTTGATGAGCTGATTGCCACCACTGAAAAAGGGCTGAAGTTCCACTTGGGCTTTGCGCATCACGGCACTGTCAGGTCGGGCCACACGCGCAAATGGTGTTGTGCGCTGCGTGGCCTTTGCGTGAGTGCAGTCACGTGAGCCTTGCAGCCTAGAAGACGCGCACACAAATGAGGACAGTTTCTCGAGCTCCCGTTATGCTGCGCCACCTCATGGAGTTTATCGGTAACGGGAGAAAACCTTTGGCACACTTGCTTCGTGGAAAAACGGCACCGTTCGAACACCTCTTCTTTTACTGTGGCGTGAGCGGTGCTGTTTCTGCCTTTTTTCTACACTAACGCTTAGGGAATTTTTTTTTTTTTTTATCGTTTCAGTGTTGTTTATGTTGTTTGGTACTGCTGTTTTCACTTTTTTGCAGCACATGAAGATACTGTTCTTTTTGTGTTTTTTTTTTTTATTGTTTCTACCTGTTTGAGAGCACAATTAAAAGGAAATTCTTTTTTTTCTTGCTGTCACTGCTGTTTATGTTGTTTTTGCCCATGACAGCACTAACAGAGAGAAAATTCTGTTAGTGCTGTTCATGTAATTGTAAAAGTTTTTTTTTTTTAGCTTGGTGTATGTAGCCTGTTTGACAGTAATGATGGAGAGAAATTCTTTTTGTCAGTGCTATTTTATAATGTTTTCGGCTGACAACACAGATATATTCTTTTCTCAGTATCGTTCATATTGTTTATGCTTGCTTGAAAGCACTAGTGGAGAAAGATTATTGTTTGGATGGGGGGGAGGGGGGGTCAGTGTTGTCCATATTGTTTTCGCCTGTTTGAAAACACCTACAGAAAGTAATTTTTTTTTTTTTTTTGTCAGTGCTGTGCACATTGTTTGTCAGTGTTGTTCTTATTGTTGACTGATGTTGGAGTTTGGGCTAGTTGGTATGCAGACATAATAACAGTGGTGTAACAAACAGTGGTGTAATGAACATGTGATATGTCTGTGTTTCTTCCATGGTCTATTTTGGGTGACTTGTATGTTATTTATACTAAATGCCAACACGAATAAACTTCAGTTGATCAGTACTGCATCCTGTCGGTTACCTTTTACTTTGTCCTCGTCTTTGCACTGTTTTTATTGTCTATTGTTGACACTTGTTTCATGGCACGGAGAGAGAATTACTTTTCTGTTCCTGTTGTTTTTGCTTGCTTGACAGCACTAATCGAAATTATTTTTTGTTTATTTTTGTCTGTTGTTTGTGTAGTTTGCCAACACTGTTCATATTGTTTTTGTATGTTTGTCACCGCTTTTATGGAAACTGTTTGTATAGCCCAGTTATTTGTATATTATCTTTGTTAAAGTTTGTATGAAGGAGATCTTTAGTCAAATGACATTTCTCCGCTTCTTTTGTTTCCCTCCCCTTCTGCGTGGGAGGGGAACAATAAAGTTGGGTCGAGAAACTTGAGTCAAGGCGCACAAAATAGCAAGGTCTTTATGGGGCTTCTTGTTTCCGCATAAACTCGGATATAAGCACAGAAACATCCTACGATTGAGCTTTACGAACTCTGACTAACGTTTAAAACCTAGAGTTCCTAGGCCTTCCATAAAGAAATACCATGAATGCTCAATGAATTGGATTAGCTGGCAAGCTATAGGGATAAAAGGAAAGGGAAAAAAAGAGGATGAAACGTTTCTCCAACGGGCAGCATGGACATTTATTTTTGTCGCTTTCCTTTTACCCCTGTAACCATGAATGCGATGCTCCAGATCTTATAGATTTACATCCAAAACCAAGAAAGGGCATCTGGCACACCCCAGCAAAGCACTTCTCCACCTAAGGACACCGAAATTCAGAACACTAAAACTAGACTACATAATTTACTTAGTGTGATTCACTTTGTTTGATAATTTCATTTATTGGAATGCCCAAGGTGGTCGCTTCAATACATATCATTTTTTTCAAACATGTGGCAATGCGACAAGTGCGTTTTCGCTTGCAGCGTATGTAATTCAAGGGCAAACAGCCACAGACAAAAATTGTTACTTTCCTACACCACTTTATAAAAAGAAAAAGATGTCACTGAGCAGAGATTTCTCACTGTTGCTCGTTGTGTTGCTCAGTTTTTGGATTCCTAGAAAACGTCGCTCATTTTCTTGGTTCTTTCATGCAGTTTGCCTCGTTCCGCGACTGACCGAGCGACAGCGAAACGGGTCGCTGTTGCTTGTCTCGTTGCTCACCAAATCGCTTATATCCCTCATTACCATTTTTTACAATTGTGGCTTAACCTCGGCATGGATCACACAAGGTCATGCTTTGGATGCTGCACATCACGAACATCCGTGGAGTTATTGTTTGCATAGTTTGAGTTGTTCATTGTGGGTCGGTTGTAGTACCTTTCTTTTTGTCCGTTTCGGAGTGTTGTGCTCAATCAGCATGCAGCGGCTTTTTTGTCTGAGCTGGAGAGAGCCATGCAGAGTGTTATGAATTGATATTGGTTAGCCATGTCTCTATTTCTTGTATTCATGCTTTCTTTTTAATTCATGTGCTAGATGATGGCTCTGTGAGAGCTTGATGTAATTTATTCGTGACAAACCTCTAAATATACGTAAAGCTAGCGATCCTAAAATATTACCAGTGCATAAGCTTTTTTCTTTTTTTTTTTTTTCAACTTGGTTTGACATTTTGGCATGTGTATTTTGTGCTTGAACAGTATGGCAACATCAACACTATGCGGTATCTTACACTTAGATCATGTCAAAGCGGACATGATCAAAACATACCCCGAGAACGTTATCTTCGAGAGGATGCTCAAGATCAGAGGTCCCAGGACGAACATTTTGTTTATGGTGGGAAAAAGGATAGCCGTGATGAAAAGTATGTGCAAAGCGACGGCTCAATGCCCGATTGATACGACGATTTCTATCGACTCTACCGATTAACGTAAAACACAAGCGGGACACCACGCAGAACTCCGACCACACACATCACTCAAAAGATATCAACGACGGGCGGCACAATAAAATGTGAAAAGTGAAGAGCCGCCTATCTTTTACCACGGTGAACACTTTCTATGCAAACAACGCAGAGACGCTACCCTGAAACGGCAATTTGTTTTATTAAAAGCCACATAATGCATGCTCACCAACGAGATTGGCCAACTGTTGCGTTTGATCGGGAGGATTTCAAAAGTAAACGTTTTTAAAAGTCTGCGCATTTTTAACCAGAACCACATTTTACACGGAGGTGCCGATCTTTGACCAAAATGGCGGAACGGCAGCAAGCCGAGCAGCAGCAGTTCCGAGAGAAACACCTTCCGCGTAAAGTGCACATACCTTCTTGGGTTGCTTCAGCAGGCGGCTGTGGCTCCGCTGGATATTCGGTGACATTCGTGTAAATATTTACATACATGGCCGGACTAAAGTTTTTAGCGCAACCTCAGTTTTGGTAGCGGTCCCTGCTAGGACCGCATCCAGCCCGCAACTTGGCTGAAACGCCGCCAAAACAACGACAAGTATTTACATTTCGAGAAGGGACGGAAAGGTGAAAATTACTGCACCTTCTCGACTATTTTTTCTAGTTAAATACAAAATTAGCGAGACAAATTTCGCTTTATATAGTAGTGTTACGAGAAAACCTGAAGATGGCGGCGACAGCGGCCATTTTTGTATGTCACGTGGGCGCAGGCGCGGAAGGGCGAGAGGCGAGGTACAAATAAGACGTCTGCAAACTTGCATACATTCTTGGGATTCGACATCATTTAGCGGTTTCAGGTTAGGCGATTCGAACAAGATAGTTGATGGCAGGTTATAGTCCACAATATTTATGTCTTCCTTCAGTTAGGCTTCTGAACCCAGTCAGTTCCTGTTATGTTTACAAGCGTACGCAGGAGGAGGGTAGCAGACGACAGAGAGCGTATTCAGTTTATACTGAATTCACGGAAACATAGTCAGTTTATACTGAACTCATGGAAACATATTCAGTTTATACTGAACTCATAGAAACATGTTCAGTTTATACTGAACTCACGGATTTCAGAACAGTGACATACCGATCATCTAAACAGGCAGGCCGCGAACAAACAAAACGCCGACAACAAATTCGCTTGAAAAGCTAAAATCCCCGAAGTGCGCGAGATCACAGGAGTTTCAAATCCTAAGTACTGATCATGTAGTTCCTGCGGTGGAGTATTCAAGATGTGGAGAAATAAATAGCATAACACGTATTACATGTATTACATTGAAGAAAGTTTTAGCAGACGAATTGTTTGTGGCCAGACGAACTTTTCCCCTTCTCTCCAGTTGTGACGAAACGAAAGAAAGCGTCGTTTCCGACTGCGCATGCGCAGTTCATTCGCCACCGACCAGTCGGGAAGCAGCAGCTTTGGCCAAAAGAAAAGTTTTGTTTCCCGAAGCAGACGCCAAACTTTGAGTGCGGCAATCCGTACGGTGCTGAGTCTGGGAGCTATCGATTCACGTGTCCACAGTGCGCGTGCACCTGGACGTTTTTCGGCGGTCCTACGCCCGAAACCCTGGACCGTCTCGGGTACCCGTCGCCCAGCGTGTGACCCCGATCCCCGTTCACCGAGAAAATGGCGACGGCGGCGGCGCCGACGACGATGGGAACGGCCGCCCCGCCGACGAACTCCCCTCGGCGCAGGTCCGTGGCGGTTAAGCGGTCCGTCGACGACTCCGACTCGGACAGCGGAGCCGCCACGCTCGCCAAGCGGACCAAGAACGGCGACGGATCCTCCATCGGCCCCAACGACGGTGAGTGAGCTCGTTGTCACGACCGACCGTGGCGATCCTTTTGTTTCCGCGCCGTGGCCGTGGCTTCTCCGCCTCGGCGTCGACCCGGCCAAGGCACTCGCCAGGCGGGCGGCGCCGTCACCTCCGCCTTTCCTGCGTCGATTCTTCCCTCGTACTTGGTCTAGGCGTCTCGGCGCCCTTCTGAAGCTACCGGAAAGGTCGCTAAACCTTGTTCAAAACGACGATCCGACGCACCGTCGTGGGCTATGTGACGAGCCTCAGGTCTAAACAGTCGTTCGGCCAACACCGAACTCGAAGGCGGCATGTCCTTTCGTGAACGTCGGAAGAAACATCGACGTGGCCAAAACGCCACGTCGTGTGGCTGCGCTTTTCTCGAATTCGCAGGACGCTACTTCCTCGGGGAAAAAAGAGAGAAAAAAAAGAGCTGTACCACTAGAAGAAAAACAAGGGCGCGTGTTTTGTGTCCGCGGTCCCGCGTCCAGCTCCGCCATCTCCGGGTAGCAGACGACGCTTTCTGGTCCCCTACGGCGCCCCTCCTGAAATTCGGGCGATCGTCCGCTTCGTTCGAAACACGTTCGGGGCTCCCTTCTGGCCGCTGCGCTTCGGAACCGAAGCCGAGCGAGCCGACGCCGCCTGCCCGCCCGCCCGCGCCGTGGGAAAAAAAAAGAGCCCCGACATCGCCGGCGGACAAAGAGGCGATCGTGCGGCGGCGGTCCAGGGGGCAAGGAGACCGGCGTGTGCCCGCGAGACCGAGACGGGCGGCGGCTGCGTCGTTGGATGGCTGCGGGCGACAGCGGGCCCAACTCGGCGGCGGCCCGCGATTGGGCGCCTCGCCCGTCCGAGGCTCCCGCTCCCTCCGTCGTCTGCGCGGCTGGGGCCGTTGCCGGGGCCGCCAGGACTTCGCGTGCGTCGGCTGCTGCCTGCCTCGCGCTCGCCTTCGCCGCCGTCGATGGCAGGCTTCCAGGCTCGCGGCCGCCGAGAAAACCCAACCGGTTTCCTGCTCGCTCACCGGCTGTGCGTTCGCTGCTGCGCGGCGCGTCGGTGGCTTGCGTGCGCTCGCCTCGGTCTCGTGGTCGACGGGGGGACGGGCCGGTCGTTCGCTCATCGGGGTTGGGGCTGGCTGTGCCGGCTGCTGCGGTGACAGCCGGCCTTTTCGGGGGGAACGTTATTAATCCTCGCCCCACGGGGCGGCCGCTGCCGCTGCGTGCTCGAGCGTCTCGAGAGGCCGGCTGCTTTGAGCGGGGGAATGCGGCCGCCGTAGCAGACGTTCACGGAGGAGACCGTCGCCGCGGAGTCGCTCTTGCTGTAGTTGCGCGGAGCAGGGCACTGCACGGTATGGTAGGCGCGGCGGGCGGCAACGCGGTTAGCAGACGGTTTCATTTTTGCCATGTTGAATTAACCTGAGACTGGGGTAGAGAAGAAACACCAAAACGTAGAAGGGAAAGGAAATAGACAGGACGACGTCTCAATCTCCTGTCTATTTTCTGTCCCTTCTACGTTTTGATGTTTCTTCTCTACCCCAGTCTCAGGTTAATTCAACATAGTTAATATTCACCAGCTCGCCTGCACCCTTACGATTTTTTCATTTTTGCGTTTTTGTTCGTGTGTGAAAGAACAAAATCGTAATTTTCCCCGTGGAGGCTCGGCCTTCGGTATCTGGAAAATTTGTCTTAACAGATGAGTTTGTAATCACTGAAGCGACGTTCTGCCGCTGTAATTCTTCTCTGTGCGAGTGAAGACGAGGCTACACGCTATCTCAAAGCGTTGCGCTCGCTCTTTTAACCTTTGTTGTGGTGAAACAGGGTATACTTCATTCCAATATTTACAAGTCCTCAGCCGAGCGTGCGCATGTTCGTCGCTTCGCCAAACGAGCAACCGGCCAGGAGCCCCCTTTTTTTAAACGAAACTAACTGATTTTCATTAGGATTAGCCTGTTTAAGTCAATGCATAGTGCTCGCTATAGTGCTTCGAGTACCAGCTGGTCTGTAAGGGAAGAATGCCTCTTTCGGATGCCTGCCGAGAGGCTGTCTCTTTTCAGCATTTCTTTTCCACCGGTGCTTTCGACCACCTGCCGCTTGAAACCGTTGTCCTGTCTGCTTGGCTGCGACCGTCGCTTTGACGGCGCTCCTGTAGAAATTCATTGTTTTCCTTTTGGTTCTGCGCTTCCTTTGTTCAAGATAAAAGAAAAAAAATGACAAACCCAGGACAATTTATTGGGAGACTCAGTGGTGTAGGCACAAGTCTAGCAAAATGAAAGCAACAAAAAAACAAAAAAAAAAACGCATATAGTACAGGGTGTCTTAAATAGCGGCGAGGCTCTTTAAATCGACCGCAAAAATTGGTTTCTTAACCTACCGCGTTACGATATTGTGGAGCGTTGCCCCTAAGTGATGCATTTTTTCTATAAAATTTGCAAAGAGCTCAGTTACCGGAGGAGCAAGTAAAAGAAGAAAAAAGGCTTAACTCCCATGGAGACGCAGCGAAGCCACGGGTCCTCCAACAATAGGGCGCCATTCGGCATGGGAGACAAGAGATGGCGCAAGCGGTCGCGACGCCAACTGCCGCCAACGAACGAGCGTACTGCGCAGAGAGCCGGCGTCATTAGCAGACAATCTTTTCGATTCAAAAGCAGCACGCGTTCCACAGACGGCGACAGTCGCAGAACCAAAAACAGGCGCAGTAACAGCAAGGAACTGCAAAGCAGATAACATAAGTACCCCGAAAAAAAAGAAGTAAAAATAACCCGGCAAACAATTTTTTAATTGATTATGTGTCCAATGTGTTTTATTAGTTAGGATGATAAAGTCATGGATTAACAACTGACATCGAAAACGCTTCCGCCGCTATTGAGTAAAAAAGTTTGTCTGCTAATGACGCCGGCCCTCTGCGCCGGATGCTCGTTCGTTGGTGGCAGTTGATGTCGCGACCGCTTGCATCATCTCTTGCCTCCCGTGCCAAACGGCGCCCTATTGTTTGAAGACCAGTGGCTTCGCTGCGTTTCCATGGGAGTTACGCCTTTTTCTTTTTTTACTTTCTCCTCAGGTAACTGAGCTAACTGAGTAATTCTATAGAAAAAATGTGCCACCCGTGGGCAACGCTGCACATAATTGTAGTGTGATAGGTTAAGAAACCAATTTTTGCGGTCGATTTCAAGAGCCTGGCCACTATTTGAAACACCCTGTAGTTCTTAACTTTCCTGATGCGGATGCTAGTGCCACTAAATAATTGCTACACTTAAGAGTAATGACACCCATTTTGTGGCTTAAAATTATGGTTCTCCAGTTATCTGAAGCATTATCTGAAATCACAGGGAACTCTTTTACGTCCTCTACAAATGTTTAAACACTTCGCGACAGAGAAAAGCAATAAATATCACTTGAGCTTCCTAACACCGAATCGAATGCCGAGGAAGTCGCATTTTCTAATTCTGGCAATCGGCAGTTTCATCTGCTCAGCACAATCACCAAGATGGCGGCACCTACAACAATATCGGGGATTAGAGTGCCGATACCATGGCTCATTTAGTGACCTAGTGAATGCTAAACACCAAGCTCCGCCTTGTTCTACAGTCGCATCAGCTGTTCAAGTGCTGCTGCTGGAAATAACAAACAAAAAAAACTTGCACATCATTGTAAAAGTGCACAAGCACGTTAGTTGCAGGGTTGGGCAGTATCCCGACACAAATGTATTGCAATAGTATTTCAGAAATGCATTGTGTATTTACATTTCTTTCAACTGTATTGTGTATTTCTGTATCAAAATACATATTTGAGCATATTTATGGTATCGAGATACTATTAGTATTAATGCCAATGTATTTTGTTGCAATTAAAAAAAAAAAAAGTTGACCTCCACACAGAGTGTTAAGCCCAAGTTTTGTCAAGGACGTTTTATGTCTCTGACCGCCCATGATTCCTTTCTTTATTGTGAAAAAGTTAACAAATGTTTTCTCACGCTTTAAGTGTTTTACTATTCCACTCAGTTCCAAAATTGAAGGCTCTGCCGGCGCGGACTAACAGATAAAAGTAGTCGTGTTCCTTGAACTTAATTCCATGGTGAAGGTGTAAGGTCGCTGCTGAAAGAGGCATCCAGATTGGACATAATCATAGTTGATTCTGAAGGTTATTTTGGGAGGACACAAAACTGATTTTTTCCCAGAACGATAAGAAATGCCGAAATAAAACTGCGCTTGATCCACGGTGAAAAAAATTTTGCTTCCCTTACTACTTCCCAAGATACAAGATGTTAATTCTGCAGTAAATTTGATTCAAGCTCCAACATGCAGTGAGAACTCGCTTGCTCGTTTAAAAACAAAATCTCGTATTCTGGAGCATGCACCTTTTTGTTCTTCGTATGCTCTAAGGGGTGCACAAAAACATCCAAAATAATGTTTTTATAACAATGTATTTGAGTCTCTGTATTTCATCCCCTCCAAAAAGTATTCCTGTATTTGTATTTCCAAATTCTTTTACATTTTTCAAATGTATTTCTGATACGTATCGCGTTACATCTTTATGAATGTATTTCAGTATATCGGTATTTTAGCTGTTTTTGCCATGTATCCCAGTATTTGTATTTCCGAATATTTTTTTAGTATTTCTTCCCAACCCTGGTAGTTGAAACCAGGGTGGAAAATAAAAATCAAGATGATGTAAATCGCACTGGTCTTGCTATAAAAATTTAAGTCAATCCTTTCCTGCAAAAGTGATTGCCAAGATATTATTTTATTTAATATCTGTCTATCATTTTACACTTTCTATGTACATTTGTATTTAAACCAAATAGTCGTCGAGCAAGAAAGATTTATAGCAGGCTGAACACAAACAAAAAGAAAAAAAAAAAACGAGCACAAGAAAAGTAATGTCCTATCTTAAACAAGTCAGATTAAGAAAGTAAAAGCAAATAAAACTTTTCATTTAACCAAAAAGTCTAACCTTTGGTTCTAGTATTGTGTAATTTACACCAGTAAAGTTTGTGAATTAAATTGTATTTTAAAGGTTTAAATTAACAGTAATTCCTATTCCCTATTGTTTTCAGTGATTCGACAGATTGACCAATCAATCTGCCATGTATATAAATACATTTAATGATATGGTATTAGTTTTACCAGTGTATAGTGATTTAAATCAAATTAATCTGACTTAAATCATTTATATCTGATTTAATTATTTAAATAAAAAAGTGATTTCTTTAATAATAAAAAAAAATATATAAATATATATATTTTTTTTTCACTTTGGTTGAAACTGAAGCGTCTGAAGTGTGAGCAACTGACCACATATAAATGGCATGTTCCGACCTCTTGTAAGCCTGTGCAACATTGTTTTTTAAGTATGTTGCAAAGTCATGCCTTCATAAAGTGTTGTAGTGTAGGTCATTCTCTCACTCGGAGCGGTTTTCTCAACGTTCACAACATCATATCGTCCTCATATAATCACCATCGCTAAATGCGGCACCGCAGGCCTCTGTGGTATGGGTTATTGCCTTTCTGCGGTGCTGCCACTCATACACAGAACCAAACCAATCATATACAGAAAAGGCCCACTTACTTGCACTTTTGATGCTGCTTGATTGGTTCCATTAGCTCGTAGCATCAATAGCGTCTGGACTTAAGCCGAGACGAAGTATGGCATTCTATTTAATATACCTCCCCCCCCCAAAAAAAAAGGAAAAAAAGAAGAAAGGTAGTATGTTTAACATACTTCTATTTTGTGTTAATGCACTTAAGCATTAGGACAGCATTCACCAAAGAATTTGGAGCATGCACTATTCTTGCGTAACCATTTGATAAATTGTTGTATGGACAGACTCGGTGACTGATCCCCCTTTGAATCGGACAACCACTTGCGCCACCTGGCCAGGGTACCAGTAAGCGTTGCCGCCTTTGTCCCTTCTAGTGGCGTCCCTCAGCTGGAGCCTGGAGGATCTTGGCCACCTGGTGGCCAACCTGGCCAGCTGCCTGCCACCCAACGACCTCATCAAGTACAACACCATGGTGGAGAAGCTGGACTGGGAGAAGGTGCGCTTCGGCTCGTACTCGGCCGCCGACTGCAAGGACAAGTGGACGCAGGTCATGCAGAAGGTGGGCCTTCTTTTCCGCCATCGTCTGAAGCCATCGTATGAATGGTCAGGCTCCTCCAACTGTCTAGGAGAAAGACCTAGTTTTCCTAGATCATCACATCACAGGCATGTTGCTGAAAACTGGCTTAACTATTCTTGCCTCAAGAACAAAAAGTTCATTGTATCTCAATGCCCTTTTTCTTTCTCTTTTCACACTTCAGATTGTTTTGTTTCTAATTCCTTATATACGGCGCCATCCTTAAAGGTGCGCTAAAGACGTTTCTGAAGTTGTCTGTTCTTGGCGATGACTTATGTTACGGGCTCCAAACATGCTAGAAATCCAAGAATTATGCTTATGCGACATCTATTTTCCTACTGAAAATGTGCCACGCCCCTTTCTGAGTGAAAGAATGTGGAGCGCAGAATTCAGCGAAGACGCTGGCGGCGTGACGACGGGTGCACGTTAGCCGGTCGCAAGTTGCCTCTCTTGGAAAGGCAGCTTGCGATTGGCTGGCGCACACCCGTCGTCACACCGCCGGCACCTTTGCTGAATTTTGTGCTCCGGATTTTTCACTCAGAAAGGGGCATGGCACAAACTTCAGTTACCTTTTTAGTAGGGAAATATCCGTCACACGAGCATAATCATTTGATTTCTGGGATGCTAAGATTCCATACAATAAGTTATCACAAAAAGCAGACAATCTCAGAAATGTCTTTAGTGCACCTTTAAGATGCCGATTTGCATGTTGCTTGAATATTTGTCCATACGTATTCACATTGTTAGTAATTTTCACCCAGCCTTGGTTCTTGAGCCAATTTCTCAGAAAGCTGGTGGATGTGAACTTCTGAACTGTGGTCTGCCCACTGTATTAGAAAATTATTCAATTCATATTCAATTCATTCTGTTTAAAGAATCGCCACTCGCATATCCCCACTTAAAAGCACAATATTTTGGGAACAAACTTTTGCTGGCAGCATGGTGGACAGGCCTCGAAGGGCAGAGACTTTGGTGCCCTTCACTGATTTTCGGTTTGCCCTGCGCAAAGTTGTTTCCGAGCTTGGACGGACAGCTTTACAGGTGGACGTCGTTTCCGCGTCTTGCAGTTGCGCAGGTACCGCACGCTGACGGACCTCGTGATAGACGCCCGTGACTGGCTGAAGCAGCCGTGGCCGGCCGGGAACAGCACGGCGGCCGGGTCGAGGCGGCCCAAGCACCCTGACCTGCCCAAGAAGCCCATGACGCCCTACTTTCGCTTCTACCACGAGAAGCGGGAGAAGTACTCCCGGGAGAATCCGGACCTGTCCATGACGGAACTGGCCAAGCTCATCTCCAAGAAGTTCCAGGAGCTGTCCGACAAGAAGAAGGTAGGTCGCGTCTCCTTGGCCAACCCTGTGGGTAGCTATCTTCGATCACGATGAATGACGGCGCTCGAAGGAACAAGACGAATGGAAGAAGCACGGGACAAACTCGCGCCATTTTTAGTCATGTTCGACGACCGCTAGCTATCCCGTCTTGCCACCCTGACGCCTTTTGGTCTCGAGTTACTTGCAGTGGTGGAGTGCCCTAGTTGTTACTAATGGCACAGTCCTTAGGCGGACTACCAGAAACCTTGACGGTTTCCGCCCTAGTAACTTTCGTCGCCCGCGAGTGGCGTTAATCCGAGTAGGGGAAAAAAAAATTAAAAAAAACAAACATCTTGAAAATTTTGGATAATACTTCTGATGCAGATGTTGCACCCTTCACGTGGCATTCCGATGATTCTGAAATAATGACTTTTAGGTCTTAAGTATAGGTGGTTACAAATCCGTCTTTTTGACGGGTTTGTAAGTTTTATGGAAAAAGAAGTATCCAGTGAGTATCTCCATGGTGACTTTTCCGAGGTCGCGTCTGTTCGTTTGGTTCTTCGAGCGATCTGATTGGTTAACTATCAGTGTGAGTAGTGTGCCTCTGGTGCTTTAATTTGTTCCTAGAGGAAACTTTCCTACAGCGTGACGAAAAGATCCCTGACCATGTAATCCGAGGGCTGTGCTGAAAGACAAAAATTTGGCAATTTCTGGGATGACAGTATGGTTCGTTTGTCTGCGTGTTTCACCTCATTATTGGTAAGGTTGCCTTCCAAAAAGAGTTAGCTTGTGCTTACTCTAGAGAACTTTTTTTTTTTTTTTTTAATAGAAAGAAAGAAACAAAAAAAATATTCTTTTAGCCATCTTGTGAATCTGTATATTAAGGTTGTCTGAACAACTGTACATTGTTTCTTTACTGCAATGCAGCAAAAATACAAGGAAGGCTACGACAAGGACAACGAGATCTACAAGGCAGAGATGAGCAAGTTCAAGTAAGTGCCCTGCTCGATTTACAGAAAAAAAAAAAAAAAAAAGATTACGGAAACCTTTTTACAATTTTACATACCTTCATTTTTATTATTCGGTTCTAGCTTAAAGTAAATTCATAGTTCGCTCCTCAGGGTTTAATGGTAACATCAGTTCTTGTAAATTTTTCAGCTGTCTAGCTGAAAAATTTGTTTGTATTTAAGGCCCGTTCACACTCTTGCAACCGAGTACGACCGAGAGAGACGAGACCTGTTGAAACCTCTTAAAATTTCTTAGGACGAGAGAACACGCTGGCACTGTGGCGCCACCTATACGGTGACCCTAGAACTGAATTTCACAAGAGCGAAGGTTTTGCGGAATTTCCAAGGTAAATTGTGTGTAATACGTATAGGAAAGGCTCGTTTATAACGTTGACAAAAGTTTTACGAGCGAAGAAAGAAATGATAATGTACTATATAAATAGAAATTATGCCAGAGTGCCAAGTTTACACTGCTACCCAACAGATGGCGCCAATGTGTCCTCTTGTTGTAAGCAATATTAAGAGGTAGGCACCAGGTTACAAGAGGTCGCAACTGTGTGAACGGGCCTTTACACTCACCCACCTGTTGCGTGCACGTCAAAACAGGAAGGCCCACCCCGAGGTCTTTGCTGATCCCCCGCACAAGCATCCGCAGGCGGCCAACTCAAGCCCGTGCCCTCCCGACGCCGTGCCGGAGAAACCCCAGACTCCTGTTCAGTTGTTCACGCTCGACCGGCTAAAGAAGCCGGACTTCAGTAGGGTGAGAGAGCGTCGTTACATATGTGGTATTTATGGGGCCAGCTCGTGGCACTTACGCATTCGTGCCAGGACGTAGCGTGGACGATGTCACAGCGACACACATCATCATCATCACGTGACACTACGACGTTACGCGACTTTGTACAATGCTGTTGTTACGCGACATTGTACAACACTGATGTCACACGACACTGTGACATAACGCGACACCATGATGTCATAACGTCGCATCACGGTATCACCCGAGGCGTTAGAAAAGCAGCTTGCACAGCGATAACAATGTGCGCAGCAAAGCAGAAGTGACCACCTATAAATGCTACGCTTTTTAACAACTTTCAAATGTGCCAAAGAAACCGGCGGTTTTAATTTTACTTTCCTAACTATCTCCAGGTCCCGTCCAGAATCTAGCGTGGATTCTACTGTCTCCAGACACAGACGTGTTTTCTTGGCCCGATCGTTAGTTTGACTCCCTCGGTAGGCGGTTAGAAGTGGCACACTCCGACACAAGGTGTTTTTACAGGGCCTGCCGCTGTCTGCATAATTGTGGCAAGGGGCAAAGTTGTGTAGACTGCCCACAACTCTTTTACTAATTTTTTTCTTTTTTTTTTTGTGTGTGCAGTTGGACAAGAAAGAGGCTCACGACGTGATTCGTAAGCAGTGGGCAGCTCTCTCGGACGGAAAGAGACTCAAGTGGATCCGGCGGTCGCTGCAGGATCAGCAGAGATACGAGGTAGGCTTCGCCTCGCCCACCCCAAGATTTGGGAACGGGAAGTGACGGGTTGTACGAGGTTTCTTCCACGGGGTCTTTCCTCATGGCACGGGGGAGCGCCTCTTGTGTGACGTGGCACGCTGCCCCGTTGTCGCTTTCTGGGAGACGCAGCACCTAACGCTCTGTGCATCGTTTTTCTCGTGAGATTTGTTGGGAGTCGTCGGTTCGTTGCGATTGGCCGACGTCAATCTTTTTTGCAGATGGAAGTGGCTGAGTATAGCCAGGCTTACCCCGGGTTCAAGGCCGCCTCTGTCAAGCCCATCCTGAGCAAGGCTGAACAGGAGTTCAAGGATAAGTGCGATGGCAAGCCAGAGAGGCCTCCCAAGTGAGTGTGCCCCACTCTCTTGCGTTCGACTTTTGGTCGGGGGCTGAATGTGGAGCTCGAATACCCGTGTATTAAGACTTGATTGAAAACGTTTGCACTGTGCGAGCCAAATTTTGTCTTTACTGCAGGGACGTGTGACGCCGTTTCGATACGTTACTGTCGTGACTTTTTCAAACTTTGACTGCACGGTTGCCGACATCTTGTACTTGCGCCCGCGATATCGCCCCTTACGACAAAATCGGGTGGTGCAAGCGGCATTGCAGGTTTATTGCCGTATGTCAACTTTCCTCATTTTGTTTTTTTTGTGCATTGCTCTTGCCTTTCAGTTCGGGGTACAGTCTTTTCTCCCGGATCATGCTGCGTCAACTGAAGAATGTGCCCGCCAAAGAAAAGATGGCCGAGATCTCGCGGCTCTGGAAGGCCCTGGGTCAGGGCGAGCGGGATTCGTACAACAAGCAAGCCACCAGGGTGAGAACCTGAAAACTTGCTCTTCCATTGTTTCTGAGCTATGGCTTATTTCTAGCCTGTCTGAGCATACTCTTTAGATAATTTTGCACCACCTGGTTGAGGGAGGGTCAGATGGGGACTGGCTGGCTGCTGATGTTTGTCAAGCTACCATCAGGTCTTTGCTGTATGTCAGGGGTGGCCAAGCTGTGGCTCGCAATCCGCATGCGGCTCTTCGCGCATTATACTGCGGCTCTCAGCTCCCCCCCACCTCCTTCCCGGTCACGCAAGCACTTCCCCAAAAAAAGGAATGGAACGTTCTTTAAATCAAAAGACAGGTTGCGCTTTGGTAGTCTTGTGCTGCTGCTACCTTCCGTACAGTTGGACTGCTTTTGACTCGGATAGACTGAAAGTAGTTCGAGTTTCGTTTATTGCTCTGTGCAAAAGTTGAACCCCACCCCCCCCCACCCCCCTCCCCCCAGCTCTTGGAAGTTTCATGGTTTTGTGTTCAGCTCTTAGGCCAGGTCAGCGTGGCCACCCCTGCTATATATTATGCATACTTAATGAAACAGATGGGTAGAGCTTTTATAGTAATGAAGATTACGATGACACTGTGAATAGCTGAGTAGAATGTTAGCATAACTTTGGTGTGGAACTATAAAAATATGTACCTGAAGTAAAAAAAAGAAAGACGTTTACAACTCTTTGTAATGCCGGTTAGAGTGCAGCTCTTGAGGAGGAGGAGAAGATACAGAGAGGTGGGTATGCCCCTCCTCTTCATCCGTATCCTCCCCTCCTACTCTCCTGCTCCCTTCCTATTTAGCGGAAAATTTCCAGCTAGATTTAGCGGAAAAAATTTCCCGCTGATGATGTATCCTATGTACATGATGTACACAATCTAGATGTACGCGTCATTATCAATAAGGTGACATACCGTGGGCTGGACGTCGCAATGGCGGTGCACGATCGATCAACGGACTTGGGACCGCTACTTCGGAACTGTGGTTTGTGGTGCCGTCCAATCGATCTTCAAGCACAGGACAGCGAGGGGAAGGGATGTAAGTGCAAAACAATCGCACTACAAACTGTTCAAACGGCGTCCTCGTTGCCATCATCTGCTTCACACGCCCGAAAAGTGGAGGAACGGTGAAAAAACTGAGTAGGGAGTGACAGCCACGTGACTTCCGGCGACTCTCTCCTTCGAGCCTCCATGCACACGTTTTGGTTTTGGTTTCGAGCAGTTGTGTTTTGTTACTTTTTGAAAAAATATAAGCTACTGTAGCAAAATAATTGATTGGGGAGTCTTCCGACACCATACTAAATTGCCTGGCAAAAATATGAACAAAAAAATGTTTGGGGGAGTCAGTGTCCCTTTGAAACACAGGGAGTGTTCAAACAATTTACTCGACACCACCCCAGAGCACAGGTTTTAGCGTTCAAGAACCAACTCGCACCTGGCATCACTCTGTCTGCATTATCATGCAGTATGACCCATGGGAGTATATCCGGTTGTCTTGCCTCTAGCACGAGCTCCCTACCTTCGACAATGCTTCAGTCCGTACGTCTCGATTGTGCCCACAGGCCAACGCCAAGTACAAGGAGAAGTATGCCGCGTACCTGAGCAACCTGCCCGAGGAGGAGCGCCACAAGCTGGAGGCGGACGGCACGAGCGCCAAGTCCGGCGGCGCGGCGGCGGCGGCCGTGGCGTCCAAGAAGGGGGCCGCGTCCGGCCGGGCTGCGGGGGACGAGAACCAGCCGCCGCCGGGGGGCCAGCAGACCCAGCAGGAGCGGCCCAAGCCCAAGAAGCCGCTGTCGGCCATGTTCTTCTTCCAGCAGGAGAAGGTGTCCGGGATGAAGGAGCGCTGCCCGCAGCTCTCGCATCAGGAAGTCATGAGGGCCCTCGCCAGGGAGTTCTCGGAGCTGTCGGACCGGAAGAAGGTGGGGTCTTCCGTTCGGCACGGTGCCTGGAGCGTGTGTCTTTGACCGGCCCATCTATCGCTGTGGGCCAAAGACGGAAAGCAAAACGCACCAAATCCTAAGCACTGGCATCGGTAGTCTTGAGGGAAAAAAAGTGAAAGAAAGGCGAAGGTAGAAAGTGGACGAAAGCTTGGGCGTGTTCATTTAGCCGTAACGAACTGAAGTTGCCCAAGCGCTTGATAACTTTATTGTGTTTTTTTATGATGCGCAATGCCAGTGTTTTCCTGCAAAGTAACCTAGAAAAGAACTAGCCACAGACTTTACACGTGGTGTTTTCCCGCTTCTCTGTGTCTATTAAGCATGTAGTACGAATATTCAAATAGTAATTTAAGATAATGCATTATTTGCTTCGAGAGGAACTGCGATAGTATTTATATTTTTCGAAGTTTTAGTCGCGGCGGATTAATCTCGTTGAGCGCACTTCTCACCGAGCACGAGTGCATTGTGAAGAAGCAACACCCGCAGAAGCGAGCTTCGTAGGTTTTGCTCCTCCACAGTGCACCGGTGCTCGGTGAGAAGCGCACTCAACGGGGTAACCCACCACAATCAACATTTGGAAAGGTATGAATATTGCAGTTGCGTACTCCCGAGAAGTACACTTTTAAAGCGGGATGGTGGATGTATGCGCCTGGTGCGTTTAAAAAGAAACGGAAGCTTTGGGAGTGTTGATATAGCTACATTTTGGAAAAACTTTCAAAATTAACGTGTGCGTTAATTTTAAAACGACCTGCGTTACTCAATCGTGATTCTTTCTTTTTAATTTGAGATTAAAGAGAGATTATTTGCATATAGCAGGATTTGTAAATTCACTGAAAGCGGAAGGTTGGGAACAACCTTCGCACAAGTTTAGCTGGGTTTTTCGTTTAAGCACGGCGCAACAGCGGCGAAAGGCTCGGAGCCACTATTCGACATGCCTAATGCTATACGCACGACGTCGTGCACCTCAACTGGAAACAGCTAAACGCACGACGCAAAACGTGTTGGGTCCCACATAAAACGAATAGTCAAAACAGGTTTCTGAAGTTGTAGCGTGGCTTACTAGAAAGGTGTCCGCTTCATACATAGTGGACCCAGGTTCGATCCAGAGTGTGGGTATAACAAAGTTGAAGGAGCGGTCGTAATTCTTTCGTTATCACCATTAGTTTGTTATAGCCAATGTCCATTTCTTCCCACTATTAGCAAGCAAGGGGAATTATGATTGCTTTGTTATATCCATTAGTTTGTTATATCCCATTTTGTTATAATGAGGTTTTACTGTACTTTTTCTTTTTGCCTAACTTTTTTTCTTTTTTTTGTGGAACATTTGGCAGTATTTACGACGATGATGAAAAATATCTCTGGAGAAGGGGAACAAGGGGGACAAAGAACAAACGCACAGTCTCCAAACACAGCTAGGTGACTAATGCGTGGCCGAAAAAATCCGCCTGGTCCGGGTATCGAACCCGGGACCTCTCCAACTGGAAATGGAGAGGTCCCTCATATTCCCGAGAGACCAGTTCGAGAATTTGTCTCCTAGAATAATGAAAACGTGTCCATGTAAGGTTGTCACATCCGGACGGTGCCGGCTCGATGGTACGAGGCCCGGCCAAATGCTGATACGGTTTCCGTGTCCAATTCATGTCTGTGCTCGGTGTTGCTGCGATGACGTCGAAATGCTAGTGCACAGGCTTTGATTATCCTAGGCGCTGGTGGCTCCGTGGCAGCACCGAAGACGGGTCCGGTCAGATTGTGCGTCGCACCGGAAAGATGTTTGGGTGGTGCATCTGGGCTTCTGCGCTTTCATTCTCGACTACACGTGGCGTTATGAGTAGGGTTTGTAAAAATTTAATTTTCAACTTTTTTTTTTTGTTCTGATGAAATTTTTTTTTTTGTTGTTAATTAAGAGTTTGCACTTGGCTGGGGATTTTTGCAGCTTGTCGCTGTTTTGAATTTGTGGCACCCTGATTGAATTTTGGCCCATGTTGCAGGAGAAGTACCAAAAGATGGCGACCGAAGCCAGGCAGAGGGCCATCGAGGAAACCAACGGTCACAAAGTGTAAGCCTCGCATGCTGCCCCTCTCCCATGTGAGGCATTGCTGCCGCCTCCCGTTGGAGGTGTCTGCGATTTTCACACTTGTAGGGACCGTGAAACGTTTTTTAATCCTTAATCGAATGTGATGTCGAGTCGTCTAGTTTTTGGCGAGGACGCGTCTGGCTGGTGCATTCAGTGTGTTGGACACTTGGGGAAGTTTCACTCTTGAAACGAGCCAACTACTTTTAGGGGCGAAGCTCCTTAGGGTCTAGCCTTGTCCGTCCGGCGTCCATGCTCGCATCGATTGCACTGCCTCCGGGATCGGCCCACTTTTTTTTAAAAAAAAAGCATACGCCCGCACGGGGGTTTGAACTCAGGATCGCTTGCTTACAAGGCAGACATCTTAACCACTACGCTACACTCCAACGTTACATGTAGCCGCTCAACGTCTAAACAGGAGAGGGCGCTGCAGTCAAATGCGTATATAATCGTGTTAAACTTTCCATGCATTGGCTCAACCGTTATAGACGAGAGGGCGCTACGGTCAAATGCTCAACTGCATATATAACCACAATCCATACCACACATTCTTTTTCTGACATGGACCGTTGATTTAAGTGGTGGAGATGCGTTCCTACGGCTTCTAGCGGATCCAAGTTGATCCGCTAGAAGAACCACTGGCTCTGCATTTCACCGACCATAAAGCAGTAATAATGAAATCGAAACGCAGCCTCAAACTCGGCACTACCTATGAGCAATAAAAAAAAAATCAGCACCATCAGCACTACCTATGAACAATAAAATCAGTATCATCAGCACCACCGAAGCTGACCTCAATCAACATCATTCACCACGTGGCGATGCAGTCATTTTTTTCTTTAGCTGAGCAGTTCTCGGCACAGCTTTTTCCATTTTTCCGATGGAGATTTTGATAAAAAAACTGGTCTTCGAGTACATGTGTTCTCCTTCTCTCTTCACATTTGACAAGATACACTCAAATAAGCTTCATCTTGCCTCATTCTCTAGCCTTTTTAGATGCCGTAAAGTCTGTGACTGCGTCTGAAGCTCGTCTTTTCGGGATCTGATTGCCGTCCGTTGCTCCTTTAACAGGAAAGAGGAAAGGACGTACCAGTCGGCTGCCCAGCCGACCTCGAACCGCAAGAACAGGCTCTTCAAAGGGGAACCCAAGAAGCCACCTCAGTAAGAAACCTTACACCATCACGAAGGCAAACAAAACTTTTCATACCGACAAGCTGTAGTATTGGCTTTTCTTTGGTGACCCAGATAAGTCCGCTTCTTTGTGGCCACTATAAAACCGGAATTTGTGGAGGACGTGTTATCGGGCGGTGCATTTACCTGGTGAAATCACCTCTAGACAAAGCACCCGTTTTGTCACGGCAACTGTCGGAAGTAATCAATGAACAGTTATAAAGTGAGCTTACTTTCGCCCTTCTCTAATTATGTTGTTTTATTTGAAAGCGAGCCTCACTGATGTTGGCCAAGAAAATGGCTGTTGCCTCGTGCAGTGAGAGTTGTCGACCTCGGACCCCCTCACAAATCCCGTCTATGCACCCCGGTTGAATATTTAAATTAAAGAAACGGTGCACTTCCCTTTTTAAAGTGCTCAAATATGTTTGTGCTTAGTTTTTGCTTTCTTTCATCTGGAACTGGGACTGCAGTCCCACCGTAGATGTCTGTTGACTTGATGCGCGATTATGACCGGAGGCGGCGTTCCTTCCGCAGGAGCGGGTACGGGGTGTTCTCGACGGAGATGCTCAGCCAGCTGGTGGACGTGGACCCCAAGCACCGCATGGCGGAGATCGCCAAGCGCTGGAACGTCATGTCGGACGCGGAGAAGGAGACCTATAAGCGCAAGGTGCAGGACCAGCAGCGCAAGTACGCCAAGGAGCTGTCCAGGTTCCTCGAGGTGCGTCTCCCCTGGCTCTTGCGCTCTCTGCTGCCTTCCGGTTTTTTAGATTTCGAAGGGACCCCGAAACGGATGCCGGCGGCGACGACCTTTTCTTCCACGCGCTATGATCTCGTCAGGATGGCACTGGGTCCCCCTGCAGTGCTATTGGCTGCAGTGTTCTTTTGTTGTTTTTTTCTTTCAAGTTTTGTAACTTCTAAAGCTTACGGCCTTTGAAGTTATAGACACTGGCAATTTCCGTCTATAAATTTGTTTACTTCACACGTTTTTTTGTTTGTTTTTTTCTTTTTTTCTTTGGTGCAGAATTTGACCCCCGAGGAGCGGCTGGAGTATGAGGCCCGTCGCGCCAAGATGAAGGACAAGCGTAAGGGCGGTGCAATCAAGGCGGCCGCCACCCGCAAGGAGAAGAAGCGCAATGCCGCCAACAACGCAAAGCCTAAGGTCAGTAGCTCATCTTTCTTCTATTTCCATTGGTCCACCCACTCAAGGTGTTGATTGTCGGAAACTGTAACAGGAGTAGTGTGTCCAGCTTTCGTTCGCTGCGTAGGTTCCTTTTGGTAGGGGAGGGGGGGGGGGGGCGGCAAAGGCAGGGGCAAGGGGGTGGCAAGTGAACACAAACACGCTGTTTACAAACAAGCCCACGTTTGCCTGCAGCAGGTGTGGGCACTGCACCAGCACACAGACACCAGATTTGCGTGAGACGAAGCATCTGCGCACACGGTGTGCTGACTTCAGCGCTACTGCAGTGGCACGACTTCGAAGGGACGAGTCGGCGCGTGAAATTTACGTTGCATAAACCCAACGGTCGAGCACTGTTGTTACGCCGTGATCACGAGATGCAACGTGCCATTACCTTTGCCATTACCTTTGCCATTTTTTTTTTACCTTTTACTAACCTACTCAAATATGGGCTGGTACAATTTTTAACTTTGGTTTTACTCTGGAGCCCCACTGAAGCTGGACCCTTTACCCCGTACCAAAATAAACAACATTTGGGTCGGGCATTGCGAGTACGAGTGTGCTTCGTAAATTTAGTCGGAAGTTGGACAAGCAGTTAACGGCATTTTGGGGCAGTCCAGAACGAGTGAGGTCCTCAAGAGCACGGTCAAAGTCACGCGCCGCGCGACGTTTTTCTGCAGGAGCAGAGGGCGCCGTCGTCGGGCAGCAGCTCGGACGACTCTTCGGACGAGGATGAGGACGACGAGGAAGAGGAGGAGGACGAGGAGGAGGAGGCAAAGAACAGCGACAAGTCCGAGGAGGCGTCGGACTCTAGCTCGGAAGCGGACTCCGACTCGGGCTCGTCAGACTCCTCCAGCAGCGATGAGGAGGAGGAGGAGAACGCCGCCGTTCCCAAGAAGCCGCCGGTCGTGAGGAAAGAACCGCCCCTTCCCGTTCCGAAGGCAAGTTCATTATTGATGCTAAGCACATTTTTAACGGAAGTGGGGATTTCTGTAGCTGTGGCCGTGCCATTGCCACCGCCCTTTTCCCCTGCGCGCTTCCCAACTCTGCTCTCACTCCGTCGGCCTCGATAACACTTGGGCGTCCTCTCTCACAGCCTCACAATGCGAGTCAATAAGTTGCGTTACAGTGTGGAGAAGAGCCGAGCTTTCGCGAACAGTCTTGTACGCATCGCTGAAAAAGAGTAACCGGCTGCAATTCTTTTATTGAAAAATGTAACTGATTACGGTAATCAATTACTGCATCACAAAAGTAATTGAAAAATTACCAGAAAGTAATTTATGACTTTTCACGTTGCTTTTCCAACTCTTTATTACGAAATCGAAAATGCAGACATATGCTCAAAGTGGTTACATTTTGTTTCTCTCTGTCATTCACACCTTGTTAAGCTGCAACTGCAACTTCAGCAGTTCGACAGTCAAAACGTTGCCGAGTGTGTTGACATTCTAATCCTTTGCGTATCTTGGTATCTTTTTTCAGTTGTTTAGGGTGAAAAAAAAAGTGTCCAACGTTGGTGCACCAGACGAGTGACGCACGGGCAGACAGCGATTTTTTACGTAAAATAACTCGACCAAGTGATTTTAGCTTTTTCAGAAATGCATACTTGATTACAGAAAAATAGTAATTGAATTACAGTGAATGTTACCGCAGAAAGAGAGGAATTGAGGCATTAGAAAGTTACAATAAAGTATGTTGATAACAAGTATTCAGTTCTTGTAACTTGTTACGTACACTTCTGGTCTTGAATAACGGCAAGAACCGGGCAGTCACGCGAACTGTTGATCTATTGCGGCTCGACAAATCGTGTTGTGGTGTGCGCAAGAGGAGTGTCTGGGGCATTGAAGACACAACTCTTCGCGGGCATGACGATTGTCCTTGCGTCGCTCACAGACATGCATATACATTACAAATGTGTTCTGGGTAGGGGGCGTTCATTGGCATCAACACAGTCGAGCTGTGAATAGGGTCAAGAGCCAACGAAATTACGGCGTCGCATATCTGAACCGCGAGATTGGCCGGAATCGGTGGAGTATGCCACGATGACCTCTTGCATCACCTTTGTTACGCTCTTTACCAGCGCGTACCTAACGCTTTTGTGGCACATCGCCGTCAATGTTTCAGGTGGAGGCCAACAACACAGGTCACCAGGAGGAAGAGGAAGAAGAGAGCAGCGACAGTGACAACGAGGAGAGCAGTTCGGACAGTAGCGACGACGACTCCAACGAGTCCGGTTCCGACAGCAAGGACTAGTCACGTCGGCGTGGCTCCGCCCCCGCCGGGCCTGTACAGTTTCGCACCCATTTTCCCTTCCGTCGTCGACGTCTCCGAGGAGCTCCCGACTCCCTCCGTCAAGGGACTACTCAACTTCGACGTGCCCCGTGGTCAGAATCCCCCCCACCCCAATTCGGAAGCGGCGGCATGCGAGAAAGAAGATTTTGAGGTGCCGCACGCACTCTAGTTCCTTTTTTTTTTCTTAGCGAAATTTAGTTTTGGAACGTCCCAGCCGCGCGATCTGGAACGACTCCGGAAGGCGACCGGGCCATCCCAGCTCGGCATCCCGCCGCCCGTGTCGACGAAACTTTTTGCCGCTTCAGAGTCCCGGTGCCGAGAAGAACCGTGCCCGCGCTCACAACCTACCTAAAAGCCCGTGCTGCGCTTACAACTGAGCAGACTTGCTGTACCAGTACCCGTCTACAAAGTGCCTGTCGTGCGGAATTTTAGGCTCCCAATGCTCGCGTCGGCCACCTTGTTTTCTCAACGTCTCGCGGCAAATGTTTTACATGCCACGTATGTGTCGATTTCTTCTGCGAGCCGCGCGACGCCCGAAGTCAGAATTTTTACGTTGCGCCCCAAGGCGTTTGTCGGAAACGCGCTGCGTTCCGACACAATGTTTCTCGCCAAAAAATATGTTTTGCCAAGGCCAGCCCGGTCTAACTCGCTCAGACGGAGCTCCGCAGCGGTGAGACGTCGACCTAACGTATGCGTCATACTCCTCGTTTTTTTTTTGTTCCTTGCACACTCCTACTTAGCTGAAAGCTTTGTCAGCCCCGTGTTGTGACCATTGGGGGCGAAGTGCCACCGAAAGGGGGGTAGGATTGTGCCCCATTTATATAATGAAAAGAGACGAAAGCTCAGCGTACCTCCAGAGTCGTGCACAGGTTTTCAACGGGATTCGCGTCTCGGTCTCCTCAAGTTTCTGCGCCGCCACTTAGAACAAGGGAAGAAAGAGAGAGCGGAAAAATTTTAACGTGCCTTTCCCCTTGTTGAAAAAGAAAAGAAAAAATATGCGGTGCAGCGTGCCATGTAGTTTTCGTGTTGTGCGTGTACGTCGTCCTTCATATATTTTTTTTTTCTTCCCATTATTTTTCCGAGTTTGTACAAAAAAAAGGTTGCGCATCAGTCTTTTCTTTTTTTTTTCTCTCTGTGCTACCACGTTCATGACCATTGTCACCAACTAGTCCATTTGCCTTAACTGGGATGCAAAAGGGAATTTTTTTTAAATAAAACCATGTTGCAAAGTTTATTTTGTTGAGTGCTTTCTACTGCTGCTTCTGCCGAAGCACTGCTGTCGCAGGCGATGTTTTCGGGCAGTGATGTGACCGCTGTGCCAAAGTGGTAAGTTTCGATAAAATATCACGCATTTGTGCCAACATTGTGCCAACCATATAGGTAGCAACCGCAACAATCCAACCATATAGCGGGGTGAGGCCCCACTACGTGGTTAGGTTGTGACAGTGGGCTTGTGCGAGTTTTCAGAACTTTCAATTATCGCCTTGTGTAAAGTACTATGCTTAGTTTGATCTCTGTACCAAACACTAGTACAGAGACCCGCGCGCTAAGGAGAAAGCATGACTCAAAACCGGGACGTTGTGCACGAAAACATCAAATCCATATATAAAAAAAAAATTTAGCGGCGATATAATAACTATTTTGCAGTAATGTTTCTGAATAAAACTGCTCTATAATAAACATCAATATTCATTTTTTTTTTTTTTCAATTCTAGGTTTAGCAAGGATGCTTGGGTATTGGGAGGGGTTTCTAGACTGCTTTTTAATTTTTGTATCGACTCTTTAGTTATCACCTTTGTATAGTGTCCATCCATTCGACAGCACAGTCCATTGAGCAAAATAAAACTAAGTTAGCTGGATCAGTGGACGGAAACCTTGGAATAACTCTGAAGAGTTCAGCTGAATTGTTTTCTTAAAAAGGCATACTTCTCTTTCACATGCCAATTTTTGGTATCGGAAAGTTCTAAATACAAGATGTGACTGATGTTCATAACCAAATGACAAAAGCTTTGTATTTAGCCGAGTTAAGAGTTGCAGTTTTGTACAACCTATTCTAACATTATTTTGATAAAATATATTTGGTTTACCCTCAATTCCATGCTAATATTTACAGCAGTTCATACTGTTCTTCATCAGTCAGCATACTGTTGCAGTGCCTGGTGTCTATACGCAACCAAGCAGCTTGTTTTGTTTGAGGCAATCATACCTGCAGTGCTGTGCAATTGATTGCAAAAGGTTGCACATAAGTGAGAAGGCAAAGTAGGCAATGTCTTCGCAGTGGTGCCAGTAAAAATGAAGAGTGCGGTTGTATTCCAAGTTGTTTTTGCTGCTCCAAAATGACTTGCGACTAATCGTATCACTCTTGGTAAGGTGATGAGATTTTTTTACTTGGTCTACATTAGAGTCGTACAACATTAGCGAGGGAAGTGGCAAAGGTGAAAGGAACATGCAGGGTTTTCCTGGAAACAAAGTTATTAAACGTTATAAGGAGTTGCGTCATTCATAGAATTTGGGGTGGTGGTCCCAATTCACAGAATCGAGAAACTAAGGAATAAAACAAAGCACAAGTTACATGGGGGACTATTATGTATATACTAGCTCAGGTTTTATTTATACATTTCTGGTGCAAGGTAGATTTCTATCGCCACTCAGCATGCTCCTTTTTGTTCCAAACTTATTCTGCATGTGCAACATGCCACCCTTAGTTCCCCCTTAGCACACAGGTGCACTACAGCAAAGCAAGACATGCCAATTCAGGATATCTACTCTGCAGTTGTTGCTTCACTGTAGTACTCCAGTGCGTGCCGAGCAGTGCATATTTTAAAACGTCCGAGCACTGTCGGTGTTCAATACAGATATCATATTGCATAATACGTATTTGAAACGACACGAGATTTCTGGAAATTCGCATAAGTCTACCGTAACGATCTGGTCGTGTTATGTGGCCTAAGCTATCACTTTCAGTATTAATGAGCTGAAAATATATTTTGGTGCACTGTTGGCACAAAATCCTCATTTTGGCAGAATATGGCAGGACATAGTAGAGCTAAGCACCCTGGCACAACTTGTGCAGCAATCGCATCACGAAGACCTGTTTGCGAAGGACAAGAGTTCTGTTTCAAACAAAAATGTTTTATATAACTTTGCCCTAGTTACAAGATTATTGAGACTTCACCGATTTTCCGAGTCGTGAGGATCATAACTACAGAGTTGGCCTCAGTGAAAACGAACAGCCTGTTAGTCAATAAAGTTTTAATATCTATCCAAACACAACAATGACAGCAGACGAAAAAACATCCATCCACTTTTTTTTTTCCACGTTTCTGCGGCGATCCATTTGAAAGTTCTCTAGTCTTTCAGTAGCCACTTAAGTAGTAGTGGCACTCGCTGAGGAGGGGGAGACAGATGTTTATTCGAAGACGCTACCTAGGTAACATAAATTACAAGAAGTGAGCATGATGGGGCAGTCTTCAAAGCAGCATGAGGTCTGGCCTCTCCAGCAGACGCTTGAAGTGCTGCAGCCACTGTGCTCCTACCGCCCCATCCACCACGCGGTGGTCGCAGCTCAACGTCACCGACATCATCTTCACTGCCCTGTACCTGCGGATCAAAAGCAATCAAAATTCAGAAGGGGCACTCTTTTTAATAATAATAATTTGATCTGGGAATATTTTCAATACAGAAAACCGATCCCGTCAAAGCCTGTGACGCTTGTATGACGCGACTCGACAGTCACAAAAAATGTATAATTCCATTCAAACGCCATATTTGTGCGGCAAAAAAAAAAAAGAAAAGAGGATGCTTAAAGTGTTATTTATCTACCATAAAATACTGAGTATCCACCCAAAAGATTAACCGCGAAGCTCGACGCTGATTGGATGGCGGAAAAATCCCGTAATCAACGCTGACTGGCTGACTCCGGTCAGTATGCGAGGTTCTGGGAAACTGCCAGGCTTTAAGACCCGACTAGTGCCAGTATGTTCATTCCAGGAACTGCTATCAAGCTTATATGCCGCGTGTTAAGTTATGTGACGAAGAGCACTGCAAGCGTAGGCACCGGGCTCGAAAATGTTCCAGAGTGATACGGGAACGTTTCACGTGGAACACAACAAACTGCCCAGCAGTTTGCTACACAATTTTGCAGTTAGTTCGCGTCAAGGTGAGCTGAAGTACAGTAAACAACTGCTGAGACGCCCCGGTTACATGCAGACGACGAACGGCACGTTCGCAGAAGCGACTGACGACTTCAGGGAGTCTAGTTCAATTTTAAACTGCCGAGACCAGACTTGCAGGGTTTAAAACTCTCTAGTTTCATTACTATTCTGCTTTAGACACCAGGAATCCTGGCTTCAGTACACACCACTACCCGTTTCAATCTGATTGAGCGTCTGAGAGTCGTACCAACGTGCAGCCGTGTGTCGCTACTGTGTAATGCACATTGAAGACCCCAGGCTAGAAGTGGTACTACACTGGTCTAATATCTCATCTACAGCGGAGACCTCGGACGCTTATTAAGACCAACTGCCTTCCGGCTGTCTAAACATACACACACAAAACAATTATTGCTTCATTAATGACTACATTCTTTAAGTCTTTGCTGGATGCAAACAGCAGACGAAGGATTTGTGTTAATGTATGACCTGGAAATAAGCGCTGTTTGTGCACACTCAAACAGTCACCAACGAGCTCGGCCTAATATCAACCGACAATGTGCGGACATGCACTTGATCAGACGAGGTAGGGTTTTGAACACACTAAATTGAACTGTCGGGCAAGATTGAACATAGTGTGTAGGTTGCAAGTTCGGTGGAGTAATAAATACGACGTCCTTACCCTGTATTGCTGTTTTCATCTGGAACCAAGACGTCTTCTGTGCAGCCGACTGCCAGGATGCAAGCCTGAAAAAGAACGAGCAATGCGCCTCAAAATATTCGCCCGGTTTTCATTCAAGCTACAACATATCCCTGACATCATTGCCACCACTTTCTATAATTTAGGCAGCATTTATCATAATTTTCTGGCGAGACATTTTAATTTCCGTAGCACTGTTAGGCAGAGCAACACAGTAGAATGCACTAAAATTACTTATGGTGTGCACAAATTTTTTCATGCAATCTGTTCTACTCTTCTATAACTCTGGCAAGAAAAGGGCTCCCGTACTAGCATGGTCCTAGAAGAGTACTTCTTTATTCTATGTTGCCGCTGGTCCTAAACCCTAAAAATCTCACTCATTCAGATTCTCTTTCCAACAAATGCCAAATTTTGAAATTCATTTAAAGGAATTGATTACAATGTTTCAACAATACCTGAGGAGGGTTGATGATTGCAGAGAAATTTTTGACTCCAAACATCCCGAGGTTGGACACGGTTATCGTTCCACCCTGCAAAGAAAATATTTGTGGTCTGAAGTCACAGCAGGTTCCATGAAAACCCTGTATCTAACCTGAAACTCGTGTGGCTGTAATTTCTTGTCCCGTGCTTTCGAAGCCAAGTTCTTTGTCTCTTCACTGATGCTCGCAAGTCCCTGCAAAATGGTATGATAACATAACTTTTCGACTGCACAGCCTCGCTCCTGCAACACTCAAAAAGCCGAAATTTTAATCAAAAGACCGCCCAGACTTGTGTCTGTATAACAATGAACTCCCTGCAAAATGTCAACCTAGAGAAAAAGAGTAAAATCCTGCAGGATTTCCGAAAGTACAGAACTGAAGTTTACTAACCTTCCTCGGAAGATTACTGTCGAAACCGGTTAGAGTGAAGTCAACGGGAAATCACTTCCCTATATCGGATATAGGGAAACCACTTCCCTATATCCGCTATTTCATTATAACCGACTTCGGTTATAACGAAGGGCAAAAGGGAATAAGAAATCGTGATCGCTTCGCTGTAGCTGCTATTTCTTTATAACCGGTCTCGACAGTATAAGCATATTTCTACAAATGATTTTGTATTGGCTTGTTTTCTACAACTACATCTGAGTTAAAATGGGTGGAAACGAAATAGAAAGCAACATAAATCATAGGGATCATAAATGGGCAAAACAAGAAACGACAACATCACAGGAGACTCTAATTTGAGGGTCACCACACTCACAATCTGCCACATCGCGCATTCAAAGAACGGAATTATAAGCAAAACATCTTGCAGCACTGCATGTTCATCATGAAAGTAAGTGCACTTATCTAATGTAACACAGAAGGATCCTTGCCTTTTTCTCCGCTCCAAACACAATTGGAGTAATAAGACCTTCGGGTGTGCTCACAGCCATATTGACATCGACCGACTTGTACCTGAAACCGTCGACATATTGTGTCAGTTGTGGGGTGTGCTTGAAACAAGACGCTACAGCTTCAGTGGGCCTTTGGTTAGGGGCCTCATCCGTAAGCAGAAAAGAGGTCATATAAGACTGTTCTAAATGCGCAGCATTTATAGGGCCACGTCTTAGGCTTCGTGCTCGCGCCTGGGATATAGCCTCGATTGCGTCGGGGTGGCACATGATGACCGTCGGGGGTCATCATGTGCCACCACGCACAATTGGGGGGAGGCTTATGGGGCTTCAGCCAGCCCCCTCCTCCCAAATTCATCAGACCCTACAATATACACGCGCATTTCGACAACCTTCCCCCCCTCTGGGCCCCAATTCATGAACATCCCAGCCACCTCAGCCAGCCACCCCTCCCACCCCCACCGAAAAAAATTACTGACTACGCCGCTGGATGTGAGCGATTATAAAGTGCAGTCACATTCCTGATGGTCACATGACATGACATGACAATGTGCCGTCAAAGAGGACCTAAACATTTAATGCATTTAGGGTGCCTTTAAAACATACCAAAATAAAAATCTTTCGTTTTTTTGCTTCAAAATTTGATATTGGTGTAATCGTACAAGCACTGCAACACTTCTGCTTTGTCACAGTGAAGAACAACAGTCAAGTTATTAACATGACTCAAAAGGGGCTCTCGGAGCTGACTTACTCTCGGATGAAAGTCTCCTGCCAGGAGGAGTTTGCCTGCGGCACTTTCTTGCAGGCCAGGGCAGTGGCTTTGATCACAAAGTCATTCACCGAAAGCTTGATGTTCTCCTTCTCCATTGCCTTGTTGAACTCCTCACGAAGCCTGCAGGGGACGGCACGCAAAATGTGCGTTCACAGTCTCCACCCTAGCTGACGACTCAAAACCGTGGCTAGAGGAAACAACCAAAACGTCCGTTGCTGTACGACACCAATGTCTTGACGACATTTTGTATGCGGGTTCACCTAATGTGAGAAACCTGCCTTGTTTACCTTGCCAAACGCTTCCAGTCACGGATAAAGTACTACATGCCTATTTCTTAACACTTCGTAACTAAGGTAAACTTGATTTTGCTCAAATACATACCCTCAAAGTGATTGGCTTGTCCCAATTTTTGCCAGATCAATCATTGAGTCTAGTAAACTTTCACGTGAGAAAAAAGAGTTTTACTCAAAAACGAAGGTTCTTTAAAGTAAAGTTTCACTAAATTGAAGTTTCAGTTCACTGAAGATTTTCTGAAGATCCCGACACTTCACCCAAACAAGGTCTTACGTCACAGCGTTGTTTAGCATTTAATTAATACAATGGGATATTTTATCCACTCAGCTCTGCACACTCTTCACAAGGCTAGCAGGACAGGAACACTCAAGTACAACAGTCAGAATAGGAAGTATTCCCTGGCGGCCCTAGCTGTGTGCAAGATTGCCGAGCGCACGATGATGGTGAGCTTCCAGAGTTTGTTTGCTAGGTGCATTCCACACCATCAACATTGCCGATCTTAGCAACCTATTAATGTGATCTCGTTCTGAGCATGCACTCTAAACAGCACCCACAAATATGGCGTCCAGTAAATACTGCCTATACCGTACTTACTTCATGACGGCGTCCATGTTGATGTCCACCGAGAGGTAGTAATGGGGAATTGTTTGCTTTGACTGGAGTAGTCGTTTCGCGATCGTCTGCAACACGAAACGAGGGTCATGGCAAGACATGCCGATACTTCTCAAATGAACATCGATTTGCCACTCCGTACCTGTCGCATGCTCGTAAGGGAGATGTCTGTGTACTTCGTCCCAGCGGCAACTGGAGCCGCAGCCGCAGCCATCGGCACAGCCGAAGCCAAGTCCTGAGCCACAATTCGACCCCCGGGTCCACTGCCAACCGGGATTTGCTGCATTTTGACGAATAAATTCAATTTAGAATCTGAAGAGGGTATGAAAAAAACAGACCTGCAATTTCAGGTATGAATCAGACTCGCAATGTCAACATCTATGAAATGTTTGTGATGATTAACGTGCCTAACAAAATAGAATTACATAAAAGACAAGGAATGGGCAGAAAAAATAGTGTTTGTCTTCTGTTCCTCTGGCACCCATCACCATCTTTTAATTCGTCCATTTTCTAACTACGTATGTTGAAATATCACGGGTTCAAAGGCAACAATTCAAGGACTCATCTGATGTCACTGTTGTACTTTGTGACAAAGCGGCCCCAGAATATTAATTTAGATATCTCCCTACAACAAGGAACTAGAAAGAACTAACCACATTCTACCTCCATGCTTTACATTCCAAAGACAGCACCATTCTAAGAGCGCACAACAGCATAGGCCCGTTCACACACTTGCGACTCCTTAGAACCGAACACCTTAAAACCTCTTACGACGGAAGAACACACTGACACGCTGGCACCATCCATGCAATGACCCTGCAATTGCATTTCATTGGAGCGAAGGTTTGACGATATTTTGCGAGGTCAAATGTAATTACTACTTATGAGAAATGCTTGTCTCTAACAATGACAAAAGATTTTCAAGCCAAAAAAAAGAATGATGAGCAAAAGAAGTTGAAAATATACGAGACCGCCCGTGTTCCAGTGCTACCCAATAGGTGGTGCCGGTGTGTCCTTTAGTTGTAAGAGATTTTAAGAGGTGTCAAGGCACGCGGTTTTAAGAAGTCGCAAGTGTGTGAACAAGCTTAAAGGGCCCCTGAAAAGAAAAGAAATGTTTTTCTAAAAAGTCTGGTTGGGACACGCGTGTAAACAAATTAAGTTTACGCAAAAAAAAAACGTTTTAGAGCAACATTGACGGCAAGAAATTTATTTGAAGTTCTGCGCGCAATGTCCATGACATACAGGTCATTCCGGAATGACCATCTTGATCGTGAAAGCGAAGCAGATCCACCTCTCCTCCACGCTCCCAAAATGCCGAGAGAAAACAAGTGGAAAGGAGGTGACTGCCGACTAAATCGCACCTCGCATCGTCAATATTGCTCTAATTTTTTTATTTTTTTTGCTTAAAATTTTTTACACGCGTGTCCCAATCAAACTGTTAAATTTCTTTTTCTTTTTAGGGTTTTTTAAGTCTTTTATTAGCTCTAGCACCCACGGTTCTGCAAACCATGCTGTTTCAGTACTGTTTAGTACCAACACTTACAATACTACTACAGTACTAATTACTAGTTATGCTTGCTATACTGCTATAGTCCCACTTACTATGCTACTACAATACTTTCCAATTACACTCATACTACTATACAGTGACAGATTTAAGGGGGGGGGAGAGGTTACCATTTCCCCTTCAGCCATCTATAATGTTCAATTTATTCGTAACGTAACATCTCGTTACACAGGACTCCTCCTCAAGCCAAATTACCCCCCACCCCCCTCGAACCTGACCAATAACTCTGCTCCTGCTAGTACAGTACTACTTACTACCTACAACTTATACTTACTATACTACTCTAGTACTTCTTACTCCTTAGACTTATCATACTACAGTACTACTCATACTTAACTATACTACTAAAGTACTACTTACTAGACTCTAGTGCTACTTACTATTTATACTTACTGTGCTATTACAGAACCTCTTACTACTCACACTTACTCTATCTGTTAGTTATAGCAATGATTTCTAGTATGCAGGTTCCACTGTAGCACAACCCGCATTATGCCCAGTGTCATGACAATATTTGTAACAAATGATACTAACGGCTAGATTGAGGCCTTGTTCTGCCGCCAGCCGCTTGGCAAGGGGACTCGCAAAGAGGCGACCCCCCACTCCCGCGGCCGGAGCACCAGCCATGGACGGAATGGGTGTCGTCGGAGTCAGAGCCGGAGCCGGAGCCGGAGCCGCTGCGGGAGCTGGAGCCGGAGCCGGCGCTGCCGGAGCAGCTGCAGCCTTGGGCTGAGCAGTGGGTGCTGCAGTGCCGTCGTCCACAAAGTCTTTGAAGGCAGCAACATCTGCCTCGTCGTAGACGAGAATGCAGAGGAGCTGCATTGGAAATTACCAAACCAGTCAGTCTAAAACTTGTGATGTTTTTTTTTTTCCTCAGCTTTGAAGAGAGCTGGTAGTTTCTTAAAAATAAGTAAATGAAGGCCAACTTTTATTTCTATGCAGTTCAGCGGTACTGCCACAAAGGTTATGACAAGGAGAGATGTTCTCTTCTTAATTTAGCCGACGCGTTCACGTGATTCAGTTCTCAACAGAAGGTTTAGAGTGCCTTAGGTCGGGGTGCTGTGGTAGCTCCCCACCTTCACAAAGTTTGCCTAGTCATATCTTTTGTATTTACTGGAGGTATTCAAAACTATTAGCCACCTCCTGGTCTGTTTATTCATCATTATTTCAGTCAAACAGTAATCTTTCATTGAACTAAATTCAAGAAAGGAAAAATGAAAAGACAAGACCATGGTCTTGTCAAATTTTCTGATTGCTAATATTTTACTGGGTCCTCTAATACTCTAATAGAATTTATAGGCTCCTTGCACTGACGTCACATCGCATACTTTTGACCAGATGTAAAAGGCAGAGAGGGAAGCTGCTTTTGTAAGAAGTTTGAGTGAGAGGTCAATCTTCTATAATCTTCTGGGAGGAGAATAGCGACCTCTGTGCATATCTGGGAGGCACAAAGGAGGATCCTGATAAGAGGGGAGCTCTTCCTTCCCCTTTTCTCTGGAGGTCATCTGAAATGACGTCATGTGCAAGCCACGTGTAATACTCTGATTGAACACACAGCAATCCAACTAGACTCCTTACGTTCCACTACCGCTCCAAATACTCTACCGGGACTTGTAATAACACAGCAGAAAAATGCCTAATGCTTTACTTGGGCTACAAACACTCCTTAGGGATTCCTCATACTTCACAGGGGTTCCTAGCACTCCACTGGGATTCCTAACACCCCAGCTGGGGTGCAAATACTCCAGAGGAACTTAGAACACTCCACTAGGGATGTCTAATACTCCAGCTGAGACTCCTAAAACTCTGCTGGAACTCCTCATATTTCACAGACACTCCCCTAACACTCCTCATTGGGACTCGCAATACATCACTGGTAGAACATGATATCCCATGGTACCTTGCCAAGAGGGACATCTTTGGTGCCGGCCGGGATGATGATTTTGGCAAGGTAGCCCTCTTCGGGGGTCTCGAAGCCCATTGTTGCCTTGTCTGTTTCGATTTCGCACAAGAGGTCACCCTCGTTCAGCTTGTCCCCTTCCTTCTTCTCCCAGGAGATAATCGTCCCCATCTCCATTGTTGGGGACAATGCAGGAAGCAGGACCCTCTGGTGGTTGGGAAGGTCTGGCAAATCGAAACAAAGAATACATTACAAAATCCAAGTATAGAGAGAGGGCTTGAGAGAAGCAGATGAATGGGGCACCCCCAAGTTTCATAATTAGAGTTCTGTGTTTTCGGGCTTCATTTTTTTTTTCGAATTTGAAAACGGTTTTGGGCGGTTCATCTTTTTTGACACTGATTCGGTGTTTTCCGGTGTCTATTTTTAGTGGCGGACAAGAAATACGGACGGGCATTAAATGGGGCTAACTTTTAAGAAAACATGACATGGACGTGGGATTCCCCATCGTCCAGGGATCATGCGCGTGACAGGAATACCTAGAAAACGTCCCAGACTCCCAGTAATGATAATATAGGAAAACAAGCTAAGGGGTCTGGTTCTCAAAGGAAGAGGCTGCCTTGCGGACAGTTCAGTGCAGGCCGTGTTCCCCGTCAAGACAAAATAAAGCTGCAGGTAAAGATCCCTTTCCGTAAAGCTGGGGTTTTTCTTATTGAAGGAGTGCTCCGATTCCAAATTTGTCGGTCTTCCTCAATTTTGATGACACTGGCTCAGGAAACCTTTTGTGATTTATTGATGTACACCAATAACCCGGGACCCAATCTCATAACGGTGACTAAACACCGGCCTGTTGTAGATTGGCTGGTGTTGAAATGGTTGAAGATGTAACTGTAACTCGGCCAGTGCCGTCTGCGATCAAATCTTTAAAAATTGTTCTCCCAGTTTCCCGGAGATTGCACAAGGCAACTAAACATCACAACAGAATGTGACGCTTTAAGAGCAGAGAGGGAACATTGGGAAAATGCTCTTTCCTACATGGTGTTGGCACGGCTAACCCAGAAGGAGTAGCCAAACGGCCCAAAGCAGCCGAGAGTGAACATATGTCTCAGTAGATAGATAGGACGAGGAGACGAGATATACAACGGAAGAACAGCGCCAGTTGGAAAGATGCTTCATTCTGTCTTCATCCTTTCCGTTCTCTTGTAAGTCTGCCTAGTTTAGCAGGTGTCATGGTAAAGATGTGTAAATGAGGAAGATACATGACATCAAATCACGCGAGATGACTGATTGGCTAGTGGTTAACATTGTTATGAAAGCAATAAAAGACGAGCGATTCAGCCAATCGCTTGAGGACCTGCTCAGATCACGACCAGAACAAACGTGTCTGTTGGCTTCGTCCTGCGGAAGCTAATGTCTTCGGCAGGAGCGCCGCTCCGAAATGACCGGCAGTTTCCTAACCCACACGGCAGACCGTTGAGTCGGAGCTCACACATCCAGTGATGCCCCAGCGAATTGACCTTTAGGCCACGGCACCTCATCTGGCTACACCTTGTAGACTAGTCAGCCCGTGGGCAGTCTTATAATACTACAGTCACGTTGCCGAAGTAACAAATATACCATTGTGTCGTGTAAAACTTGAGATTGGAGACGAAAGATGGCCGAGCTTGGGACGTTCCCCTCCGGTCTCTTTTTCTTCGACTTGAAAAATCCTTTTTTTTTTCTCATCACTGACTTGGGATTAACACATATGATTAACTACCACCCGCCGCACACTCAATATTTTTTCATTAAATATGCTACCTCCACCTGAGGTTCCAGCGGCCATTACGAAATGCAGTACATAAAGAAACAATCAGTCGTTCCAGTGTATAGCCTTAATTCTTGCAATGACAACTTCTACGTATTAAGATATTGCGGGCTAAAAGGCTCAAGGAAAGTGGTTCAGAAATCGACTTACTGCCCGCACTGTATGACCGTCGCTGCACCTCTTTTCTCCATTGTTTGGACCACAGTGAACTGTTGCTGCTCCTAAGACCCGGCGTTCCATAGCTGAAAAAAAAAAAAGAAAAATAAAGGCACTGATGAGATCACGGTTGATTTCTCCAGAACCGGGATTTCAAACCAGCGATCGATCTCAACGCGATAGCAAGGTCAATGTTTTCTTATTCAAATTTCGTTTCTGTCGGTGCATTTTCGATTCGAACGTAACGGTTATAGAAGAGGCTATCAATCAGGCGTTTTGATGAGTATTAAAAAAAATTGTCAGGCCCTATTTTTGCCCAAGAAAGTTTTAAACGTGACCTTTCATAACAGGCCGATAGGTTACCGGTTACCTGCGATTGGAGGTTTTCCCGTGGTTTCCTGCGGTGCACACCCTCGCGATTTGCACCAAACGGTGGGAGCGGCTGCAGGCACTGCCAAGTTCTTGGCGTATCAACAACACAGTCCGAAACATGGTGAATTTTTGTCCTCTGGGTCACTATTTTTTTTAGAGGAAAGTGACCGACGCCAGCACCGATTTCGGATGGCTCGGATACGACGGTAATGTTGGAGAGGGCACGGCACACGTTGATCTTGTTGATCACAGAGGGCGACAGTGTCACTCACGTAAATGTTTCCTTTATTTATTTAAAACAAATGAAAACGTGTTATTGCTATTACAGTAAGCATAAAACTATTTGAAGTCGTAAAATTAAGAATTTCACCACTTGGTAAAAAGAAAAGCAACATATACCTATCCTGTTAAAAAAAAATAAGCCCAAATTATATATTTTTAAATAAATAGCTAAATAAAGCTGGTAAAAGCAGCCTATTACCAATGTGCATAAAAGTAGCAAAGAACTAAACGAGTACTAGACTACTTTAAAAAATCGAAAAAATCCGAGAAATCCCTGCATGCAACACTGCGCGCGTTGCATGGTGGGACATGGAGAGGAGTGGCGCATGGTTTCGATTTCGATTGCCCCGTTGACGAAGTAATGCTTCTCAGCACTGCTTGAAAATAAAGTTAGCGCTCATTTGCATTGCACCCATTCATATTTGTGAGAGCCCGTGAAACACGGACCTCCAGCGGCCGTAAGGACCTGCATAGAAAAAGTAAGGCCTGTCGCGTCCCATACATTTCTGCGAATTACGCTTCTACTTGTTTCCTTTTGTTTACCTCCGCACAAACTCTAGAACGACGGGAACTCCAACAAACGTGCCCCAGTAAACATTTAAGAAAAGTTAAATTTGAAAAAGCATGCACTGTATTTGGTCGTGACGGGATGTCGCGAATTGAGGGTGCCAAATCGAAACCGAAACAGTGGTGAAAAGGTACCCAAGATGCTTTGCGCTGCGCTACGCCGCTAAGATCGCAAGTTCGGAAGGCGTTTTTCTGAGCTTACTTTCTTTCCCGAAAAATTGGGAGTTTATTTTTGTTTTGTTTGATTCCCAATTCTCCGAAATTCCGAGCTTAATTTCACAGTGCTAAAAGAAATAATGTCCCGGTGTAAACGTATGCTAGACAAAAGAATAAACAAGCAAAAAAACTTTCAGCCTTTCCACTCTGGTGAAGAAGGAAGACCAAGCCAAAATTAAAAGCCTGCTGCCATCTATGAGCGACGGTGGCAAACAGATACATAGCTTGCCGCCGTCGGTCATAGATGGCGGTAGGTGTCCAGAGTTCGGTGTCTTCATTCCTTTGTGGAAGACACGATCCTGGGGAAACTAGCCCTTAACAGCTTTGCTGTAAAAGTGCTTGTATCAATTAATATTTCTTCAGCTGGATTTGTCTCACGACAAAAGCTGCACATAGTCGCTGGGAAGCTTGTATTCATCCCATCCTATCCATCAACCACACCGAGGTGGTCCCCATAAGGCTCATCAGGATCGCTAACTGAGACAGTCGATGTCCGCTTCTATGCCTCGCCTTTACAGAGCGGCGTGGGACCTTTCGCTCTAGATTATTATATTAACTCTATGCTCCCGACAGAAAAGCTTGGTACCCCGACTAAGGGTTTGTGGGCTGCACTTCGTGTCAGGTGAGGAACCTCTTTGCGATTGAATAGGACAAGACAATATTCTGAAAAGTGGTTATACAAAGACAGCTCTACGACTCTACGGCACTACTGCTGCCGCAGTAACATGCCGAATGCCTCCAACAAGGTGCCAAGGCATTGATAGCAGGCGGCAATGTTGGCTTCGAGTTCAAATCTAACCGGAAGTGACGTAGGTGCAAAAGGCCTATGGCCAACGTTATTAGATTAGCACAGTTACGGAACTGCTCATAGACGCTGCTTGCACGAGCAGTACCCCCCCCCCCTCACACACCACGACTTGCCTCCCGTTGTCCGACGCGCCGGATGGCTGCTACGGTAACTGTAGTGTATTCTATGGAATACATACGTTTCTAAGCATAGCGTCTAGATGGCATTCTACCATATTCTATGGAACACACAGTTTGTAAACGAAAATCTAGATGGCGCTTCAAATGATGCGAGGCTAAGCCCCCCTATCTTGGAAAAAGCAGCGCCATTCATTTTTGTGGAAATGCTCAAGACATGTGCTGCGTGCCACTTCTGGGAAGAACATGGCACCTGAAATCTAGCTCAGTGCTGCGCTATGCCGCCACAATCTTCCCAAGGGCTGCACGTTGCACGTACCTCTTGCACCGACACACTACTTTTAAAACATATAGGGGCTTTACGGGAGGCCGTGTATTAGGAGAGTTTGGCCATTCATTGGTTTGAACAGGCGAGCATTTCGTGGCCAACCACAGGCCACGAAACAGCTCCTAGCGGTGGTCATGAGCTCTAAAATTGCGACTCCTCTAATTTAAGCTGTTTTAGCGTCGCTAGAGTAAAAAGGTGCAGTTCTTGGTGACTGAAAACTTGGCGCATATGAGGTTTTCGTCACGTCCATATTCAACGGTAGAATAAACAAATGTGCGCTCCAAACCAGAGCAAACTACATAGTTGCGATCATTGCTGCTGCGAGATTGAACGCTTCTATTTTACGCTTTGAATGTTCGATATTGTGATGTCGAGGTCTGTTGTTTGGTCGACGCTTTATTGCACTTTTAGTTTATGCTCTAACCGCGAGGGGAATATTCAATGCTGGTGGCACCCTTTGCTCTCCCATTGGCCAAACTCTCCCAATATATGACTCTGTGAGAGGCGGACTGAAGTGAGTGAGGGGGTAACCCCTCCACGGGAGTTCCACAACTGAGGTAATCTAGTAATGTTGCCTATGGCTAACAATAGTAGATTAGCTCAGTTACGGAAGTGCTCATGGACGCTGCTTGCACAAGCAGTAGCCCCATCTCACCACCACTCGCACCCCGTCGTTCGACGCGCCAGACGGCTGCTATGGGAACTGCAGTGCACTCTATGGAATACATATGTTTTAAAGCCCAGCGTCTAGATGGCGTTCCACTGTACTCTATGGAACACAGTTTTGAGACAAATCTAAATAGCGCTTCAAACAACTGGAGTGGACTGAAGTGAGTGAGAGGGTACCCCCCGCCACGGAAGTTCCAAAACTCAGGTAATCTAGTAATGTTGCCCATGACTAACGTTACTAGATCAGCTCAGTTACAGAACTGCTCATACACGCTGCATGCACGAGCGGAAGGCGAGTCGTAGTGAGTGAGGGGGGCTCACTCACTACGACTCGCCTCTCTTCATACGACGCGCCGAATAGCTGCTATGGCGACTACAGTGTATTCTATGGAATAAATATGTTTCGAAGCACAGCATCTAGATGGCGTTCCACCATACTCTAAGGAACACAGTTCTGAGACGAGAATCTAGATGGCGCTTCAAACGACGGAAGGCAAGCTGAAGTGACTAGGGTGGGTACCTCCTTCGCGGGAGTTCCACAACTGAGGTAATCTAGTAATGCTGCCTATGGCCAACATTATTAAATTAGCTCAGTTATGGAAGTGCTCACAGACGCTGCTTGTTCAAGCAGTACCACCCTCACTCACCACGACTTGCCTCTTTATGATTCGACGTGCCAGACAGCTGCTATGGTAACTGCAGTGTTCTATTGAATACATACATTTCGAAGCATAGCGTCTAGATGGCGTTCCACTCTACTCTAAAGAATACAGTTTTGAGACGAAAATCTAAATGGCGTTCCAAACGATGGGAGGTGGACTGAAGTGAGTGAGGGTGTGTTCCCCCTTCTGCAGGAGTTCCACAACTGAGGTTATCTAGTAACGTTGCCAATGGCCCAAACTGGAAACTGGAACTGTGGCTTTTGTTGTGACCCGAAAGTACAAAGAACTGCTGTCCTGAATAAACCTCGACGGGATAAGCGGCAAATTCCCTTCTGTCAATGGTGCAAGATTTGAAAGAAAACAAGGGTGACATTTTCCCAGGAACATTGATCCTGTGTGCAAATAAAACTGAATTGTAATCTTTTATTTATTGGGGGGCGGGGGAGAGCGCATTGGCACATAAAAAATCTTAGTTTATCAGATAAATCCGAATTGACCAAAACTTTACTGGCGGGCGTTTTTTGGATTTGTCCAAAAACACGGAACCCTATTCATGAGACAAGCAAGATAAGCCGCTGCCCTCATAAGGCAGATTATCTTTCCACTGTATGAACAATGTGTAAACCTCATACAACTATGACCTTGAAAAAAAACGCTGAAGTATTTGAAGTAGCTTGCAAGTAGACAGGAGAGCTGGTGACGGTTAGACATAGTAACCCTGGAGTGAAGGAACAAAAAAAAAAGAAGTTTCGTGTCTGTCCGTCTTTTTCTTGTTCCCTCGCTCCAGGGTTGCATTTGACGACTAATATTTTTCTCTCATTGTTTGCTTCACCATAATATCAATCAGGCCAGCTGCTCAGAAATTCTTGTAATTTCTTAAGTTGCCCTCCTTTTCCCCTCTCCATTACTCCCCGTGACATTTAGAGAATGTGAAGCAGTTGAAGCCACAAGAGCAAATTTAGCAAAAATATATTTATTTGACGTAAAAACAAGTGTAAAAGGCAGTTCAAAGGCTTTCAATGATGTCACAAGAAGCAGATGACTTGCTCTCCGCATTGCCTCTCTGATGCAACACATCTCCACGCGGCGTGTCCGTTTACAGATGGAGGTTGTTTATGGCCACCTAATCGTTCGGCATCTTCCAGACACGCTGTTCACTTGACTCCCATGTTTTTGTAATTGTTCCGTTTAGGGTTGGCATGGGGATGGAAAAGGGACATTGCCTGTTCACTATTCTGCTCCCTGAACGAGTGGCACTGCCGTATTTCAACTTGTTTATTTTCCAGATAGTTTCTTCTCTTCTTCCAAAAAACACTCTGCAACTGTTTGTTTGTACACTTGAAAAGAAAAGGCTCTTCCCGAAGCTTTGTGTGATCGAGCGCCTGCTACTGTGTAAAACTTTCTCTTTGCGCTTAGGAGGTTGAAAGGCGAAGAGAGGCGGGAAAAGTCCACCATGACCCCAACACTCAGCTAAGGGGGTAGAGGGGAGGCGAACACGGCCCGCGCCATGCGTGTGGCGAGTTCTGAGCCTGGCGTCGGGCCTGAGCAAGGGTACCTCGGAAACGCGAGTGCTCACGTTTTACAAGTTAGGAATGGTCCATCGGGCTACCTGTGAGGGGGAGTTAGGCGGCTCAGGGTGCCAAGAATACTGCAGCTTCAAGATCTGCGAAAGAAACCAAAGGTAGAGAGAGGAGCGAAACCTTGTTTGCAGTTTCGCCCCCATTCATCTGTACTCCTCCGTCGCGGGTTGGCCGGTTTTTCGCTGACGCTTGACTTCAAGCACCTGGTGATGTGCATGCTGCAGCTTTTAATGGCGCATTCCACCTGCTGTTTATTAGCCGTTCACACGTCTACTCCTCGGCAAGAGAGTGATTTGGGTACCGGGGAAGTGCTGTTGACCTCCAAATACAAAGTGAGCCTTTGTCAGATGAAGTGACCGGGAGGAAAGTTCTACAGCTGTTACGATGGTAAGTTGCAGTTTAGGCGCTGTTAAACGACGCTGCTCTTTCGACACCTTATTCTACCTAAGCATTTTCTGCACATCGCTCGCGTATGAGGCGAGGCATTTGTCATGCAAATAAATCTTTTCTCCTCCGATCTTAGTGGTGTTTTTTGTCTAACCTGATCTGTTGTTATTTGATTGAGTCTTTACAAAAACTTCGTCACACTGCATGATTCAATTGCCTGTGCTTTTAAATGGGGATAGTCACTGTTTAGATGTAAAATATAGAACCCTGCACAAGTATGCTGACAATATACATGTATAGGGAAACTATGGCATATACTGATTAGAAAATTGCCACAGAATGTTCTCCTACTTTTTTTTTTTTTTACTACTTATAGTGTAAAACTTTTAAACGCTGAAGTGAAGCAGCAAGTGTGGGATTATAAAATACAATGAGAAACTAATAAAACTTCGGTGGACGCTTTTAGGCTGTAACAAAATTTAAAACACGATTACTGGCTTCCGTTTCTGATATCCTAACAATGAGTAGCCCGCACGACTGAAAAACATTAAAAAAATCCCCACCGACCCCCCAAGCCCTAATCATCAATCCGCCCCTGCCAATACTAGCAGAGTTACCTTGCTGCCTTGGAATGTGTGAATACCAAAATGTTGGGTCATTTCCCATATCTTACAATAGAAGGTAATTCATATATCTGCTCGTCAGCACGAGCCCAAGAAGGCTTTGATTGCATACAAAATGAATCTAGAAATCTCGCTGTCAACAGCAACACACACAACCATTGTGGCCTGTGGCTACTCCCCATAAGCCCCATAACAATGCCCAGTACAAGGAGGGTGACTAGAATTTCTCATGACAAAGCTGCCACTTGCGACATTCGGTTTGCCACATATAGTACCATCGATGATAACATTCGGTAGCACAAAATATGTGTAATCACCCTCACTACAACACCTAGATGTCATGTCACATAAACTGACTGGGGCCCTAAACCAGGCTTCCCATCTGCAGACTGAATCACGCCCGATCAAAACTATGAATTTCTGATTTGTCTAACACCATGCATCGTGATACTAACTTCGCTACTCAAGGCTTTTTGTTCGCTTTTTAGATGTCTGGTAACTCGTATGCTGACTAACATGAGTTAGCAGATGCTATCTAACATAAATTACAAGTGGTGAGCATGATGGGGCAGTCCTCAGAGCAGTATGAGATCTGGCCTCTCCAGCAGTTGCTTGAAGTGCTGCAGCCATTGTGCTCCTACTGCCCCATCCACAACGCGGTGGTCGCAGCTCAATGTCACCGACATCATCTTCGCTGTCCGATACCTGCAGATCAAAAGCGGTCAGACTCCGTTAAGAAGATATGCAGGTGCAGTACAGCAACTTGCTAGCAGACGACCACCAAGATGCCCCAGTTTACAAGCAGATGAATAATGATCCATTCTGCAGCAGCGATTGAAGACTTTGGAGAACCTTTTTGAAATATTAACTGATAAGACCAAGTGTTCAGGGTTGAGGGTTTTCAGGCACTGCTACCAGTTGGCCCCCTCTCTTCGTATTCACTGACTAAAAACACCCCACAAAGGCTTTGTACTAGCATATACACTGTAAAAATAAACTATAAAGTGTTGCCTGCACACAATAGAAACAGTTGCTGCCGGACCTGGCTATATATCCACTGTCAATATGCTGATCCTCTGGTACAGTACTGAAAGTAGTTCTAAGCGAGAGCGACCCTCCATAATATATGCCCCGCAGAGTAATAAACATTGTTTCATTACCTCGTGGAGCTGTCTTCGCCTGGAACCAAAACGTCTCGTGTGCAGCCGACGGCCAGGGTGCAAACCTGAAACAAGAAGCAAAGCGCTTCGAAATCTCCAGCAAGAATATCATTGGCAGCATATTTTATATACAGGGTGTCACAAAAGAAAATTTACACGGTCTTTTTTACCGCAAAAATAAACTAGGCATCGCTGAACGCTCATTCTCCCCCAAAGGTAGAGCTAGACGTCACAACCAGATGCCAAAGTTTCAGCCCGATCCGTTAACTTAATCAAAAGTTATAGGTGATTTTCTGAAAATTTCAATGAGAAAATGGAGCCCATTTTTGGCCGTTTTCGGTTTCTGGTGCCATAGAGCTCCATGTGTTCGAAAACTCCGTCGGCCGCCATTTTCCCATTGAAATTTTCAGGAAATCACTTATAACTTTTGATTAAGTTATCGGATCGGGCTGAAACTTTGGCATCTGGTTGTGACCTCTAGCGCCACCTTTGGGCGGAGAATGAGCGTTTGGCGATGCCTAGCTCATTTTTGCGGTAAAAAAGACCGTGTAAATTTTCTTTTGTGACACCCTGTAGTTTGGATAAGTTGACCTCTTTTATTCAGGAAAACATTTAAATGTCAAATGACCCATTATCCGACAGATTTCAAGCATCGTCATGCAATGCTGCAGAGGGCTGGGTAGTGGATGCATTATGTAAATTTGAACCACACATGCCGTCCTTTTCGGCAATATCTTTAGTTTTTGACTGGGAACAAAAGAGGGCTTTTGTATTGTGCAGTCCTTGCTCAGTACTTCTCTGTATACCCTCGAAGCTCTATCATACCTGATGAGGGTTGATGATTGCAGAGAAGTTCTCGATACCAAGCATTCCAAGGTTGGTTACGGTTATTGTTCCGCCCTGCGACAAAAATATTTGTAGATTCGAGCTACAACAGCTTCCAAGGAAACCCATTCTCTTACCTGAAATTCGTGCGGCTGTAATTTCTTGTCTCGTGCTTTTGAAGCCAAACTTTTCGTCTCCTCACTGATGCTCGCGAGCCCCTGCAAGTAGTAGGATAACATATATATTTGACAGTGCAGCTTTGCTGGCGCAACTAATTTTGCAGCAGCTTGTTTTCTACTGCTTCATTGCATTAAAAAAGATACACGAATTAGATATTTATCAATATGAATCGTACAGCTCATAAATAAAGCAAACAAAAACAGGCAGCAAGAGTATATAAACTTGAATGCATCAGTGCTTGGAATGTGAAATTATATTTGACTCTAGCAGCATTACATATTCAGAGGGTCCTTCCTTTTCGGGTTCTATTTTTGTCAACGACTATTTTAACGTCCGTTAAGCTGCGTGTCATTCCAATGGTTGTGTCCCCATTGCCCTCCGTGTGTCCTCGTTTAGCGTTGCCCTTCCTCTTTTGTGCCCCCCAGTTTAGGGGTTCAAATCTCCCAAAGTCTTCAATGCTTTTGCCCATTTTCCTGTTGGGGCCATCCCGCTTAACCTTGATTTTCTTTTGTGTGCTTTTCCGTTTAGGGCCGTACCGTAAAATACCAGGCAAGCGCCCACTCAAAATTTAGAGATAATCGCGAAAAAATGGGGGATGGGCGTTTGTTCGATCATCAATTTTACATATAAATGTACTGTGCATATTTTTTCATCTCTTAGAAATTTGGATATGGCCGCTTAATGTGGAATGGGCGGATGCACAGTATTCTACGGTAGTCTAAAACAATTTGAAGGACAATTTGAAATATTTTTCAGTAAATCAACGTTAAAATGAGAGGGGAAAAAAAAATCCCCCTTTTAGGAAATGATATTACGGACATGAAAATATAAATAAAACCCGAAAACGAAGAACACTACATACACTCGAGCCACCTTGAAAGTAAGGATAGCCATTTGTTCTGGCGTGGCACGGTATCCTTGCCTTTTTCTCCGCTCCAAACACGGTCGGAGCAACGAGACCGCCAGGCACACTCACGGCCATGTCTACATTGACCGACTCGTACCTGAAACATTTGACAGACCATGTACAGTATGCACATGGATACCATCTAGCTTCGAGCAAGCGGTCAACTATTATTGCAGTCCTTTGCTTGGGTCCCTGAAAGTTTTGGGAAGGCTTTATTAACAAGAGGTGTTACGTTTATCTTTCATCATCTGACAGTGTTTGTGAAATGCTTTCTCACAATGATGAACCTGATCCCGCTAGTCATGTTGAAACTGTGCCAAACGAGCCTGAATCATATTCGACATAACAATCACCTCGTGCACAGAATCCTTTCCGTGATATCTGCTTTCTTTTTTCAAACATTCGGAGCGTTGTAAACAAGCGTGATGATTTGTCGTCCCTTATTGATACTTGTAGTGCTGATGTCGTCATACTGACAGAAACGTGGTTATCTGCCAAGATTTCTAACAATGAAGTATTTGAGTGTGAAAAGTCGTTTAATATCTATCGCTGTGATCGCAGTACAAGGTCAGGAGGAGGTGTCCTAATCGGTATTGCTGATCATATACAATCTTTTTATGTCTCCGTTGTTTCGTGTTTAGAGGTGGTCTGCGCAGGTATACGTATTAACCACCGTGTCGTGATTTTCTGTGCCTGTTATCGGCCACCAAATGCATCCTCCACTTTTTGTAATGACCTTCATGACCTGTTAAATAATACTGTCGTAAGGTACCCTCATTCGCCTATATTTTTGTTAGGGGACTTCAACTTTCCGAAAATACTTTGGAATGATTCATGCCCGGTTGTTTCCGAGTCACATAGTGAATCTACGGCATTTGTAAACCTTTGCTCTGATTTTAATTTTTCCCAAATGGTAACGGAGCCTACACGAACTTCATTATCGAGTGCCAATATTCTTGATCTCATTTTGACAACATCTCCTGACTTGGTTAACTCAATATCCTACTTGCCCGGTCTAAGTGATCATTGTTTTATTAATTTCACTCTTAAAGAATCTGTTCATCGTTCAGTCAGTAAGCCAAAGTATATTAGGGACTACAACAAGGCCGACTATCAATCCATAAACAGAGAGCTTGAAGTGTTTTTAGATGAATACATGCTGGATTTTTCGGAACGCACTATCGAAACTAATTGGTATCTTTTTAGGGACAAGGTCAATTATTTCGTACAAAAATACATACCTTTACGCGTAATCTCATGCAAGCATCGAGCCGCTTGGTTCAACGTTCCATTAAAGCGTCTTTTAAATAAGAAAAAGCGATTATATCGCAAAGCCAAACAGAGTCAGAGTGATGTCAACTGGTGTGCTTATCCTCAATTTACAGCTCTGTTTAAAAGCGCAGTGAAAGAAGCTAAGAGGGTTTTCTTTCATAACACACTTCCTTCGTTACTGATAAACAACGCTAAAAAGTTCTGGAACGTCGTTGGTGGTCCGAAACAGAATAAGATATATCTAAACGACGACAATGGTGTGACTATTCCTCAGTCTGATTGCTGCTCTGTGTTTAATGAAGTGTTTGCAATGTCGTTCTTGAATCTACCCTCCGTTTGTCTTCCTGATGTAGCTGATTCGAGCTTTTTTCCTATGGATCCTGTGCTGATTGACTGGGTTGGTGTGATGCATTTAATCCGAAATTTAAAAGTTTCTTCGTCGTCTGGATCCGATGATATTAACTCAAAGTTCCTGAAGAACACCGAAGTATATTCCTCCATGATTTTGTCGAAACTTTTTTCACAGTCCCTAGATACCTGCATTGTGCCCGGCGATTGGAAGGTGGGCAAGGTGGTACCCTCGTTTAAATCAGGAATTTCGCATTCTCCCCTTAACTACAGACCTATATCTTTAACTAGTGTTCCTTGTAAAATCCTAGAGCATATAATTTATTCTAACCTTGTTAGTTTTCTTGAAAGTAATGCATTTTTTACATCATGCCAGCACGGCTTTCGTAAGACGTTCTCCTGTGAGACACAACTCATTTCATTTACACATGAACTTTTTGCTGCTTTAGATAATGCATTTCATGTTGACTGCGTATTTCTGGACTTTTCTAAAGCTTTCGACCTTGTATCTCATCAGCTACTTTGTTTGAAATTAAGCAGATTAAATATTGACCCTAACATTCTCGCATGGATTGAAAGTTTCTTGTCTAACAGAACCCAATTTGTAGTTGCTAACGACTTCAAATCATCCTCGTCCCCCGTCACTTCAGGTGTGCCGCAAGGGTCTGTGCTTGGCCCTCTTCTCTTTCTCATCTACATTAATGACCTTCCTAACTCTATCAACTCATCCATCAAGTTGTTTGCTGACGACTGCGTCATTTTTCGAGTCATTTCTACTAGTTCCGATCCCTATGTGCTTCAGTCTGACCTTAACAAAATCTCTAATTGGTGTGATATCTGGAAAATGCGTCTAAATACTAACAAGTGTAAAGTAATGAGGATTGCGCGTCAGACCGTTTGTGGCAACATTTACGATTGTCAACTTTCAGGCAGTGCACTTGAACAAGTAACGTCATACAAATACCTATGGGTTCACATAACAGCTAATCTGTCTTGGCAAAGGCATGTTAAACATATAGTAAAAAACGCTAACCGCATGCTTGGATATTTGCGTCGTAACTTTTCTATGGCACCATCATCTTTAAAGCTTCTCCTCTACAAAACTCTCGTCCGCTCTAAACTGGAGTACGCATCTTCGGTGTGGGACCCAGGCCTGGAATTTCTTACTAATAACTTAGAATCGATACAGAATCGCAGCGCGCGTTTTGTCTTGTCGAACTACTCCCGTTCATCTAGTGTATCCTCTATGAAGGCAACCTTGAACCTTCCGAACCTCTCTCTGCGCAGAAAAATATCGCGACTCACGCTATTTCATAAAATATATTATTATAACCTGCACCTCAAAGCTGAACTTTTTTCAGAGCCATCATACGTCTCATCTCGTTCGGAACACCATAACAAAATAGGCGTGCCACATTGTCGCACTAACTTGTTTTTCGATTCATTTATCCCAAGGACTAGTAACGAATGGAACCACCTGCCCGCCTCCATCGCAATGATTACCGACGATTTCACTTTCAGATCCGCCATTGAGTGTTATGTACTTTCTTAATAACCGGCGTTGTCTGCATTTTTCATTCTCTGTTTCAATTTCTGTATTTACTACCTGTTGTTTGTTTTTATGTTTTCCACCACTCCCTTCTGTAACGCCCCCTGAGCCTTGAAGGTACTGAAATAAAAAAAAAAAAAAAAAACCATCCATAGCTTCAAGCAAGTAGCCAACAACAACTACAGCTGTCTTCTGCTTAGAAACCTCGCTTCTATGATGCAACAAACTAATAATGCAAGCTGCTTTTTTTCTCTCTTAGAATTAAATGTTGGAAAAATCATGTAGACACAATTTGTATCGAAGAAATCAAATAAACAATTGATACCAGAGGAAATGTGTAGACAAAATCAATATCAAAGAAGTCATGTAAACACAATCAATATCCGAGAAATCACGAAGACACAATCGACATTAGAGAAGTCATGTAGACACAATCAATATTAGATAAATCACGCAGACACACTTCCCTAAGCATTGAATTGTGAGCCAAATTCAACACATTTACTCCGGCGTGGTCAGGAACTGCAGCTGAGTTAAAAACAGGGCAACGCCACCCACGAGTTGAGATAGACCGAAAAGGCCCTCGGAGCCGACTCACTGTCGGATGAAAGTTCCCTGCCACGAGGAGTTTGTCTGCGGCACCTTCTTGCACGCCAGGGCAGTGGCCTTGATCACAAAGTCGTTCACCGAGATCTTGATCTTGTCCTTCTGCATCGTTTGGTTTAACTCCTCACGAAGCCTGCAGAGGACAGCACGTGGAACATTGTGGATTCACGAACACTGCCCTAGTCAGTTACCCGGAACCGTGGCTAAAAGAAACGTTGGCCGTTGTGTAACACAGAAGTTATTAACTTACAAGTGTTTTTGAATCAAAAGATCAACGTCGTTACTTCACCAACATGTTACAGGTGTCTCATCTACGCTTATTGATCTTTTTGTCACCGATACTGATGCATGCAATACATTTGGTGGGGTCATTGCCATCCAGATAAGCAATCATTTGCCATTATTCATGTTCACAAACACCACTGACAATCACACTTATGCCACTGTAAACACAGGTATGTTCAGAAACATAAATTCTCACACACCTGAAGTGTTTAAGCCTCACATTAGTGATGTAGACTGGAGCCCAGTTTACAATTCCCTTTCCAGTGATGAAGCATATGTCTGCTTTTTAACACTTTTTTTAGTGATATACAACAAAATCTTCCAATATAACCCATCCACCAGAAAAACGCACTCAAAACGTGCGTGACTCAGGAACGTTACAAAATGATACGTAAAAAAAAGACAAGCTATACTGTAATTATTAGAGCGCAGCTCTTAGGTGCCCTATTCCGGCTTGAGCGGCGTCGGCGTCGCCTTCAGCGTAATTGCGCGGTGCATTATGGGGCGTTTCCCATGATGACGTCACACGTCACGTCTTGTGTGACGTCACGAGGGTCACTAGTGACGTCATAGATGACGTCACCGCGCGTTGCATTGTGGGTAAATTTCTTTGCTAAATTTGGCGAAAAAATTTTCCCGCTAAACTTAGTGGAAAATTTTTCCTGCTAAATTTAGCAAAACAATTTGCCCGCTGAATTTAGCGGAAAATTTTTTCTACTAAATTTAGCGGAAAAATTTCCTTTGCTAAATTTAGCGGAAAGAATTCCCCGCTCAATGTAGCGGGGAAATTTTCCCGCTAAATTTAGCGGGGAATTCTTTCCGCTAAATTTAGCAAAGGAAATTTTTCCGCTAAATTTAGTAGGAAAAATTTTCCGCTAAATTCAGCGGGCAAATTGTTTTGCTAAATTTAGCAGGAAAATTTTTCCACTAAATCTGGCGGAAAAAATTCCCCGCTAAATTTAGAGGAAAATGTTTTATTATTTTATGACATTTTTTTATTTTTTGACATGTTCCATCCATGTACCTTAAAAAAATACTGAACTTTTTTTTAGTTTGCAGCCTTTCTAATTAAGAAGTACCATATGTTCTCGTAAGTTTCTATGATGAATTGTAGTCTCGTTTTAGCAAAACGGTGATGAGCTTGGGCAAAGTTTGACAGACGACATCTGGACTCAGTTGTCAAGTGTACACAAGAATCGTGCTGGAATGAGGCTGATACAGAAATTGAGGTGGCAGCAGCGCACAGGCTCGTGTTCCTAAACGGAATTTTGGTTCTGTGAGTGGACTAGGCATTTAGTTCTCATCACAATTTAGTGGCTAAGTCTTCTTTTTTTCTTTTTTTAACCACAGCAAGTCATGTTTTTTTTTAGTCTTTAAAATATAGTTTTGAACAAATGTCTTACTGAATCAATAAAGAGGCTCTTTAATGAGACATCCAGTAGGTTGGATGTCTCATTGTTGGATGCAGTTTTGGTTACCTGCTTGGATCAAAGAGGCATAATGTAATACTTTTTTATTAATTCCTTCAATGTCTTCTATTAATTGCATCAACTTCATAAACATGCTATATAATCAGCAACACAGTAGCTTTGGTCTATTTCTTAGTATTTGAGTTGGACACTTGTTTGGCTTCTATTATTGGAGACGGGAAGAAAGACGCGAAATTTAACTCATATATAAGAAAAATGGCACTACTCGAAGAAAACAAGCAAATCAAGAAGTTAAAGGAGGAAATCATTCAGAATTTTGGCAGCCTATGTAAGATAATACGACAACATGGTCACTGTGACCTGGACCATGACGACACCAAGAACTTGAGGGATTTGTCTCGACAAGAAACAGCAAAGAGTGGGGGGAACTGCCAGGGTGGTCGGAGGCATGGACATTAACTTTTGCCCGTGAACAAATAAGCACCACCACCCTAGTTGTTGAACCAGTGTCCAACTTAAGATGGTGCACTTCAGACCACAGTTATAATGACCATTTCAGTATTACAATCCTTTCAAACAACATTCACCATCAGATTCTGATACTAGAGCAAAGATTCACTAAAACAGTGGTTCTCAAGTGGGGTATGCAGACCTGCTGAGGTCCGCACAGCCATTTCTGGGGTTCGCCAAGCCCTTGTCTAAAGCCTCAACCCCCCCCCCCCTTCCCTTTTTTTTAGAAAGAAAAAAATTTTTTAATTAACCTTGGTTAGGCGGAGCAAGCTACCGCCTGTTATAATGAATACAGTCGTTGCCATCCATCCATCCTTTTACTTGATGCTTCTCACTACTGTCTATAGACCAACTCACGTTTACAAACAAACCGGAGCGCCCCTAGTGGATGCCACTGGCGCCGCGCATGTGCAATGGAGTGGCGAGAGGCTCGCCGTCGCCCATAAACAAACCATTGGAAGGCAATGTTGTCGGCGTCGGTGCGAGTCCCCGTGCTCTTTTTTGCGTTGGAATTGTTGATTTCACATCTTCCTGGCATTGTCGAATTACTTTAGTGGCCTCAGCGAAATTAATGAGGCTCGTTACACCGCAAAACATTGCGTGAATAATCTGACATGCGGCGATTCATTTCACGTGGACACCGCAGAATGGGCGCTAAAGCCTGATTTGTATGATGAGGTTCTGCTTGCTTTTTTCAGTCGCTCAGGCTGCAACAGCGTGGACCGTAGGTGAGATGGTCGACGTCAATATCGAAAATCGCAAGCAGAACCGGACCAAGTGAATCAGGCATAACAAGTCGGTGATGGCCACTGGTAACAATGATCAAGATCTGCTGTATCTACTGTTTACACCGAGCCTACTTACCTCCCCCCCCCCCCCCCCACCGTCAAACTTAAGTCTTTTGAGGCCTGTACTTACTTCTTATCGCAATTACTGGGTCAACGTTTGGTCCATGGGCCGCTGTCGTTTAAACAAGCAGACAACAAAAAGCAGACAAGGTTGAAAAAGCAGGCGATAGTTCTAACAATCAGGCAGCCGTTTGAACTTTGACGCACTGAACGTAGTCCGCAGGTGGTCCATACAACTTGGCGATTTTCCCAGATTCATGTTGGAACAAGACAAACAAATCTCGTGACCACAAGTATCCGTGAATTCAACCCAAAGTGCTTTACGCACAAGCAATCGTGGTCCGACGGCACTGGTTTTTATTTTTCACGGAACCTATCAACATTCTTGGATGAACCGAAGTGCTTTACTCACAAGCAATCGTGGTCCGACGGTGCCTGGTTTTTATTTTTCACGGAACCTATCAACATTCTTGGACGAACCGAGCAGGCCGAAAACACATGAAAACTGACCTTCAAACCTTTCCCAACACTTTTGGCACAGCCCCAGTCGCGGAGTTTTGATGAGAAGGCAGCTTTTTGTCCGGCTTTTTTCAAAACCAATAGGAATGCACGTCCCGCATGGTGACATCTGCCCAGAGCCCCAGACTGGAAAAGCACCCGACGCGCCGCCACCACGCAGTGACGTAACAGAGCTGAGTTTCTGTATTACAGCAAAGGATGCCCATTTCCTACTGCAATTAGTTCACTTATTTTATACTCCCCTGCCCCTTCCCTCGCTGGCATGGCACCCCCCCCCCCCCCCCCTTTGCCCCCCCACCCCCCCATCACTTTGGCAGATCTTCAAGGGGTCCCCGACACATCAATGCTTGAGAACCAATGCACTAAAGGTTTGCACAGTGAAGGCGATATTTAAGAAACATCAGTTATCTCATCTTTCCTCCACTGCAACCTAATTGCTTTGCAGTAAATAAATAAGCTTCAACTGGGGCGAACAGAATAGGGAAACGCAGACGACCAAGGAATTCAGTGACTGCCACAAAACTTACTTTATGACGGCGTTCATTTCAATGTCCACTGTAAGGTAGAAGTGGGGTACTGTCTGCTTTGACAAGAGAAGCCATTTTGCGATTGTCTGCAATGCAGGAATTCCAGTCACTTTGAGACACTTTGTTGTTCCTCAGCTGCCCTTCAAATTTCGCACAGCATTACCTGGCGCATGCTCGTCCGAGGGATGTCTATGTAATTCATCTGGGTGCTAGCCGGAGTCGAAGCCGAAACCGCAGCCTTGGGCTGACCAGCAGGAACTGTAGTTCTGTCGCCCTCAAAGTCTCCGAAGGCAGCAATGTCTGCCTCACTGTAGACAAGAATGCAGAGGACCTGCATTGAAACGGCTGTATAGTCAGTCTGGAACTTGCTATGAGTTTGTTTCCAGCGCTTAAGAGAGACAGCAATTTCTTGACATAAGCAAACAGTGGTCTACCGACATTTCTGTGGGGTTCAGTAATACAGTCAAAGATAGGGATGCCGCTAACCTCCAAAAGTTCAAGTTTGAAATATTAGAACCTCACTAAGGTTCGAATTTGAAAAGTTTGCAACTTTAGAACCCCGCTGAGCTTCCAATTAGAATAATTTGAAAATGTTAAAGTTTCTGAAAGTTTGAGTTCGAAGATATTTAATTTTTTTATAGATAGTTCGAAAAATTCTAATATTTCAAATTTATTCAAAATTCAAGTTTGAAAATCGAATATTTAAAAATTTTTCGAGGTACAAGTTTGAATTTTAAGTGCCAGGTCAGAGTTTCATGGATGGAAATCAAATTCCACAGCTTCAAACTAAGTTTTCATGAATTCATCTAAAAAATTGCGAAACGTGCTATAACATTTTACTGAAAATGTTGCCCATTTCTCTAACGCCGTGAATATACTCCCTCCTTCTCAGCGCTGTGGTACTGACAGTACTACCTGTATTACTCGTTATCTGTCATAACTTATGAAACAAGCGTTGAGCTGGTTGAATGGTTCATCAAAAAGGCCGGAGGGGGTCAGGTGAACATACTCCCTACTTATTTTCAAACTAGTAGCAATCCAATAAAACGTTGCCTAAATACAATGCTCGTATAAGACAACTGAATATGCAGGACAACGCATTCACATAAAGGCATCCAGTCTTCCCGAAAATGTTTACTTGCTCTGGGCATTCATTTTTGGCGGGATGACTCGTAGGATGGAGAAAACACTGAACACAGGCACAGCACCTGACACAAGTCAGAGCTGAGAAGAATGCAAGTCAGGGTTGAGAAGAATGCAACCAGACTAAATTAGGGGAGCACCCGGCCTAATACAGCTGATCAGGTCACGACCTGTTATTATCGGGCAAACCATTATGCCGCTGCCTGGAACTTTTCTTCTTCAATGAATGGAGATATTGGCCACTCTAAAATGCAGCCGGTTACTAATTATAATGAAGTAAGCACCGATTCAACATTCGCTGGAGCACATTGGCGTCGCTCTCTGCGCGCACCTTTCCTTGACCTGAGGAAATCGAAAGATTTGCATTCAAAAGCAACTAATGCTATGAAGGACGCTCCCAACAAAGCGCCCCGGTTGAATCTCAAGCCTGCAGATCAGGGATCTGTTAGCCTACAGGTTACTTCAGGACAACCTACAGAGTTGTGTGCAGGAGAGGCTCTGTGGAAGTCGAAAAAGAAAGGTGTCGGCCTCGTACCTGAAAGGTTTGAAAGTTTGAAAATCGTTGAATCTCTTAGCGTCATAAGTTTGACAATGCTGAGTTTCATGGCGTAAAAAAGTGAAGTTCGAAAACAATCAAATTTTTCAGTGGCAAATATTCGAGAGTTTAGAATCGTCAAACTTTTTATGTAATAGGTTCGACGTTTCGAAACTTTGCGAACCTTTCGAACCCCTTGGTTCGATCTTCGAACCTCAGGTTTGCAAAAAGTTTGCGGCATCTCTAGTCCTAGAGTTTGAAGCTGAAAAATTTCTGAGCTGACACTAGTCTACAGACTTGAGCAATTCCATCCTCTACCAAAGGGTTGCGAATGCTTTCACAACTGACCCAACTAGTTTTGCAAGCACTTCACCGCGGGTTCGTCTAGTCCGGATTACACAAGCACTTTCTTGCTGTTGACATCGTCAGTGAAAAGGCCGCTTTGAAAACACAATGAAAACACTACGCTCGATCACAGATGTCAATAAAAGAATGGCAGCATGGCCGCCAGACGCACACTTTCGGACGCTTTCAGCTTAAAGGGGTACGGAAAGAAAAATTGAAATATTCAAATTTCGTTCGTAAATGAGTCAAGCACGACGAATAATAACTATAAATGATAATCGCATGTTTGTATTTTGAACGACTGGCTATATTTTTCAATCCAAACGGTGCACTCGAGCAAGCGCTCGAAGAGAAGCGAACGGAGAGCGCCATGCGTCATGGGATATCGGGCGCAAACAAAAACAGAAAGAAAAGATTTCCCGCGCTCGTGGCGTAGCAAGGCTGGCGTGGTTATGAGCTTTGCCCTTGGTGGCGTTGCAAGCGTTGTGGTGGTGTCAATAGCGTCAATGCGTCACAACCAAGCCGTTCGAAGTACCCGTGGGGTGGCGGTGGAGGTATGCGGCTGGCCCAAGGAGCACGTAGCTTCCACAGCACTTTCAGCTTAGGGGTGAACGGGCTGGGAAAAGCAACTTTTATCCAAATTATGAGCGACTGGATAATCTTCTAGGGGGAGAATGGTTGTATCCGGGTGCCCAAACGAGGGTCCAAGAAAGAGGGGAGTCCCTCCTTTCAGTCTTCTTGGACTGTTTGGTTCAATGCGTGATTTGTGAGCTGAGGAGGAAAGCTAAGAAGGAAAATGTTGAAATTCCAAAGAGCGGCGCTGCTTCGATGGAATTTGCTACATCATGACTACGTAGCAAGTTCCCCAACGCTGCTAGATTACCTCCCAATAGGCTCCGCATGCATCCACCAGGTGCACGTTGAAAGATAGTTTAATTAGCTTTAAAATTAGTTTGCTTGTGCCTTTCAACGCAAGACTGGTGTTTTTGAGGTTATGCTGCAACATGGAACACATTAAAGCTATAAAATGGTCGCTGGAATTTCGTTTCCCTACCCCTTTAAGGCTTGGATTGGGGTCTGCTGCTTTTCCATTTGTTACTAAACTTAATAGCTCTAACTGGATCTAGCCTAGTGTCACGCCCTCAGTCCAATCCAAGGCTTGGACTGGATTTGTCGGCTGTTCCATTTGCATCAGGCATACTCTACATCGGGTGAGCAAAGCCCACGCTTCGCTTTAAAGGGAAGATGGGGCACTTCTACATTTGAGAAAAAACGCATGAATTGCGTTCATTTGGCCTTTAGAATAACAAATATCAAAATTATATATCAATGCGACGTGCCGGAGAGCCACAAGAGCAATTTCAAAATAGGGCTGAAGCCCCGCCCCCTTAGCCTTGGGCAGCCAAAAGAGCCGTCGATGACGTCACGGACAGCGACTGTCTTTCGCGTTTTTCTCGCGTTTACCAATACTTACGCAGCAAATGGTTTGGGTATTCGGGTTCACGGGGTAAAAATACACTAGAATTCACTTCTAACTCATTTTTTCCAAGAAGCTCCGTAGCTTCCCTTTAAGCAGAATTTATTGCCTATTTTTCTGCCCCTAAGTCCTCAAGTTTTTGCTCAGGGCACACGATGGTGTTCCCAGCTCATTTTCTCTGACTGGGCTCGCTCTTTGACAATATCCCTGACAATTCCCTGATTTTTTCCAGTAATTAAAATTTCCCTGACAATTCCCGGTTGTTAGACGCCCTGCAGTGGAACACTATCGTCATCATCATTATGGTAATCATCATCATCACTGCACTGGAGGTGGGACAACTGAAGGACTTTGCTGCTACTCTCATACTGCCAGTGACTTTGGTGTTACATGGTACCGGTACCCTGCCAAGGTGTACGTCCTTGGTGTCGGCCGGGACGACGATCTTGGCCAGGTAGCCCTCTTCGGGGCTCTCGAGGCTCATCACTGACTTGTCGGTTTCAATTTCGCACAGGAGGTCGCCCTTGTTCAGCTTGTCCCCTTCTTTCTTCTCCCAGGAGATGACCGTCCCCGTCTCCATCGTTGGCGACAGCGCAGGAAGCAAGACCTTCCGATAGTTGGGAAGGCCTGGTGAATTGAAACAAAAAATGTGTCCGCGATTAGGGAAGGCTTGAGAGAGGCAGACGAAGGAGGCTTTATAACAGCTACAGCCAACGTGTCTTCTTGGAGAGGAAGGTTGTGCTAATGTCTCTAACAGTGGCTGACAACTAACTCGTGACAGCTCAGTTATACTCAGTTTATCTTTAGACAGACAGTGTGGTGGGAGCTATGCTCTTACTGGTCCATTCAACCGCCTCCTTTTCATCACAAGAAACCGTTTTTGTGCGGGGCTGCGAGCGAGTGTGATCACATGGCGAAGGATAGCCGTAAGATTCGTCCAACGATCACATAGCTTCCACCACAGCGTCGGCTTCAAATGGTTGAAAATAGAAGCTAAATCTGCCAATGACGCCTGCGATTCAAAATATGTTCACCTGGTTCTCCCTACAAGGTGTGAGCTGTCCAGACATCAGAGTGCAGAATGAATGGTTCATAGCATGGACGGAACACTGAAAATATGCTGTTCTAGATGGTGTATGCATGGATGGTCCAGCAGGCATCAAGAGGATTGAAGATGATTATGATCCTTCAGTCAGGCCTTAACCAGGAATCTTTTTTTTTGGGGGGAAAGGGGGGGAAGGGTCCACTTTCTAATGCCACGACTTCAAAGCATTGGAAGAAAGAGTAAGGGAGATTCAGAGATAATATGACATCAGTCGAGCCGCCGTGGCCCCGAGGTCTTTAAAGGGACACTGACACCCCCAAAATTTGTTTTTCATTTTTTGTCAGGCACTTTATTATGGTGTTGGGGGACTACCTAATCAATATTTTGCAACAGAGTAGCATATTTTTTTAATAAAGCCAAAAGACGCAACTGCTCGAAACCGAAACCCGACGGAGGTCGGAGAAGTGGAGAGAAGAGAGTGAGTGGCGGAAGTCATGTGGCAGCACCCGACCGTGCGGTTTTTTTGTTTGTTTTTTTCTCCTTTCCGTAGCAGACATGCAGCATAGGGGGAACTGTTTGCCGCGCGATTCTTTTGCAGTTATGTTTGTTCCGCTCGCTGTTCTGTACTCCAAGATGAGTTGTTTTGTACATTGAGGAGTCGGAGATGAGTAGCGAGTGCCCGTGGTGAATTTCCATGATCGGCTCCGAAAAGAATACACCCAAGATGTTGCGTAAAGGGCTGGCTCACATGCCCTGCGTCCGAAAAAAGTGGCAATGTGCGACAGAGTTTCCGAAAGATCAACGGGATCGGGACCAATGGTTGGCTGCAATTCCTGTAGAACATTTACGGGCACCTCGGAGAGCGCACGCTACCTGATTTATATGCTCCTTGCATTTTGTGGAAAGTGACTGATTACATTGAGTTCGCAGGTGTCAAAAAGGAAATCCCATACCATTTAATTCAGCGACGTGTCGTCCACAACATTTGTTTGTTATTTTTTTTTTTTGTTTGTTTCTTCAATGAAAATTGTAAAAAAAAAAAAAAAAGAAATGTTAACATTGGAAAATGTTAAAAAAAAAAAAAAGAAGTTTTTCTGGGGATTGAACTTGGTCCTACTGCGTGTGACGCGGACGTCTTTCCCTCTGAGCTACTGGGGCATCCCTTTCCGGGATGATCTCTTTCCAGTAACAACCCAGCGGGTAAACTGAAAGTTGGAAAGATTGTTGCCGATTGTCCTCCAGCAAAAGCACTCCCGAGTCGAAATCGGGAAGCATCCCGCATTGGCGACATTCGCACCTAGTAAAGAAATCGTACGCGTGCGTATTCAACTCGAAGTAGACACGTCGTGCTTGACGTTTGCGCGAGCGATATCTTCAGCCACGAGAAGGGAGCGACGGCTGGGCGACGTCTTCGTTCAAATCGGCTTGGTGGTCGGGCGTGTCGTACGGGATGAATACCAATTCTCTTGATCAGTCCCAAATTTCTTTTTTCAAGGCAGACAGAATTCGCCGGTACCCCGAACGACAGTTCTGAAATAGAGGTCCCACGCCCGTCGTCCGCTGCCATCGCCGTCCCCGCGAGTCCCACGATACGCGAAACGACGCACGCACAGAATGCTTCCGGTTGTCTGTGGGACTTTTTTTTTTTTCAATCAACGTATCTGCAGCTTTTTAGAAGCCACAAAAAATGGGTTTCATATTTTTTTTTCTATTTTTAATATTGAGTGTGTGCCCTCAGTGACCAAAGAGTTTGATTAAATTTGGTGGTCGCTTCGATACCTTAGAAAACGGCCCGTGACCACAGAAAAGAGAGTGAGCGAGACTCTTACCGGCCAGTTCTTGATCGACGGTTTTCGGGCGGAAAGAAACCGAATTTTGAGTCGCAAATTGTGTTCTGGGTAGTTGGGCTCTCATATGTCATGTACAGCTAAAAACCTCGGCGAGCATAAACACCTTGTCAGTGTCCCTTTAATAGTAAAAGAGACAATACGCTTATGATTCGCGGGCTTGTCACCATTCGAAAAGCTTCTATAATCTCCCTCCCGACGCGTTCAAGAAGATTTACTAGCATAATCATGAGTCGGGAGCACAGCCACGACATTTCCCTCTTTGCGTGTCTATCAGGTGCTGGTCGTTTACGAAGCGACCTGTTTGGCCAATGTATTCAGCGTCTCCCAGCCTCAATTTGCATGTGAAAACTACATCTGTGTCAAATCTGGAGGCTATGGACGTAAACCGGCAGGCTATTGCATGCACATACATAGCTCCAGCCAACGCGTTTGTAAAACGCAAGAAAGAAAAAAACAGTAGCCGGCACCCACCTAGGGCCGGGTCGGAAATTCCGAGCAAAGACTGGCATTCTGGGCTCAATATCCATGACCCTCGTGTATGGTCTATTCTTGCGCACGTCCTGCTGGAGCTGTTTTAGATTCACTGTGGTCCGAAGATCAGGTTGCAGCAAGCCCAGCGCAATCTTAAGCTTCTTACCTATCAAAAGTTCAGCAGGACAACAGCCTGCCACTTCATGCGGCATCGTCCTGTGTGACAGCAGCAGTTTGGCTATTTGCGTATGAAGGTCCCCTGATCTGGCCTTTTTCAACTTCTGCTTAATCGTCGGCACTGCTTGCTCGGCTGCTCCATTGGACGCAGGATGGTACGGGGGCACCAGCACTTGTCTTATGCCATTCTTCTGTAAGAATGTCTTGAATTCTTTGCTCACGAATGTCGGACCATTGTCTGATACAACTACATCCGGCAGTCCCTGAATAGCAAACATCTTTCACAGACAATCAACTGTCACAGACGTCGAGCATGTACTCACTGGAAATACCTCGATCCATTTGGAATAAGCGTCGACAGCAATGAACAAGTAGGTGTTTCTCAAGGGTCCAGCAAAGTCTAGATGGAGTCGAGACCACGGCCTGTCCAGAAATGGCCATGGCCTCACTGGTACCGATCTTGGCGCTCGCTGATGTTCTTGACAGGTACGGCATGCCTCCATTGCCACCGTGATGTCCTCATCCAGAGCTGGCCACCATACATGGCTCCGGGCTACTGCTTTCATTTTCGAGACTCCTGGATGACTTTCGTGTAGCAAGTGGAGCACATCTGCCTGTACAGACGTGGGAACTACAACTCGGTTTCCAAGTAAAATGTAATCACTCTGAACGCTCATCTCTTGGAACCGTGCTTCGTATGGCTTCCACGGCTGTCCACAAGGCGGCCTTTGACCAGTCAACAATGCTGCTCGCAGTTGTGACAAGCATGGATCTCTGCTCGTAGGTACTCTTGGGTAGCATTCTTGGAGCATGAACACCTCTGGGGGGCACTCGACCTGGAACTCGCTTGTAGGTAAGTGCAGCGTGAGGAATCTGTCTGACAGGCCTGTACTTCAAGGTGTTATCGTACCTCGACAAGAACATTGCCCAGCGTAAGATACGTGGCGAACATGACTCGGGAATGGGCTTGTCAGCTGCCAACAGCCCCAGTAGTTGTTTATGGTCAGTGGCCGCCTCAAACGAACGCCTCCAAAGATACTGTTTCAAACGTGTCACTCCAAACACCATAGCAAGTGCCTCCTTGTCAAGCTGGCTGTAGTTTTGCTTGGCACCAACCAGGTTCCGCGACGCAAATGCAATAGGTCACTCTTCTCCCGACGCCTTCCTCTGCGCAAAAACCGCACCGAGACCGTACGGAGATGCGTCCGTGACCAACACAGTACTCTTCTTTTGGTCGAAATGGGTCAACGTTTCTGGTGAGATCAGTAGGGACTTACTCTGGGAGAAAGCCTCCTCTTCAGATGACGTCCAGGTTCATGGTATGTCCGGAACCAGCAGACGATTCAGCGGGTGCAGTATTGCAGAAAGTTGGGGAATAAACTTGCGATAAGAGTTAATAAGGCCCAGGTAGCTTTGGAGGCTTTTGACGTCCTGCAATCTCGGAGCCAAGAGGACAGCCTCGACATTCTTAGGGCTGGAATGCAACCCTTTGCGCGTAATATTATGCCCTAAATAGTCCACGCGCTCCTTCATAAACTTGCACTTGGCTAGCTTCAAACGAAGGCCTGCCTCCTGAAGGCGTTCGAGGACCCGGCACACATTCTTCCAGCGATCTTCGTCACTTGCGCCGGTCACAAGAATGTCATCAAAGTAGACCGCAACGTGCGGCAGATCACCCAGGAGATTATTCATTTCTCGCTGGAACAAGTCAGGGGCAGACACCACGTCAAATGGAAGCCTTATAAACGTGAACAGGCTTTTCAGAGGGCTGATCGTGACCAATTCTCGTGACTGTCCATCCAGCTGGACTTATTGATACGCTTCCTTTAAGTCGTGCTTGGCGAACTTCACCCAATCGCTCAGTTTCGCGAACAGCTCCTCAATCCTAATCGAATAGCTTTTGCTGACTGTTGTTGGATTGATGGTGACCTTGAAGTCGCCACAAAGGCGTATGCGGCCATCTTGCTTGACCACAGGAACTACGGGTGCAGCCCACTGCGACGTCTTGACGGGGCATATGATGCCTTTGCGCTGCATACGCTGCAGTTCCTCTACTACTCTGTCTCAAGTGCAAATGGCACTGGTTGTGCTTTAAAAAATTTCGGTCTTGACCCTTCTTTCAGGATGATCTTTGCCGACTCTCCCTGCATTGTTCCAAGCGTTTCTGAAAAAACTTAGCTGAATTGTTCGACTAGGCTTGGGACGGAACTGACCGCATTCACCCCCTCTGGCTTCGAAATAGTAATCTTGAATGCTCCCATCCAGTCTCTGCCCAGCAGTGTCGGACATGTCCCCTTCACCACGAACAACGGCAGTGTCGACTCACGTTTTCCCATCTTGGCTGCTGCGGTAATCTTCCCCAGAACCGATAAGAGCTCTCCCGAAAAGCTCTTCCGTCTCACTTCGGAGTGTTCTAACGGCGTTCCAGGAAACAGCGCACTGAACTTTTGTTCACCGATGATGGAAACGCTGGCGCCGGTGTCCAGCTCTATTACTAGTGGCACATCGTTCACGATAACTTTAATCTGCATGGGCCCGGGTCCCGTTGGATGCGGCAACCACATGGCGCACTCGTCTACATCAGGCTATGTTTCCTGGCGGTCGTCCATTTGGTGCACAGAACGAGAGTCCATCCGATTCTTTGTGCCAGTCGGCATCGCTCTGCAAGCCTTTGCAATGTGCCCCTGACGTCTACACTTGAAACAGGTGCTTGCCCGGTGGCAACACCGGGACATTTGATGTTTATCTCCACACCGATCACAGCCACACTCGACTGCGTTAGCCGCATTCCGTCTGGGCGGTTCCACAAAGTTGGTGGGCTCCACTGCGCCCGCTGACGCAGCCTGAGGACAGAGGGTGTGGGCGTCTTTCCTTGTGGCTTCCATTGCAATGACCAGTTGCTTGGCAGACTCCAGGTCCAGGTCTGACGATTCGAATAACTCTGTCTGCATTCCCGTGTCGTTAATACATTCCCGTGTCGTTATATACCATACACTATCTGGTCCCTCATCATGCGGTCGCGCGTAGTGCCGAAGTTGGTCATCTACCAACTTGTTCAGCGCCGCTACATAGTCAATGACAGCTTCACCTTCGTGCCGTCGCCTTGAGAAGAAGCAACAACTTCCGATACCCTGGGCTTGAAATGGGCATTGAGAGCTGCGAAGATTTCGGTGAGCGTCGCCTCCCCTGGTTTCGTTGGCGTGAGCAGACTTCGTAACAGTGAGTATGTTGCTGTCCCGCAGCTTGTCAGAAATACGGCCGATTTCTTTTCCCCGGCAACATTGTTGGCCAGGAAGTACAGGAGAACACACTCCTGGTATTCCCCAAACTCAGTTGCACTTGCATCAGACGCTTCCAGCTTCCCGACGGACGGCATCTTGTCGGGTACCTCTCCCCGATATCTGCGCTGCGGCACTGCATCAACATATTACAGTTTATCTCTCGTCGCCAGTTGTCATAATCGAACCAGACGCCATGCAAGTCCCAGTGCAAGTGCGTGCAGCCCGTGCCACAGCACGTTTACTTCTTCACTTCACAACGAGAGCCTTTCACTTGACATTAGTGAAGCCGTCCTGGAGCTCTCCCCCTCCCCCCCCCCCCCCCCCCCCCCACCCCCCCCGCCCAAACTTTGGGAGGGGGGGGGGTGTCCCAGGCCTTTAGGGTTCCCCCCCTCGCTGCGGACCTGGCTTCGGGATTTGATTACATGCGAGACTGGGAAAAAGACAAAGTGACAAGCGAAGGAATACAACAGCATAAGTCCGGCTAGTTTTGTTGACTCACGTGGCTAAAATCATCAATCTGTGAACTCTACTATAGACCCTAGTCTCACCACTACAAAATCTAGAGCTCAGAGAAACGATCTGGTCCTTGGCACAGTATCAATTTAATCCTGCAGCACTCGTGAAAACGTCAAAGCAAAACTAACTGAAGCTCAAATGCTCCAGTCGGTTTATCTCCCATTTTCTAATGTACAAAACTGACAGTTCTATGAAAAGGTACTTCTGCCTAGCCTTGCACATTGCCGAGTGGATACAAGAAAATGAGCAAATAAAAATTATTATTGTTATATCAAGAGACATAGAGCTAAACATGGCTAATCAAGAAAGTAAGTTTGGAAATTCTACTTACTATCTGTACTGTACACCCGTCGCGGTATCTCTTTTTCCCGCTGTTTGGACCACAGTAAACTGCTGCCGTTCCTAAGGCCCTGCGTGCCATAGCTGCAAAATAAAAAGGGCAGTGATGAGATCACGACTGACTCCTCCAGAACTTAGGTATTTAAAGCTTGACGGGGATCGTAGCGCGATCGGAAGGTCAGTGGAGTGTTGACATTAGCAAGCGATCAATCGGGCATTTGAACAAGTAGGTAAGATAGTTCTCGGGAAGGATTTTTGATCAGGAGTTTTCAAGAGACCTTTTTGTCACAGGCGATATGTTACCTGCGGTTAGAGGTTTTCCCGTGACTTCCTTTGGTGCAAACGGTGCACACCCGTACGAGCTTTGCCAAACGGTTTGAACGGCCGAAGGTACTGCCGAGTTCTTTGAGTGTCAACACAATTCGAAACATGGTAAATCTTGACTACGGCTCACTCTGTCAAACAAACTACAGTGGCTGGTTAAACTGCTCTCTGTCGCCTGTTACTTATATTCATCTTTACTGGCTCTTCTGAGCCAATAAAGATTATTATTATTATCTGCCACAATCTCCTTGGTCACAATAAAAAAAGGGGCTCCCGTGCGCAACAGTTGAGATAACCTCAAACTTGTTCTCCTGAACCTCAAACCTCAAACCGCGGTTCTCCTGAACCAAAATAAATATTATTATTATTATTATTATTATTGACAATAATAAAAATAGAGCTTAGGCAGAGCATGGCAGGGCCGCAGGGCTGTCCACTGTTTTGCCCACTGATCTTGTGGTTTTGCCTGCTCCAATGGAAAAAAGAAATAAGTAGATTGCACTGATTCCGCACGCACAATCGCTGCAATTTCTAACCTCCTTGGCTGCAATCCATTTTCCCGCGGTTTCCTCAGTTTCCTTTGATCAAATCATGCAAATCGAGGGCTCTAAAAACGTACTCGTTGAATTGGGTGGCGACATGCGCCATCTAGTTAATACTTTTAAAAACTACTTTTTTTTTTAATTTTGTGAACCGTTGGGGGCAAATCATTATGTGCGCATTAAAAATAGTTTTAGTACGCTGTTGAAATTATCCCAGTGGTATGGTAAAGAAGCAGTTTTGAAATAAGCCCGCTGCTATCTCAAGGTCGACGAACTCTGCTGCAAAACGTAAGCATTCTGAATCAAGCAGGTGTTTATGTAACGCGCAGATACGCTTTGCTGTGCTTGTGGCGCGCCTCGTAACAGAGTCCTTAATTATCGTGATTGAGATAAAAAAGAATAATCGCAATGTTTCGACCTGTAATGTTGATGAGCAAAGAACTCTCCAGTCGCTCCAGTCCTTCCAGTTGCTCGTTACAAATCGCAAGAATGTGCACCAAAGAAAACCACGGGAAAATCTCCAGTCGCAGGTAAAGTGGGTAAAGTATCGGGCTCTTACGAAGAGTTACTTAAAGTCCTCTGGGTAGAAACCGTTCCAGAATAATTTCGTAAGGACTAATTCACCGTACTGTCACGTCCGTACGGAAACTCAACTGGCACGAAAAAAGAAGCCTTGTGGGGCCGTCCGACGGGCACGCCCCAACCCGCTGCCCGACTCCACTCGCGCCTTCAAGTGTCGTCCTAAAGTATTGAGCACAAGTCACGCTTATTCTGACATGTGTTCCATCAAGCGCTCGGCGAAAATTTGTTATAACATTGAAAGCGAGCGAGACAACGCTACATGGGCGAGCACCACGCATTCTTGCCGCGAACTTTTTGCGACCCTGAGAAGATCGAACCAAGGGGTTCGAAAGGTTCGACTTTGGCGCTGAGAAATCCGATTGTTTTCGACCTTCCGATTTTTCACACTATGAAATTATACATTTCCTAACTTAATACTCTAAAAAAATTTCACAATTTTCGAACTCCGATTTTGCTTTCTTCATGCATCCGGGAAATTCGGCGGGTTCGGCGGGGTTAGAGCAGTGCCAGAGTTGCGCGTCCTGCTGGTTCTGCGCGTTCATCTCCGTAGCGCCGTCTTTCCTGCACGGCATGTTGATCCCGCTCGTCACGTGACTGAATCCGGCGAATAGCGGTGCCGCGCGTTCAAGGCGCGCGGCGCGCTCAAAAGCAGGGGAACGTACGCCGGGGCGCGTGCAACGCTACTTTCCTGCACGGCACTTGATCCGGCTCCTCACGTGATCGGATCTCGGAAAATAGCGGCGCCGCGGCATGTGGAAAACAGACGCACAACTGTGGCGGTAAAACGAGAGAGGGCACGCGCCCGACTCTGCTAGCAGACGGCAAACCGGGAGGTCGCCATTCTCCATCTTTCAGCTGTACCGATGGGCTGTACGGAACATCGAACTCTCGCTCGTGGCTGCCGTTGAGAAGTGTTTCGCGTTCTTAGAATAGTTATGGCTACTCCACAATCAGCCGGTAGCTCTCTGTTGTTCTTTTTCGGTAAATGATCAACTAGCATATCTTTTTTTGGTTACTTAAATAGCAGTTGAGTCAGCCGGCAGTACTACCCTCAACTATTGCGCGTATGGCGGCAAGAGAGCACGTTTTTATTTATTATTTCAGCTCATGGTCGTTGAAGGCCAACAGGCCAGTACAAACTTTTTATAGTAAAAAAAGTACAGCAACCGGATTTCCTTTTCGCCAGAGAGACCGGCCAATCTGACACAGTTTTCCCTATTTTTTTTTATTTGCACGCAGGTAACAGCGCAATTGGACCCTGTTAGTCTTTATTTAGCATATAGATATTACACGATAACTGGCATACCAAAATCTGCGCTTGAAATTTCCAAAATGACGCAATTTTAAACAGCTGAGTTTGCACGCCAGCTAGATGTTAGGTACAGCCCACTCGGCGGAGCAGACGACATACAGGGTGAGAGGGGGAGGGCATTTTTTTTTCTCTCTATTACCCTCTCTGCTATGGCCCTAATGGAACGGTCTATAAATAACACCAGCAATATGAACCAGTTGCGCGCCCGTTCGGCCCTTGGCTGTAACTCCCACGTTAGTTTTTCCTCTTTCGCAAGTCATCTCTCTCAACCATTTACGCGAGAACTTTCATTGCAAAAGCGACCATCGCAGAAAAAAAACGACGGAAATCAGGCAATTGCTAAAAAGAAAAAAGGAAAAAAAAAAAATTTGGTTGTGTGCATGTTTATAAAGCCTAGAACTTGGTCTGCTCAACGGGCGACGAGTCTCCCAGCCGTAGATGAGAAATTTAGCTAGTGCAGTACAACCACTATCGTGGGGTCTTTAACATGCATCACACAATAGTGATACACGACCGCACGCCGGTACCACGACCAATTCTATACTTACGACCACTCCATCTGAGCGTTCCCTATGGAAGAGCCTGCTCCCAGCTGAGGGCCGAGTTTTAGCGCCACCTAGTGAGAGGCGTTCTCACTAGGCAGCACGGAAACTTGGTCCTCCTACCTAAATCCCACCTCGTCGGGTTCTTCTGTTGTCCGTGGGTGCGTGCCAGCTGATTTCTGGTTTCAAGCGCGTTCACGCTGTAAAATGTTTTTCTCCATGAAAAGGACACTGAAGTAGTCCAACTTGTTAATTAGTTGGCTTTTTTTTTAGTTTGCGCAGCCAACACCAGATGGTAATGGCTGCGCTCGCACGCCGCCGATGGCATAGAGGCCAACACAACCTGGTGCTGCGTGAAAAAAGACGAAAAAAGATACCGAGTTCCAGGCCCCGCCACGAGGCGCCGCTGAAACTCGGCCCTCTGGGAGGTGCGTGCTGGAGTGGTTCCAGATGGAAGGTCGTGGCCGGTACGATGCTCATCCAGATCGAAACCGGCAGGGGTCCCTGAACCTAGGATCCCTGGGTTCTGCAGCGCGAGCTGTCGCTTCACGTACTCCAAGCTGGTGTGCGCTAGCCCACTCGGCCACCGATCCCCTGCAGTCGCAGACTTTTTGCAATGCGATCTAATCGGGGAGCGGCTGAGCCAATCAGCGGCGTCCAAAGCGAAAATTGTGGCGAATCGTTTGCCCCCATGTTCAAAGATCCCTCTTCGTCCTATGGCATTCATGGTTTCATCCTGGGAATCATGAAACCCAATTTTTCATCAGGTGGCACCAGTTATTTCAAATATCACTTGCAGAGTGCTTATTTTACAAGGTTATTTCGAGAATCACATTACCCTACAAGAATCACTTACCTTGGATCACTTAATCTACAAGGTGCAGCAATATCCCTGTTCCCTCCAAGTACAGATACCTTCGAGTAATGTTGTCGGTTATGGAAGAGTCCCCGACTGAGCACCGCCGAAACCTCGGGACATCGTTGGTACGGAAGCGGAACATTCTGTGAAGGCGGAGCCTCTGGAGTTAATTACGACTGATGCGTCGTCACTCGGGGACTACGGAAGGCCGTTGCTGTGCCCGGGCTGGCATTCGGAGACACCATCATCTGCAATCCAGTGAGCTTTGAGAATGCCTTGAGCACCGCCAAAGGGAGGTTCGACATCAAGCACTTGGATGCCGCGGACAGGTGGTAAATGAACTTGTGAAGGGCGACATCGGCTTGTCTTCTTGTGAGAGGCCAGAAGCAAGCTGGGCTATTACAGACGTCTCCATACACGGATGAAGGCCGCCGGGCTAGATGTCTTTTTGTATACATTCATCTCAAGATTGTAAACTGGAAGCGTGTCCCTTGGCTTGGCACATTGTTTGGTATGTTCTTCTAAGATATCGAACCCCAAACCAAAAGAGAGTGGGTGAGCAAAGTGCAACAACCATTACAAGCTGTCGAGTCCAAACGCTGGATAACAGGCATCGTACCATGCACATGTACATGTCATTGACGACTGATAATGCACCCTCGCCTCTGCGGAAACACACCGGGGAGCCGACTGCTTATCGAAGCCCGTGGCGGAGCCCTATAATGCACTTGACCTTACCAACGCAGGTATGATTGCAGCGTGATGGATACAAGGTGCAATGCTAGTAAAGAAGAAACTATTCCCCACTTGCTGCTGTCCTGCAGAGCACTGCTATCGGCACCTCTTGTAAACTCTCGCATCGAGCAGGCACTTTGTTTCACCAATGGGCAGAGCCATGTAGCCTGCTCTAAACGGAGGCTTGAGCCCTGATGGAATTTTCGCCGATGACAACACTATGCGAGAGGGAGGTAGGCCCCGTTTGACCAGTGGTGCAAGAAGGATCTGGGGATCCTGGAACCGGCGTTATCAGTGTCGCTGGCATGGAGTCGGTAGAGGCATTCAGGGAGTGATGGTGAGGCGACAGACTTAGAGACTCGTTCGGGCGCCCTAGCACCACCACGATCAGCGAGGTGCACGACGAGAAGGAGTCCATCCAGGAGGCGTATTTCGACTTGATTCCGCTCCTCTTGGTGCCAAGAGTCCTCTGCGACGGGGAGGAAGCCAAGGAGCCCAAGGCAGACTGTTGAAAACATAGCATACAACGTTCCCAAGCCCATGGAGTTTTCCCAAATAGCGGAGCATTGCGACGACCTACATGCATTCAAAGAACGATGGATCCTGTCGGGAGCCACCAAGGACGGCGCAGAAGACAGCGTGGCCAAGTATGATAGCAAGTGGCAGGTGGAGGCTGCTGCCCAGATCCGCCTGCGTGGAGGCCTGGGACCGGTGCTCAATACCATGGCGTGCCACCATGCCATCATCGCCAAGCTGGACAAGCCCTAGGCATTTGAGGTCAAGCCCTTCGTGCTACAGTGCGTAGGCGCAGTTCCAGGAGGGCCAGGGCTGTGGTTGTGCCTGCTTGAAATTCCTTTGCGACGTCAAGGAGAACAAAGACCTGCGTTGGTTTTACGACAAGTCCCACTATACCCTCATGTCTGGGCCCGACAAATGCAGCACGGAGCACAAGCTGCGCACCTCGTCTTCCGGCACCGGAACCCCTGCTGCGGCAGCTACGAGGAGAAGCACTGGAAAAAGTTTGGCGTCATCTCCAAGTTCGACAAAGTGTTTCAAAAACAAGAGGCCGCAAGTCTTCACCCTGGTGAAAACTTGCGGCCTCTTGTCTGTTCCCCACTGGTACTCCTCCCCTTTATTTTCCTGTGGTTTTCTGAACTTTTGTAGTTTTGTCTGTGGCTCTAACCCCCATGTCAGTGGGTGTCCAAACAGGACACTACAAAACGCACAACTGTGACAAATCGTGAAAATTGAAGCGGACGCGCCCGCTTCAATTTTCACGATTTGTCGGAGTCGTGCGTTTTGTAGTGTCCTGTTTGGACACCCCCTCACTCTGGCCACCACTGTTATAGACTCTTGTTTCAGAGAGAATGAGCTGCAAACATACATGCATTCATATATATGAAAAACCCAAGCTTCATGGGAAGAAATCTTGGTGTGCAGGCTCATTTTGCACTTACCCGGTACACAATCCCCACTGTATACTGTCTGGAAAGGTACCTTGCTCTCAGGAAACTACGGTCCCCTAGTCTCAAGCTCCTTTTCTTGTCGGTACGGGGACATGTTAGAATATTTGGGTCACATTTCCTAGGTTGGGTAATCCCATGCTTGTGCCTGGTTTCTTTAAATGTTGATGAACGGCAATTCGTTTTTGTTCGACGTGCAAAATGACACCAGAATTGACACCAAATCTGGGGGAAAATATGTACCCCGCAAAGACACCCCCAAATTCAAAGAAAAATGAGCCCCGAAAACACGAAACTAGCTAGAACTGACTGCACGAGAATGGCTTCGGATGCCCGGCTTCCAGCATGCACGACTTCCAGCATGCACTCATTGCCTTCCATCATGCTCAAAGTTCATGAGACGCCAGAGTGTTATTGAATTAAGGTAAGAAGCTTGCGCTGAAGTCCGAACAACCGAGAGACCTCCCCGCCGTTCTCTCTCGCTATGCGACTGTAGCAAGCGATTTTCGAAAAGTTCCAATGAGGAAATAATTAATGAGCCTGTTCATACAAGGAGACGATTATTTTCTATTTATTTTTTTGGGAACACTACCAGCTCCATTCAAGGAGCTATTGTAGGAGCGGTTACAGAGTACATAGATATTGCCGTCATTACTGGAAATGGACCACATTTTCTCATTGAAAATATCTGACAATCGCTCGTAACCTGAAAAACGGAGAGTGATATCTGATCACCGCTTTTGTTATCTTCCAGCCATGGAACACAGGGTGAGCAATATTTTAGGCATTGCAGCAGCTGCCTATGGTCCAAACAGTGGAAACAAGAGACGCAGCGACGGACATACGGCACTCGTTGTAAGTAGACTTCCACGCTTATTTCCTTGATTTGAGGCACTGTTTTGCTGTTAATATAAGCTAATTGTATAAAAAAGAAAAGAAGGAAGAAAAAAAAAATTTAATTTATGCAACCTGAGTAAGCTTAGCAGTTCCTGAGGTTGTATCAGGAATTCGGGACACCCAGATCCACTGACTCCACTGACTCTTTCCTTGCATACTGCATTGAATAATTTCATGGTGGCCACAAAGTAGAGTTTGAATATAAACTGGGGTGTAAAAAAAATTGTGCCTCCAACCTCATGTAAACGGGTGGACATCCCAATAGGCAGGTAAGCAGCTGCCTGTGGCCACCCCCAAATTAATTGGTGTGTTTTTTTGTTTTTTTTTTAAGTCTAACTCAGAGTTAGCAGTCTTGGGAATTCTAGCTCCAAATCTAGCTACTTTTGAAAATTTTAACTCCAAACTAAGCTATTTTCCCATGTCGCCGTCCCCCCCTCCCCCTCCTTCTCCCCCAACCCCTGCGGTCACTGACCATGGGGGGCGGGGGGTGGGGGGGGGGGGGGGGGGGCACTGTGAAAGGTTGCGTAGGGCAGCAATATGCTAAGTCCACCTCTGGCGTACCAAAATGCCGGATGGGCCAGCCACGGCAATACACCACCTAAGACGAGAACATATTGCCAATATTCACACAGTGCACTGTACAGCAAGGATTTTATTTATTATTATTGTTGCTCCCCAACCAGAGAGACTTCTCTCGACTGTTCACTTACAAGCAATCATATTCTGCGTTTTGGTATGCAACATTCAGGGGACTGGAAAAGCAAATTCTCGAAGTGCTGGTGACATCAGCTGACATAGCTCATTGCTTTCGGCCATTTTGACTCCAGGCGAGCTGAAATTAATTATCAGCCTCCATTACGATTACTACGAGGCATTAGTGAAATAACTTGTTAGGGCCATTATGAAAAGTCTAGCTCGTTTACCTGCCACTCGCAACACATTCCCGGGGGACAAATTGCAGCTTGGGACCTGGCTTCGGCTACGCCAATGGCTACGGCTCCAGGTGGAGCCGGTATTAAGTACACAGACATCCCCTTGACGAGCCTGCGACAGGTATGAAGTGCCCAAGGAAGAGTGCATTTTGAGACAATACGTTATGTTGTAAAATTTCCCGAATCCTTGTATTGCAGTCGCTTGCAGAACGGCTATTGCGGGCAAAGCCAACTGTTCCCCACTGGTACTTCTCGGTTGACATCAAAATGGATGCGGCCTTGAAGTAAGTTTAGTGTCGTGGCTCTCTTTTTTTTTTTTTTCATCCTGCTTGATTTCCGGAGAGTTTGTCTATTCACCCTTTTTTGTTTGTCATCAAACTCAGTGGTGCCACCTCCTGGGTAGCCTCGGCACACTTCCGGTTCACACACATTTCCTCTTTTTTTTACTTATCGTTCTTATAATAAGAGTGAATTAAGTCTGACAGTGCTCTAAGCGGCCATTTCCAGAAGGTAGCATGTATATTTGACTTCGCAAATACTCCGAAACCCACTGACTAGTTCAGAACCAGAAGTCATTGGGGGCTATTTGCACACTGGTGCCACCACGTTTCAACTCGCGTGAGAAAGGACGAATACAATCGCCGACCAATTTTTCGGGCACCAATATTTCTGTCTTGTTCAATGTATCAGACCTAAAGGAGGAACCGTGACCTACCCGATAGAAATAGTGCATGTTCCCGACCGATATTTCAGACAGGTTGAAGTCCGAAAGTTTGATTTTTCTGACAAGGTTGTTGCGAGCGATCAGTGGGAAACACCACTGAGAAGTCACCATTTTAGATTGGACGTTGGCTGCACATGGATTGGCTTGGTTTGGCAGTGCTGCTTGAGTACTGCAAAGTTCTACTGCTAAATGCATGACGCTATGCTATGTCTAGGGTTCCGCGTTTTCGGTTTTTATTTTTTCAAAATTCGGCATACTTTTTCCGGTGTTTATTATGAAATTTCATTTTCGTTTTTTTTTTTCGGTTTATATTTATGCCCACAAGCGTTTCCCGGTGTTTTTCGGTGATTATTAAAGAAACACCATCGGACACCTGGACAGATGATCCTTGTAGATCTGATATTTGTGATCACTCAAATAATAACGGCACAGATACATTGAAAAAAACATTGACAGATTATTTGACAAATGTGTGCAACTAAAAGAAGAAAAAAAAACCCACTGAAGTACAAACAAGTCAGTGCCCAAAAAACATCAGGATTACGTGACCCTATTATAGTGAACACAGATGTACTTTCCCAGGTTCTCCTCGTTGATCCACGCTCATTCTTTCCTGTTATTGACCCTGGGCTTTGAGTATGCCTTCTCAACTTTCTGCAATCGTGGATTTGCGCACTGACTTGCGCCTCTCATCTCGTCTCGGTGAATCATGTTTTTGGACTACGCTGGCTTGGACGTCATCTCCCCATTTGTTCTTCTGCCGTCGTGAAGTGTTGCTAAGAAGCGCGGAAAGTGCTCGACTATAACGCTAGAAAAGAAGGCGGCGAATCTCAAGCTAATAGTAAGTGGCCGAATGCAGGCAGAGGCTTAACCTGAAGCAAGGCACTATGTCGCTTATTAGATTTAATAAAGGCAAGTTTTTTTATCTGCTGATTTTTGCAAACTGCTCTATTATTCGGGTGTCTTCTCGGTCCCGGCAAAGTCTGAAAAATCGGTCGGCGACTGTATTTATTTTTTTTGTTTATTTATTTATTTATTTATTTATTTATAATACCCTCAGGGCCACAAGTGGCGTTACAGAGGGGAGTGGGTTTACATGAAGTAGTTGGTGATGGCGTCCCGAAATCTTCCACTGTCGGTGATGCCGATGAGGTTCTCGGGGAGGTCATTCCAGTCCACAATCGCAAATTCATATAAAAGACAACGAAAAAGAACTGATTTTTCTCAAGTACAGTAAAACACCACTTGAACGAATTTCGGGGGACACAAGAAAAGGGGTCACAATTCACATACCTAGTAAAATCACCAACAGCCATGGGTCTATGATGGTAGTGCACAAAAAAAAAATAAGTAACACAATGCTGCCAAAACATACCAGTATAACAAGAGTGGAGTGTTCCCCTTGAATGATAAGAGGTCATCATAGAAAATGTCAACAAATGATGTGTCAAGATGATTAAACAAGTTCTGAATGCAAACTAGCAGGGACAAAAACAATACATGGGGTTAATGGCAAACATGTGATTGCAGTGAAAATGTCTTTCAGCAACGTTAATCTGGATGTGAGATTTGATAATTGAGCAGCAGTCATAATACGCATGCAAGTTTTTGAACAAAAACCCCCAAAATTAATTACATTCTGATAACAGTAGGGCCGAGACAGGTTTTGTCTAGCGTGAAACATTCTCGCAAATTTCTTTCGGGCTCATTCTAATGTTGCCGTAGTAGTGGCACTGAGTTTGTTCCAAAGAACTGATGCAAAATATAGTTTTAGCAAAATGAGGCATCTGAACAGGACATAAAAACAAAATGGGTCGTTAAACAGAGAACTGAGGCAATTGACAATACCCAACACACTAGAAGACGATAACGGGATCATACGAAAGTGTCTATTGAAGTTCAGTTTCTCATCAAGCACTACACCCAGGTCACACACAACCAACACATGCTTTATAGGTAGGGTTCGGAGTTTTCGGTTTAAATCTATAAAAACCGATAAAAGTGCGCCGAATCCATTCTCTAAAATTCTGTTTTAACCGAAAATGGTCAGTTTTTTAGAGTTGCGTCGAGATGGGAGGTGGGGGAGTGGGGAGGGGAGAGAGGGCGTTGCAAGGTTCGACATTGTGTGAACTCTTCGTGATTGCCCTCTTCTAAGGTTCAACGTGCAACAAAAGAGGTCTTGGGTTGTCCTTTGCGGGACGTCTGTGTCCTTTCTGTGATTGGGATAAGTGTGTCAAGTTCCTGTTACTACAAAAAAAAAGTTTGGGTGTGGGCTAGTGCAAGGTTTTTAGCTTCATGCAAGATCTGCAGCCAGAGTTTAGTGACTATACGAAGTACGTTGTGCTTCAAAACGTTGCATTGTGTCTTTTTTGAAGTCACAATTGGTTGATTGGCCAATTTTGGATCAGGCAGCACTTCTTCTCCTCGGCCTGCCAGTGTCCAGTGTTAACGTTGAAAGGGCATTCTCGAAGCCCAGGGTCATTAACAGGAACGAATGAGCGTGGATCAATGAGGAGAACCTGGGAAAGTACATATGTGGTCACTATAATAAGATTACGTAATCCTGATGAACAGAAGGTGAAGTTCCATGTTTTTAGGGCACTAAATTGTTTGTACTTCTTTTTCTTTTTTTTTTTTTACAGTTGCACACATTTGCAAAATACAGTGTCGATGTTTTTTTTTTCAATGTATTTGTGCCGTTATTTCTTGAGGGATAACAAATATCAGAGTTACAAGGATCATCCGATCTCGTGTCCGATGGTGTTTCTTTCATATTCGCTGAAAAAAACGGTAAACTTTTATAAACATAAATATCCCTACACCAAAAAAAAAAAAAAAAAAAACGAAAATTGAATTTTAAAATAAACACCGAAAAAAGTATGCCGAATTTTGAAAAAATAAAAACCGAAAAAGCGGAACCCTTATTATAGGCCAACGATGTCTGTTCTGTTCCATGGGCACCGCCATGTTTGTTTTTGCTGACACCATGTCACAGTAAGGGGGCTGCGCTTTTTGCAATACTTCATTTTTTTTTGGAAACCTTTGCACATATCGTAGTGCAAGAACATCAGAAATGCATAGTCACGAAGCTCCAGGAACAACACCAATACCTAGAGTGCTGTAGAAAGCAAATATCTTGTTTTGTGTGCAGCCATCACTGGGGGTTAGGATTTTGGACACTGGTCTATAATAACTGTAACGAGATAGTAATCCGAAGAGACGGAGAGAACTTTGCATGAGAACGTTATCACTCGTGATTTCATAGGATTTGGATTGAGTGGAACTTCACGGTACTGAAAATTAGCTTTAATGAAACTTCACCGAATCTTCACCTTATTATAAAAGGTGTGTAAATATTTCAAACTTCGAATAATTTATGATTGTGTTTGCTCTTCAATTTGCAGGAAACTTTTACTGTTTGAAGTATTTATGGTTTTTTAATGTTAGAAAATTATGAATACTAATGTCTTCAGATTTCTCAGATTTCTTGCATCAAGCTTCACTGATTTGCACTAGGGCTCTGACATCAAGCTTCACCACTTAGCAGCGGCACGCTAGGAGAAGTGTCCACAAATCTCGGTTGTCTATATGTTCTTCAAAAATTTTCCTCACTTATTGAAGGTCATCCTTTGCCAACAGTCATAGTTTGACCCGCGATTTTAAAGTACAGTGTCAGAAAAAAAACCTCAAGCTATATTCAAATAAATAAGGTAGTCACTTTGCTTATACATAATGTTTCACTCAACTCACCTTATCAGGGCCCTTTGTATGTGAAATGTTGTAAACTGTTTCACTCGTGAAATAGTGTGTGAAATGCTTTTATGTAATAAAACCTCCTTTTAATATGTATGCTTTCTAGAAAATATTTCCAGCAATTATTTGGGTTCACGTTATAGTTTGTTCACAGTTACTTTTAAATATTCATGTTCGATTTGCAATCAGAAATTTGGCATTTGCACACCTCTACTTAATACGCAATTGCAGTAGGCAGCTTCTTTAAAAAATTGTCACCTCGAAGTTCTTTTGTGAAGATACAAAGTTCAAGTGAATTAGGCGATTGTACACAAACTTCATCTTGTCAAATTGGCCCAAGTTTATCATGCGTGCAAGGTTGCAGTCCATCATTGTAACCTATGAGAAAATATGGTAGTATATCCTGTTGGCTCTCGGACTATAAGTGTAAAGAAAAAACGGCTCAGAAGCATTTGTCCAACTACAGTACAAAGGGGGTCTCTCACCATTATGAGTCGCTGCATAGAAATTGTTATCCGACTTTGGTGTTGTGCAGCAATGGACGTTTCATTTGGCGGTCATTCCAACAGCCTGGCTAAGGTAGAAACTGTGAACCCACCGCGGTTTGTTGGGCCGTCCCCTGCAGGCTTCGTGAAGAGTTCAACAGGGCACTGCAGAAGGACAACATCAAGATCTCGGTGAACGACCTTGTGATCAAGGCCACTGCCCTGGCATGCACGAAGGTGCCGCAGGCAAACTCCTCCTGGCAGGGGACTTTCATTCGACAGTGAGTCCACTCCGAGAGCCTTTTCGGTCTGTCTCAACTCGTGGCGTTGGACCATCATACAGCGTCGGTCAAACCGGTCTAACCCACATTTAATGTGAAAAAATTGTAAGGGTGCAGGCGAGCTGGTGGAAGTTAACCATAGTTTTGTTTAACCCGAGACTGGGGTATTTCGGAAAAGGGGACGAGAAGAAAAGAGGCCACAAGGAGGCGACGTCTCAACGTCGTTTCCTTGTGGCCGTTTGAGACGTCGCCTCCTTGTGGCCTCTTTTCTTCTCGTCCCCTTTTCCGAAATACCCCAGTCTCGGGTTAAACAAAACCACATTTAATGAACCTCGAAGTTCAGCTTCGCACGCTCCAACGCTGTAATTTAGCATGCAGGTGTTGCTGGTTGGTGGATTTGTCTTGTGATAATGTCGGAGAGAAAATTCGCTGCGATGAAAAGTAGCAACAAAAAATTTCTCTAAGGGCCAACATGGAGTTAAGCCCTTATGTGAAAAAAAAAATTGTGGACGTTTAAAACGCTCGATTTAAATTAACAAAAAAAAAAAAAAAAATAGTGTAAATAATCATTTTGAATTTGTTCTCGTTCCCCGTTTTGTCCAATGAAATGCCTCAGTGGCCTACGAAAACACTCTTTCACTTTCATTCCAAAAAGACCCAACTCTGAATTGAGCCATAGGAAAATTTTGGATTTTATTTGTATACCTTTTGATCGAGACAAATGGTTCCTTCTATATTTTGGCAAAGCAGATCCATTACCTAGCCTAACTTTTCGGGTAAATTGCAGTTTTGTAACCTGCAAATCTAACTTTTGCAGTTTATCTAGGGCGGATTAGATCCATCTGGCCGACGCAGCATAGGTACCGACGGGATGAGAACAAGGGGGAGGGGCTGGAGTTCTCGTCAGTTGTCCAGTACCAGTGGCGTACTAACTAGTTTTTGAGCAGGGGGACAAACCAGCCCCCCACCCCCCCCCCCCCAGGGCAGGGGGCCGGTGCCCTTGGTATCCTTTGACCGCGCCGCCGCCCAGTCTTTGCCCTGCCCAGTAGCAGCTGTTTAAGGGGGGGGGGGGGGTGGGGGGGGCAAAACCCATGCAGGGGTGGCAAAACACTGCAGAGAGACAACACCTGCAGAGCTTGCTTTCGCGAGTGTTGCTTGTGCGGAGTGCACCGGCGCTCGGCGGGAAGCGCACTCAACGGTGCTCTAGCAGGGTACACACGAGCTATGAAAACGGGCACCACGCGGAAATTTCCACAGAAATAAGTTGCGCGTATGCTGTAACGTGGTGGCATGGCATAGGTCCAGATCACAGCGTCCGCGCAAGTTGCTATGAAAACGGCCGCGCGGTGCCCGTTTTCATTGCTCATGCATCCCCTGCTTAATAATTCACATTCTTGGCCCAATGAACAAACTTAATTTTGTTTTGAGTTGTCACTTGCTTTCTAAACAGCCCACGATAAACAGCATTTTTGAGGGATAAATAAACTGATGTCATATACATTTCATAAATGTTTTATGTGTGACCTACCTGATTATGATCAGTAGGCCTATGTAGAGGAAAATATCAAATATCTGCTTTGTATGTGAGCCATTCATATGGAAAATCATAATTTTATCTTGCATCATATTTAGATGAATTTCTGATAATTCAAAAAAAAAAATTGATAGCTGCCTGGAGTTTGAATCAATAAGAGTTTACTATAGAATCCAAAATTTTATACGGTCACGTTCACAACTCGATTGCTATTTCCAACTGTGATGAAGTAAAAGTATCGGAGCAGCTTATAGCGCACCATCGGTAGATTGTATCGACACAGTTGCTCCGTTTAATTTCAAAACAACAAAAACAAACTTATGTGACCTGTCTTTTGCTTACAGAGAGAGTTTCTAGGCAAGGCTACTTGCTCGAAGCTGGATGCTGGTTGTGTGCATGCAACTTAAATGGTTCATTGACGGTTTCAGGTACAAGTCTGTCAATGTCTGCATGTCCGTGGACACACCTAGAGGTCTCGTCATTCCGGTTGTGCATGCGGCGGAGAAAAAGGCAAGAATACTTTTGCATGTCACAGTGGATTGTGGATGGCATGAATACTTTAAACGACTTAATTTTCGTAAGGACCTAATTGTCACGAACATTGCGCCTCGAAAAATATTGCAAAAAATGTATTGCACAAATACATCTACCCATGCTTCACAAAGACCTCAAAATATTGAGCTTGCTAAAATATAGTAATTTACAGTACATACGTGGATCCTTTCGTTTTCAGGGAAAACCCAATATTTCCCTACATTTACATCACAAAAACATATTATTTTGAAAATCAAGTTAAACCCAATTTTCCCATGAAATCGGAACAACAATTTCAGTTTTGATGTTCTTTTAGCGCTGTAGAAAAGTGGAGCTCATTAGCGAAACTAGTTGAAAGCGTGCAGTAATAATACTTTCCGGCAAAATTCTTTTTTTAATTCCTGGAAGGCGTTGCAAAGAGAAGCTTTGATGTTAAGAAAACAATCTCTCGGTTAAGATATGTCTGAAGGCTGGCAGGTCTACAATGGACCCTTTCCGAAATTCAGTCTGGCCACTTTGATCTCTATCATCATCTGAAAAATGGCATATGTGCTGTACTAATGGGGGCCTTCTGTTCACTGATGAAGGAAGGAGTTGAAGATGCTTCTAAGCAGATGATTCAAGGCCTCTACACTCGAGACGTTAGTACAATGCGAAGCAGGAATTGAATGCAAGAGCTGCGTAAGCATTCGTTTCTTACTCGGGCCCAGTCAATCTGTTAATAGCACACAATCGGCTTCGAAGCCCCTCGATGTCTGGACCTTTACCAAGGCATCTACGTGGATTGCCGCTTCGTTCTGACTGGTTGCATCTTTTTCGCCATCGACACTGGCAGAGACTGAGAAAGAACTGTACACTAAAGCGCACATTCTCGTTTGTCGAACTTGCGAAAATGACGGTGCTCGATGAAATACTGCAGACTACTCGTTCATTGCCGTCATTGGTGCGGTAAAAGTTAAAACGGCCATTTGAGCAACCTGATGGCATGAATTCCGGAAAGGGCCTATCGCAGTTGTCTCAATCTCATTTGAGCGTGGGGGCCGCATGGCCGACACTGGGAAGGCCGGGGGCCAACGTTAGGCGGCCGGGGGGGCGGTTCAAAAGATTTTAAAAAAGAAGAAACCACATGCTCTATGCCTTTTATAAATTTGATTTTGCCAGTGACATTTTTAGATTTAATTTGTTTACATGACTACTTTGGGCCCTGACCTGATGTGATAACAATAATTAAAATGGCACCGACCCGCCAACAGGCTCGCATTTTTAATAGAACAAGCAAGCATGTACACTGTTATTCCCATTGATCAATTCATTCCAAAATTAACCAAGCTGAACATGTCCATAAAAAAACAATCAGTTACTTGACCAGTCCTTACTTTCCCGACCATTTCTATTACAACGCCCACACTTGTCTTTTCATAGTGATTTTTTTTAAAGGTGAAAATCCCGAGCTTATTAGCTTTATCTTAAGCAGTTGCTCCTGCTGATTGTAAGTTCGCGAGACCGAGATACATCCTTCAACATAGAGCTTGCACTTGCAGCCTAATAGCAAAATTGTTGTAAATTACAAAAAGCTGGGAAGCAAAATATAAGGCGAAACAGAGGAAACATGAACGCAGATAAGTAAAAACCATATGAATACGTTAAAAGAGTGGAGCGACTTTTCTAGCGAACATGAATCGGTGAGATATCGCTATGGCACATGCCATTTCTAGTGCTCGAGACATGGGAACCGGTACCCGTAGCCACCTGTGGGCCGCGTCTCAGCGAGTTGCGGGCCGCATGCGGCCCGCGGGCCGTGTGTTTGAGACCCCTGGTCTAGCGGGACAAAAATGCTGCGCACGATGATGTCGACGTCGACAAAAATTTGATGAAAATTGAAATGACCAAGTGAGCTCTTATATCATATTTTAATCTGATTTTCTGCCCACTAATGACTAGAAAAACTTGATTTCTCCCCTATTACAAGCTGGGAAAATACCAACCGATGTTTACCCCTTGGTTTTTGAGAAATATGAAACCCAAAAATGAGGGGACCCCGTATATACAATGCCACACAAGTAACGTACAATCCCACACTTCAAACGCGCATTCCAGCAGATTTCAGTCAACGTGCACCTGCAGTTTTTATGTGTGCCCATTTTCCCAACGAGTTTTATCATTTATGCTGGTACTACGTTTTTGCACCTTTTTTAAGTATAAAGATGCAATAGAAAACAAGCCATTATGAAAGCCACTCTACAATAATGCGCAAATCTCCTAGGACAGATTATGAAAGCTTTTATTCGGCGCTTTCAGAAATTTTTTGGGGTAATTTTACTTTATAGACAGTCTCGTTGCATGTCAAGTTAAGATACCATTGTAAGCCATTGGCTGAATCTCAGATTGTGGAAGTGGCCAAGCCGTACATCATCACATTTGCAGGGTCTTGCGAGTATCAGTGAAGAGACGAGAAGCTTGGCCTTGAAAGCGCGGGACAACAAATTACAGCCACACGACCTTGAGGTGAGAGACGACGATGTCCCGAAAGGCGTTGTGCCTTCAGCTTCATGCGCTCTCGTTGCAGGGCGGAACGGTAAGCGTCACCAACGTCGGAATGATCGGAGTCACCAGCTTTCCAGGGATGGTCAACCCTCCTCAGGTATGGTCAGAAACACTCCAGTTGAATGTTTTAAGACAGAATGTGTTTGATGCAAGGTTTTCTATGAGAAAATCACTGTGTCTGGGAGCGTTACAGATTAGTGATTCGTTAGTATGTTAGAGAATAATGATTACCGTACGTGCATGCCTCGGAGTGAAATTGACGGCTGTGCAAAATACCATAGCGAAACCTTGGGAATCTCCACACCTCGAGCTACGAAATTTTATATCTCCGGAAGGTAATCAGCTACGGAATTCGCATATAGCTGAACGCTCCTCCCAAGAACATGACTTTCACATATATTTTTGTACAGAAAAAAGACAAAAAAAAAAGATGACTCAAACTGTCATTGCATGATCTGACGTGGAAACTCCCAAAGTAAAAAATAAACATAAAAAATAAAATAAAGATATAATAGGCACAATAAAGTAAACAAAAATATAAAATAAAAATAAAAAGGGAGATAGTAAAAAGGATGAAAAACCTTGCACAATCGACACACAGAGGGTGGTTTGTGCAGGACACATTGTGTGTTCCGCTGGTCTTGGTCAGCACAATCGAGTCTGTATAATTTTAATTAATTTAAAAATTTGGAACTCATTAAATGAATGAGTATGAAAGTGTGAGTTTCATAGGGTTAGGATCATGAACAAAAAAGGGAGGAATATTGCTCTAGGACAGTGGGCTCCTTTTGGTTGCCAGAGCGATCAAAGAGAATTGCCTGATGTAAAAGGGTCGCTTGCGCCTAAATCCTCGTAATGTGGCACTTTCTGCAGCGCTGCCTAAAGCATAAAATATCTACCACTCGACACTGCCCGACGACGCCACAGAAGACCATTGAATAGCGGCTCTTGCAATTTCAGTCTCTCCCCGGACAGCCGGGTGAAATGCTGTCTGAATAATAATAATAATTTATTGTATACGGTCAAATGTAGTTCTGCAAAGTATCGTCAAATTTAGTTCTGCAAAGTATCATTTTGAGACCATCAGAGCCCTAGAAATTTGTAGGACTGATCCCAACAAAGAAGAAATATACAAAAAAAAATTGCACACAGTGTAAAAATACAGAAGAGAGAAGTTACAAAAAGTCAGAGATGCAGCCGAGCAAATAGTCTTAATTTTTTTTTTTACCTTTCCACAAGAAGTGATATGTCTTGGCACAGGCAGGAGGTTGTCAAAGGTGTGCAGAATGTAATGAAAGCGAATGCATTTCCCAAAATGTGTGTTGATGCATGGCGTGGCTCGAGTTTCCGAAGGTCGCGACAGACCGCGTTCAGAACCTCCAAGGTGTTATTCCAGTACAGTGCCAGAGTATAATAGTAGGTATGCATAGAGAAGGCTTGGAAGGATGTTAAAGAGAGGTTGTATAAATAACAACACTATAAAGCACAAGACCCACCACTCGCATGATTGCACTGATACTATCCTTGTAAATGGACACTTTCAATGAAGGAAACGATTTCACTAGCCATATATGGCACTACACAATTGCAGTAACAGATGGAAAATTACTACAGTCTAAGCTCGTTACAACAGACCTTGATTTGGACCAAGATTCTGGTCTGTTGTAAAAGGAGTATGTTGTATGCAGATATGAAGTTGAGTCAATGGTGTGTAGAGGAAAACCAACCAAACATCACAAATCGGTATGTTATATCCAAATATCTGTTGTAACCGGGTCTGTAGTAATGAGCTTAGACTTAGTTTGTCTGTAGTACAGTTCTATAATTAGCTGACATTCAAATTTTATGCCCAGAGGTGTTCATATTATTGACTTCTAATTCATTAAGTAAAGGAGGCAAAGCATATTTTAATTATGTAAATCATAATTTCACGTTTTGCCATGATGAGTAGCAGATTATTTTATATAATTCTAACACATATACATGGTGTCCCAGAAAGAAATATGTTGGATTTTTCTTTTACCGCAAAACTAAATAAATTATGCATTGCCGAGCGCTCATCCTTAGCGGTCTGAACGAGGTGCCAAAGTTTTAGAATTAACCGTGATCTTGTTAAAAAATTACAAGTGATTTTCTGAAATTTTCAATGGGAAATTGGTGGCCGGCGGAGCCCTTGAATATACACGGAGCTGAATGGCGCCCTTTGCTAAAAATGGACACCCAAATTTTTCCAGTCAAAATATTTACGAAATTACTTGTAACTTTTGTTTAAGGTAACGGTTAGTTCTGAAAATTTGGCGTTCAATTCGGACCGCGAGCGCTACAATTGGGTGGAGATTGAGCATTTGGCGATGCATACCGTATTTTCTGGTGTATAAGATACACTTTTTTTTACAATTTTCGGCGGTGCATCTTATACACAGGTTTTTCTTATATACCAATTTTTACTTAGAAACTTGCGAAAAGTTGGGGGTGCGTATCATACAACGACGCGTCTCATACATAAGACGCACGTTTTTTCCACAATTTTCGGCAGTGCGTTTTATACACAGGTGCGTCTTATATACTAAAGTTTACTTAGAACTTTGCGAAAAGTGGGGGATGCGTCTTATACATCGGAAAATACGGTAGTTTATTTTTGTGAAGCACACCCTGGTAAGGTCTTCTTTTAGGACACGCTGCACTTTTGGTTTAATTTTGAATAATAGCAGTTAATTGAAGCCATGCCATTAATATTGTGCCTGAAGATAGTGTGGAGCGAGTAAAAAAAAATTCAACATCTTTCTTACTTTGTTTTTTTTTTTTTCTTTCTCAGGCTTGCACGGTGGGCGTCTGCCGCACAAAAGAAATTTTGATTCCAGATGAAGCCAGGAGTCTGGGGTGATGATGCCATATTTTTTTACTTCGCTGTCCTTAGTCAGTAACCGATCTTGCCTGATAGTGTAAAATTTCTGGTGCCGTACCAAAGTACCATTAAAGTGCCATATTTACTCGAGTAATAGCCGCACTACTTATGAACAAGGCCCTTTCGTCTACTTTCTCGCTAAGCACATATACTGCCAATCATCGCGTTGCGCATAAATAACGTAGCAAATAATTAGGTCGATAACACAATTCACCGTACAAATGCAATCTTCACAGATGGTATCTTTGCTCGAAGACGTTATCTCTATCCTGTAAACCGCTGGAGTCATGCGGTCCATCGCGGTGATTGGCAAGCCACGTGTGCCGCAGAAAAGCGAACCCTCAGGTTTTCTTAATGAACAGTGCGGCTATTACTCGAGTAAATACGGTATATGTCGGTGTATTGTCCATTGTTATTTGGCCAAGTTTGTCAGTGAATATCTGGATATGCGTGGATACGTCAGACATATTTTTCTGATATATGGTTGCCGACCGATTTTTCGAACGTCGATAATTCGGAATTGTTGTATATTTTGTACCTAACGGAGGGACTGCGACTTACACGGTATGAAATAGTGCATATTCACTACCGATGTTTCGGACAGTTTAAAGTCTGAAAGTTTGATTTTTCGGACAAAATCGTCGCGAGCGATCACCAGGAAACACCACCATGAAGTCACCATTTTAGATTCTACGTTGGCTGCACATGGATTGGCTTGGTTTGGAAGCACTACTTGAGTTCTGCTAAGTCCTACCGCTAAATGACGCATGCTATGACTTTTTTTTTCTCTAGCTGTGCATCATTATCATCATCGTTACCATTTTGCTTTGTTCATTCGCCATTCTGCAGTCGTGGTCTTGCGCTTCTCATCTTGTCTCAGTGAATCGCGTTTTGGGACTATGCTGGCTCGGACGTCATGGCCCCATCTGTTCTTCCACCGCGATATGTTGCTAAGAAGCACAGAAAGTACTTAACCATAACACTAGAAAAGAATGCAGCGATTCTCAAGCTAATAGAAAGTGGCCAAACGCAAGCGGAGGTGTAACCTAAAGCAAGGCACTAGGACAGCTTCTTGAAGCCTGTTTAGACATAATACGAGGAAGTTTTTTAATCTGGGGGCTGATTTTTCAGACTGCTCTATTTTTCGGACGTTTTTTTCAGTTCCTGCGAAGTCCGAAAAATCGGCTGGCGACTGTACAGTATAGCAAAAGCCTTCATCTAGTGTTTGTAACCTGAAAAGACAGGAAATCAATCAAGACAGAAAGTTCTAAACATAATACAGTATAGACCACTTACAACGTAACCGCTTATAGTGCAGGACCGGGTATAACGCGGCTTTTTTAAACCACCGGTTCGCCTCCCATAGAACTTCATGTGATTACATACCGCTTAAAATGCAGGTGCGCGAAGGGAAATACCGGTTATAGTTCGGTTTCTGGAACAGCCTGCTGACCGCGCCGACTGACCGGCGCAGCGAGCACGCTTCCCTGTGCGACACTAGATAACGGCCCAAGCCGGCCGCAAGCGGCACTCGTGGGGCAAGAAGGTTGCTCGAAGAAGCGGGGAGAAGCTTCAGTTGCCAGAGCGACGGAGGGACGCACGCACGTGTCGTTCACGTGCGTGCGTCCCTCCGCTGCGTTGGAAACAACCGCAACGACAGACCAATCGCAGGTCAAGGAGAAGTGTTCGTGCGCGTTGCACGCCGGTCGCGGGCCGGCTGCTTCTATTCGCAAACATGACGTCGGTTGTGATCGTCGACGTAGACGGCGTGGTGCAAGCTCATCGTTCCGCGTAAAAGCTCTATCCTTGACTGTGAATTTTCGTTGTGTGTCGCTATGATAACCTAGCACGTACTAGAAGGGAAGATCCACCTACTCACGCGGCGATGTTGTGGCGGCACTCTCAAGACGGCAGAAACGCCCGTGTCGTTGTGTTTGTTTACTTCGACTACAGTGGTGCTTTCTAAGCATTTGTGTTTTCGAACATCGCCCGGATTTCTTATTTGGAGCATTTCATGCCCGTGCTCAAGTTGAAGGTATTACTGGCGCGTACCGTATAAAGGATGCGAATTTTCACGCGTTTTCATCGCCGGAGGAAAGTGATTAGGGTTAGCAATCCTGAACGCTCGCAACGTCCGTCCGCAACCCGCGACGCCGTTAAAAGGCTGCGCCAGGCAAAAGTCACTAATTTTTTTCAAAATGTGTGACACACTTGAGAGAGAAGTGTGCTAGTCGAAATAAAGACTTTCCTCAAACTAAGCTTTATTTTTCATCTAACATAAAATAAATTCTTTTACAAAGGTAAGATATCTGATGGCATGTATTTTGGCCTGAAAAATTTATATTTTGGTTGTAGCGCGGTACCGCTTATACTGCGGATTTTCGCGACTCCCGCGACATACGTTATATGCAGTCTACACTGTACTTTTTAGAAAAAGAACTGCACCTTGAAATTTCACACGGTAAAACTGACCTGCTCAGTGCACATTCAGTGAAAGTTTAAACTTTCTATGTGAAGGCGCCAATTCTTCCGGCTCGTTTTACAGCGAAAGGTCCACTTGGGACACCCTATAGATAGTCTGAAGCTTTTGATTGTTGCTGCAGATTAAACCGCTTGTCTGCTTGTGTCAAGCCAATGCCACATTGAGTAGCCCATTTGGGCCATGGGCAGAGGATCTTGGCTGCCATCCAATACTATTACTATCATCATCATCATCACAATGATGATGGTGATGATGCCCTAATTTGTGCTCATACTACTTTTCACCTTGTGACCGACTGAAGTGGATGCTGCGAGCCATCCCAGATAATCCGGTGCTGTGAAAAAGCCCCTCAACTACGCACTCTCCTCGTCGCTACTCAACTCCCAAAAGTCGCGCGACGCTCGCACGGCGTTGGACTGGCTTTGGGTGCTCGTAGTGTCATCTGCAGCCCGTCGTAAGGTGAAACGGAGTATGGCAGGCCGCCAGGACTGCAGCGCATCTTGCGAATGTGTTCCGACCCCCTTTTTATCTGCAGGCATCGGAGAGTGAAGATGATGTCGGTGAGCATGAGCTGTGACCATCGCGTCATGGACGAAGAGGTAGCAATGCACTGGCTGCATCACTTCAAGCGTCTGCTGGAGAGGCCAGATCTCATGCTGCTCTGAGGAGTACGAGTCACGCTTGCTCCACGTGGTTCATACGTCGAATAACGTCCGGTCATCAGTGCGTCGGCACAAAACGCTACAGCGTCGTGACGACGAGGTGGCATTGGCTGGGGAATGATTTCTCCCTCGATGCTCTGGTTTTGAGCCGAGCGAGCGAGTGACGACGAGCGTCACGTTTGTCTGGCCGGTTTCTACTATTTTTGTGATGTGTCGGCTTGAGCACAGTAGCAATGCATAAAATGTGCTCGCGAGCATTCTGACTGGCTGCAAAAAGCAGGGTTGACCGTAACGTATCAGCGCGAAATTTATACTACTCGGGCGAGTACTTTTCATAGAGTGCAAAAGGGCTACCAGCAAAAAGAAGAATCTGCAACGGGTTGCTGAAGAACGATCTTGCCGCCTAACATGGTCCTGTGCCACTCATTTTGGAAGGCCATCTTTCAACTTCGGCGTTGACAGACAGCGACTCGGGTAGTCGAATTTGTTGATAAGAAATTAGAAAGGCCACTTGTGTGCTCGGCACGAGACAGCAGCGACCCTTTGTATAGATCGAGAGGGAAAAGCGGCAGAAAACTGCTCAATTTGTCGAGTCGGGTGTTTTCTAGAAACATTTATCTAGATGACCTTGAATGTACACCCCGGTTTTCTTAACTAGAGTCATCCGAGCCCGAGTACGAATGGCTCTGGGGTCAGGTGGCAGCTCCCGCCATCTGGCTAGTGCTTTTTACAACATTTATATACGAAAATAAAAATGTTTTTATTTTTCCCATTGCTTCGAATGAAAAAAAAAAAAAATGCAAATCACCATATGTCACCACATTAAACGCATTCTGTAATAATCTGCTGCACTATACATCAATTGCACATGCAAGGAGCAACTGGAAATTAACTCAATTACAGATACACTTCATGAAAGAAGCTGCTTAAAGTGGAAATAAAAGCGAAACTATAGCTTATCGGTGGAGTAGTGTTTTCCTCACCGTAAAATCATCCCGTTGTGTTAATGTCGTACCGTGTGTCATCCTATTTCTTTTCCCTGCTGCTATATTGAATAATCGTGAGAAAACTGCTCAAGATGCTTCACCTAAAACAGTAACTAGACCAAGTTCAAGAATCATCAGAAATTTTAACAAAAATAAATTTATTTGCAGCGTAAACGAGTGTATAAAAAACACGTACATAAAATCAATCTCTCACCCGAACTAGCAGAGTTGGTGAAATCTAAAAATCTTAACCTTGTGGTAAACGGCAACGATCCGCTCATGAAAGCGTCGTGAACACTGCCCGTCTCGAGTAAAACAATGCCCGCGCAAAGAAGGGGACTAGAATTGCTCACGGCAGGCTGTCTTTGACTCTGCCCGAGACAAAGGCAGACATCTCGCACGTACTGTGAAGCGTAAACGCGTGTTTGAGATTGTGCTCACACAAGTTCAAATCGGCGTCGGGGAAAGCCTGTTTCATGTCCCAGAAGTACTCTATCGGGCACCACTTGTCCTCGCTTCCGTAATAAAAGGTGAGTCGCTTCAGGTTGTCTCTGATGGTGCCTTCGTCCCTCTGTTTCACCTGTGCAGGGAAGAGAGACATTACCAGCTTTGACTCCTAACACTGTTCGGAGAGCGGGTCGTCTGCTTTTGCGCAGGGGTTGCGGCGACGTCGGAACGACGCCGAGTTCCAGTTGGCTTTGATTGTAAGGATAGTGGGTAGACCTCAATGTTAGATGGCTCGAGGTCTACCCATTATTTTTGTTTCGATCGGCCAATAGGAGCTCGGCATTTTGACCTCGTTGCAACCTCGGTGCAAGAAGCGGACAGAACTTGCGCTCCACTAGTCGTCAACAGAGTGAAAATGAGAGGGCGTGTCTTTCAGACGCCTTGCCTCCGGCACGCGCTCCACGCCTTCCGCCGTACTTTGGTCGTACGCATTTGTTCGAAGCGCGCGAGACGCCGAAGCGCCGCCGAACGTAGGAAGTTTGCGCTGGAGGTGGGACAACTGAAGTTCCTTGCTGTCGTTCTCGCACTGTAGGTGACCATAGCAGACGTACAGACTTGGTGAGGCGTTCACAGGCACAATGTTTGCTGGAATAATCTAACGGAGATTAGGTCCAGCCGTCGCGTTCCCAGAGGCCAAGTTGAGAACTAAACCCATGGAGACAATGGCATGCATTGTTTGTCTGCGTTTCCAATACGCTGCTTGGCCGATGTAGCCAAACGCCGTGTCGACGTTTGGCCAGCGCGGAGCTTTGAGGAAAAGTTGGACAGAGTGCCCTCTGTACTTTGGTCTCCTCACCAACACCATGAGTACATGCAGATGGGGGAACGCTTGCCCATTCGTTGACTACACTTCTCACTGGGCTTATGTCTGTCTATGATCCTTGTCCAGTCACAGCAAAGTCTAGCACCATCGCCGGTGGTTTACCAGACCACCCTTCAATAAGAGGCGGTGAGGACGGATCTTTACTTTCACGGCGGTCGACTGCCGACCTGAATTTGTTTATTTTAGGTGTGGCACAGCTTCGATTGTTTTCTTTTTGGTTAGTCTTCATGAGCGCTCAACGTTCACTGGCACATTAAACACTTTGTTAATTCTGAACCCGAATTGTGTCGCCAGTTGCCAGAAGCGCTACGAATATGCTCAAAACGAAGAGGGGTCAAGTTGGTTGAGCGGCGCTGCCTCGAGGTTCTGACGGTAATTTTTCATCGTAATTTTTCACAGCAAAGCGCCATATTGCCTTCCAGAAACTGATGCCAGTAGTAAGGAATACGTTTAGCGTCAGGAAAACTTTTTGTAGGTAAATTACCTACCTGGTCTAATTCGTCCTCTGCCATGTTAATCATGAGCTTGAAAACAGCCGGCGTGAAGAGTGTCAGTGTTGCCTTCTTTATACGACTGCGCATGGACGGCTGGATGTCCTTGAAGTGCCACTCAATCAAAGCATCTTTGACAAACTCCGGCAGGACGAAAAGTAAGGCGACCAACAACCATGTGGCAAGCTTGAGCAGGAGACTACTAAGCACAAGCGCTTTTGCGTTGGGAGTTTGGGCCAGTCGTTCAAATACCGGGAACAGGAGAAATGAACGCTTGACCTGAAAGGCAGGTGAAAGAAGTTGAGCAAGGCACTTTTTCAGGTACTAGTACTTAGATATTTTTAAGTCCATCAATATTTTGTTGGGTCAAAACCTTGGAGTTGTTTCCTTTTTCTCGTCTGAACAAGAATCCACTACGTTAGAATCGACGCTTGCTGATCAGCATGGATATTTTGGCTTGCACATTACTTTTTCCGAGTTTCATCTTGAAATCTATGGTGTAGCTAGTAGTTCCACGAACATTCATCCCTTCACCGGACAAATCGCTGTCAAGTAAGTCGTCTGTAAAGCAAGTAATCTCTGGAGAATGCAAGTGCACAAAATGCACTTGTTATATCTGTAGCTCATTATAAGTGACCAACCTTTTATACAGGGTAAAACTTACTCAAAATGCAGTGCTTTCTTATGCCATGCGTTCAAATAACAGCAATTCGTTACCAGTGGTGCCATTACAATAATATGGATTTCACCATAAAGGGCCACCCAGAGGTATAGGGTTCTACCTTTCACAAAGCACAAACGGAGAAGCAAAACAAATATACGACCGCTTAAGCAGCTCTTACATTGAGTTCTTTCCTTTGCTTGAGCGTCTGCAGGACCATGTAAGCTCCGATAGAGTGCCCAGCCAAGAACACAGGACGAACATTTGAAATGTGCGTTTTGACAAAGTCTACCTTGTGTGCCACCTGGCCTTGAAGTCCATAGAGATGCCAGTTCTCTGCAACACCAGAAATCTAAATGTGAAAGTGATCTGATGATCAGAAGAGCGTGGGACAACCCTCTGTGACATTTCCAAAGAGACGAGGAGTGCACATGCTCTTGTACCTATTACTGAATAGCCACGGAAAGTTGTGCCCGAGTAAGGTTTCGCAGTATCCGTGTGATCAAACCTACGCACTATGAGAACCGACATACATACACATCTGCCTCTGCATGCTTGTCAATTCTTATTCCGTTCCATGTCTGAACTGAATGTCCTCTGCCGTGCACTAAAGGACTAGCACATTTGGTGCTTTTCCGACAGCTAATATGTGGTACCAGCATTCTACAATGATCTCGGTTCTTTGGTCTACCACAATGATTTCAGCCGTGCTACTGGAAGTCGAAGTGACAGGATTATAATTTTCAGCATGGGGATTGTAGGAGACGGGATGTTTAACGCCTACCAGTCCTTTCAAAACGGAGGTAACGGAAATACCGTGCAAATGGGGCAAGTTGCTCTGGAAGCAAGACAGTTGGTCACAAACTTCAGCACAAATTAATATTCTGCTAATGTAAGTATTCACATGCGCTTTTCTTTTCTTTTTTTTTTTTTTCGTTGTTTTCTTTTTGATGCGCTGTTCTCTCAGCGGAAATTATAGGGATTTGTGATTCTACGATTTAGTTACATTACCATTTGGAGGAGGGGCACGAAGATTTCTTGGCAAAACATCGTGCCCAGCGTGAGCGAGTCCGCAAACATGGAGCTTGCCTTCAAAGTTGTCATATATCTCCTGCAGGAATTCTTCGTAGTACTCTATGATTCCTGGGTTTCCTTCGAGGAACAGAAACACAATTATTTTTTGTTTAAGAGGTACTTACATCAAGCAGTTCACAACTTTCTAATTGCAAGTACTGAACGTTGCAGAAATTAGTATCGCCAATCTTTAACTGGCTTTTTATACATTTCGTGGAACGTGGAGAATTAATACAATCAGTCACAAAATCACCGATGCAGCTGTCGAGTTCAACCTGACCGCTTGAAAACTGAAGATAGCGCGAGTTGTTGCTTTCCACCTACCGTTTCAATCAACCTACCTGGAAAAAAGATGAACAAAGGCTCTTGGCTCGTAGTGCTTATACTCGTTTTCCCTATCGTCAAAAGTTTAGTTGGTACATCGTTTACGATAATGTAATCGTAGTGAGCTTTTGATTTCGTTGCTGCTTGTCCTGCTTCCATTTTTAAAGCTCGAATTGGATTGGATTGGATTGGATATTTCCGCACGTAAGAATGGATGCTAACGGCTGTACCGTACCCTTTACAACAGGCGGTAGCTTGCGCTACCTAGCCGAGAAACGAAACACCAAAAGTATGATTCCTCCTCTCGTCCTCGTTATCTATCACCAGGGCAGGGTGCACCAGGGCCTCTAAACTCGTCAAATACAAAGTTGGGGTCGAAGTTGACGGAGCGTACCAATTGGCCTATCACGACGATGACTTCGCACTTTTGTTGCCAACGTCCAATCGGCGCGCTCCGCGAACTTTCGGCTCCAACTTTGTGTTTGACGAGTTTAAGGCCCCAGGATGACCTTTGGGGTTCGGGCAAAAAAACTACAAACATAACCCACCGCCCCTCCAGTCCAGTGGGGGTGTCGCCAATTTTTGTCTGGTCGAACCCAGTAATGCTGCATGCTGGGAATTTTCGGTCTCAATCTTGGTGGAAAGGGAAATGGGCAATTTTAAAGATGAACGAGGGAATTCGGCAAAACCTTTAGACGGAACTAAATAGTAAAACATGTATTGTGATCCAAAAAGTTTCAAGATAGTTGCGATGTAGGAAGGAGAGGTGTCTGAAGGACTCTTTTTCAAATAGGGTCAAGTACAAATTTGAGTATGTACTTGTACTTAATTTTTTTCGGTGCTTTCCGAAAAGAAAAAAATACAACTTCCGACTTCAAAATACATTCCCCAAACTGAAAAAAAAAAAAAAAAAAAAAAAAAGCTGTATTATGTAAACACACATTATCGTCTTTCGAAATGTCATTTGGTCAATCTCCGAGTGAGCGGGAAAATCTGGAGCACAGATTTCAGCGGAGGCGCCGGCGGCGTGACGGCGGGCGCGCGTCAGCCAATCGCAAGCGGAGGCGCTTCCGCTCAGAAAGTGGCACGAACTTCGATCACATTTTTCGAAGGGAAATAGACGTCGCGCGAGCACAATTTTTCGATTTCTGTGATGCTAAGATTCCGTAGAATGAGTTATAACCAAGAACAGACGATGTCAGAAACATATCTAGTGCACCTTTAAGTAATATTGCCTAGACATCATGTCAACGTTTTCTGGAAAGGTATTGATGTTATACGCCATCTACAGACATGCAAAATCAGACACGGTTTGCTCCTAATTTGTCGCTGCAATGTGCCAATTTAGTCACTTTTGAAGGCTCTTGAACATCTGCAGTTTGGTGGCTATATGTCTGTCCTCGTAAACGACTTGATAACGTAGGTCATCCGACTTCAACGGTTTAACTGTCTAGGAACTTCCAAAAGTGGCTGAGTGGCTAAAGACGCCAAATCTGATGTACATGCACGTAATTTGTCGCTGCAATGTGCCAATTCAGTCGCTTTTGAAGCCTCTTGAACACATGCTAAACGGTTAAAGTTTGGTAGCCTATTTCTGTACTGGGAAACGACTTGTTAATGTGGATCATCAGACTTCAACGGCTTGACAGAGTAGGAACTTTCAAAAGTGGCTGAGTGGCTAAAGGCGCCAAATCTTGTGTACATGCAAAGCATGTCTGATTTCACAAATTAACATGTGGAAGCTGTTCAATGTTACTTGTCTCCGAGTTGTCTTGATACTCAAGCTGATGATGTAACTGTTGAGCTTTCCCTAGTATCAATGCATGATGGCAGCAGTATATCAGTGCATGAAAGATTAATACTAATCTTTAATCTAATCTAATCTAACCCAGGTCGTTTTGAGCCCAACCCGTGGGGATAACATCCTTGACCTTGTACTCACGTCCTCCCCTGATCTTGTTCGATTCGTTACCTACAGCAATGGATTCAGTGACCATAAACTTTTGCACATCTCGCTGTCCCTTCCCATTTTGGTGAAGATGCCTGTCAAAAAGGTGATACGGGACTACGGTAGAGCAGATTTCGTGTCAATGAACAGAAATTTGACCACTTTCTTGCAGTCGTACCAAATCCATTTTAATCTAAGGAGTGTAAATGACAACTGGATTTTATATAAAAATGAATTGAATGACCTTATTCAGGCATTTGTACCTACTCTGCGGATCCGAAGTGATGGTTGCCAGCCCTGGTATAACAAAAGACTTAAATCACTTGGCAATAAGAAAAAACGCCTCTTTCGCAAAGCAAGACTGACCAGCTGTTCAAATATTTGGGAGAAGTATTATAATTGCCTTAAGGATTATATTCATTTAATAAAAGCTTCAAAGAGAAAATATTTCAATCAGGACCTTCCAGGGCACTGACACCCCAAAGGTCGTATTATTTTTTATTGTCTAAAACGATGCAAGTTGTAGTCATATACACGCAAAAAAAAACCGCATCGCGAAAAAAAATTTCCCCGAGAAAGCGCGCGCCTTTTTATTTTTGGCGTTTATATTTCCCGCGCTAACCTCCTTGCTTCTTTTGATCGGTGACGTCAAAAATCAGGAAATTTAGAAGCTTTGTAGGCAACGTTTCTATAACATTTAATAACGGCAATTGTAAAACATGTTTTTTAAAACAACTGCGAACGCACTACGGCCCCTCTTTTTGAAATACCAAAAATCAGATTTCGGTGTGATGTCGCTTCCTGGATTTGTAGCCTCCCCAGCCTCCCTCGGAAACTGGGCGCCGCTAACGGCGAGACGGGGGCAGTACGGCTCTGGACGGGGAAGAAACCGGTTATTTCCCGCGCCGGCTTCTATCCCGCCTGCTCACCTCCTCGCCTCGGGTTGCCGTGGCAACGGCGGAGGTCCCAAAGAAAGTCGAGTCGCAGGAGACCGCAAAATTTGACTCACTGCACTGGCGCAGATCACGCGGGAACTTCAAATTCGGCATTTGGAAACTGTTTTTTTTTAATTAAGAAATACTGAATTCCCAAGTTTCGAAATTTGAGGGCAATGTCCCGGCATCGTTTTCAATCGTTTCGGATAATAAAAAAAAAAGTATGATTTTGATGTGTCAGTGCCCCTTTCAGGACAACCCCAAAAAGTTTTGGAATATAATCACGTCAAAAAACAACAATGATATCATTCAACTTGTCGATGAGGGTGGCAACCCAGTTGAGGAAAAAATGTGCTCAGAAGTAATGAATACCTTTTTCGCATCCATCTTCACGGACGAGTGTCCTTTAAATGTGCCTGAGCTACCCGCTGTTCACTACGAGCCCATGGCCCCTATCAACGTTTCATCGGCCGGTATTGCCACTCTTATCGATGGGCTCAAGCTTTCATCATCCTCAGGGTCAGATAACATATCATCGAAGATTCTGGAAAATACTAAGATTGTATCTAGTGATATTTTGCAACTGATATTTAATCAGTCACTATCCGAAGGTTGCCTCCCATCCGATTGGAAAGTAGGTAGGATTGTTCCAGTCCACAAAAGTGATGATCGTTCCTTGCCTTCTAACTATCGTCCCATTTCACTAACTTCCGTTCCATCTAAACTTCTTGAACATATCATTTATTCGCATATAATGTCGCATTTAGATTATAATGACTTCTTCTACCATCACCAACATGGCTTTTGCAAAGGTTACTCTTGTGAGACGCAGCTCTTTGAATTTACACATGACCTTCATTGCAGTCTTCAATCTCGCAACGAAACAGACGCAATATTTTTAGACTTCTCCAAGGCATCTGATCGTGTCCCACATATTCGTTTAATCTCTAAACTTTCTCGCCTTCATCTAGACCCCCACGTCTTAATGTGGATACGTAATTTTCTTGACTCGCGAATGCAGTACACAGTCTTAAATGGGTACGAATCTGATTTAATTAATGTCACATCTGGCGTGCCCCAGGGCACAGTCCTTGGGCCTCTTCTTTTTCTAATATTTATTAATGACCTTCCAAATTCTATTTCTTCTCACATACGTATTTTTGCAGACGACTGTGTTCTATATCGCGAGATCACTTCATCTAATGACCGCAAACTCATCTAAAAGGACCTAGGTAATATATCTCAGTGGTGTAACACCTGGTTGATGCCACTAAATAAATCTAAGTGCAAATTAATCCACTTTTCTCGTAAAAGAGTTCCTTCCTCCTTCCAGTATGTGCTGGGCGACGAGATCATTGAAGAAGTCGATAGGTATAAATATCTCGGTGTCGTACTAACTTCCGATATGACATGGATTAATCACATTAACACAATTTCTTCGGACACAGCAAGGATCCTTGGTTACATCTGGCGTTGCTTGTATGCTGCTCCTCCAAAGCTCAGGAAACTTGCATACGAAACCTTCATTCGACCAAAATTGGAATATGCATCTACAATATGGAATCCGCACCAAAATTACTTAATCACCCGACTGGAAGCAATTCAAAACCGAGCAACCCGCTACATTTGATCAAACTATGACTATAAAAACAGTGTCTCTGCCATGAAAACGAGCCTAAATTTACTAACTCTGGAGGTACGCCGCAAGGTTGCACGTCTTTGCTTACTCCATAAACTTTACCACTACCATCCCACTGTTCGAAGCTCATTCCTGCGCACTCCCGCACGGTCATCTCGTCGGCTCAATAACTCTTACAATTTTCAACGTATACCGGGTTCCAGTAATGCCTTTAACAAATCATTTCTCCCACTAACAATTGTGGACTGGAACAGTCTTCCAGAATCGCTCATTACAATAACTGACTTTGTGGTTTTCAAAAGCTCCATCATGTCGTATTTTTCCACACCAAGTTAAGTTTTTTAGCTGCGTTGCATGAGAGTGCGTTGTTATGCAATTTTAGCTACGTTGCATGAGTGAGCGTTGTTATGTAATTTTTATGTTGTTGTTTTTTTCATTTCTTGTATAATTTCTTGTGTTGCCCCCTCCTTATGTAATGTCCTCGACAGAGGACCCTTAAGGATTAATAAATGAAATAAATGAAATGAAATGAAAAATCGATTAGAAATGTTAGGCTGAAAAATGACAAGCAATAAATATCTCACTGAACTTCAGCTCAAAAGCTAGCAGCTAATCTACACAGCTGCATATTCAGCCGTATTTTCAAATCTATC